TTCCGGCGATATGATGCGTGAAATTTACTGCGCTTGGGTCATCTAGGACACCAAGAATATCAGCTTTGAATGGGCAGACGAAAGGATGAGCTGCTTACCGGAGGAAAACGAACGAATACGGAAGGTATCGTTGAGTTCTTTAATAGATGCGGGAAGTTGACTCCCGTGTAAACGTATATGGACTCTGTTGTGGTGAGTTGGAATGCCTAGTTCCTCATCACGACCCAAGCATATGATCAGACTGCCGCTGTTCTCGCCGTTGGTGGTATCTCCTGTCGAGGAACAGCCACCCGTGCAGTAGTTTGGTGTTTCATCAACAACAGTTGAATCAACGTGGTGATTAACTGGATGTTCTGGGCTGGACCCGAAGGACTGGTGTCTCATACCGCAACCTTCTATGCCCGTAGAATCATCTATATGATCAGACAGGCCGCTACCTTCATCCTCTGTTTCCCACTCATTGCTATCTTCATCACCCCCTCCAGCGCTCTTGCTGTCGGAATTCCTTAACCATGACATCAATATTGGCCAATCTATGCCTTTATTTCTGAAATACTGCAATTCTTCGATGTCGCCAATGGGCTTGATGCAGAACCTTGGATTCCTATAGGCCTTGTACATGCTTTCGACCCACTCAAAACACTCTGTGCATTTAAGAAACACACCGTCTCCCTTACCACCAAGAGGCTCGAACCCTTGGTCAAGGTCAATGGTAAAGAGCTCTGGAATGTCTTCCAGGATGCTTGGATCTTTCCAGAGTATATTGCACTGGCCATTCTGAGCTTCATAGTCTGACAGGCTGCTCACACTAGAAGCGCTATCCGAGTCCCTGTCGTATCCCTTAGCTTTCTTATAGTACTTGAAAAACTTTTTTCGAACTCTTCGATTCTCCTCTGTTGGCTCCTCACTATGATCGCGTTAGACCAGGGATCAGCATAAGGGAGCAGGCTGTACACCAACCACATCAGTTCAACCAGCCTCCGTTCGTAGTAAGGCCTGATTCTCATTGGGGGTGGTTGGCGCGGTTTTCCTATGGCGTTCATATTTAAGAGCAGTGGATTGTCGCTGTGAAAATCTGCCCGTTTCTCATCTTCAACCCCACACTCTTTGGAATCAGTCATCCCCTTGAAGAAGGTTGTCATTATCAGCCGCTGTAACGGATTGTAGATTGTTGAATCGGCGTACGTTGTAACTGCGGTCTTTGGGGAAGACATTCAGTCGGTATAGGGGGCTGTCTAACTCGCTCTTCCGCCCCATTCTCAGAAGGTTGAACAAGGCCCTCAGATATATACCCACAACAGCAGCAGGAGAGGAACACTCAGCCCCACCAAATCCTATGCCATAATCTAATACGACCTTGTCCTCGTGTAGCTGATTGATTGGCAGGTTTTCCTTGTGCAGCCTCGTGTGGCGTCTCTCGAGTTTGTTTCCATTCGCCAGTGGCCATCTAACACTAACGCTTACCTGCATATTCCGAATGTGCCAACCTATCATGATGGGGATGCACCAGACGCGCGGGCTAGTGGTGTCAAGGGTGTCTACTATTCGGGGTAGAGAATCTGTCAACTAGGTAAGGGTACGTAGGCTTAACAGGAAGAGGAAGATCAAAGGCAGGTAGTAGGTACTATTCAGACAGGGGACTGGTTCTTGATCTCCTACTACTTCTAACGGTTTGCGAATTATAGCTGAAGGCTCCATGCCTAAAGGGTTCAGAACCCCCTTGAAAACCAATCCATCGTATGGCCTGATGCTCCTCATCGGTGACCGATTGTCTATGCACCTGGATCAGGGTATCCTGTACAGTCATCAGGCTGAATCACTATTCGATCTGTGACAAGTGGGCTTTGTTTCGCAGCCTTTAGGATGAGCTCCATAGCCTGAGGGTTCTTGGCAGATAGTCTGGAGAGTCAGCAACCCAAAACTAGGCCTCTGCAGGACTGCGAGCTGCCCGTTACAGGCTCAGCTCGGGCCAACGCATAGGCGGGCTTTGGACAAAGGCTAAGGGCCTGGAGATAAGTTGTAGACTGAAACACTACATAGAGTATGACTTCTTAAAAAACAGCCCGCGTGCTTTTACAAAAGCAAAAGAACGGGTGACATAATTTGAATAAAAATATACAATATCAATTGTTATTTTATATATTTATAGTACACTGTTGAAAAATATCTAATTAAAATAATTGAAATATTTTTTATTTATTCCTGTTACAGACCCTTGACTGCCATTAGCTTCTGCAGCGTCCACGCTCTTGTAAACTGTTGTGATTTCAGGGGAAAGATGGACAGAATGATGCTGTATCAGCTACACGTACGTAGCCTACTGAGGACCGGATGCCATTCCGATAGATACTCAATTCTATGGATGACTGTATCAACTATCTTGATCGCTTCTTATCTCTGTCACTTATGGGTAAAGCCTTCAGGGGGTGGGAGCTGATAATCCAGCCAAGCCACTAGGATCACATGGTCTTGTATAGATTCATATCCCTCCCCTTTGTTCAATATCCCGAAATGAATGAAATGAAGCTATACTAGCTTCCTAAATAGGAAATAAAGCAAAAACATAGAACTGATATGGAGGAATATTGAATGCCTTTATCTTATCAGTCTGAGGATCTTGATATTATATTATAGAACGTTATTTTAAGTCCGGTTACAGTATTCTGATTAATTGCTTTAAGCTACCAGTCTTAGTTGCCTTGGTCAGTCCATCTGTAACTATTTCAGATGTAGGGATATAGAATAGCTTAATATTGCCATGCTCAATGAAATTATGAATAGCATAATATTGTGTAGCGGGATGAAGCCCGTTAGTATACTCAGGCCATTGGCCCTCATTTCCGTATTCGTCACATGGTGTATTTCTGCCCGTTCTTCCTGTCATACCTCATTGTCTCACCGTTTGTTTATTCTTCTCCTCTTTCCTTTCTTCCTCAGCGTTTTCTTCTTGTTTGATAGCTATGATAGTTTATCGAACGTTGCGGGTCCTATCCCTTACACTTTTAATGATAAGATTGGTCTTTGTACTGAGGAAATAAATGAAAATACTGTTTAAACAGGTTTTCTATCTTTATAAGCAGATCTAGATAACAGGGAAACCTAAAATATAAATAAATAATTCTTGAGATTAGGATGATAAGATTGCTTAGTAGCTAACAATGGCTACAATAACGCTCTCAAATGAGAATGACTAACTATCGAGCGCTGACGGTCTTGCCATCCCCCAAGTATATCATTGGCAGACACGTCAGGATCCATTGCATATTACTTATCTGCTAAGTCTACCGTAGCACCTTTCTTGATTAACAATTCCACCACTGGGTATGGTGTCCATCTAGATATATCTTTGTAATCAAGGTTCCACGAGTAAGAAATTGAGTCAACGACTAGGTTTACGACTCCAGAAAACACTGCTATATGAATAGATAAGATATTGAATCTCTTGTACTTGGATGGGTACATTATGTTTATGTCTTGTACAATAAGTACAAGTTTGAGTGGTTATTTCATAATACTGTATTAAGATAGTCTCTTGCTAGCTTTAAAGGTATATCAGGCAAATATTTGCTCCTTTGAAGATAGAGACTCTATTGAGTAGCTGCTTAAAACAAAATTGTGATTTTTGTACTGTTCTCTTTCGATGTGCCTGCAGTTGGCACGAGTCCAAAATTCAGAAATATAAGGCATATACATACAACTCTGTCGTGCTATTGTTATTTAGTAGTACCAAATATCTGATTTGTCTCCGGAGATACTCTTGGAAACAGTAACAGGCTTGTCATCGATAAATCGATAAGGTCCAGATAAATAATCGTTAATACTCGTCGATTATTGTCTATAGATAGGCAACTTCTCGATGACAAGCCTGAACAGTGATGTACTAAATAGACTGTGGCTGTCTGTTGGTCAATTTCAACCAACTTAAGACAACAATTAAGCAGCGTGCCTCCTATAGATATACCATTTGAGTCAACGAACGTGTCTTCATCTTCAATAGCAAGTACGCATAACAACTTATCAACAGTTAGTGGTCGTTCTGCTAAATGGATCCATGTAATAATTTAAGAATATTAGCTTTTTCCTTCCTCTCCTAACCTTCTTAGAACAAGAGGGTAGTTAGTTCAATATAAGTTGAAGCTGATCATCTGGACTAAGGTTCGAAGCGTAAATAAATAGAGCTTCCGAGGGTTTTACCGAAAACAAGCTGAAAAAAGATAGTGATTACAGTTGCTTGAAAGATATCCTAAATATAACCTCGGCTTCAATGACGTCTATTTCTTTATTTTATAAGGATAGCAATGGACTGGACGTTTTGATACTCTGAAATATATATAATCGCGGGCTTAAGTGCTAATGTGGGTTCATCGGCTGGTGGGAAAAGGTAGGCTTTCCATAATACAGGCAAGTTTATGCCGAACATATCGGGACTAGTCGATTAGGCAGAAGAATGTATAAAGATGGTAGAGCCATGTATAGTCCGTATTGCGAGTGAGCACTCGGGGCAAAGCCAACATCTTATATACCATGTCGTGCTACTTGGCAACTTGATTATCAAGGTACCAAGATAAAACACGGGCTCCTGCGCTCATCGTTAATATTCCTAGCAGGATGTAGAAATTATCTATGGGCTATTTCCAGCCTAGGATAGCAGACGCGTGTCCGGACACTCATCCGCCATCCTTAGTGCATCAGTGCCTATATAGATAGTGCCATTATAAGCGCTACTATATAGACATAGGGTTATAAATTCAGTGAAGCAATCCCAGATTAAACAGGATCAGGCGTAGCTTTAAGTAGCCTCTAGCCGCTAACCTAACTCACATCACCGGCTCCCCACTCTAATGTGGGTCATTTCCAGCCCATATGCAATGGTAAAAGGACTGGTTGAATACTCCCTAACATGAGAAAAGCCTATAGAGGTGTTGTTGAGAAGGCTGTTGGCGGCAGCTTCCGTATAAAAAAGGAAACGCCTTAGGTTCCGCTATTATACTGGCCTCGAGCTAAATGGCTCTCTTTCTAATGTTTTCGGCACCAGGGAGCTCGGGCGACTTCTGACGCTGCCTAATTTTGCCGGCAGTCTCGTGCCGGGTGGCCGTGCGCAATATCAAATTGCCGACAGCAAGCAATTCGGCGATATTGGTGGAACCGTCGCTAGCGAGTTCAAAGCCCCCAGATCCCAGATCCCGGACCAGTTTCTCGATCTGTTCTCCACGACCGCTCGCGCTTAGAATGTTTCCAATGGCGGCGTGAACCGCGAGGAGATGTGGGTTGGGGACAGCATATCTGGTATCATGAGAAGTGAAAGTGACCACTCTGGTGCTGGGCACATGGCATGAATAGGCGCCTGCAAACTTCTCAAAAGTCTTGATCTGGTACTTATTGGCCGTTTCTGTCTCTTCAAATACGAGATGGAATTCGCCGAATTCGGTGTGCAACGGAGCCAAGAGCATCATAGCATTCTCAACGCAGTTAAGGTCTGACGAGTGAAAGTTCAGGAAAGATCGCAGCCCAGGGAAGTAGCGATATAGTGTTGCCCACGTTCTGGACACCTCGAGTTCTTCTCCTTCGCTGTCAGGGCTGTAATCACCCATAGAAAACGGGATTATGTGAGACGCTTGCAGGGGGGCGTGATTTGGGCATTTCCGCGGTCTGTGTTTGGAATCGTACGTCTTGGAAATGACACATTGGTATCCATCGCGAGCTAAGCAAGCCTGTCGGAGTGCGGACTGCTCATTGCGGGAGACAGGATCCACATTTTCTGCGAGGAGATTCTCCACTGAGTCTTGGTACCCCATTCGAGGGGATGGGGTTCAGCTGGCGTAGTGCCTCCCCTTGCACACATTGGGATCAAGATACCAGTATCGATATTCTGCCACAGCTCACGCACATTTTGGTCTGTCTCGCATCCATCGACATCCTCGGCGAGATTGCACTTGCCATCCAGAGCTAGGTAGCGGAAAAAAATTCGTATAAAATGGACAGTGTTATCGGCTCCATGGCGTGGCACGTATTTATCCAGTCTCATACAAACTGCGGCACCTGCTTCTTGATGAGTTGTAAATTTCGTTGAGATGATGGGACTCAAACTGCTGTCCGACGGGGATGACATCCATCTTGAACTTGGTGTCAAGCCAAGGAGGTGTGGAAAGGAAATTATGACGGGCTCCAAGCAATGAGAAATCCAGTAAAGAGTGAGAGCAACAAGAGTAACATTTGGAAAAGATGGTATAAGTGAGATATATTTCCCTGGAGAGAGGTCGGTGAAGATATCACAATGAATTCAATGTACTCTCAGGTTGCAGTCACTATGTAGTAATGTGAATGAGGACATCGTGGATCATTCATAGGTACAGGCCTATTTATGGAATAGCGGGCTCTATCATTGGGGAGGCTTTCTGCCCTAAACGGACGCCTTTCAAGTTCGCTGCGTGGTTACAAATGTCACAGGGGCGCAGGAGTTTGCCAACCCCGGAATGCTTCCTTATCTAGTCAGGACACGAACAACAGCCCGTTCCTCGAGAGTCCAAGCTCCTTTGAGGTATTACACCTCAACTTACGAGCGACTATTACGGCCAATCCGCAATAACCGTTTTAGTTGCCTACTGCTTTCAAACCGCCGTCCTTCAACTATTCTATTATTGCTCACAGTATTTCTAGATTTAATTATATGGCTCGTCTAGTAAACTGATAAAGTATTTTAAGCTTTAGGCTTAGTTTTTATTCTATACATTTAAAAAAAGAATAGTATTTAGTCTACAGGATCCTATCCTCAATTTAACGTTGATCCTGCTGGATTATTTTTTGTAAGGGATAAGACCCGCAACGTTCGATAAACTATCATAGCTATCAAAACAAGAAGCAAACGCTGAAGAAGAAAGAAAGAAAGAACCCACAACAGTGTAACAATAAGGTATCACAGGAAGTAGGGGTCGAAATGCACCACGTGACGAATAGGTAACCGAGGGCCAACGGCCTGAGTACTCTAACGGGCTTCAGCCCGCTACATTCTTATCGGGAATGCGGGAATCCGTATTACCAAGTAATCTACCGCTGAAATCTAAGGGGTGCAATCGAGCAAATGACGAGGTCTGATTCCTGGTCTAATGATAAAATGAGTATATTTATAGTCCTTAAAATGATAATTTAATCGTATGATATCATGGTGTTGTGGCCTGATAGGCCTGATATCGTGATCAAGGCACTAATCTAGTGGCGGGACTTAGGGCACTTTTATTTCTTTTGGTTGTTGTTGGTGGTGGTGGGTGGTCGGAACGCCACTAATAGTTACCGCAGAGTTTAGGAAGAGGAGAATGAGCCATTTAAGCAGCGCTCCAGAATCTTAACTACTCGAACCGAACGTTAGCTTTTACTTGTTGAGAGTCAAACTTCTTCTACGCCTCCTTCGTCTCTTTTCTTGATCTGCCTACTCCAAGGACTTTCCCTTATTCACTAGTAGATAGGTGTATGTTAAATGTCTTTTGTTCCGCATAAAAATTAACAAATGTCCTCAAGGTACGACGAGTCATAACGCCTTTCAGAGCGATATCTCATTCGATTCGGCTCAGCTAATCGAACTACGGCTATATCTATCGGCCGTTCGGAGGCGGATGTATCGATACTTCCAGTAGGAAGCTCGCTGAGGGTGGATTCAACCGCGCCTTTGCTGTCACCATACAAATGCCAGCTAGGTTGCAACAATGGACTTTATCAGATTATATAGTATTCCAGTGCCCGCGTATCTTTGCTTACTCGCCTACCAATAAGGACCCTGTTGGCTCTGAATACATTAAATTAGAAAAGGTCTAGAGTCCGAGCAAAGGCTGAAAAAATCTTAAAATGTGTTTAAATCAAGGCGCTATTGCTTTCCATTATCTTGTCTAGGAGTAGAAGTATCCTCTATAAGCACGATTTTCCCCCTAACTAAAAAAAAAATATATATAGAATTACAACTTCCTGGTGGTGATGGAACGTTCTGTATTGGGTTGGATGCGCATTACAAGTGGTCGCATAAGGAGTGACACCATTTATCCGTTGAGAGGGGTCCATGTGATTTGTATGAACTTACAGTTGTATCACTGGTCTAACTCCAAGATAAGTTTCAGAATTTGGCGATACCTGAGAAAGTGTTGCAAAGAGAGACCTGGCATGGCTTGAGAATTTAGGTCGTGCTCGATTGCCGTGTGTACGTCTGCACAGGGAACTGTTTGATTATCAGAAAGTTCAACCCGCTGGCTATATCAGAAATCTTCATGAGTTTTTGCGAATCGCGCAGCTCTTGACTCCAGACTAGAACAGCGTTCTTAATCAGCCAATTCTCTGCCATCATGATCTCCAACAGAGCAATACTTTGGTTTCAGATTCATCCAATATGGTCGCACTGGTAAACTGGTAACCTTGTTCGATCCTTCCATTGTCTTCTCAGGCTGGTCAATCTAAATACTTTCAGAATTATGGTGGAAAGGGTCAGAAATATTGTCGAGCCTTAGCTACCGCCAGACTTCAGGCGAGTCAAAAAGGACGAGCAAGAAGCGGTGGAGAAAATTTTTGGACAATGTTAACTGGATTACTACTATTTCGCTGCTATATGTATTTATTTATTTATTCCTCCGGCTGTGCGCAGCCTAAGGCTGCATGTAGCCTCCTTGCTGAGTTTCCAATCACAGGGTATTTCAAGCACACAGTATTCCAAGCACGCGGGTTCAAGCCAAACAGTATATCAACATAGATAGGGTTCTATAGATTCCATAGACAATGGGTTTTCAGAAGGTGGTTTTTGCAGTGGTTATTCAAGCAGACGGTTCCACACAGCAGTAAATAAGCGGGTGGAAGGGCCCTTCAGATAGTGATAGTGACGCAAGGCCCAGGGACAAAAGTCTTCGCTATCCGTTATCCAAAGGGCCCCCTCAAACAGGTAGTGGTGAATTTCATCGTGATGTACCACGATAAGGCAACAGGACAGACCTTAGCTAATCCTTGATGTTGTTGACTAGTTGCGTGGGAGGTGAAAAAAGGGGGGGACGGCTGAGGGCGAAGGACCAGAAAACCCTCACGGTCGTACAACTACTCTTTCTTTCCTGTTGTTTGAGCAAATCCTGGCTTCCTCTGGTAGTTGGGTACAGAACGACCGCCAAAGTACTGATCCCCAGCACCACGTAGAGGTGCCTGCCCATCGCTGGGATTCGCTGCTACAGTTGAATTCATCGCAGTAAACCGGTGACCCCGCCCATGACATGGCACATGATCGTAAATTCGCTTGTCAGGGGACACAGTGCCTAAAAGTAAATGGGGAATACATACAACGACGCTACGAGAAGACACGTTGTGAGCAGCGTAGACAGGGTGAAGATTAAATGGGTCTAGGACAATCAGGTGAAGTTCAGGTGAAGGGTGAATGAAGACATGAAGACACAAAGCGGCAACGACACTAACCTAAACATATAAAAAAAGTTTCAAAACCAAAAACATACAACAGCTGGGATTCGCTGGTGGTCACCCACCCAACTACTAACTAGCCGGCGTGTGGCTTAAGTACGGCTGAGCGGACGGGAAGCCCTGTTTTCCACACCCTGTGATCGTATGTACCTGAATCGTGGATGAGAAGATATATATAGGACTTCCCTCTTCCTTACCCAGCTAGAAAAAAAGATTCTTTAAGCATCCTGACAATTAGAGCCTGTATGTGGCTTATATCCAGCCAGTAGTATATAATATCATAACCTCTATAGACTTGTGAGCTAGCACTGCATAGTATTCTAATATATAAGACTACTTTCTGGATTAGGCCGCTATTATCTTATATAAATATAAATATAATATAGTAGCTAGTTCTCTTACTTATGCTTAGTATTCTATAAAATTCTACCAATTTGGTTGCAAGACTAATTTAAATAAGATAATAGTGATATTGTCAAGGTCTAATTAGAACATATAAGAATATTGACTGAAGACTGTGGTACAATAGTGGGTCAAAAGTCTGATTACACTCAAAAAATCAAAAAATCAAAAAATCGCAACAATTTCAAGATCGATTTCCTCAACCAATTCAAATGGTTTTAATCTACAAATGAGTCTACATATCCCTCATTCAATACTTTGTATACCAGCCACGTGCTCGATGTACTGTCTGAAGCCTGAGAAGCATAGAACGAATTAAGCGATCTATCACCTCCTGGGGTATAGCCCACCAAGCTTCCTGAATATACTTTCTAAAGCGCCTCCAGTCAATTTTGACCTTTCTCCTAGAAAGAGTATAGGATAGAGCTCTAAAAGCTAGCGCTTAAACAGAGCCCAGATATGCTCTATAGGATCTAAATCAGGTGAATGAGATGGCCAATCTAGAACCCAGATTCCATGAGACTCAAAACCAGTCCTGCGCTTCAGCCGAAATATGAATCTTCACATTATCTTGCTGAAATATAGTGCCTGGCTTATATATCGGTAAAAGACCCTTTTCTAAGCAAGTAATAGTTATAGGACTTTGTTGAATAACTGCCCCGATAAGATAATTTATCCCACTCTATAATGACTAGATCAGATCGACCACCTAGCTATATAGAATCCTATACCATTTGAGAAATATCTTTTCTATGGTTCATTAGGGTCACCAGATCACGTCTATAGGCCTTGCATGAGAATTGAAAGACATATTGGGTAGAGGGATTAGATTTTCTCCGTACTGAATATTTATCAGAAAACATGAATTCATTCCAAGTAGAATTTTTAAACAAATACACGCAAATTGAAGACACTTTTTAGCTATCTTACGCGTTAGAGCTATACACTTCTTACTTTTCCATTTTTTTAAATAAAATCATTTTAAAACCCGCTTGATTGTTGAGGTAGAGACCCCAGAATCGCTATTTGCATATAAAGCTCTATAGCTAAGCTTAGGCCTTCGTCAAGCCAGTAGATAGATATAGCGCTTAGTAGAATGATCAAGCTTTGTAGGCCTTCCTTTTCTTGGGAGTGATTTTAAGGTATGGTTACATAAAAAGCATTTTTTTGTAGAATAGACTATATTGCAACTGACGCCAAATTGCTTAGCCAATTGAGTTGGAGACACATTGTTTTCTAGAGCAGATAAAACAGCCGCTCGAGTCTCCATAGAAAGCTCTGCATTAGGCCTTCTATTTCCGCTTATTTCTGTCCCAAAAGCTCTCATTTTGATGTAACGACAGATAGTTGAAGAAGGTGAGATTTTCTGACGCGTCGCGGGAACGCGCGAAAGTAATCAGACTTTTAACCCACCTTGTTACTATGCAAAAATATATCATAACTTTCAAAACATAAAAAGAAACATACAACAGCCGGGATTCGCTGGTGGTCACCCACCCAACTACTAACCAGCCGGCGTGTGGCTTAAGTACGGCTGAGCGGACGGGAAGCCCTGTTTTCCACACCCTGTGGTCGTATGTATCTGAATTTTGGATGAGAAGATATATATAGGACTTCCCTCTTCCTCACCCAGCTAGAAAAAAGCTTCTTTAAGCATCCTGACAATTAGAGCCGGTATATGGCTTATATCCAGCCAGTAGAGTATAATATCATAACTTTCAAAAAGTAAAAAGAAACATACAACAGCCGGGATTCGCTGGTGGTCACCCACCCAACTACTAACCGGCCGGCGTGTGGCTTAAGTATGGCTGAGCGGACGGGAAGCCCTGTTCTCCACACCCTGTGGTCGTATGTAAGGGCTCCATGAGAAACATAAATTATATTAGATAGAAATTATTTGAATCAACGTTACTTTTTCCATGTCGCTATAGTATGTGCTCATCGGTACCACGACATCCGTATATAGTAGAGACATAACCAGGAATGAATCTTTGTCCCTTGATTGAACCGGCGCTTTTGTTCCTAACACTATGGGGATGTCGAATGTGGAAAACTCTCTGGAATAACAAAATTATTGGATTCAACTACCTTTGTAATCAAGCTGAGGGGGTAGGTGGTGCCCTTTATATAGGCAAAGACCATACAAAGGTCCTTAAGGTCATACAAACCCCCGTTCACTAAGCAATAAGGGGAAAAATTGCTGAGAGGCTCGTACATTACCTACATATTCAACATGCGAGGACCCGGTGCTCGCTAAGGAAATATTGAGAAATAGAGTATTCTAAAGGGAATATATATCTTCAGATCCTTTCATTACCGAAATTTTCCCTATAACACGAAGTTCAATTACTGGTTTAATATGAGCAAATCTAACGTATAGGTTACTATAGGACATTAATATAAATCACTATGCGTTATTTTAGTGTTACCTTATGCTCTTTTCAATGTCGTGGAACAAGTTAAGGTTGCCCATCAACCCGAAAGCTGGAAGTTCCAGAAGCCGGAGCTTCGGTTGCGGGAGCTAAGAATAACCCTATTTTCTCTGGCCAGACTTTATTGGCCAATCTCGTAATCCGTAGATAAACCTTCACCTGTCAGGTAGGAAACATAGTAGATCACCTCTCAAGGTTCCATTCCTATCCTACTGCTCCCTGATAAACGCGGCAATGGATATTTCAACTCTCAGACGGCGCTCACGTCGGAAATCATGAAATGTATGATTACAATGCAAGAGGCGCAGGGTTAAGGTTAGTTAATATACCAAGACCCACGCTACTGGCCCTTGTTAAGCTTAAGCGACATAGTGCAATGAAGCAAGCCTTGATGTAGGAAAGTCAGGTACATGAAATAATCTGCGCGTATCCGATCACGACAACCGTTAACCAAACAACGCGATGCTGAGAACTATCGCGGATGACAGGACCATGAGTGCGAGTCCAACTGCCGGAACCCCGACAGGATCAAGCCCAATGCGAGATATGCCAAGCGACATGAACATTCGTACAACATCCTCTGAGTCCAGAACCGGCATATCTTGAAGCGTGCTGAACACCTGGCCCCGACCTCGCTATGCTAGACCTAGAGCTTCTCCGCCTATGGAGCACCGAGACCCATCATAGCTTATCCCCTTCATGTGGCGCGTCCAAGCCCCGCAAGTGGGCTTCTCATTTCCATTTGTCATACAATCGATCCTCGCTGTCGTAGCGCTACATTTGTTCGCTCCGTCTGTGCGCTCCACAGCGAAGACAGGAATGTTTAGCAAAGGACCGCTCCCACCACAACAGTGCCGTGCAACTAGTTACAATTAATATCAGAAATCTGATTGAGAAAGAAGGAACAGCGACAGTACGGCCGAATGGCTTATCCTTCACGGAAACAAGGTAATCCTTGAAGCAAGCAGCGAGGTCTTCCGCACTGGTATTCTGGCACCGGTATTTGCGAATGGGAGCGGAACATAGTTGATATAGCATTCTTTCGGAAGTATAAGACCAATGAGCAAGTTTCAGGGAATATTAAAGTATGTAAGATGATTTATACGGTTGGATATATATACTATTAGGTTTTTCTACCAAAACGTTGATTATATTCACTCATCACTTAATTAAAAAAGATATTGGTGCTAATATACGTTTTATAAATAATTATGCGCCCTGTGATATACAGAACCGGGGACGAAGATCATCTCCTCTAAGTAGTTATAATACCCTGACTAGACAAATAAATAAAGGTGCAGAGTCTTCGCTAAAGTCATACATACCATAATATTATTCACACCTATCCAAATCAACGGTCTCCAACCGCGGGAAGCAACCCTGCAACTGACTCTGCAGCTTAGGCAAATCCACCGATAAACCACCAATATCTCGCAAAATAACACGCTTAAGCGTTTGGCGGGAATGGCTCAGAATACTAATCAGATCCACCACCCGTATGGACGTGTAGCACAATGCAATTCTTTCTAGCGCGCCAGGGAAAGATTGAGATGCGCCTAGGTGTGCGAAGAACTCGATAGCCAAGTCTCGTGGTGCTAGGCTAAGGTATATTTTGCGAAGATTATGAGCATGAAGTATCATATTCAAAATGAAAGAATAGTTATGCGGTGTAAGTTTGTGGTCCAGATGTAGATTTTCCAATAACTCCCACCCGGACTTGAATGAGGGATTCATAAAGAGAGTTTTGGGTAATCGCTGGATATCCATAATGTTTGAGGTATAATTCGCCCCTGTGCCATACCAGAATAGCTTCATGGGTAGTGATGCGTTGGCGATAATTTCTAGCAAGATGGCTGCGGTATCGTCGGGGTTTAGATGTTTGTCGTCGCTCAGGGCGTCCTCTTCCGGTACGTATTTGCTTCTGACCGGGGAAAGTACGAAGGATCGGCAGTTTACGAGCTTGTCGACTAGATCATTGCGAAAGCGTTGGATGGCTGGTATTTGGAGTGGGTTGTGAATATGACCGGCCGCGCTTCGCTGCCACTGGAGATTGCGACCCAGGTATGGCTCTGGAGTCATGACAACTAGACGATGGACCTGTTGTCGCATGATTTTGTTGTTGGCAATGGCATGGATGTGATTGAAGCTGTCTTGCGAGAAGTCTAGGTGAACTTCCGTGTATCGCTGCGCCAAGCGGCTGATCGTTCGGTGATAGGTATGGCGGCAGGTCCCAACTAGCGAGGCTAGATCCCTCGTGTCGAGCTCCTCGCATATGATTTCGAGGATTTCTAGCGGGATTGAGTTAATAACGGAAGACATAATGAATATGAGATAGTAAATGAAAGTGAAAAGGTGATCAGGGAAGGGAGAGGAAATTATAACTTGCGTCATGCATTCTTATCGGCCGCAACCTCAAGGTCCCTGGAGTACCTTGGAGACGGTCGTTTTGGATCACCACAACTATACCACCATTGCACTCTTCCTAATATTTTTGGATATTGAAAATAGGTTCCTGCATTGTGGGGTCAGCCCATATTACATAATTCTGAGGGTTTCATATTGTAAGCTCGTTTGCATGAAGAACATAGGGTATTTGGTCGATGGCTGACCTGCCCGGGTATGAATAGCTGACAAATGCCCTGAAGGAAGGAGAATATCCGAAAATTCTGAGGAAGACTAATCGCTTCGTACATGTATTTCAGCTCATATGATGGATGGCACAGTCTCATAATGCGATCCTCGCATGGTTGTCTGCCGCTGGTTATTGTGTCAATCTTTTTTTTCTCTTTAATTATCCCAATTCCGTATACCTGCAGTATATATCGTTGCACACTATCATACTTAGGGTACTAGAATATAAGTAGCACACAATAGATGTTCAATTGCAGACTGGATGTTAGAATGCAGCAGTCGTCCTGTATATTTGGCTAGTAGCTCTTCTTGAGCAGTGATGTCACTGAACTGTTTCCTAGTTTCTCAAAATAAAAGCTATATGTCACCCAGGAGCACCGAGCAAACAATAGCCTTCTAGTCCGTCTAGCCTATTCTGGCAGTGACCAATACATACCCCCTTTGATCAACGGCGGAGCTGTAATTAAAGTTATGAATGAACGGCCAAGATAGACCGTGTATACTCTGTGTAATAACTGCTCAAAAGCTTTTCGAGTGTTAAGCTTCCTTCCCATAAATAATAACGAGAGAGCCAGGCGAAGAGAAGGAGGTACTATCCATCCGATGGATACGTTTTCCAACGAGGCTCTTGAGCAACGACGGCTGGAATTTCTATTGAGAAAGGCCACGAGTGTGGTGTATTACAACATCACGAAGACGCTTAGGTTAAAAGTGATAGTAAGAGATCTATAACAATCTTTGTCCCTGCCTAGTCAAATGCCAGTGGAGGCTTAAGCGACACACGACTAGTACATATCTCTTGTTGGTTGGGTAGATGCTGCCCAGTGTTGCCCATCCATTTCACAAAGTCACGGTGGAGGCTATTTGGCAAAGTTCCCCGCTCTCCCACACCAGGGCCAATTCTCATGGCTGATTCTACCAAGCACGCGCATCATCTTGTCTTTGGTAAGTGTCAAAATGGCGGGCCTTCTGTCAGTAGCAAGCTGTGCGGTTGGCATCATTTCACTCGGCCTGTCAGTATGCAACGGCCTCCTTGCTTACTATACTTTTTAGAAGTCATTCCACTAAGAGACTAGCCATATATTGAACAGGATCGTGTCTCTCTGTCAGACCTTGACAAGACTGGATGGCATCCTGGCAGTTCCTGAAGGATTCAAGGACCCCCTACTGCTGGAACGGCTGGGGTGGTGGAAGTGGTACTCCAAGACTGCCAGAGGGGCCTAGTGAGCTTAGGTGACATGCCCTCAAAGTGCAAAGCCAGTCCACCATCGTACACATCTTCTGGGTCTAGAGTCCATCTCGAGATGTCTCGAGCTCTATGCCCTTTTCGACGGGGAACATCGCGCGACCTTAGTATGACGGTAAACGAACTGCAGGATAGTCTAGAACAGCGCCCTACGGACACCCAATCTGTAAGACTTTTGAGTATCCGCAATCTCACTACTTATCGAGTGATAAGACACAGTGCTGTCATGTTTGAGAGACAGAGGATCATGAAAACAAACATAGGCGATGTTATGGGAGCGTTACAAAGAATAGAGAACGCATGAGAATACGCATCGGCAGCTCGCAACTGCCGAGGAACATTTGGACGTGGAGATAATGCCATGTTTGCCAAACAACTGTGAAGCCACGTTGAAGTTCCTCTTCCTCGGTTATAGCAACTTGCAATAGTTCTGTTCTTCATGGGCCGTGGTCCATAAAAGAACCAGGGATACTACCGTCAGTGTTAGACAGTCAAGACCAGGCTGATGAGAGCTTGGAAAGTTTGGTTGCACGACCACTCGAAGGAAATACCAAGCTTACTATCTGTTGCGACTGCCGCCGTCGTCTAATTAGTCAAGCCGCACGAGGAAAAGGTGAACTGCAATGAACTTTTCAAAAAGCTCATGCAGATGTTCCAAAAGGGCAAGGCATCACCGAAAGATACTCTTGCGGATGGGCGCACGATTCTACACGTGAGTAGTAGATTTTTGTGTCTTATGTACCAGTCTCTTGATTGTATTTCCCTTAGACCAACGCGAGTGACGTGTGACGTTTTGAACGGTAACACTTAGTCGCTGATCTTCCGGGTCACATTTGCTCGGCTTCATTTGCCCGTGAATATCGCGTGTTTATCCAACGGCTTCTCGCGGTGGGTGCGCCAGCGAAAAGTGTAAATTCGGATGGCGCCACTCCTGCAGATTTTATTGTAGTTAATTCATCAATTATATACCATCATTACCCGCACCATCGTTCTATGACTAAAATTAATCCGCGTTGAGACTTACTGAATGCTGGTGGCCATGTTCCATACTCCTTCGAGAGGGGTCCCTAGATAGAGAGACTTCAGACTGCTAAAAGATTTTCGGCCCTTGTGGCAATGAATGAGATCGGGGGTACGTTCACAGAATGAACAAAGCGCGGATAAAAAGCTAAGACTGAATATGCTGGATATCAACATCCCGATGAATTCTGGGAATCTGAAGCAATCGAGATATACAGAAATATAGATTCGGAGAGGTACCGGAGATTCATGAAGAGAAGAAGCATATAATTATGCAACTTAAGGAATTGATGTTGGATTTTGAAACAGAGCACGAAAAGCTGGATGTACCCTTACCGGATTTTCTAACGGGTTATTGATTGATGCGCATGGAAGATGTTTTGTCAATTAAGAACCCTATAAGTGAGGAGGAAAAAGCCCGTGTTCGTGAGATCAGTGCGGTGTTGGTGCCATATTTTACAGGAGCGGAGGGACATGACCAATGCTGCGAAGTGATATTATGTTGGTCTCTTCTGGCTATTGCCAATTTGTGGTTTTTATACTGGAGGAGTAAAATTCTAGAAGCGACAATGACGGGTTAATATTCGGACCTACCAGTTTTTTGTCCCTCATATGTTCTTGATTTTGTCTCACTATACTTTATTTTCTGGTTGATTCAGATCGATACTAGGACCGGTTGAAAATTTAACAGAATCTAAGTTTTATTAGCAGGGGCGCTCGTTTCCGACTCTCAAACCAAGACGAATATAGAAGCCCGAGTGAGTATTCATAAGTTGTCTTTTAAAGAGTTTACTCAGACGTCTTACTATAACAGGATAATTAGTGAGAGCCTATCCAGAGAATATACGACTGATTTTATGTTTTGTTCTTTCTCTATCAATGGCACATCTATTTATCCCTCAACCCAGATCTACCGCAGGACTAGCTATTATACGAACATCTCTAGCCACTTTATAGGCCCAGATTGCGCAGGAAAGATGGAGATCTCCAGACCACAATAAATTTAGGGCACCCTAAATCGCGAAAGAGCGATGAGGGAGTAAAGCTTAGTAGAGGAATATGAAGAAAGAGGAAAGAGATAAATGGACTTGACTTCCAACACCCCTGACCTCTCACCTTTGGTGCGCATATTAGAAACTATCCATTCGTTATTCATGGTGTCATATTAACCGTGAAGAGTCTATTTGCCCAAGGGGCAAGGGTGGATCCAAGATAGGTGCAGTGGCAGTGTCTACTCTCCTAACAAATCCGCCCGACTAGGTCCCCCAAGACTTTTTATAAACGTGGTAAGACATATACTAACCATACTGCATAAAGCCGGCGAGAACAAATTTATGAACAAGCACAAAATAATAGCATTATCCAGGGGTTGAAACTTCGAGACCCCTTGAGCCAACCAAGTACTCTATAGACACCGACATGGAAACAAAATCAACGCAATGAGAAGCACAGAAACGCATCCTGACAGCAGAATTTTACAGACGGGCACAGAATGCTGAATCCACTGGCTGCGGCTCCTTGAACTTATGATCATTAATAGGCACAGCTAAAGTCTCGCCCTTGGTTCCATGAACGCTACAGTATGCACCGCCGGGGTTGTAGACATGGGAAACAGTAGCCGGGTTATCTATGCGGGGGTTAACCTCTTCACTGCTTCAACAACATAGTAGCATCATGCATACCAATCTTATGCGACGACATATCTGTTGGAAATGTCTGCTGGAACTTGCCACCGTCGGTGGTGTAGAAGAAAAGAGTGACGGAGGTGATTTGACGCTCCTCGAGAGAAGTGGCACTTGTAAAGGCCGCGAGGGAGGCGATAATGCTGGTCACGATGAAAGGCCGCATATTGGATATTGATGGATTTGCTTGCCTGATAGGAATAATTCGAAAGTGTGTATAGTGAGGATTTCTTGTCGTGCTTCTGGAGAAAATCGTGTTCGTCAGGGGGTTTATATATGCCGGCTGCAATCGAGATGGGAAACAGTCCCGAAGCTCTGCAACGTAGTATTGCGGCCGGGTTGGGAGTGGGTAGTTACAGTGTGATCAGTAAGATTCTGTAGCATTGCAAATCGACTAAATCATCTGTAGGGAGGGGGGGGGGGAGGGCTATACGAAAAGCTAAGAATAGCGACTTGACACTACGTTTCCCATAGAGCCTTCAGGCGCCCAGTAGATGTGTACAGCAGCTTGAGCAATTGTTATTTTTGCACCAATTCCTTTTAGGTCTTACTAATCCTGTCAGGCCGGCAACTGTACCAAGGAATAGGAGTATTTAATTTGGTTGGCTGGTAGGCCCATTTCCAGCTCGTATCTCCAGTTCAGGGTTGCTGCTCTGGGGAAGCGAATTGTGGGGCAGGAGGCCTTAATGCAAACTACTGCCCTGTTTGGGAATGATCGACAGGCGATGCAATACAGTTCTCAACTGGATGTGTTTTTGAGAGGCTCCCAGTTGACCGACCCAAATATAGAATCGGTCCTAGATTTTAAGATAGGTCAGGTGTGTGCGAGAGCCACCCTACGTTGAACATGAACGCTAATATTCTCAGTCGAACATTTGTTACAGGTAAGGTATCGCAACGTACTCGAGCAAACAATATCCGTATGGGATACAGCTTCAGTGTATGTGAGTGCCTTAATGCCTTAGGTGGCTATCCACGACGACATTTTGACTAAGTGTGAAGAATCGTTTTTTCATTTTATTTTTCTTAATTTTACTAGATATTTATAACCATAAGCGTTCCTAAGTATAAGAAGCTAGGATACGTCCGATATTTCCGAAGCGTAGTAGAACATGAATAAGTGGGGATAGCCCCCGTAGCGACGGACAAGAAATCTCGTATATATCATATAGAATTTGGTAGAGTATTAAAGATGAAAATAAGCTTCTTCTACTTAGCATAATAAGCTTCACCCACGTCGAATCTACTTCTGTTCAGGATTTCCACCAGGGCCAAGTGGCGCCGAGCTGCAAGCCGAGATGCATATGCGTTTATCTCCATAAAGTAGTCGTGTTGTACGTCTATACAAGATATCAAGAAAAACTTCTGTGATTTTGTTAATGGTTAATTGATATCGATGTTGCTCATAATGCTCTAGCTCGATGTACTTTAGTATTACATTACCCTGCGTACATGCATTCGTCTATCGACCCCCGGGTGATTTTCGACGGCCCGAGGGAAAAGAGATAAGATAGAGTTAACCGTAGTAACCGAACCCCTCATAATAAATAGATCAACCCCTCACCATGTTCTTAATTTGACTCCCAGTAACCTGTGATTCAAGGACAATGGCCGAGCTTCACCCCACCAATATCGAGACGCTTAAGCACCGGATGCAATCCGTGTGCAGTAACCCGGAGAAGGGGCTTCCCGGCGTTGCGGTCGCTGTAGTTCGACACGATGGTAAGGAGCTCTTCAGTCATGCCGCGGGGCACAGAGGTTATGGAAGCCCCGAGCCCATGACTCTGGATTCCGTCTTTTGGATCGCATCGTGTACCAAAATGATCACTGGTATTGCGTGTATGCAGCTAGTGGAACAGGAAAAGCTCTCTTTGGATGACGCTGACCAAATACACCAAATTTGTCCTGAATTCAACGATCTGCGGGTTCTCCAGAAAGATGGGACTTTGGTGGAGAAGAATAGAGGAATAACTCTGAGAATGCTGTTGACCCATACCTGTCAGTCTTCGTGATACGTTTCCACATGGGACGAGAGCGCTAATATCTATCTACCATAGCCGGCTTTGGCTATACGTTCTTCAACAAGACACTGCGAGACTACGGCCGACCAGTGGGTTACGATGAATTCTCAGGATACGCCGATGATTTCAATATGCCGTTGGTTCACCAGCCGGGAGAAGCATGGGAGTACGGCGTAAGAATCCTGGACTTAATTCAGACCCTACTGTTACGATAGCTGTTAACATACCGGCAACGGCGCGATAGGTGGGAATTGATTGGGCAGGGATAGTGCTCGAACGCGTAACGGGACAATCATTGAACGACTATTTCCATCAACACATTTTCCAGCCACTGGGCCTCCATCACATCTCCATGATCCCCACGGAAGACATGAAGAAGAACCTTGCGTACTTGCACCAGCGAGCTGCGGATGGCCAACTTTCGGTTCGCGATCATCTCCTTCGACGAGCGTTGACAGTCAAGAATGAGAAGGACATTGAAGCCTACTTCAACAGCGGTGGAGCCGGATGTTTCTCCACGGTACAGGATTACTGCCGTATGAACCCCCACGGAATCATTGCTACCTATGACTGATTGCCATGTCCACTTAGAGATCCTGGCCGTCCTGCTGAACAACGGAACGTCCCCTAAAACTGGAAAGCAGCTGCTGAAGAGGGAGACTGTCGATGAGATGTTCCGAAATCAAATCGAAAGTCTACCACCGCTCAGCGAAAAAGAGTTTCCGGACGTAAAAGCAGACCTGGTGCATTATAGTCTCGGCGTGCACCCTACCGTGGAAGGCGATCGCCAAGGATGGGGGCTTACCTTTCTCCTCAGTGGCGGTTCTACAGGCAGACCCCTCGGAACTGCACAGTGGTCTGGTATCGCGAATCTTCGTTGGTGGTGCGACCGTAAGAACGGCGTAGCAGGGTTTATTTGTACGCAGGTATTGCCGTTTGGAGATGACCAGTTATTTCAATTGTCGCAAGATGTTGAGACGGAAGTTTACAAGAGTCTTGGGGTGTCGTCGTAGTCAAAATGCTACCGGACCGGCGTTTGCCTTGCAAGGCTAGACTTTGTGGGCTACTGTACTGCAGTTACTTCCAAAAGGCTCTAGATTCATGAAGTTGCATTAAGTAAAGGATATGCTTTTGGACCCAGAGGTCTAGAGGACTCTCATCTTCTTTTGGTTGCTTCTGGGTTTTTCGGTCGCCTACTTCCAGTCTCTGGTGGATTTTCTGAATTAATGAACTAGACACCTGGCTCTCAGGAAGACCACTTCTCATGTAGAAAACATGACTTGGAAATTTTGATTCAATTCTACGTACTTCATAAGGCACATTAGACAGACTATATTGGAAGATTTCCTGGTTTGGCGTGTCATGCCCATCCATTGATGTATGTCTTAACAATAGGATTCCACTACAGCGTCAGTGTCACCCTAAAAACCATGACAGGAGATTTTTAGGAATGCATTAGTCAAGGAGCATTAGCTCTGTCTTTGTTTAATCCAGGGTGGAATCGTGGCCAAGATAGCGGCAGCAGAATAAGTACTGTCCTGCGAGGGCTCATTGCAGTATTATGTAGCTCAGCGCCCTCTCCTAGGGTTTTGGTTCTGTCAACCAAGTAATTCCAGGCAGACCGTGGTGTGGCCAAGACCATTCTACAATCTATACAGAGGGGTTCAGCGACTCAGAAACCTCCTGCGGCAAGCTGGGATATTTACCTCGAGGAGGCCTTCATGCTCAGTAAATGAACCGCTAGCTTTAAACACACGGAGGGCTATCCCGACCAGAGCTCCATGCTTCACTGAAGCTTGTGCGGAACACCTGTGGAAGAGGCACTTCCACTGTATATCAAGAGTCCCTCTATTCTCTTGGCTATCTGCGGCAAGTGCTTCGTAATCCTCTTCGCAGAGCTCCCCGCCATACTCTGAGAGACAATTAATGTCTTCCGCATCTTCATCCTCGTGACCTTGTTATCTTCCTCCCGTCCATTGCTGTCGATTTTACTTTTTACTCTCATCATTATAGTTAAAACCATACTTATCCGTTCCTTCTTTTATGCCATGGTCTTTATTCTCCACCCCGTATTTGCTTCCGACCCTTAGAATCGGGAGGACGCCCACTTCAGCCCCTAGAGATTTTGAGAACGGAGTACAACACCACATCGGAGCCTTTCTGCCGCAGAGTGTTTGTTTGAGCACTTTCTGATGCGTGCGCATAGGCATGCGAGCAGAAAATGCCACGGATACCACCTGCTTAAATTAGCTTAAGTTGTGTTCCATTGTCAGATAAGGATTATACCATGTGTCATGCATGAGCTGAGGATTTCGCCTGGGAGCCACAAGTTGGTTGGAAATTGGCATCGTAGACGGCTCGATGATAGACGGTGGGACTATCTCTGAAGCGTCTTCTTGCTCTTTCGCAAAGAGATTATAGGTCAGGCTAATTCGATTTCCCTCAGTAATAGTCTTGATCTCATATTCAATATCACTGTAGAATGCAACTCATTGAACTGCAGACCACTTAAGTCCGCCAAGTTAATGTTTACTTCTCTGCCTTAGTGGCAATAAAGTAGATTGCCCCCTTCTAAACGGGATGGTAAATATACTACTAGAGATCTGATCTGGATAGGAAAACGAGGGGTATCGATGTAGCTGCGGAAGATGCCCGAGGGACCGGAATAGATCTGCAATTAGTGAGCCGCAGGTCCTTTCAGTATGAGTCACTCCACATCCATTCAATTTATACAGCTCTGCCGAGATTGTACGTCCATAAAAGGCGTTCTCCTTATCTATACTGACACTGGGGAAGCAGGATGCGCCCGATGGCTTTCAGAATACCCAAGTCCGCTGGATGGAACGAGGTAGTTAAATAGCTGGGATCCAGTTTTTCCGCGTGCCGGTAATGAGGGTGAAGGACCTCCTGGTCTCCCTATCTAAATGACGCAGGTGAGCAAGCGCTTACCATCCGTTCAAGCGCTAAGGTAGAAGAGTCTGACATCACTTTACCCAAAGGTAGGACCACGTTCTTGGCATCCACATTACTTGTCAGCGACCAACTAACCCTAACGCTTGGCAGGGTAGGCTTCATCGTCTCTGCATCCTTCTCGCCATCGGCAACAAGAATGCTCCCACAGCAATCGAGAGACGCAGATGATCGTTCAACTTCAGGAACCTTTTTCAGCTCGCGGAGACTCAGAAGCACATCATGCCCCTGAGCCTCCGATCCGCTGTTACCACCTTTATTCTTGTCCCGCGATAGAGGAGTGAGCTATTGATCAGCAAAAGTTGAAAAGAGCGCCTGCGTAAACCCGCCACCCACTGAAGTAGTGTTGGAAAATCCGACAATACCGGATAAACAATGATTCAACATACTCTCTTCGGATCCGTCCCTCCTGTTATGCCATCGTTTCTTAATCTCCGGAACCTTAGGAAAGTCTATAGCTCGAGTCCCAGACATGCCATAGGTTTTAGGGAGCATCTGCTGTAGGTCATCGGTTAACTTGAAATTTGCTTCGTTATATCTTTCGCATGCTTATGGTAATCGCCAGAAGAGCTCCTAGGATCCCAGTTCTCTCACGAGCTTGAGTGTGAACTTGTCAATACAAGCATCGCGTTTGCAGGCCTGTCTCGTCTGTTGAGGTAAATGTATGTCAGACGAAAGGGCCATTTACAATAATTAGTTCGTCTCTCTTTTGAGATCGCGCGTCCACGCGGGATTACTCGGCATGTCCCGAGAGCCGCGCCCTTTTTATTCCTCTTCCAGACATGCTGAAAAAATTGTCAAGGCCCGCAGCTACTAGAGAAGAAAGGGAATAACCTGTTGCTAGGAAGATTTAGCAAGTCCCTGGATATTACACTGGAAGATGTTATGTGCGTCACATAGTCATCAATGATTACGAGGAAGGTACGGTGTTCCTGATTTGTATTTTAGACCTAGTCTATTTCTTTGATTTGGACGCCATGCTGCGAGAAGCTCTCGCATACTGTCATATCATTTACGCGTTAAACACTTTTCTGTATCCGTAAATTATACAAACAATATACGGAGAAAACTAAATCATATACAAAATAAACAAATTATAAATTATGAACACATAATAGATGTAATAGATAAACACAGTGAAATAGATAACCTGGGTGGAGCTATCTGATGCTCATCTTCATGAAAATCATGATCATCTTACTCCTATCTAGAAACTGGCCGGCCCAAAATGAACCGCCAGCCGGAATCCCCTGCCAACAGATAATGCTATAATTTTGTGGATTAGGATATGCGTCTAGCATCTTAGTTCAGATTACATATATACAACCTGGCTAGAGTGTTTAACAGGTACACAGCTGCGAGGATGTGGGGTTTCAGACTACGGATTTGCCTTTCTGCCGCCACTCCGGAAAGGTAAGAAAGTTCATTCCGGAGCTAGGAATCAGCGTATGAGAGTATGGTAGAGGTTTCTGGTCGTAATATAGCCTGGGCATCACCAGATGCCGCTTTAAGTACTGTATCGTCTAAGCTTAGCCTTTCTGCTTTGGGTGAGTTACATGCCTAGATAATCAGGCCCCAAGCACCCGCCCTAGTCATCCAGCTTTGGAGGTCACGTCACCAGCCAAGCCTAGTTAATCACGTGCCATATTCACCGCCCGGCCACCCCCAAGGCCCACCTCATCGTCGCCCTCCCGAGCTCCAGGCGGACAGCTTGCGCCAAACCCACCTTGTCTCGACTCTCATCCGACTCTTTATTCTCGCGCTGTGCCCGTGATACCTGATTCACCCGCCATGGCCGAGTTCGTCGACCCCCGGATGACCAGCGTCAAGCCCCGCATCCGCTACAACACTATCGGAGGCATTAACGGACCGCTGGTCGTCCTCGACAATGTGAGACCTTCGGGGACAACCTGACACAGGAGATGTACGCTAATGCGCTGCCCTGCAATATAGGTCAAATTCCCCCGTTTCAATGAAATTGTCTCGCTGACACTGCCCGACGGCACGGAGCGTTCCGGACAAGTGTTGGAGGCTAGAGGTAAGCTCCCCGACCCGCTGTGGTACTTGTGTACCTGCTTTGAGCTTCCCATAGAATGGCCTGCTGACTCTTTATGATCTTTACTATAGGAAACCGAGCTATTGTGCAGGTACGAGCCGAGACTAGTGCCGTTCCGATCTACTTATCGTGATAGACGTTAATAGTATACTGGTTTGCTAGGTGTTCGAGGGCACTTCGGGTGTTGATGTGAAGGGGGTAAGAAACCTTGTGGGAAAGTTCCTTTGTTATAGAGTTGCTGACACAGGATCAGACTAAAGTCGAGTTCACCGGTCACAGCTTGAAGCTTGGTGTGTCTGAGGACATGCTGGGTCGTGTGTTCGATGGTTCAGGACGTGCTATCGACAAGGGCCCTAAAGTACTTGCGGAGGATTACTTGGATATCAATGGCCAGCCCATCAACCCCTATTCCCGGGTATACTTTATCGCCAACTTCATGTGTAAGGTATTGGGGCTGATGTAGTTCCCTAGGTCTATCCCGAGGAAATGATTTCTACTGGTATCTCTGCTATCGATACTATGAACTCTATTGCTCGTGGTCAGAAGATTCCTATTTTCTCTGCCTCTGGTCTTCCCCATAACGAGATCGCGGCGAGCATAGCTAGGCAAGCGAGTCTGGTTAAGAAGCCCAGCAAGGGTGTCCATGATGACCACGACGACAACTTTTCGATTGTTTTCGCTGCTATGGGTGTTAACATGGAGACCGCCCGATTCTTTACTCGCGAGTTTGAAGAGAACGGCAGTATGGAGCGTACCACCCTTTTCTTGAACTTGGCCAACGACCCGACTATCGAGCGTATTATTACTCCTCGTCTAGCTTTGACGACTGCTGAATACTACGCCTACCAGCTTGAGAAGCACGTTCTCGTCATCATGACGGATCTTTCGGCGTACTGTGATGCTTTACGTGAAGTCTCAGCTGCCCGTGAAGAAGTCCCCGGCCGTCGTGGTTATCCCGGTTACATGTATACAGATTTGTCCACTATCTACGAGCGTGCTGGTCGTGTTGAGGGTCGGAATGGCTCTATTACTCAGATCCCTATCTTGACTATGCCTAACGATGGTATGAGCCTCCTCCTTTCCCTTTTTCCTGACCTTTTTCTTCTTTTATAACTAACCTCTTCCTTGTTTCTAAAAAAGATATCACGCATCCCATTCCTGATCTGACAGGCTACATTACCGTACGTTCTCTCCTGACTCGGTTAAGAATAGACTAGCAAGACTAACTTTCCGTACAGGAGGGTCAAATTTTCATTGACCGTCAACTGTACAACAAGGGCGTATACCCACCAATCAACGTATTGCCGTCACTTTCTCGTCTTATGAAATCTGCTATTGGCGAGGGCCGCACACGTAGGGACCATTCCGATGTGTCCAACCAGCTCTACGCGAAGTACGCTATCGGTCGTGATGCTGGTTAGTTTCTCTGTCTACACCCGCCCCGTTCGTTATACTGACATGATTGACTGCATAGCCGCCATGAAGGCCGTCGTTGGTGAAGAAGCCCTTTCTTCTGAAGACAAACTTTCTCTGGAATTCCTCGATAAATTCGAGCGCACCTTTATTAGCCAGTCTGCCTACGAGGCTCGTAGTATTTTCGAGTCTCTGGACATCGCCTGGAACATCCTCCGCATTTACCCCAAGGAGCTCCTCAACCGTATCCCCAAGCGTACTCTTGATGAGTTCTACGCCCGCTCCGCTCGCAAGATTGCTAGCAAGGATACCCGCGACAACTCGGGCGAGCAGCAGGATACCACGGCGCAGCAAAGTACCAACCTTATCGATGCGTAATCTTGCTGTAAGCAATCTCTGCACATCCTCTGTCCCATTGCATATACTCTTTCGTGCGGCTGTCTCTGTTGCGACGTTTTTCTTTTTTCTGCCTTTTCACGTTAATAGGTTAGCTACAACACACTTCTTGAAGCCTAAGCAGAGTCTGGGACGTATTGGATTAATCACTCGTAGCTATTAGTTGGCGAGAATATATCACTTGCGTTCCACTGCTAAACTACTTTTGTCGATGCATTGCCGCCTCGGAAGCCAATCCTGCTGACTAAGTCTGTTCTTCACAGCCCTACGGCCAGCTGTACCAAATTTTAGAATGCGAGAAAATATATACCAGATATTAAATTAAATGCCGGAATACGACTGATGCGCCCTAGCATAGGGAAGCGCAAGCTGATCTTCGCCGGATTGCACGGCCTTTGAACTATCTGTGTATACTGAGATTCTATCTCAAAATATATTCCTTGGGTGTAGCATGACATGACATCCACTATACTAATAGTATAGCAGAATCTTTGTTTGAACGTGAAAAGAGGAAATAGATTTAAATTCGCGAGCTGAAATGTTCTAAAATAGTCCGTATTTGGATCCCCATTCCTCAAACCTTCCCCTTCTTCCCATCATGTAGCACACCACGCTCTCTAACTAAAGCCGACATAGCCTCACCCATCTCGCTGCCCAATCTCGCAAACCCATTCACCACACCCTCCCGATCGCCCGCCCGCATCTCCTGGCTCATTTTAAACCTGCCCTGAATCTTCTCAATCCGAATCTCAACCCCAACAATATTCCTCAGCATCAACTCAATATACCTCTCCGGAGCATCCTCCACCTTCCACGGCTGCGGCCGTTCCCCACCAGTATACCCCATAACAGACGTCTCAGTATGCATCGAAAGATCCCGAATCTGCTTCGCGAGAAACTCCCCCGCCTCAGCCGTCTTCGAATCATAGTGAAGGGACAGCTTGCCATAAACCTGCACCGCGACGTAATTCCACGTCGGAACGACTTTCCCCGAGTCGGGCTTAGTTTCGATATAGTATTTAGGGGTCACGTAGTGATCGTGCCTCCCGTTGAAGACCACCAGAACTTCGTCTTCGAGGTCTAGAACGTTAAGCTTGGTCTCTAGGGCCTCGATCATGGCTTTTACTTGCGGGTTTTGCTTGGCGATATGGGCGCGTAGGCGGCCCAGAGGCGCAGAGTCGTTGGTTTCCTCGGGGAAGTCTAGGATGAAGGGGACGTGAGTGCATTGTAGAAAGTCTTGAGAGGATTTGAGTCCTGTGATTAGCATTCCTAGGGGGTTTTCGCGGATGAATTGATGGAGGACAGGGGTGTCTGTCTCCGCATGGACGGATGGGATGAACATTTTGGGCTAGATGAAATAAAGAGAAAGGATAGTTGATGGTGGACTTTGGACGGGTCGGTAAAAGGGTTTATATAGATGATAAATTCACTTGGACGAGACTCAAATGTGAATGTGAGTCACCTTGTGCAGCCACGCTGGCATAGAGGCAACTCTAATGATAGGATGTACCATCGAGAAGAGATACAAAGGGCGTATCCTTCGAAAAATTTGAGTCCGAATCCTGAAATCGGCCAATGGTGGCCAATCTGATTACCATAGAAAATATGACCTCTTATCGTTTTCGCACAACTGTTCAAGTAACTAACTGTGGGTCGCCATCGCTCCAGTAGACTTCATTAAGTATAGTGCCGATCCATACTTGAGAAACGGGTGGATCCGTGGTGGTGGTGGATCCGAGGACATACTATCAAGATTCTCTCTTAAAATGGTTGTCGGGAACGATAACCCAATGAAGAGCTACCATAAAATGTAGTGAACTTTCCCGTGACTATGAAGGTGTCAATGTATTTATATACCAACTTCTATAGTTAAGATAGAATTGAGCAGATTACCGAATACCTACTTACCCTCCTCTCTAGCTATCCATACATAAACGCAACGATGAGTTCCATAACCCCCCTGAAAATCGCCGTCCTCATCAACAGCCCACCAGACAACAGAGACTTCTGGTTAGATGTGCGACAGTCTTGGCAAGAAGCCTTTGCGATAGTTTCTCCGACAGCTGAGGTCGATCTGTACGATCCGGTTGTTGAGCGAAAGTTTCCCAATGCGTTGGAATATAATCTGGTGGTCTTGAGTGGTGGTAAAGCAGACGCATCTTGCTCGGAGCCCTGGGTGTTGGGTGTATTGGATTATGTCCGAAACATAGTGCAGAACTCTCCGAACACCAAGATACTTGGTATCTGCTGGGGGCACCAAGCTGTATCCAGGGCACTTGGTGGGCAAGTGCGAGCTGTTCCGACTGGACCAATTGTAGGTGAGTCGTCTGAATGATGATCGACTGTCTAATCCGGACCGCACAGGCCGCTATTCAAGATATTCATCTCACGGAAGTCGGCAAGAAATTCTTCCCCTTCGCCGCGATCTCCGGATCTTACGTAGGTCCACTCAGCATTCAATCACTTCACTATCTCACTAACCGTCCGCCAGAGAGCACCTGAATTCCATGTCCGCGAGGTTGCAACTCCCGCACCCGGCTTCATCCACCTTGCCGAGAACAATGAGTGCTTCGTTAACGAAGCAAACAGTGTTCTCACATTCCAAGCCCATCCCGAAATCTCCAATAAGTTGGCCAGGAAGATGCTCCTGGAAGAAGACAAAGAGTACAACGGAAATACTTCCGCTGAGCAATTGAAACGGGAGGTTCAGAAACTAGAGCAGTCTACTGATGGCATCAAGCTGCTTGAACGGGTTATTCAGTGGCTGGGGGAATAGATCTTAGACGTTATACACACCATATACGTCTAGTGATAAAGAAATAGAGATGTTTATTGCACTTGAAAAATCAAATGATCTAGACTATCTCTCCCCTCCGTGATCTGATGAGAAAAGTGCTAGTCGATGCATCTCTTCAAATACATGCCTTCTAAAGTTACCATAACGATTTTTGTTAATTAGATGAGTGCATCAAGTTTCGTCCATTTAAACCCAAAAGAAATTTGTATAGAGTATGAAAATAGATGGTGATTGGGCGAACGGACAAACTTGGTTCCGGGGAGGAAGATCAGGTGATTTTGCTTCGATTTTCGAATGTCAAGCCCAAATGACTTTCAACATTCTTGGCTCAACACTGATCTAGACTGGACAGCCCGAAGTGTTATCTTGGTGATTCTAACGGCGAAGTATCTGCTTCGGTTGGGCAGAAGGAGACTAATTTTGACAAATTTACATGGGCTGAGGACTCCACTTGGTTCACCAGATCGAAATGTATAAACCTGCTCCCCCAAGGCCGAAGAAAACCAACATCGTTCGGTCGCGAACAGGCTGCCAAAACTGCCGTGAAAGAAGAACCAAGGTCTGTTTTGGAGTGGAAGTCAAAGGAAAAATATGTAACTGATGGAGTTTCAGTGCGATGAACAAAAACCAGTTTGTGGGACATGTGCTAGACTGGGCAAAATATGTCAGAGCACCCAACCAAACTTCAAGTTCCGGTCCATGAACAAACCTTTGACAACACCTGAGATGTCTCAAGAGTGTATGCCCAGCAGGCAAAGGCTCGAAAGAGAGCAGAGCCTCAAGCAGTCCCACTGTAATGTCCTTTCCGTCGGAAGTATGGACCTTATCAAGTCTTTACAACATTCGGAAAGAGACATATTTTATTCAACAATCTGGGAGGATTACTGTCTTCCAGCCATGCACCCGATGTTTCAAGTTCTTAGCGGACATGTTAATGATCATCCAATACTTAGGGATGCCACTCTAGCCCTGTCTTCCTGTAACTTCAGCCGCCTGCACCCCGAGAAAAAGGACTCGGCGGCCAGCCATATGGGATTTTTCAGTCCAAATCTTGTCCATCAAACGAGAAGCCAGCTGTATTATTCCTCGGCAATCCGAAGATTCACTGCGTTAAGCGAAGCTGACTGTCGAGCAAACACCACAGTGGTATTAACAGTATTAACAGTCTTTGCCTATATCGAGTCCTCGATGGGAAACTTTAGAGGCTTTTATTGCCATGATCAGGGAATGTCCAGCTTACTTTTAAGCCTTAATACGAGTTCGAAAGATCAGACTCTAAAAGGGCTGCTTGAAGCGTGGATCCAAATTCGGATCGTGATCTGGTGGGCTCGCGCTCACTTTTGCTCGCTGGAAGTACAGCAGCATTTGCCCTCGGTCCTTTTACCTGGTGTATTTGAAGAGGGGTTAATTTCACTCCCAGGGCGAAGGGCCAATGTTCTAAGTATTATGTGCGAGTCGCATCGTCTGAACTTTCGAGCGCTCATGGGGTTTTGGTATTACCAGCAAAATGAGCATCTTTGGGAGGAAGGCGAAGAATTCCAAACAACCTCTCTTCTGCTTGCCGGTCAAGCCGAGAGGTTAGACAGGTGGCTCGCGCAGCTTCATCCCTCCGATCTACCTATAGAAGACGAGGCATTGCAAGATATTTACAAAACAGATCTTTGGCGTGCACCTATCTATTTTCAATCACATGAAGCGGCACTGAACTTTGCATACTACGTAGTTGGACGGATTATGCAATGTACAGGGCTCTTGGAAGGTTTGCGCACAAGGGACCCATCGTACGTTGCACAAGCATGCCACAAACAAGAGAAATGGGCCTGGTTATTACTTCGAATCGTGAAGGGAGCCAACATGCAGAGCTCGCTCATGATGAACAACTATACTATCGGGTTCTCCGGCCTGCTCCTAACCGCACTTCTTCGATGCCAAAGTCAATCTCTTGGGATCGAAATCCAAGGTTGGCTGCAGAGCCTTGTGGATATGAAACCAACGGAAGAGGGAGCCTTCCCCTTATATCAAACCCTGGGTGTTGTTAAAGCCATCAACCGACAAAAGATGATGCACCGTGACGTATTTGGCGTGACGCTACCAGTAGACGATGAGGGAGGTACCCCAAAATTCACTGCCTACAATAGTCAGCCAATTTCTACCCTATTGCTTCATGGGATGTGTCGGACCTCGGGGGATCTCTTCACTGAATGTGTCCTGGCCGACATATGAGGCATACGATTTCTTTTCTTACAAACGGGGATATATATCCCCTAAGAATTGGTTCCAGAACTACGAGATATCTGCTAATAATGGCTGAGTGTGGTTAGGTTCGGAAGGGAATAGTCAAGGCCTGTAGGAGTACCCGCCAGCGTGCCCGTCTTTCCTTGCTATGTACCCTAGCATGGCACGAGGCTCAGCCTCATCAATTGCAACAGCATCACCATAAAGCTGGTTGTCTAGAGTCGTTGGCAGAAACCCGAATCCGATACCTTCCGGTTTATCATCCATCGGAGTTGACCCCTAGACACGGTATATATCTCGAGTATCGCGCGTTGCCATCGGGGTCCTAGTTTAAGGCTAACCTGTGACACTAGAGCTTTTAATAAATATAAATCATAATAGTACAATATGAATGATACTAAGTATTAAAACTTCTAGCCTAGGATTCCGAATAGATAGGCGACTATAATAAGAATCTATACAGCAGTTCCCTAAAGTGTCAAGGTGTATGTATGTATATTCTATTAGCCCGGAAAAAGATCCGCAACCCAAATCGCCAAGACACAACAAAACCCGTTCAACGACTTCGGACAGGATCAGCCGCTTTCTCTTCCCTCCGTTCGCTCACACCGGAAATTAGCTATTGTGAGCGAGCTTCGATTTACCTTATATATCTACAAAATGTCGCCTGCGTCTCCCATCCAAGCTCCCCCGCATATACAGCAGCTCCTTTCGCAACTGCACCAAACCTCCCTGGAACAAGAAGCCGCTATTTCGAAAAAGGGGAAAGTTTTCTCTTCGGATATCCTGGGCGACCTCGAAGATAAGCAGTCAACCAGTAATCCGAACGATGAGTTCGATCGCCTCATGCTAGATAAGTTCATCGCTTTAGACGAAGACAAATGCCACTTCACATATCAATTGATCAATGCCATGGGCGCGACCAATATAGTCGAGGCGGGGACCAGTTTCGGTGTCAGCACGATCTACCTCGCTCTTGCTGTCGCCAGAACGAAAGCCGCCACGGGAAAATCCGGAATCGTGATCGCGACAGAAAAGGAAAAGGAAAAGGCGGCTATTGCCCGAAAATACTGGGCGCAATGTGGTCCGGCAGTTGAGCAAGAGATTGACTTGAGGGAGGGTGATCTGCTCGAGACTTTGAAGGATGGGCTGCCACAAGTTGATCTTCTTCTTCTTGACAGTAAGTAAATCCTTACCTTCAAAAGGGCTTATTGTATTTAAGTAGAATTACTATAGTCTGGTCGGCACTAGCTCTCCCGACACTTGTCACTGTCTTACCCCATCTTCGACCGGGTGCTGTTGTCCTTACTGATAACACAATCTCGGGAGCCGAGGGCTACGCAGACCTGCTGACCTTTTTGCGAGCACCCGAGAACGGGTTCCAGAATATGACCCTGCCTTTTACCAACGGGTTTGAGATGAGTGTTTACAGACCAGAGCCGAAGTAGATACTCGGTGACGAATTTGAGGTGAATGTTGCCGTGAGCCTGAGGGTTATTTTAGAGAGGGACTTTATGTGTGATGTTAGTCTCTTATGTCTCCACTTCGGAGGAATTTCGCTGTCGGAAAGACCTCCTCGTCATAAGCTAGAATCCCTCCGCATTCAAACCCAGTTCTCACCCCGAGCGCCTCGGGAAAAAAGAATATGGAATCGTGAATACTTCTAAAGACCACACTACAATCGCCACACCCAACCCCGCGTTCCTCCCATCCGTTCCATGATGGCCTCCATCCGAGCCCAAGAAAAAGTCACAGTCGAACTTTTACAATCAACGCTCTCACAAAGATCGCGATGTATAGATAATTTCCCGGCTCCAGATTTCCAGCCAGGGAGCGAACCAAAGCACCAGCAACGGGTGTTCCAAGGAACCCAGCCGTCCCCTGCAGAAAATACATAATCCCAGTTATCCGCGGCATGTTCTCCATTCCGAAAAATTCATACAATGATCAGCACAAGACCAAATACATGGAACGAAGGATGCACCAGGATCAAGTTGATATTTATCACCCCCCTGAGGCTGATAGGAGGAGACCGATACGGTCTGACGCGAATGGTGGACTTCATCGGGATGCAGTGTGAAATGTTCCGAGACGGTGGTTTGCAGTACCCTACATAAAAGCCACTTATCCAGCGAGTGCAAGCTTGTATGAATTCGAGTTGTGCTTGTGGGGAAGTGGGGGGATGGGGGGCAATAATATACATCGCGTGGTGGCCGAACAATCCCACAACAAACTGAGTTGTATAATGTTAGCAAATGCCCCGGACAACGGTTATATTTCACTATAAAATCATGTTCTCAACATCACTGTCTTATGCCTATCGCCCTGCCCATTCACTTTGTACGATTTGTTACATCGAGCTGCCCCGGGCAAGGCGGTTTAGAGCAGGTTCGTAGCCAATAATTCATTTTATTCCCCTATTAATAGTTACCAATTAAGTGCATCCAGCTATTGCCCACCCACTGGTATTAACGTGACCCGAGTCAGCTCCATACCACTCAAATACCCCTCCTTCCAAGTTCTAGATGATGAGGAGACTGAGAGATGGGGAGTTGGCCTTGTTCTTTCCCACAGGAAAACAGACCTTTATTTTATACACGATCTATATTGGCATCATCTTTGGGACCATTTCGGTCCTGGAGAATTTCACCTTGGCTCTCTCTATGGAGCACTGGAGCGTTTGCCGACAGTACAACGTTATGAGTATATTTATTTTGGAGAAAAATCATGCGGACCGAATTTGGAGCCTTGGGGGCTACCCGAAGCTCGAAAAATACACAGTGCCGAATGGTCAGTTTAACCTTCCAAATATTGAAGAGCTTATGCGGTTTGCAAGAAGACCCTCAAAAGCCGCTAGACACTGCCACAACGGGCATAACTTACTCGTCTCACCATACAACCGATTGCTTCCAACGACTTCCTTTTGAGATTATCGAAGATATTGCCACCCTTCTGTCTACCCGGATTTTTTGAGTCTCCGCAGTGTCACGGGCTGTGACACCCCTATTTGTAAGTTGGAGGATCTGGAGAACGCGATTCAACATTAACACAGAGAGGAGATTTCTTCTTCCTGTTGTGAGACGATTCACCAAGCCAGGGCATCAATTGGAGATCAACTGGAGCCTCCTTTACCACAGTTCCTGCAAGCTTAACTGTAGTGGCTGGTTTTCCCTGTAGATTTGGATCTGGGAGGACCTCCAATGGCTGTGAGATACATCATTGGCTATTTACTCTGGGAGAAATCGTGCACTAAACTTCCGCGGCAATGCCTTTACCATTACTATAACACCAGCGATCGGAATACACACATAGAATCCGTTGAGATAACGCCTTACTTGCGAAAGGTAGCGATATCTGCGCATCAAGGCACAGGGGAGGTATCTATCACCGGGATGGAGATTATATTCCACGATCAACTAAGTATCATGCTTGGCTACGCGACCCCTGGAGTAAAGGAGACTACGAAGCAAATGTATGACCAGGATGAGCCTTTGGCCGTATCCCGGAATCAGTCATACAGCGGACGTTGTTGGCTGTTGGCTTACGGGCATTGCCTTTAGCCATAATACAAACGGTGTCCTCAGTGTTTGTATATTACAGGAGTACGAAGTGTGGAAGGAGCTTGATGATGATGAGCTCAAGCGATGGGGAATTAATTTTTATACTTGCCCATGCTGAATTTAGACGACATCCCGAAGGAGGATGTCTGGTTTACCACTATCGAGATTGTCTAAGGTAATGGTGTAGTAAATTGGATGTAGCTTCTCTATTTAAGCGCCAGTTGGCCCAGCTAGGAGTCAATACTGACAAGCAACTTCTTTTTAAGATCAAATAGACAAAAATGGACTCAGCGGATGCGGATATCCAGGAGTAACACGTTTGATGCTCTATTACTTTGCCTAATCCTTGTTCAGATAAGATTATCTTTACCCTCTACGGCTTTGCGAGTATATCATATAGAAATATGACTTTAGATCTAACAAGGATTTTACCAGGAAACTCAATATTGTGTCTCGTAATCAACATAATGACCCCCAGTTATTGTATTGATCGGGATATATTGTCAAAAGACTTAAAAAACACTAGATCGATACAACTGTGTTTCCCACTAAATGAGTAACAAATTTAAAGTAGTGAATTGTATTCTTGTACAGCAAGTAGCGTTATGGCATTTGGCACTCTAGGTTATATCTCTCGCTTTCCCCCTGAGCTTTCTCCATCTTCCTCCTGCCTATCAAGTGCTATTCAAGTCTGATAATTCCGTAAATAACTTCCAGACGCTAATCTATTTTGGGTGATAGTAAGCAAGTACCTGACATGCTAGCCCTTTCCGGTTAGGAATATACGATGGTCAATAGAGACATCCATAGCCCCATAGGGTCTGGTTACTACACAGTAACTATATTATTGTGTGAGATGCTTTTTATATAGATATCGTTAAGTTGTCAATACTATGCTGCCTAACAGTAAGTGGCCCCTATTCATTAAACCAGCGTTTGCATCATGGGGGCGGTGCAGACTGTCATCGAAGTATAAATATGGGCAGTCTGACTATGCGTTACTCAACAAGTACCACGCACGATCATTTCCTCTGAACAATGACAGTGATTATTCTTGCTCTGCTCCTTTGGAGCACTGTGGCCATTGCGCAATCTTACTTCCCTCCTCAACCTAAAGAACTCAAGACGCTTTCATCTTCGCATGTTCGCGGTGCGTCTCTATCGTATAAAAGAGTACGTACACACACCATGCTGAACTTGGGATTAAGGCATTACTAAACCAATCAGACACCTATCTGTTCAACCCCTGACCTACACACCTACAGCGGTTATGTCCGGCTTCCTCCCCAACCAGATGATGCACAACCTCACCTAAGCAATCTTTTCTTCTACTATGCCAAATCCAAGGAAAATAGAACGACCCCGTTGACAATATTTCTTGGCGGTGGCCCTGGCGCAAGCTCTGTGTCCTCCATGATGGCTGAAACAGGGCCTTGTTCCGTAAACCCGGATTCAAATAGCACATTCCCAAATCCCTGGTCTTGGACGCGCGAGTCCGACATCCTATTCATTGATCAGCCAGTTCAAACTGGGTTCTCGTACGATGTGCTCACAAATGCGACTATTGACTACACAACGAGCACAATCACCCCAGTGGAGTTTGGCAAAGGAGACTTCGTTGTGAATCAAACATTTGGCGTTGGTGTATTCGGATCCCAAGACTACAATGGAACAGTAAACTCTACAACGAATGGGGCCAGAGCGCTGTGGGGTTTTATGCAGGTTTGGCTGAATGAGTTAGTCTTCTTATTTCTCCTTCTCTCTATAGCTCCCTCCTCTATCTATTCCTAATCCCTTGTCGGCCATGATTCCATCATCGCCTCCCATCTTCTGTCTAACATCGGACAGATTCCCAGAATACAACTCCCCAGAAAAATCAATCCACATCTGGACCGAATCCGTAAGTCCCCCATACCAACCCGTAAATCGAAGTTTAAACCCGAAATAACCAATATTCCAGTTCGGCGGCCGCTATGGCCCCTCCTACGCATCCTACATCCTCGACCAAAACGCAAAGATCCGCACCAACAAAACCACCCACATCACCTCCCCATCCCAAATCAACATCAAAACCCTAACTATTCACAACGGCTGCACCGACATCATCACCCAGGGTACCTTCTACCCTGAGTTCGCCTACAAAAATACTTACGGCGTCCAAGCAATCACGAAGGAGCAATACGAGGACGCGAAATGGAACCTGACAAAGCCAGGCGGGTGCATGGATATGGCTAGACAATGTCAGAACTTGGAGCGGAAACTGGACCCAGATAACTTTGGGAACAATGCCGAGGTTAATGCTCTGTGCTTTGCCGCGGATGAATACTGCTATGCGAATGTTTTGGCTGTTTATGCGGCTTCTGGAGTGAGTTTTTGCTTCTGTTCCTTGATTGGTTTGGTCACGGGTGAGCATGGATTTACTGTTTCAGCGCGATATTCATGATTTGGCTGAGGCGACCACTACGACTATGCCAGAGGCGTATTCGGACGGGTTTTTGAATCGAAGGTTGGTGAAGGAGGCTCTGGGTGTTCCCGTGGACTTTACAACTAATTCGAATGTGGTTTATAATGGTGAGGGATATTCTATTACTGGGTTGGTTAGCGAAGATAGGTGCTGACTGGTATAGCGTTTTGGAGTACTGGAAACGCGCTCATCACTAGGGGCCATGCGATGGATCATTTCGCGTCGATTATGGAACGAGATGTGAAAGTAAATCTGATATATGGGGATCGGGACTACCTTTGCAATTGTATGCTGTTCATTTTGACTATGTGACATATTAGCTAACGGCGCGATGCAGGGATGGGAGGCGAAAACATCAGTTTATCCATCAACCACAGCCAGTCATTAGGATTCCGCTCAAGCGGATATGCGAATCTCATCACAAATGATACATACGTTGGAGGTGTCGTTCGTCAACATGGGAATCTTTCCTTCATGAGGGTGTTCCAGGCAGGCCATGCCGGTAAGTTGGCTACATAAATATCTCCGTCCTTTCCACCGTTACTAACCCTCACAGCTCCCGCCTTCCAACCGGAGACCATGTTTCGTGTCTTCTCCCGGATCATGAACTCAAAGGATATTGCAACGGGGAATGTGTCTCTATCCGGAGAGCATGCGGGGAAATACCGCACCAAAGGGCCGCACTCGAGCTTCCATATCAAGGATAAGCTTCCTGCACCACCGGCTCCAATTTGTTATACTCTGGACATGCCGACTACCTGCACAGAAGAACAGAAGGCTGCTCTGGTTAATGGAACAGCTATTGTGGAGGATTTCGTGGTGCGGTGGCCGTCATCTTAGATGGATTACTCTTTGGTGGAGGGCTGTTATTAAGGTCTAGTTTACTCAAAGTAGATAGAATATAAGTAGGTAATTCTACCATGCAAAAGATTACCAGCAGCTACCTTCTGCCTGATTCTGCTGCTGCTGCTTTAAGAGTGAGCAGGGCTAGTCAGGTGACTCGCTCACTCCTATTTCTGATAGGAGCTACCGCATTTCATTATTATCCACAGGACAACTCTTAGATGCTCCTCTTTTGCAGAGTGTAATAGCCCAAGTAAGGGAAGGAATTATAGAAACTAGAGAAGAATAGGAAAAGCAGGCTTTAGGGGGTGATTATGGTGGTGAATTGTCGTGCATACTTGCTGGAGGACTCAAAAGTCGAAATAGTCTACCACATCTTCTTTCCGGGCGTTTGTAAGGTTCGTTTTTGATATGAATCTATACGAGACACGTGACCGCTCTAGTGGCTTGGCCGGATCACCAACTCTCCAGCCCCTGAAGGCTTTACCCATTAGATGAAGAGATGAAGAAGCGCTCAAGATAGTTGATATAGTCGTCCATAGAATTGAGTACCTATCGGAATGGCATCCGGTCCTCAGTAGGCTACGTACGTGTAGCTGATACAGTCTCATCCTGCCCATCTTTCCCCTGAGATCACAACAGTTTTTATCCCTTGCTTTTCCTGTTCACTTTAATAAAAGGCAGGGGCGATTCCACAGGCAATTTTCTATGATATATGGCACGACATTCTGTATCCCTGTCTGCTCCATAGATGCATCATACCACTCGGCCAATATCTCGGCAGTTTGCGAAGTTTCCGGGTGTCTAACACCCAAGATCCGCATCTGTAGGGTTCGACACTCCACTATCAAATTAACTGTGCTCATTTTCACCTTAATCCTTTCAAATAAGTGCAATAGTGCCCATGCTCGCTAAAGTAGTCGGGTGTTCATGTCCTAAAACATTTTTGAGCGATTCCATAGAATCAATTGCAACCTGTTCTGCTTTGCTAAGTCGCCCTTGGTTCCTGTAAGTTGAGGTATGGTTACCTGTAGTGATCAAAATATGGGGTTGTCTTTCCCCCAACACTTTTCTGCGGTTTCCTAACTCTCCTTTGAGCACCGTTTCTGCTTTTTCGAACGGCTGGCGATCAACGCAGGTCCCACCTAAGCCATTCATGAGCTCCAAATTAAGGAGAATGCTGGAGACCAAGGCTTTTTTTGCACACATTAACAACGGGTACCCTAGTTTGTTCTGCTTCACGAAATCAACGCTAGCAGCTATGGGCCGATGCCAAATGCCCTGTACTCATCAGGGTGTCCGGGTAATCTGTCCCAAGAACATCGATGTGGATTTGCGTCAACTTTACGAGGATATCTCGAGCCTTCTCCCATTGGCCTTAATGCATATATATCACTGCCAGGTTGCCTGCACTGACCAATGTGTCAGTATGATCATCCCCCAGTACACGTCGTCGGATCCCCATAATATTCAATCCAATTCTTCGAGCGTCTCGCATTCCTAGCTTCTCTCACTTGTGCGAACACTCCTCCAGTCTCTTGCCATTGGCCTTGCTTATGATAGGGAGTTCCAGACATTAAATCACTTTGTAATACTTGTTCAGAGTTTGAATCAGACAATCTCACTCTTGCTTGGATAACTTTGACCAAGATCAGCTTTGAATCAGCATAGTTTCCTATCTCTAACGTCTAAGATGCCACTTTGTCTAACAATGAAGCCCAGACTCTAAGTATGCCCCTGTTCTGGGGTCGTTATGATAAGAATAGTATTGTATGCGAGAAGTCTAAGTGGCGTGTTTTCCAGTCTTCGTATAACTCTTCTGGGAAGTTTCCATAGAGGTGTTGGATGGCCTTTCCCCTCCGTTTTAGAAATTGCCTCAGTCCTTCAAGCCATCTTTTCGTGGTCTCTTAGTGTCCCACGTACATACCAGTCTACCATGGAAGAAAACCAGCAGTAACTATGATCGGCCAGAACTACTGATTCGCATTGTATGGTATCTGAAAAGGCTATTTAAATTACTAAACCGAGCTGAATGTGGCACATTCTTCCCCTTGTATATTGACCACCGCGCTGGGGATACGGACGCCAAAGTTCCCATAGAACTCCTTGAGGTTGAAGGAGCCTATCTTCAAGTTACTGCAATATAAGCTGTTCATCATAAGCGAATTTTGCAAGGCGGGATATCGGAATTTCTATGTTTCATATAGTTGGAAGCCAGAACATTTTGCGTGTTTCTAGTAGCAAGGATGGGGAAATATTTCCTCGAGGCTTATGTATTTAGAACATTTTGGCTTGAAGCCCTTTAACTAGCCTTCTACTGCAGTCTCAAAGCTGTCGTGTGTCAGCATCCCTGTCAGAGAACGTTTTCGGCTACTCTAGCTTGTAAGGCATTCCAGAACGAACGGCATAATAGAAGCAAGTTGGCACGAATACTAGAACCAACCCAGCAAAGTGAAGCTCTGTGAGAGCAGAAAATGACTAACAAGCTTGAACATTTTTAAGGAAGTAACAAAACTGGAGTGAAATCTCACTATAAATCCCTCGAAGACCCTGCTTTTAACATACCTAAGGGCCGAGACTAGATCATATGGTCAGAGGGACCCGATGAATGATCGCGAAGTTCTAAATCAAAGCCAATTGAATCTAACTCTTCACAGAATAGGGGTAGTACGAGAACTCCGGGTTGCTTTTCTTCTTCAGTCTCCTTTTTAGGTCTCGGCTGGCAAGCGTGGTAGGAAGGGAGGGTCTTGCTAGTATTTGTCACTGCGACGTTATAATGCTGACCTCGTTTCTCATCAGAAACATAGGTTGTAAACCAATAAACGCATTCCAATGCCCTCACTACGTATACTAAACCTCTACATATCATTCAATTTCCACAACCGCCCCATCCTCATCGTCTAAAACCGCAGTCACATTCTTGACCCTCCAACCGACAGATTTCTGCTCTATAGCCGCCGCCTCCTCGAGCTCCATTACCCTCCTCGCCGTTTGAGCTGTAGCCCTCGAATCCCAAAGCATCTCCCTCCGCTCACAACTCTCCAACAACCAAATCGCCCTCCGCCGAAGCACCGAATCCCGACACCGCACACCAACAACATACAACGGCGACACAACGCCCAGCGAAAACGAAAACATCCGTTTCCTGGGACACTGACTGTAAAGAAGTAAGCCACCACCAACCGACAAAACACTCAGGAAGACCAAAAAACAAACCTCATCCGACCCAAATACTTCTCCGCAAGAACAACAATCGTCTCAAACTCACTCAAAAAACGATCCCACACATTCTCGGAATCTTGCTCCCGCGTCACGACATCATACATCCTGCCCACCGTATACCAAATCCGCATGAGATCGTGATCGTCCTCGTACATATAGTTTATCTCGGCCTCCGTCTCACGGTGCGGGGATAGCATTATCTGCGTGAAAAGCTTGTACCATCCCTTCAGGTACTGGGTCGTTTGGCTTCTCTCCACGGGCCGATTGGGAACCGGAACGGGGTGATTCTGGATGGCTAGCGCCATATCTAGTCTTTCGTGGAAGATATAGTTCAGGACTCCATCTAGAGAATGATGGACATCTTTTTGGTTGGAGTTGAGGTGGATCTGGGCGAGGACTGAGGAGGGTCGGGCGTCGCCTTGCTTGAGGGTTCGGGAGAGAGAAGTGCCCAGAAGACCGACAAGCTGGTTGTCTAGTCTCGTGAAGAGAAATTTCATGGTTTGTTGGGAGACGACGGTCCAGGGCAATTGGATTTGGCTTTGTTGGAGGATTTCCAGACCAGATTTGATGTGGATAACTGCTGCGCGTCGACAGCCGCGGGTTGATTCGAAGCATGCGAACAGGAGACAGCAGATTAGGGTGATATCGCTGGTGCGGGTTTGTAGGTCTAATCTGAGGATTCGGATAGCCTTGCCGTACTGGCGCATGGCGAATTGGCCGAAGGGGGTTTGGAGGTGGGGGTCGTCGCCATATTCGTAGAGTTGTTGGAGGGCGCTGAAGGAGATGATGGCGCGGGCGAGCGCTTCTTCGGTATGTGAGGCTCGTAGGACGGGGTGCGAGAAGTCGAGGGGGAAGCGATATCTCGTCTGGTGGAGGAAGAAATTGAACGATTGTCGTTCATTGTCGGATGTAAAGAATGAGATAGAGCCCGGGGCGCGGTAGAGCACGACGCGCAGTTTGGGGGTGGATTTTGGGGTGGTCGCGTAGGCGCATTGACGACCTGTCGATTGGCACTTAAAACATATGGGCTTGGTTTCATCGCATTTAATTCTTCGTTTTCTACGTACTGTTAATTCTATTTATTATGATAGAGGAGCGATAGATGTTACATACTTGCAGACGATACATCCGGTCCGCACCTTGCTCCCGCAGATCCGGGTCTGTTTGAAGGATCTCTCCATGAGTTTCTAGGATGAAGATAAACGGGTTGCTAAAAGGACAGTTAGACTGGGATTACGCATGTGGAGAGAAAACTAGCTAGTCTCTTAGAAGTATAGTGAGATACGCTCGAAGTTGCTCCAAATCCTCAAATTAGGGCTTGTATGTTTATCCCACCCCTCCACCAATCGGAACAGAGCTCTCATTCCGCTTACCTTATCTTCACTGCACTACCTCAGGCTACGTTTCAAGGTCGCTCCCTCGGTTTTTACTCACTTTCTTTCTTTACCCAAAGGGTTTAAGCACATATGGATCCGTGAAAGGCGATCAATTTCGTGAAAGAAAAGATGACATATATATGTTAGGCTCAATTAAAAGATACCCCAAGGCCCCATCCGCGTTCCATTACTATCTATTAGGTCCGTAAAAGTATATCCTAGGATTCTCAACTAATGATCCATTCCGTTTTAAACTATTGAATGCATTTTCATTTTATTTTACCATTATCAGTAACTCTTCATCTGTTTTACCGCCAAACCCATTACTCTCTATGCAAGATTTGTGTGCAAACTTGGTGGGTAATTCTTGAGACTGTCCGGGAATATGAGAAGGATTGTGTTGTTCTCCACCGTGTCCTCGGGATGCATCCTCAGATACGGACTGGAGCAAAGCTGCTTCCGAAAACCCACTGCAGAGTATTCCCTCTTCCTTGGCAAGTCGTCGGGCAAGTCGGAAAGCATCCCGATCACTAATTTTGATCCAAGCGCCCGATGCCGTTTGGTCGAAATCCCCGGGCACGAAGTCATACCCAATACACTCCAATTTGTACTCGCTCTTTTCTTCGTTCAATTCCTTTTAAGTGTGCGATGATAGATCCATCAGGATTCACGCCAACAGGGAAGACGTTTCGACCGTTTTCCTTCAGTCCCCTTGCCGCTCCGGCAACAGTTCCTCTCGTTCCAGCTCCTGTTGTCACAATGTTTACCCTCCCTCCTGTTCGATACCAGATTTTCTCTGCCGTTCCGTGCCCATGAGCGCGCGGGTTCTCAGGATTATTGTATTGGTCTAGAATCCATGAATTCGGCGTCTCTTCTTTGAACCGTTTGGCAACATAAGCAATAGGACCGGGAGATTCAATCCAGTCACCAACGGGCATTCTCACACCGGTGGTGCCCAGGGCTCGTAGAAACTGTTGTTTCTCAAGCAGCATCTTCTCTGACAGGACAATAATGCATTTACAGCCCTTGATCGCGGTCATCAGCGCTATTGCTATGCCCCTGTATCAGTATTAGGCAGTTGATCTTTCGAATGGGGTGCTGGGCAGCATACGTATTCTCGTGAGATGCTTCGATAAGAGTATCTCCCGGCTTGGACAATCCATCTAGCTCAGCCTGCTCTACCATGCGCTTCGCAATACGGCCCTTGACGGATCCGACAGGGTCTAAAACCTCAAATTTTGCTCTTATTTGCGCTTTTATACCGACAGATCTTGGGGGACGGTTCAATCGGACAAGGGGCGTACCGCCAATGTGGTCTGCTGCGGAGTCCTAAGTATCGTGTCATTGTGTCGGGACGTAATTTGACATGCAGGTTACCCCCCGAGCAAGGAGTTATTATAAGCAGTTGTAATAAGCGCTTTACATTACGTTAAGCCTTTCAAGGAGCTAGTTCTATGTCGAAACTGGTAGACAGTGAAGACCAAGTTCATTGGAGCGCCCTAATTACATATTACCTGATTAGGTAAACCTTCGTCTCTCGGATCCTAAACGCTAAAAATTCTTTCAACACTATACTGATGATGGAAATACGAAAGGTGCAAGACAATTTCAGTTCCCGTCATGATAGGCGAGCTGCATATTTCATAGGCATCATTCTAGTACTGAGAGAAGAGGGAGGCCGATTCCTGCGAAAGCTGTAACTTTAAGTCTGCACGGTCATATAGAACCGGAGGGAGAACAAGTATGTTAAGTATATTTAGTAGAAGAGCTTAACTGAATTCACATTTTTCGTTGACCTTATCCCTTGCCATATTCACGTCGTAGTGTAGGCTGGTCGTATACGTGTCTTCTCTGCTAAGGAGAGATCCTATCAAGGATGTACATAGCTCTGCGCGGAAAATGAGATCGTGTAATTCAAGGATTTAAGTTGTGCATGGACATTTCATATTACAGTAGACAACAGTTTAATTTCTTAGTTATCCGCGTCTTATCCACGCGCCCTTCGTAGGAAATTACGCCGCTTTCTCACCATTCGCCGCGCTCTAGAAGTACCCCTTAAGAGTATGATCACCTTCTCCCCTGTAAAGCTTTGGATAGTCGTGCCATATTTAAAGATTTAAAGCCATTGGGTACGGAGGAAGCGAACGTAGGTTAAATATCTAGGGCAATGTCCGGTTTTGGAACTCCAGCTGTGCGATCTGGCTTGCGCCTCTGACCACACCCCGTCCAGCACAATACCAGTCCGCAGTATGAGTTGCGCCATATTCAAGGAGCACCTTGTCACATTCTCCATCTCCATTCTGAATAACATCATTTAACGCCGTTCATTCATAACAGCCACTTTGGTAACATTTGCCCCAGAGTCTAGTAATGTCCGTGCAGTATCAGCATATCCGTACCGACAGGCCAAGTGTAACGGTGTCCACTCCCAAGACGGCGTCCACATCTGCACCAGCATCCATGATACTGTATACCCTGTTCAGATTCCTATGCCGGGCTGCAGCTTGTAAGACAGTCTCGCCATTTCTCTCGCATTGATCGACGGGCATGTGGGCGTTCAATGACCTTGGCAGTATGAGGCGCAACCGCTTCCCTATATAGGTGAAAGCGGTTGCCCAGGCAAATTTCAGAGACGAGGTGCTCGTCTGTATAGGGGAGCGGAAACCGCGAGAGCTTGCTGTTCCTGAGCTGAAGAGACAGGATATCTGATTAACTGCAGAGCTAAGAGGTTTGCCAGCTTTAGCTTCGCAAATTGTCGCAGCAGGGACAGACCTGAGCCAGGTGATGCGGAATATCAACGGGGAGGCCTGCAAGAGCGACCATGTTTGAGAACTTGTGTGATGAAATAAGGAGAATCATTCAAAGCATGGAGTGCTCTATGTAGTGATCGGTGGTTTCCGTGGAGAACTGTTGTATCTGCGCCTTAGGGATTTCCCTTTTTGGATGGCCAAGACTTATAGACCAATTTGTGCGACTCGGTATTTGTACAGCCGGGGTTTGGGGGATTGGTGAGATCTCGGATAGGTCCTGTACTAATTTTAGTATCCTAAAATGATATCCTGATCCTGATTCCCGGATTCGGTACTGATCGATTATCAGTAGGTAAGCAGCTGATATGAGTGCTGAGCGGTAATTTGGTAAATACCACCAGACTTCCTATAGCAAAGATCATCGTAAGATATCACTACTGCAGACAGGCCTTTTCAGACGTGGATATCACATTAAATAAGGAAAATAATCCCTAGCAATAAGGGCTGAACATGGCCGCATTCAAGCGTCTAGACCCAAGACAAATGGTGAAATACTCAATCCACCGGTCCATTACCTTTGGAAACCTCGGTCCTCAACACTCGTATGAAACTCCCTCTGCACAGCGATAGCATTACGCGGCATAGGCCTCATCTCGAACGCGTCCGGCTGGGGCTTCATATCGGGGCTATTACTCTGTACATGGGTATGTGTCTCGCTCGAATCCTGCTCATTTGGCATTCGAATCCACCGCTCGCTATCTGTGCTGCGTCGACGTTGACGGCCATGCGATTTGGAGCCGTAGGCTTTGGGATCGTAGCCATATTGTAGGTTGGAGGTCTTGGTTTTCTGTCCGGAGACACTACTGCTGATGTTTTGGGCAGCTTTTTTGAACAATCGGTAGATGATCGGGAGGTTGGCGCAGAGAACTCCACCGAGGGATTCGAAGGCGGATAGAATACCTAGTGGGACACCTTCCCCTTCAGGGTATTAGATTAAGGTAATGAGCTGCGATGGACACTGCATGGAACTTACAAGTTATGTCTGCGGAGCCTTGCGCGACAACGTAGGCCAGACGGGCGGCGCTGATGCCGCAGGTGCTATGAAATTTATCGGTTACTGATGTGATTCCTTGATGTGGGCGTTGACTCACATGAATCCAATGGAGAATATGAAGACGAGAGCAATTTTCTTCCTTAGAGTCGTTCGTACACTCAAGATCACTGGAATGGGAAGGGCGAAGAGGACGAGGTCAGTGACCATATTGGAGCTATTCACAAAGTAGGTGAGTGCCGTGGAGTTCAAGCATTTGCCCTTGACAGTGAGGTCCCAGAATGCATGCAGTGGACGGCATAGGGCACCCATAGTTGCCTCGATAGCGGCGATCCAGACGAGGACGAAGACTGAACATCCTATAACGGTCTTCCTGAACCAAGGTATAGGAAAGATACGGTAATACAGGACGAGGATGCTAAGTTTTGTGGCTGCAAGGAAGATATTGTAAAGGTGGCTAGCGATGTACTCTCCCTGTGTCTACTGTTAGCGGATGGTGGCGGAGCTCATTCACACGACAGACCTTGAGGAATATTTCCAAGTCTTTAAGATCAACAAACTTAGCATGACGACCAAATCCATGTCCCACACCTGTTTCAGTCAGCACATTAAAAGAGCTGGTAGGATAGCTCGAGCCCTTCATACCACAGACCAGAATTGTCACGGAGTATGCCATTTCCAAAGCCTGATAAAGGATCAGCATCCATTGATATATGTATGGATCCAATTTATGTCTGGGGAGGAACGGACGCTTGCCAGGGTGATCAAGTAGTCATCTAGATGCAGGCCGTCTTTTGTTAGTTTGACCCCGAGTCGTAGTGCCGTGCTCGCAACCAAGATGACGGTAGGAACTGTGTATCCCACAATCACCAAAGTCTCTTTCGACGGGGTTCCGTCCCAACTCGCCATACTGGCCTATATTCCCCGGCAAGCACACGGGTTTGCTCCGATATATTGCAGCGCGGCCCCAGCGACAACAGCATGAGAATAGCTTGGACGGACGACTGGCGCTTGTCAAGGAGGGAAAAGAGAAAAGGGGCTCCCTGGGGACTTTAACGGATCATATTTGTTTCTAGTGCTATGAAATCGAGTCCCCGTCGTCAGTCGCATCGTATCGCTTCAGGGGTCAAAATCCTTCAAATCAGGCCAGAAGCCCGTCTAATGTTCTTCTGACTGCTTCCTAGTTTCCTGCATAACTTTATTAGATTCACTCAGAAGGCGGGCCTTTAGGCCTAGACTAATAGTATGCCATGAGGACGACAGGGATCACTGGGAGCGGCATTGTCGTAACGTGAAATACCAGCTCTTGTACGAAATGACAATTTAGGACTACGGAGAAGTCATTTCGGACACGGGCTTGGTCGGGATAGCTGAGACAAGCTTGTGGACGGACCCTAACTATCCATCTAGTGTACGCCATAGCGGCAAATGTGGACCAATGCCCAGATTGACGATCATCCAGAAAGTGAAACCATAGGCTCACAATCAAAAATACGAGTGGCAATGTACCATCTGACTTCTACCGCACCCTCCACTTGCCTCAGTTCCCCCGTTCCCTCAATATTACGCCAGACGCCAAGAGCCCTCATAGAGATCCTGCATTTTACCTTCGTCCCGCTTCCTCCGCACCAGTATTTGGACTGAGCCGTCCCGGCTCTAGGTTTTTTGAGGGATTGAAGCTTGAGCATTATTCGCATTGAGCAAGGACGACATGTTCATGACCTTGTCCATAAGGCCAGAGCTGGCATCCCCACGCTCTGACTCGTCGGATCCATCCTCTCTGAAAGCGCTCAAACCCAAGGTCCGAACTCGCAGTGGCTGCAATACATGCCGACGGAGACGCGTGAAATGCGACGGTACGTGTTGTCCCATATTTCCATTTGCCTTTTCCGGATCGCTCTCCGATTCCCACGTTCGGTCTAGGGCGTTCTTGTCCACCTGCATACGAAATCAAAAGTAGAAGCTCATTCAATTGGTTTGGCAGAAAGCCGTCCCACATGCACACGCTGCAAACGGTCAAAGAACCAATGCAGCTACGAGCTTCAGCTTCAGTGGGAGGATGATATGCGCACGGCTGGAAAGTGTCACGGACGAACAGGGGTTCAGTCGAGAAGAGTTTCTATGCAGCCCCGGCCGGTGGGCGACGGAGAAATCCAAAGATCAACACGGACCAGACGCAAGGATAACTCCCATCCACACGGTGACGGGAACTCCATGTCGATCTGCTCTCCACCTTCGCACAGTCCGTCATCCAGGCCTTGCAGTCAGGTCAGCTATTATGTTCACTACGAGAACTGGAAGAGAGTAGCACGTGTTTCGCGCCCACTTCCAGTGTTACCCTGGAGTGTAGGCATGCCCGATGTGGACGATGTCTGCTTGTCATTTTACGAGTCCGTGATGTGCACTGTTGGGGTTACCATCGACGACGAACGCTTCAACCCCCTGCGCAGCACGGTGATGCGTCTCGTGTTTCGCACTGAGATAGCATATTTTGCTGTTCTCATGGGCAGTGCGCACTACCTGCGATCATTTGAGCGCAGATATGATCTTATTGCGATGCAAATTCGCCAAAGGGTGCTAAGGGGACTACGGCAAGCTTTAATGAAAGAGACTTGGAGTTGGGAAGATGTGTTGGTCCCGACGATCTTTCTGTGTTCTTCAGCGGTATGTGACAGCTCAACGACTGACCCTCTAGCGATCGCCTCTCAAACGATCGACACGCAGATCGATACTGATTATCCCGGTTAGATTTCCAATAGCTGCGACGCTTCCTGGGTGAAGCATCTCACCTGTTTTCGGCTGATCGTGAAAGAGATGAGCCACAGCCTCAGAAGTGCACCTCCTATCCCGCAATTTTTCATCAGCTATTTCTCAGCGCACTTCGTGCTTGCTAAATCGTTATTTCCCATTGACACTGTTGTTGAGGCACCGGCCAACCTAACCGACCGCCGGCCACGCGGGCAAGGAGTGTCGTGGACCTCCACCAAAGCCCTAGCCAAAGTCATGATGTCCGATACTCTTCATGAGATTGACGTGTGGAACGGCCTTAGCAACCACCTCTTGCTCTTGATCAATGAGATTCTCAGTCTAAAGGAAGACGCTCAAACACTTTCCCGCCAGCACCAGGGCATGTCTATCTCCGGGATCGTGGTAGAACAGAAACGAGTAGCGATAGAAAACAAAATCAAAGCCCTCCAAGCAAGTCTGGCTACAACGACGCAGAATTTACCCACGTCATCGCACGAAGACAGTGAATCATCTGAGACCACGCATCGATTTCACCTCCTCCAAAGCACCAGTGAGGCCTACCGCCTAGCCGCCTGCCTCCTTCTCTCCGAAACAGTGACACCTGTCTTCCTTGGATACACCCCAACTAACCGCTATTTGGAGCAAATCAAAGACCCAGTCCAGAAGATGCAGAACGTAGACCATATTTTGTGCCTCGCTAATGAAGTGGTCTCCTCAGTAGACTACCTCCCCGTCTCTTGGCCGCTATGGCCTCTCTTTATCGCCTCCTGCTGCTGTACGCCGGAGGACAATAACAACAAAGCCACAGCGCTCAAAATCTTCCACGCCGCCAGACAAAAAGCACCCTACGAAAACATCCCCCGCGCTCAAACTGTCATCGAGCTCCTCTGGCAGCGCCGTGAACTTCAAACACACAGTGACAAGACCGCGCGAATAGGCCGGTTCGAATGGGAATCCGTACTAGAATTCCTCGGCTGGCAGACTAGTTTTGCCTAGCTTGCCCTTCGCCCTATCGATTATTCTTCGACTATATGTCCCAAATACATTACCTCTGTGTTGTGAAATATCCTTAGAAAAAGAAAAAAACTATAAACACTTCGAAAAGTAACCTGACAAAAGAATTCCACCAGCCCTAAATCCTACAAACAAAACCGGAAATTCTGATTCTGCCAATCCGACACATCCCCATCCCTCTTTTCACCATTACCGCCAGCATCCACAACATCCTCTGCCTCACTCGTCTCAGGCTCAATAACCCTCCCCTGCTTCCGATCCCTCCGCCCATTCTCCCAAGCCATATAAACCCTCAACAAAGTCACATCCACAATGGCAATACAAAAGCACGCCAAAATAGCCGCGAAAGCAGTCTACCCGAACCAGTCAGTCATACATGCAACCCTTATCACCTTAGCCCTAAAAGGGACCTAGGAAGAAGAAGAAAAACTTACATAATAATGCGGCTTCTCATTCTTCTTGAAAAGCTGCGGACCCGCAATATTCCCAACACAATATCCAATAAACAGTATCGCGGTGACGGTACTCTTCTTCGTAAAGCCTGCAAAATTACTCGATACCAGACTTAGACTAAGGGGGAATCCAGCCCCGAAGACTGTCACCAGCCAGACACCCACTAGCCGACCCCATTTCTTCTCGACAGGGAGTTGGCGCATAAGCAGGATGCCGATTAGGCTTACTATGAGCGTGATGATCATCCAGTAGCAGCGGAGGCCACGGAAGCTGTTGCAGGTTAGGGCGCTGGCGAGGAGGAAGGCGAGAGCTACTGCTGCCATGGGGATTGTGTAGAGGAGAGTGTCGAACGTGTTGAAGCCGAAGGAGGCGATTACGAGGCTTGAGAACTAGGCTTTTGAGTTAGTTGTGTTTGAAGAACTGGGGGAGACGAGGTGTTACGTTTGTGACGCCACCGTTGGGGAGGGAGACGAGGAAGTTGTAGATGAAGAGGAGCCAGGTTTTTGGGTCGATGAGGGCTTCGATGAATTGGTCTTTTTTCCATTCACGGCTTTGATAGGTTTGTTGGCTGGCTTGGGCGCGGCGGTAGGCTGGGCCGCGCTGGGTTGGCGAGAGGAATTTTGCGTTCAGGGGTGAGTCTGGGAGGACAAAGAATAGGAAGATCGACCAGACTAGGGTGATGATTCCGAAGATAATGAAGACCCACTATTCATGTAGATTAGCTCGAGAGCCTTAAGCGGGAGGGTATTGTTGAGAACCTGTGACGGACCTGCCATGGGGCTACGCGATTATGGATGTGCCCAATTGCGTAAGAGAGAACTCCTCCGAAGATCGAGGCTACACCGTTTCCAGCGAACCAGATACAGCTTCTCAAGGCGTGTTCGGAGGGTGTATACCACATTCCTACCACGATGGTGAAGCCCGGGCTGATTGCGCTTTCGAATACGCCGAGCAATACACGCAGAGCTGTTATGCCTGCGAAGTTAGAGGCAGCTGCATGGCAGGTCAAGATAATTGCCCAAATTATCCTGGAGGAAAGTCAGTCCCGTTTCGTTAGCCCATGAGGGCTCTATACAAAGTAACAGACTCACATCATGATTGAGAGATACTTTCCGATCGGAAATTTGACAAACCCTAAGGAAACAGGATAGGATGCAACCATGTAACCAAAGTAAAATGCACTAGAGGCCCATGAATACTTCTCCGTATCCATATGCTGTAAACATCATTGAATGTTAGACAAGGATGGTTAGTGACATGCCAAGGAAGGTATAGGTCTAGCATACCGTGCTTTGCAAAAGCCCCAGGATGGAGGTGTAGGACATGGCTGTTTTGTCCAAATATTGCAGCAGATAGGATACAAACATGAGAGGAAGCAGACTAGATGCTATCAGAACTGGGTAGGCCATTTGCACTAGGTGCCAATCACCTACCAAAGGTCGATACGACGGATCATAGCCTTCTCCTCCATAGCCGTCAGAGGCTGCTGCTCATCCACCAATTCACTGGGGCCCTTGGGGAGACTGCCCTGGTCCTCCGACCCGGGTGACTTCAGGTTGCTGTAGTCGGAGGTGGCCATCAAGTCAGTCCAGCTGAGAAATAGAAGACTCTGCTACAACGCTCGTTCCAGAGGCAGAGTGGCAGGAGAAAATCCGAAGTTAAAGAAACGCTGAGAGCAGCGAGATTCTTAAAGGCCCCGCCAGCCCGACGGAATATGTTCCCATACGGTCTTGCTGCAACTAACACCATACAGATTGACATCGACCTAGACCTGGCTTGGGGCATCTCGTTTCCTTAGGTGCATAAACTTCCCTGCTAGAGGACTTAGCTGCATGTAAGCGTAATACCGTCCCGTCTTAAGCATTCCTTCCACTAAACCCGATCAGGAAATGCGAGGGCTCGCTTCGACCTGACCGAAAAGTTGATAGCGCGAGAATAGGCCTAACTTGACCTGCAGGATTCCAAGATTCCAAGTCCCACCTTCGACCCGACCATAGCGTGCATGCAGTACGGAATAAACAATGCTCATTTCCCTTCATATGCCACTGTCATAATGATGTGGAGCATGGTGGAAAATATTTAACGAATCCTTCGGGCCCGACCACAATAAAAGCCGAGATGCTCAGACGATTATCTGCTAATACAGCTGGCTCCTATGGTCATCTTCCTCAGCCATAATGCACCGAGTTCTCACAGACGACAGACTCTATCGGATCGATGCCGATCTCCTCATTCCTGGGATGGGAGATCCCATACCCCATGGAGCCGTTATATGGCAATCCAAAACCATCCGATATGCAGGGCCCCAATCGGCAGTACCCGCAGAGTTCGAAGGGGCCACAACCACCCGCGTTCCGGTCGTGATGCCAGGAATGTGGGATTGTCACATCCACTTCCTGGGTGCCACAGCGGCGACGATGAATGCGATCGTCGACACTCCACAGGCCCTGGCGGGGGCTCGGAGCGTACCGGATCTGCAAGCCACCGTCATGGCCGGATTCACCTCTGTGCGCGAGGTCGGTGGCTATGGCTGCGACCTCGCAAAAGTGGTAGCAGAGGGAAGGATCCTAGGGCCGACGATTTACTCCAGCCACTCAGCCATCAGCATGACGGCGGGGCACGGGGATGTGCACGGCGTGCATCGCGACTCGTTGCTCGACCTGTGCGCCCACGGCTTGCCATTGACGATCGCAGACGGCGTGCCGGAGTGCTTGCTCGCCGTGCGGAAGCAATTGCGCCGTGGTGCAAAGGTTATCAAAGTCTGCGCTAGTGGCGGCGTTGTCAGTGCCATTGATGACCCGCAGCATCAGGAATTCTCCTTTGAGGAGCTCAAGGCGATTGTCGACGAAGCGGCGCGGGCGCGGCGGGTTGTCGCGGCCCACTGTCATGGCAAGGCGGGCATCATGAATGCGCTGCGGGCCGGATGTCGCACAATTGAACACGGTAGTTTCTTGGATGACGAGGCTGTTGAGTTGATGAGGGAGAAGGGGGCGATCCTGGTAGCCACCCGTAGTGTGATTGAAAATGGTCTCGCAATGAAAGATCTCTTCACCCCCACATCATACCAGAAGCTACTGGAGGTGGCTGATGCACATAAGAAGGCATATCAGCTAGCTGTCTCGCGAGGTGTGACGATCGCCCTGGGAACAGATCAGTTTATCAGCTCGGATAATCCGATATGGGGTTATGGCCGGAATGGGCATGAGGTGAAATACGCCGTGGAGGCCGGGTTATCACCCCTTGCCGCGATTGAGGCTGCCACGGCGAACGGACCTTTGACTCTGGGTTACCAGGCGCCTCAAAGTGGGCAGTTAAAAGAGGGCTTTGATGCTGACATTATTGCGGTAGAGGAGAATCCACTCGAAAACATTGCGGTCCTGTCGAATGCCAGGAATATCACACACGTCTGGCGCGATGGCAAGATAATCAAATCATAGAAGGACTACCGTCGGGTCTACTCACTGTCATGAATATCCTAACTTCTGAGCACGATATGCTTACTTTACTCTGCATAAATATTCACAACGATATTACCAATATTTCGTCATTAAGCACTGTATTTACTGCAACATATTAACACGTAAATTCCGAATTCAACTGAAACTAGAGAAAAACAGGTAAGCCAGCTATCTCTCTCCCTCTTCTTTTTTTCTTTTTCTTTTATATTTCTTTACCTTCTTGGATATGGAAATTTTTGGACTTAACTTGTGCAATAGTATGAGGGATAAAAACACAATGCCGGTCGGTTTTGCTAGGGCTAGTGTGATAACCCCGGATATATATCATTGTTGCTGGATTTTGCCCCTAAGCGGAGATTCTAGATTTTAAACGCCTCAAAATTTTATGCAACGATAAGATATATACAGGCTCGAATAACGCCGTAGATCGGCTATTGCCTAAACACAAATGGCCGTGAAGGTCATGCCACGAGCGACTCTGGCGCCGACGGAGTCGAAGCGGGATGAGGGCATAGCGGGAGCTGTTCGGGTCTTCCAAGGTCTAGGGGCCGCATGGGCGGGGGTCGTGGGCTGTGGACCTGTTACTGGGCCTTGAGAGGGCTGGTGCACATTGATCACACGGCCAGCTACCCAGCTACTGAATGCATGGGTTAGAACGTCGGATGTTAGCTAGAGGGGTAGGGTCGATTGCGTACCCTGGGCAACCGTTATCCTTACTGCCAGGAACAGGCCAGTTGGGCCTTACTTTTAGGTTTCACGGTAATTTATGCCATATGCAATCAACCTGTCCAAACTTCGTATAATACCCAGCTAGGATAGCTTGAAGAGATCGATGGGCATAAAACTGTCGAGGAGTTTTTTTGGGAGTATAAACTTCTAAAGGCACATTATGTCTAAGTCGATAGACTACGGAGGTAAGTGCAGAAGGCTTTGCCAACACTATAGCTGCGTACCGCTATTTCCACCGAGATATGGGAGACTTAAACTGCTTTTAAAGTAGGGAAAGCCCTCAAGAAAGACAGTTACAACTTACAGGACAAGACGGAAATCTTTGAATAACGACCCCTAGAACGTTCAAATATGAAAAGCGATCATAATAGTACCTACCCAGTGGAAAGGAAACCCGCTTAGCATCGCTACTGACGGCGGGAACCTGCAGCCACTGGCCCGTGTTGGAATACTTCCCCATCCATACAGGTAATACTTTCTAGAACGATATTTACGTGTAAAAATATACACAGCTACCGCATAAGCATACTATTAGAGGTTTGTGCCGATCTGGAATGTAGACTGTGAGACATCACTTGCGCTACTCCGACCCTCCTGGCGGAAAGGCTAGCAATTATCGAGACCAGGCTGACCGCTACATGTTGTATAACACCTGTATTCCGGCTAACCAGGGCTTATTCTCACTAAACCGGTAATCCAGGCTATCTATCTTTTCTTCATACTACTGAGAGAATGTATCTGAGATTGATACCAAAGTCTTAATCAAAAGACGTATTCTCTTTCTGTGTCAGATGTAACCAATCGCAGGTGGAAATTTAGTACGAACATACTGGATGCTATAGTTATCTGTTTCTTCGCAAAAGTCATCCCGTATTTAACTATATTTTCCTCCAGAAATCTCTCGCCATGGCTTTCGCCCTTGACCTGGATCAGGTAGTTGAGAAACAAAGGGTGAAATTTTATTAATGAGAGAGCACTACCACATTGCCTTGTTGGCCGAATTGAGATAACAGTAGCGGAACAGGTGGGAGTGAGTGAGTCTGGTATCCTCGTATTAAATTGCCAGCTTTGGTCTGACTCCATGACTTGGCAATGCCACGCTACACCTGATAACTATTGTCTTATTAAGTTCTGACGGCTGAGTAGGTAAACAAAACCCCTAGCCATGATGTGCGCTCCTCGCCACAGTGACCACAACTGGTCTATATATTCCTCACCCTCAAAGAAACAAGCACATACGACCACAGGGTGTGGAGAACAGGGCTTCCCGTCCGCTCAGCCGTACTTAAGCCACCTATTGAACGCGGACGACTTAGAAATGAGCCCTTTGGAAGTTGCTGCTTTATGGGTGAGCGCCGCCAAGTTGCAGGGTGAGTGTGGGTGATTTGGGTGATGTTGTCCAGAGCACGGGTGAGGGAGTGGGTGAGCGAGTGGGTGAGCTAGACAACCCGGTCGGATTTTTGTGAAGTTAAATAGGGGCACTCAACCTGTTTATCCATTACTTTTTTACTCCTTCGCGTTACACGTTCTCAAGAAACAGCTTCAAGTGCGATCCTATACAAAAATTAACCATGTCACGTGATGGAGACTCGGTGCTATTCGAGGAAAGGCGGAGAAAGATTGATAAGCTCCATAAGCTTGGTGAATTACATGGTTTTACCAGAGAGTATCAGCATGATACAAAAAAGAAAGAGAATGAGATATGCCATAAAAAGAGAGCCCTGGCTACTGATAAAAGATATAACAGAGCTGTTGAAAATTGGAAAATGTACATGATCAAAATATGCTATTATTTTATTTAAGAGATATTCCTAATTCAAGTCTAGATGAATAATGACCCAAAATAAACCTGAAGATAGATATTTCTTAAAGCTAGAGCCTGATTCTCCCAGTCAGATCTTGAAACTCTTTTCTGAGAGTTTTATCTGTCTATATTAAGAGGATATGCCTTCTTAACACAGTGTAGACTATAATTTATCCTGCTTTATTGCCGAATGGGAGAGGAAAATCGGTAGAGCTATTCCTAAGAGTATCAAAAGTAATGTCTATAATATGCGCTATAAATATTTTATTCTCTTTCTGATATATAAGTGCTTACTTATCTACTTATCAAGTATATCTATAATGTATTGACACTGAAGTATAGACTTGAAACAAAGCACAGAGAAAAATTCTATGTTATAGTAATAGATCTTAATCTACTTCTTAAACACTTATTTCAGGACAATGATCATGATTATATACATGAATGGGCTCGCTTTCAAGATACTTTCACTCTCTCACTGTTTTCAGCTTCCGGAGCTAGAGCCGGGACTATTGTTGAGTCAAGTTCATATAGGAATACTAATAAATGTCTTTTCTACAAGATATATTAATCTGCTGATTATACAAGTCATGTACAAGAAGTTAATTACTCTTATAAAAAGTATATTACATTGAACATTCAATATAAGGACAACAAGATCAAGCAATAGATTACTATAGATCCAGAATTTGTTAAGGATCACCGGTATAGCGATGAAACAGTTATGTAAGTCCCTACTTTAAGGTATCACTCCTGCTTAAGCTGATAGCCCTAGCCTAAAGAACTGGATTACAGAACAGAAGATCCTTGGCAGGAACTTTATCTTTTATATTATGGTTACAGGCATAGCCGATCAGGCTTTTAAAGGCATCCATAGTGTTGATGACTTGCTATCAAAGACCCCACCTAAAAGAAGGGAATCTTGGACTCTAGAATAGGAGAATTATACACAACAACTACCAGTTCTTCATATAGTTACCCCAAGTAGGCCACATCCTACTCATGCCCTGACATTTTCCTTAATCTGGAATGATTTGAGTTCTCTTGCCTAGCGAGAACATTTTCGAGACCCGCTGAGAATTCACAGGATAAAAGGCCGGGTAGTAACTATAATTAATGGCATATTCTCTCCCTATACACAACATTATATTATACTACAAGTTACTGGATTGAGCAGAAAATAGTCTATATTATGTGACAGCTATAGAGTAAATGACAAGTTAGACCAGTTATATCAGAAAGGCAGAAAAGATATTGTCCCATCAAGAATAGGAATTTTAAGCCTGCAACGGTCAAGACTCCTTCTCGATTAGTCCTTGATTGTTTTTTCGCGATAATAACTTATCAGTTTCTTCCCAGTATCCTCCATATTCAGCTCTGTAGAGGAGTACCGGTAATCGATGAACTCATACTGCCAAAGTTCAATAGGTTTCTTTGCCAGATGGCGCTTTATCTGACATTTCACATTGTATTGGGTTACGCTATCGGTAGGTATTTCGTTTGATATGTAAAAGTCCAATTCGAGACGTTGTTTGTGTAGCTCGTTTACCAAAGGTCGACTCTCCCGTAGATGTTTGGTTAGGATCGGCAAGAGAATAGTGGCGTCGCCATTGGCTGACGCTTCATGGCTTGAGACAATATGGCTCGGTATGCGTTCAGGGGGCACATATCCGTGGTCGGTCTCTTCTCTGACGGCTCGAGCGGTATCGTAGCCCTGTGGTAAACACATTCCAGGAGATGATTGTAAAATAGCCGCTCCGATCCATCCAAAGAACGTTACGCAGGTCATAGTGTCAAACAAAAAATGTATATGCCTGTGCTGAGGGATAAGCAGTAACAGAGATAAAATAAGTAAGCTAGGAGGGTAATGATCAAAGTAGAACTGCCCAGCCAAACATGCGGTGTGTAGTCGAGGGCGCTTGGGCCTTATAATTAGTTCACTGCTACTGCTAGATATGCCTGACAAACCCAGATTGTAGACTTAGAGATCTAGATCAAAGTTGTCAACTTTAGTGTAAACAAAGGAGCGACTTCTTAATGGATTGATTTGATGTATTATTTTAGCCTTTTATTTATCTGCCAATTGTTGAAAGTCATCGAGCCCAGAACACACCATCGACGATCATCTATAGAAAAGACAGAGCCGAAAAAGTCCGAGCGTCGCAGCGACTCTCTTCTGGAGATGACTAGATCCCATAGCCAATAATAGTCACATCAGGTCACAATGCACCAGGACAGCCAATTACATTAATTTGAAACGCACCCCACAGAGTAACGAGAAAGAACCTTGCCACTAGATATTCCCTGGCAGCATATGTCAATGTCTTTCCAAACGTCACTCATTGAACAATAGTCCCCATCCCAACAGCGCGTAATTACTATATCAATAGACAGGCCTGAGTCTCAGCAAAGCTCACAACGAAAGCAGGGTCAGCACAGAACACGCCCGTGCTTTCCCCCAATGTACACTTTTTGTAAAAGCTTTTCTCCCACCTGTGGGGGTCATCTCGACTGCACTGACGGAACTGAACAACAGCAGTAGTATACTGACACATGATGTAACGACATAAGGGGTTATAGGTTTTGGTAATTTTTGAAAATGAGAAGGAAGTAGACCAGTAGATCATACTGGGCGAGATTCTAGTGTTTTTATATTTGCCGAGCCCGCCTTTCTGCGTGCATCTTTATCAGCTAAACGAGCCATGAGATGACTGCTCGCTGGCCAGGAAGTTCACCAAGATAGGCATATTTAGGGTATATGGAGGGTTTAGGAACAGGATAGAAGTGAGCAGTGCAATGTTGAAATTACCTTGGCCACAGGCTCTCTACATGGGGTATACCAACAATTGGTGCTGCCTGCGATCATGATTTCTGTACAACAAAATAAGGGAGATTGCCCAATGGAAAAGCGCCATAGCAACTATGGCGATGATTGGACATTTAGCTATACACATCTCATGCCCCCCGCTCCTTACGTTTTGGTCGCCTCACCCGGCCTTCAAGACGCTTTGATGTACCCTTGTCCGAGCTGGCTGGCCTGCCCATATTCTACGTGGATCTACGTAATGTTGGTTGTACACACTGGGTGGGGCAGCTATTCCCTTTTCTCTATAGCCTTTCTAATAGCTGCCCCACCCAGACATATCTATGGCTGTAACCATCCCATGCAGGCCCACTGTAACGGCCGGGTACTTTTGCTTTGCATGGCTCCTTTCCAGAATAGGTATAGTGTAGGCGCACCTTGAGTTCCACATCTCTTTCCGCATCTCTCTTATATAATTATTGTATCTCATGACCCTTGTGTTAATCAAGGTGTGGTCCAATTTTCGCAAGCATCATGGAAATCAATTTGTCAGCGATAGAATATATTGAGCAGATTAGGAGCTCCGAGTCCTCGCGTATCTTCCGTACCTGTTGGCGCGGTAAAGACTGTATTATGAAAGTGGTATGCGACCGGGAAATCATCCTAAACATCTAATATCTAACATGTCCCTAGTACCACAGTGCTGAAACATCTTACGCTGACCCCAGAGACCGCGAAGTCGATGTCTTTAGGTGCGAAAGCCAAGCCTATATTCGTCTGAAAGCCCGTGGGGTATGTGACAAGGGATATGTCCCCGATCTCTACGGCCTGATAGAGAACATCGACGCTGTTGAATGGTCGCCATACTTGAAGGAATTTCTCAACGACCGGTTACCTCCCAAAGCCATTTTACTCGAATATGTGCCAAACCTTCATCGGATTGACCTATCTACCTTCTCAATGGCAAGGACTCAGAAAATCCGTAAGATTCTCGAGGAGATACATAAAGCTGGGGTCTATCATGGAGATCCGTTTCCGCGGAATATGATGGTTCAAGAGGATTCAGATAGGGTTCTCTGGATTGATTTCGATCGTGCCCAAACCTTCTCGTGTGACTCAATTACAACACGCCAGCGGCAATGGCTGAAAGAGGAAGATGAATTGGTGGACTACTTTGTTGAGGCATTAGTACGGATGAATGAAGATCTTATGCCTATTACTCGAGACTAACTGACGTGTGCCTAGGCGAAAGACTACAATGACGGCAAGATCCATCGTACATGGGAATGTTATTATGAGTATTTACAATTCAACCCTGCCTGCGCTCCAAGGTTGTAGCTTAGAAAGCTAAATTGATATTAGGGGCCTGAATCCATTCCTCCAAAATGATTTGTGATATCTGAACAGAAGGGTGATAAATAATCAATGTGCAGATCATGGACAGTAGAACATAGAATGGATAAAATGATTCCGCTATAGATACCGTCTAAGAATTTTACTTTCCTAGCTAGTAATACAAAAACAGCAGGAATATAATCTTTTTACGAGAATAATCCGAGCCTAACGTGTTGTTATTAGCCGGAGAGAAGAAGACAGCGGAGAGGGGGAGTAGAATATGTGCTATTTGTCATGCATTCAAGAGCCATACAGCTCATAAAACAGTTGAATTTCTTTAACTCTATGAGACCTATGAGATCCTTCCCTTTTGCTTCCGGCCTCATACAACTTATTTCTGCCAACCACTTGATGGAAAGCCCTTTCTCACATATAAAACACATTTTCGCAGTGCGAATAACCTCATCGCGCAGTGGTATGGAGTTCCAGGAGATAAAGCTAATTTTCTGCGTGATATTGTTGCCGTACAGAAGAAGACCTTCAATCCACGTCTTATTCATAACTCCTTTAAAGAACACGGTACCTTCCCTACAGATGGATCTTTAATTATTGAAGCGATTCAAAATGCTTTACCACCGCTACCAGAGATCTCTGTACCTGATCTTCGTGTGTATGGCGAGAATACACCTCCTCCGAACCCTTTATCTTCCAGTGTTAAAAATACACCTCCAAAAAGTGCTCAGCAAGTTAAAAAGAATTAGAAGAAGCTATTTAAACTTCTAAATAGCAATATACCAATTAATCCTCGCATTGAGCGCTATCTTGAGCGCTTATTTCATCAGCGAAAACTTCAATGCGAGCAGCTTACTATTATGAATTCAACTCTTGAGTAAATTGAGACCGCACAGGCATCCCGAAGGCATAAAAAGTCTAAGCAAGAGGTTCAACATCTCGGGGATAGTGGTATACTACGTGTAAAGGATGCGAATCGGTCTATTGCGGACAGGAAGGCCAAAGATAATGAAAAAAATAAGAAAGCGGCGAATAAGGCGTATTTAAAGGCTTACGGTCACCCCCCGCCAGCACCCTATACAGAAAATGTCAGAGCCTATGGGAGCCTAAGGCAGCAACCACGTGACCTGACCACAACACCAAGGAATCTCTGTAAAGTAGATTTAGACCTTAAGACAATCAATCCCATTACACGTGAGCTACACCGGCTCCATCAGGAAATAAATCTGCAGCCTCAGATACAGGATTGGCAGAGGAATCAGGCAATAAACTCTATTTTATTGATTCTACAGGCATTTAGTGGTGATAATGCGAATTGCTTCATTTTCTTCCTGTACGCTGAAAATTCCTTTACGCTGCCGACCACCCACCGCCTTAAGCCGGTGGGTGATCGGAACCGCCACTAATATCATACCCATGCCCACCATAGCGCATGGTGGCTCTACCGCCCCATAAATATGATCACGTGCACTTTTGTGAAGGGATCCACGCCGCCTATTTACTAAGCCAGATTTAGGCTGCATGCAGCCTAAGGACGCGCACAGCTTGAGGAATAATAATGAAGGCCAGATTTGTGCGTAAATGTTATTGTAGCTATGCAGGGAGGGTAGAAATGCCATCGTCTTAGTGGGGCGTGAAGCAGCTACATGTCAGCTAGCCATTGTAATCGGATAAATATTCTTCCATATGAGCTCGGAACGACACTCCGCCCCAAATCTCTCCTCAAGAACTAGCGGAAATAGCCGTCCTACGAGCTCGCCGACCAATAACTCATCCTTGGGAGCCCATTTACAGTGGCCAGCAAAACCAGTTTCACTGGCAAACATACTCTACTTGTTTTAGCAAAGGGAGGACTAAGTACCTTATAGATATCCTCATGAATATTGGTGAACCCAGCTTTCTCCATTCTCTCCTTCCACGTCCTTATGGCACCAAAAGGCTTGCTGAACTTGCGGGCACTCTCGTGCATACATTTGATTCGGTTACGATTGAGGTTCCCATTCAAGGACCCTACACTGGCATACCACCTGCAACCGGACAACTCTGGGCTCTATGAGTTCATTCCCTCCTACGCTCTTCTATAATATCCGCACATTCTGGCTTAGGTGCCTCAAGGCTATTCTCACGTCTGAATATCCACTCACGGGCCTCTAATGGGGTCCGCTTCGCAGCTTTTAGCTGAGGTGGTTGCATTGTCTAAATTTGGATCCCAGAGTTCTTTTGAGAGCGTTTTTATGTGACTGTCTGCTATTGTTGCCCTCTAGGTTTCGTGTTTAGCAGTGCTGTGATATCTGCATATGTAGTTTCCGATTTGTTAGGTCTTGTAGTTTTAGATGCGGCTCTGCTGTGTGGTCTGTGTGTGGAAAACTGCCGATTTGGGGGTTCTCGGTGACCCTGGGAGCCCTGAGATAGACTTGTTTGGGACGCTTTTTGCGCTGCTAGGGGTAGTAGACCCGCCGGGGAAGCTGCCTGAGTAGCCTGAGTTTGTTGAATCTGCTGCCCCTTCTCCTCTAGGACTTTAATAATACGTGTCTCGTACTGTTGTTTGCGGGCACGTTGCTGAGCTATCTAAGCCTCTATTACCTGCTTGATACAGACGTTTGGAGGAAGTGGATCTGAATGGACAAGTACGCAGCATGTCTTCCAGAACCTCGCCGTAATATGGATTTAGCTCTACTCTCTCTATGAAGTTATAGCGACGTCGCTGTATTTTCGAAGTCGATTTTTTTGCCGCGCTTTGGGGTTATTGACACCACAAAGGTGAGCTGACCTCGTTTAGAAGCTCGAGTGACCCATTGTTGGAACATGCCCCTCGCGGGTAGGTCAAATGACCTATGTACACCCCGTTTCCAGGTCTCCTGAAAGAGTTGAAATGATGGCCCACTCGCCTTTGCAAGTAAGCGAGCCACCTGAGCTTCTAAATATATTCCTCTAACCGGCCGTATGCTACAGATCCGGTTACAACCAATCAGCAGACGAGTAAATGGGACGAGGGGCTTGGTGAATCACATACTAGGGTATAAGGATATTCTAGTATATTACTGGCTCTGCCAATCCACGCAAGGGAACAGTGCCCTGGATCTTGTGGTGCTGGGGCATTGTCCCCAAACTGCCCACTAGAGTATTTTCAGAGTGATGGTGCTTCAGGCTGTTGGCTGGGGCCACATCAGAGCAGGTGACAGGTTAGGCCATAGAAAGGAACGAGGGTGCTCGAACCAAGGGTGCATCCATATCTTGTCCATTCTGTGTTTTTTCCCTAAAGTATCTATCCACGATAATTATCTATTATTCTCCTATTTCGTATGCTAAGCAAGTATCATGCAAATTCTGTGTCTTAATTCATGCGAGTCCCATTTCCGTTGTCAATTTTCTGACAACCCTCGTACCTCCAGGTCATGATGCTTAAAGCACTTCCAGGAGGGCAAGAGCAACCTTCAAACCGCAGCTGAGGTTCAACGGCCGCAACTAGGGACTGGAATTGATGCAAAGAACGCTCCTTGCCTGCAAGCAGAGCATACATTGCAATATCGAGAGTCCGGATGTATTTCTCCATGTACAAAGGTACTGTCCCTTGGTCAGGGGCCACCATATCCATAATAATCAACCACGCTCCCTTTCGCAGGCCGGCAACCGCTGCAGCCAGGATACGCTTTGCGTCCTCGTCGGACCAATCATGAAGTATGAAACGGTAAAGGTAAGCATCGGCGACTACTTTCTGGGGCTGGAAGAAATCGTGCTCCATGAAGAACACCTTGTTTGTTGCGGAGGCTTGACTTATTGCCTTCTCGGTGTCCTGGACAATGCATCTAAGGTGCGTATAACGAGATGAGATAGCAAGGGAGGTATGTCCGATCGAGCCGCCGACCTAATCCGACCTCTCTTCAGAGACAAGATACACCATGCTATGCATATGAAGGAATACTCACGTCAACAAGAGAGCTGATGCTTTCCCAGTCAAATCCATTAACAATATGCTCAACTGATTCCACTGAGGAGGAGCAGCTGGAAGCCATGAGTTCATGAAATTGCCTGTCCAAAGTGGGTGATCGAGCGTTTATTTCCCACAGTGTGGGGCGAACGTCGCCTTTCTGGTATGCCAGACTTACTGCACAAGCCCTGGGGTCATCACCTTTGGGGCTGAGCCGCAAAGACTCATAGATCTCGGGGGAGGACTTGGAATAAACCTCCATGGTCCAGGCAGCCCCTCCGGATGCTTGCTGGTTTTTGACAAATATAGATGACATAGCATTGTGCTTCACATTGCCCTGGTCGTCCACGGCCAGAAATCCGCAAACCCTGGCGAGGCCGATCAATCTTTTCAATACATCAACAGATACGTCTGACATGGATGCCAACTCATGGTATGACTTGGATTCTCCAAGTGGGATCATGGACGGGATCCCGAGCTTTACCAGTGCCCTGATTGTTCCGATCTCGACTCCCTAGTTTTGACTCAGCTTTGAATCATTCTAACTTTATATCGGCGGCAAAGTTTACCGTGCTTGCATAGGTTTGCAGATATCCCAGTGGTCCTCTTGCGAGGCGGACTATCTGTTCCGCGGCAGCGATGACATCGGCTTTCGCACTAGATCCCTCCGCGCTAAGAAGTGGAAGTTCAATAGGGGCATGCTCGTCTTCAAACACATAATTATCAAGATTGAATTTCCTTAGCTCACGTGCAAGAATACCCGCTTTTTGAGAAAGGAGCGTAGAGAGGGACTGAATTGTCGACATGCTGGACCCTGTAGGGGGGTAAAAGCAATTTGGTGGAAAGTGAAGACGTCTTACGAACGAAAAAGAGATACCTTGAGTCTTATACCCACGGTTCTAGTGCATCCCTCTTTCATGATTTGATATTCGTTAGAAAGATACAATATAGAGAAAGAGATGAGAGCAAATTTGTGTTAAAGGGTGGCTCAGCATGTTCTCCTTGCTTCCAGGTCAGGACAGACATGTATGTACACCACCTAGGCAAGCATATGCTTCCCTTACATCTAAATTGAGAATGCTGCATACCTCTCCGCTGATATTGGCATGGCTCGGGTTGAACACCCTGGCTCTTCACGGCCTTGTGGCTGTACGAAGAATGTGCATATATATCCCTTCAAAGTAAGGCTTACCTCTCAGGTTGAACTGCACCCCCTTTATGTCCTATAGAAGGACTTCCATGTGAGGGATCCATTTGGGAATATCGTGGACCTGATATTTAGGGGCACATAAAGTATGAGACACATAACTGGATAAGCAAGGAAAAGCTAGTATCTTCACCGCCACTGGCTGGGGAATTGGGCCGTTGCTACAATACTATAAAGCGGTTTTCCAACGCCTATAGCTATACCAGTCGGGACAACATCCCCTAGATTCTTGTACATATTCAATAATTCTCTTGGTATCTCTGAGTCTATACACAATCGCCATCATCACCAAATCTTCCGCAATGTTTGAAATTGAAACCCCGTTAGGGAAAACCAGCCTGCATGCACTTCTCTGTATAACAGTGCTTCTCTACTGTACGGGACTGATAGTGTACCGATTGGTCTTTCATCCGTTGGCTAGATTCCCCGGGCCCAAGCTGGCTGGCTTAACGAGTTGGTACGAGTGCTACTATGACCTTGCAAAGGGAGGAAAGTTTCTCTGGGAAATTGAGCGGATGCATCAGGTATATGGTAAGTGCTCAGTGAGCTGGAGCCCTCATAGCACCGGGATTTAAATGACTTTTCGAAGGCCCTATCGTCCGAATTAACCCTAGAGAAATTCACATAAATGACCCTGAATATTATGACGAGATCTACGCACCATCCTGGAAGCGCCGGGACAAAGATGAGGAATATGTGAAGCTCGATGCTGCACCGGGCTCTGTCTTCTCGACCACCCAGCACGACCTCCACCACCGGAGAGCGTCGGCACTACTCCCCTTTCTCTCCAAAAAATCTATCCGAAGCATTGAACCACTCATTCGGGAAAAAGTCGATCGGCTCTGTTCATACTTGGAAACCTGCATCGAACGCAAAAAAGTCATTACTGTCAGTAGTGCTGCAATGGGTTTGACTATTGAGATCATCTCTAACTACGCGTACGGCGAGAGTTATCCGTGCCTAGATAGTGATGTTTTGGGCTCAGAATGGAAAACAACTCTAGCTGCCGCGAACGAGGAAGCGGCATTCTTAAGGCATTTCCCCTGGGTTCATGGCTTGGTTCAAGTACTCCCATCGAACATTGTCGCCTTCCTGAAACCTACATTGGCTCTTCTCACCCGGTGGCAAAAACAGATTGACCAGCAGACTGCTTTAGTATGCCAACAATACCGGGATGGAACACTACCGCCTGGGACGATCTTCTCTGCGATACTGGAGAGTGACCTGCCTATTAACGAGAAGGAACCATGGAGATTAAATAGCGAGGCCCAGAATCTAATACACGCTGGAAGCGAGACCTCTGCGAAAGTAGGTCCATCCGCAATTATTGTGGCCTCCGTTGACCCTGGGATAGACACTTGAACTCTGCCTCTTTCACCTTCTTCATGATAACGCCAAGTTAATTAGGTTGAGAGAGGAACTGAGAACTGTTATGCCCAAGCCAACAACACCTGTTTCGTGGAGTGAGCTTGAGTCACTTCCATATATGGTATAGGCTCATCCAGGTGGGCATTTTTGACCAAGAGATTCGCACTAATGCATCCTATAGGCAGCAGTCGTACGAGAGGGTATCCGCCTTCAACTAGGAATTACCACACGGAGCCCCAGAATCGCCCCGCATGAGGATCTGCAATATAAGGACTGGAGAATTCCTGCGGGAGTAAGTTGCCACCCTCGAGTATTAAACATAGGCGTTGAAGAACTTCTGGACTTACTGTCTCCCATAGACCCCTGTCAGCATGATCAGTTGGTTCGTCCACACCAACGAACAGCTATTTCCTAATGGTCTGGCATTCGAGCCTGAGCGCTGGTTGAAGGCTACCGAAGCGGGTTTCAGATTAGACAAATATCTGACCTCATTCATGAGAGGAGGCAGACAGTGTTCGGGAATCAAGTATAGTTGTCTCATCATCCAGCTTGCCCTGAATTGAAGGACTGACTTCATGCTTTTCCATAGCCTCGCTTACTGCCAGATCAACCTAAGTCTTGCGATACTGATTCGGCGGTTCGATTTTGAACTATACAACACTACTCTCACTGACGTTAGTCCTGATAGGGACTGCTTTGTTGCTTATCCCCCAAAGGGTAGCCATGGAACAAGACTCAGAGTTGTAGGTATCGCGAAGGATTAAGTTGTAGAATACAGATGTCCACCATTCAAATGCTTGTGTAAGTGTCTAGTTGGCCGCAGTTATGACACGGGTAGGGTCAATGGTGTTATTGGGTCGGGGTTGTACGGGATCGGTACGCGGAATAGGTTACATTCCAGATGCACTGGTCAGGAGTATGCGCCTAAATATCTATGGGGCTGCACTGATTATCAAGAATCATAACTGCTTTAGTAACCTTGTGAGGCTTTTCCAATCATCTGCAATGACTGTAGTCTATAGATTTTGGATAAAGGGTTTGAGAAGTAGTCCAATCTTATGCGAAGAGTACTTCTCTACACTTCCCTAAAACCAAATCGCCGGACATCTTTAGTTCCTAAGTCATCCCCAATATATACTCAAGTTTATCAAGTGCATTTTATAAGCTCTATTTATCTGATGCATAATTCCAGTCACAGATACCGGTCAGCTCAACTATTAGATTCAGACACAAACTTGCCCCGTCCTTTTTTCTCTATTCCTGGAACACCTATTCTCCCAGCTATTCACTGCTACAAGATGATTATGCAGTATCGTCCTTCTGAGTAGACATTGTTATGTGGCTATTTGCCTTAGGTCTGGAATTTATACGGACCGGCATATTGTGTACGACAAATGTCAAGATATTATTAGTCATACAAGGCTGGAAGGGGTTTGCCAAGTTGATCTCAAAGTTCCGAAACAACTAAGAACTGTGTCAGTCTCCACATGGGAGATGAAAAATGCAATGCAGGCGGAAGACTAAATGGCCTCACCTCAACTAAAGTCTTCTGAATCTCAAAGAGTGCAATATGCCTAGACGAATGTCAGCGGCGAGTAGTTAACGTGTTACAGTAGCCATGGCAGTGACACGTACTTTCCAAGGCAGGTTGTTAAGCCTGCACTAAATGCCAAGTCTGCCTTCTCATAGCTGGTAATTTTCTCCTTGCTGTCCATCCATCTCTCGGGGCGGAACGCATCTACGTCATCCCCAAATACAGTTTTGTTACGTCCCAATGCCCACATGCTGAAGCCTACTCGAGTTGCAGCCGGTTAGTCCAGGTGATTGGGAAGAATAGGCCACTCTCTAGATGTACTTACCAACATCGCACCCTCCCGGAAGGAAGTGGCCACAGATGGTTGCTCCGGGAGGCGGTACAGTCCGAGGAAAGGGGGTCCTGAGCCAACCGTCAGTTATCACGGTCCTTTTGCCTCCCCGCTAAATAGACGAAGTAGAAGATACATAGCCAGCTTACCCAATAGGCGGATGAATTCTGAAGACTTCTTTGACAACCGCGCATAGGAACGGGAGGCCTTTGGTTTCCCGGTACGTCACTGGTGTGGAGAGGCTGCCGGAACGGCATTTTTCGTCAATTTCAGCCATAAGCCTCCGGTATACACGGGGAGTACAAATTATATAAACAATTGCAACCCGGAGGATAGTGGCGACGGATTCAGGACCAGCAATCCTACATCCAGTTCATTAGCTGATCGCCGGGGAACTTTGGGGAAGTTATGTAGGCCTGCGACAGACACTGGCGTAAAGGACTCCACTTCGAGGTCCCGGCGAGGAATGCTCTTGCCATTCTCATCTTTGTATTGCATGAATCTATACAGCAGATCATTGGCTACTGTCGTAGTATTGCCTTCGAGTCTTCGTTCGACTTCTTTTATCGCCATCTGGTTTTATTGAATGCGTGAGCGATGAAAGGCAGTCAAGAAGTAGGAGAACGCACTCCTCGGACCATGCCAGGACCGTAGTCATCAGAGGGCTTCGAGCCCAAAAACGGGGTGACCCATTTGTGATTGATAAGCTTTTGCAGTTCAGGAAATGTTGTCATGATCCGGGTTACACCAAAGAGCGCGGTCAATGATTCGATTATATTATTGACATCTCGGCCTTCTTTGACAAATCCAACACGGTCACTAAATGCCAAGTCCATGATGGTGTCGAATGCAACTTGTGTGCAGGTGAAGAACCAGCATTAGCTCTTGCTGTGCCAACCAATATCTACCACGTGATCATGCATGGACTTACAAAAATGGATATAGTCAGAGAGGTCGCAGACCTTTCCGGTCATGGCAAATCGAATATTTAATGTTTGGATAAACTCTAGGATCGAAATGTCTAGTCTCTGCTCCATCTTGTAGGTCGAATCGAGATTATACTATGTTTAAAGCCAAGGTTTAGATGTGCAGTCCTTGGTGTGGGATTTGGCGAGCGAGCTGGGGCTAGAGTACGTACCGCTGGCGCAATTCTTCTCCGTTGGAAGTTATGTTGACTCATAGTTCTCGCTGTACCCACGCTCTGTAACCCAACCTGAGGGTCGAGGGTAATAAACCAGTCTGAACGATTCCACTTGTGGGACTCATGAATGTATTTGGGATCATTGACGATAACATAGTTCGGTGCTGCGCGGTATATCGGTCCTTTAGGTTTGATCAGTATGCAGCATGACTGCATTCAGACCAACAAAGAGATACGGACCATATTTCTCGTGGGCTTTGATATCCGAGATATGTAGCTGACCACTGTATACTTGACGTAGTAGCCATAACCTTGACCAGGAGGCCAAGAAGGGACCTGGGACAGACCGCAGAGGATCTTTAATGTAGTACCGATAAAACAATAAGCCAGTCAAGAAAGCCGGTGCTATAACTATCGCGGTTACACAGATTATGGCTGACATCGTATCTGCAGGACGAGTCTTAATTCTCGGTACAAGCGATAACTGACCTTTGGGTACTAGGTCGTAGAAATACCGTAGCAGACGCTCACACGGTGAATTCTGGAATGCACTTTTGCTCCCTTACATGTACGGAAGCAAGGGTACGAGCGAGTGCAATTGGCCCATCTCGGTCATCTGTGCTATCGAGCTGAAAGTGTAAACCTTGCAGGGAGAACCTGTAGCCCCCACTGATAACGAACAAAGATGCAGCAGTTCATTGCATATAGCAAGCAACTCCCGGCGAGGTTAGTTACACCAGTAATCCTGGCCTTGCATGTTCATTAACCAACTAGTCCCTTGGGCGGGGTCATACAGTCAGGTTTTCTGCATACATCAGTCCAGCTCATAGGTTACTCAGGTTGTTACCTATGAGGTTGTTCAGGATATGGAATTCATCCACGTCTAACCCTATAGTTGTAATTGTGCTTTCTCTATTATTTTTGTGTATTCAGCTAGTACCCTTTACACAGGTATTTAGAACTAGCACAGCATATTATCTTTCAAATACAATTCACCATATTCGAATAATCTAGTCTAAGAAACCAACTAAACCGCCAAGTATGTGATACTTGGGCGACTTGTATGAGAGACTGATGCGTACGGATCACTCTTGGAGGCCACTTCCGTCTTCGGCCTCATGCCCTAGGATCTTGAGCCGGTAAAACGCTGTCGATAAAATAGAATTAGATAGGGCCATATTAATTAGGACTTGAGGGCGATTTACCTAGATCGCAGGTTGGGTCGGTCCAGGAATTCACTGCTGTTACGCCTGCACCTGCAAACAGCTGCTCTCGTTCGCCTTTGTCGTATTTGTGGCTATAGCCAAAACGAATTTTCTCCCCTTTTCGGACTACCACATCCTGCAATGGCGATCCTAACCGGATATCTCTCGTCCGCGGTGTATACGACGCCTCGTGCCGACCGAGGATTTGGTTCCATTCGCTCAGATAGTACCAGTCATTAACTTCAAAGACCTCGGTCCTAGAACCATCTGATGTATTGTTCTCCGCCAGGATCGAGCTCGCGTACCTGAGGCCCGACATGGTGAAAGGTACTACGCCCTCCGACGTGTATGCTCGCAGTACCTTGATGGGTACCTTGCAAGAGTCAATTCCAATAAGAATGGAGCTCTTATTGGGTTGCGCAGATAGTGAAGTGGCTGCTACATTTGCCAGGAAGCTGGCAGCATTTTTTCTGGAGAAGTTGCCAATCGTTGAGCCAAGGAAAAGCACACAGTGCGGCAGGCCTCGAACCTCGGGATCTGTTTTTATCCATTCAAGCCCATCCTCGAATGAGCCGTGAAGGCCAGCGCAACGGACGTGATTATACCTTCCCATCGGTATCGTCTTGAGAGTCGACACCAGCCCTGAGTGGCTTAGGTCCAGGGCATAATAAGTGACATTCTTTTTCTGCTTCTCCAGTGCATCGAGTAGGACGATCACTTTGTCGAGGCTCCTATTACATTAGGCGATGGGCGATTGTTAACCAACCAGCGTTACTATTAAAACCCGTCTATCTCGAATGACCGGTACTTACGCGCTTCCAAGGTCCACAATAGCGGTTTCATTTTCTATGGATTCCGCTATGCTTTGAGCCTGAGTATTGAGAATATGCAGCTCTTCATGTCTGGGGTAGTAATCTGGCGCATGGGAATGAGTATTCCAGTGTTGCAACCCTTCAGTACTATAAAGAATGAGAATGGGGAGTGTGCGAGTTTCCTTCCGGATGCTGTCCATTATTTGTTGGTATATGGTGTCTTCCACTTTGGAAGACCGGATATCGATGATTTTTCGTTCATTATTCATCTTGCCGTGACGAGTGATTTTTCAAAGCTTGGATATCTTGTACCGATGCGACTTGCTAGGGTGGTTGAGCTGAAGGGACCCTAAATATCTGCGGCTTTTCTCTGTGCAACGTAGTATATCTCCGGTGGCCCAAGTACCAACACGGCTTTTACAGTCGGATATATCGACGTTGCATATAGTACCTCCAGGAATGCAACCCTTCCAAGGTAAGGGCGCTTCATGCCAAACGTGCTCTAACTCGAGCAACTCGCAATGGCTGGTTGATGTGAGCCCTATAGAGGGATAGTTCACGAGCCATCTTTCTTTCTCATACCACCATAATTTTGCCCCTCCCTTGCGTGCTCTGGAATCAGCCTGAGCGTGATTCCTTCATTCTAATAACAGTCTTTCCCAACTTGGAAATAATTTAGAACACTGATTAGTGCTTATTCACCGACATTGCGAATTGAATCAACAATATATTTCCTCATGTCTTCCGATGGATATTTAAAATTTGGAAAGTTCCATGGTGATTTCCTTACACACGATATTGAGTCTTTTCTTCTACATAGCCAACCATGGAATCTCAGGTAGCAGCTAGGCCAGGCGCAAAGCCAAACAAGGCATAGCAACAAATTGGGCTCATTCAACACCGAAAACGCGCATTCTACTGCAATTAGGAAAATAGTTTCTGTAAGGGTCAAACATCAATGTCATGCTACATTGGGGTAGGATCGCCTCCTGGAATGTACGTCCAATTCCTCGCTGATTTTCAGCTTCCTCATGCATATGAAATTATCTGATGACGCAGTACTAATTCATCTGAAGGGGGTGGAATAGGGCAGCGATGTGCCTAGGTAGCGCTTGGTGAAGCGAGGGAATGGGTCGAAGAATTAGAGCGCAGGCCAAAGGAGGGCCAGGTTGCGTACAACCAAACCCGCTACCATTGCGCATATATGGGAACAATTATTGAAGACTTGGAAAGAACAAGACTGCAGCAAGAGTCCGCCCTTGACCATGTTACAGAACATCAATATCTTTTAAGTCAAGACCTAATAAAGAAGTAAAAAAGAGCAGATGACTTGGAAATTCATCTGGAGAAACAGCGCCTGGTTAACAAGTCTTTGCTACTGGCCATAGTTTAAATTAAACACAATAATCCTAGCTCTTAGAATATTCAGCACGTTCTCCTTGAGAATAAGTGGCAACGCGAGTCGATGTCCACCCTTCGATCCACATTGAACGCACGTGAAGAAACAGTACGCTACCTACAGATGACTTTAAGGAGGGGGGGTCACAGGATACTGGTCCTGAGTGCTGTTGGGCTTGCGATACTGAAAGCCGCCCAAGAGAGCCAACCTCACCTCCAACCATACAGCTCATCCCTAACAGCACCAACTGTTCAAACATGCCACGGTAAAACGCAGGATCCAGTCATCATTGGTACTGAGAAGTATAGGGAGTTCGTGCATTTCTGAGATGCTATCGAAGATATATTAGACCTTCTTTGACATTTTTACCAAGTGAGAAATGAGAGTGTTATATGTTGCTTGGTTCGACATTTAAATTATGCGAGTTGAATACACTTATTAGCTGAACTTAGATGAGATAAGCTTCAAATCTCAACTAGCATGTACAGCTGTGGCTAATATTCTTATTATACTGCTTGTATACATCAACTACAGAATTAGTAAAGGAGAATCATACCTGAGATTACTGCTTAGAGAAACAGCAGTATTATATTCGATGGTTTACTACATACAAAGGGGCGATGGTGTGATATGTATGACCATGAACTACTATAGACGGACAATAATAGGGCCAAGAGAGTAAGTACATTGGGAAATCAGTCAATAACACATTCTTGACAAAGATATCTTGTACCCGAGAGCCAATTGCAAGATTTCTAGTTCACACTTTGTCCTATATTAGAATACAATAGTCCTTTATACAGCCAAACTATATATTTCTTACAATTGGACCAGTTCAGACATTTTAGGCCCACATTTAACTACAGCTCTTTTACCAAGAAACACTTCTAAGACTAATATTGAGGTCCTGGCTAGTTTTATTGTGTCTACATATCTCGAACCTGCGACCCCTTTCGGGCTCGCAACGGAAGCATGTACTTGAGTTTATGATCTAGACCTTTGAAACATTTAAAAGTCACCTTATCTTCCAACAGGCCTGTCTCCACAATTGTCTAAATTTATCAGGGCTTTACTGTTGGAAGTTCCCATCTCTTCGTCTCCCCCTCTATTTCTGACTTTGGAAAAAATATAATAATTTTCCCAGTGTTCTCTTGACCCTATTACTGAAGAGATCACTCCAGTGGACCATGAAATACTCCGTCATGGTGGTATTTTATCCAGTATCGAAAGACTCTCTTCTCGCTTTCAACAATTGAAGAGGGTATCTACAGTCATTTGTTAACAGCTAGACAATCTTGTATACAATGCTAGTTACCTTAGGAGCCGCACTCCAGTGGCAGGAAAAATCTAACAAGCTCTACTGTAATTCCATGAAGACATGTTCCGTATCTTCTATATAATCGAGGACATGCTGGTTCAAGTTACCACGCCACTCTGGATTGCTGCTTCAAATGGGCAGGTAGAAATTGTCAACTTACTTCTCCAAACAAATCAAATGAATGTCAACGCCAAATCCATTGCAGCAAGACCTCCCATATTCTGGGCTGCTACTTGATGCCATGCTAATGTTGTGCGCCTTCTTTTAGGGGCACACGGCAATCCAAACGTTGCTGACATCAATGGTGACACCCTATATTGCTTAGCTCGGAGGCATGGGCATTGGGATATTATACGACTACTAAGGAAATATTAGCCCGAAATCTCTCTAGACTGGGAGAGTTATATGCCAAGAGAGTGCCAGCAGGGGCCTAGTGAACCGAATAATAAGAAAGACAAAAGCTGCCCTCTAAACAACTTCAGGACCCTTTGAAGCGGAATATTATGATCAAACTCAAGAAACCTCAGCACAATGCTCATAGAAGTACAGTATGCAGATTATTTATTTAGTCAGACCTTCAATATTTTATTAAATAATATTGATTATTGCAGCTGAACTCAGAGGAAGTAATACATGGTTAGTCATTGTATGATGGGTGCAGTACGGTTATATTGACGTTTACTTAAGTCATATCTCTTGCTACCAGCATCGGGCATATTCAACGCTTGTGTGGAGGCAGGTTACTGTCCAACCACTTCAAAGCGCGTTGCCCAGGCCTCCGAGGAGGACCTGTAGCTACTCTGCTTGGAGACAATCCAGCCAATGGTCGTGTCCCTACGGTGAGAGCCACCAGAAATCACTATCGCGAATATAAGAGAGGTGATTCAACAACACAACCATCTGCCCCAAACTGCTACAAGGTCTACACTAATTGTAACGGCTACAAGGGAGGCATCGGCGCATTGGCCGTGGTAGACGAGAGCATTCCTATACCTACCAGTTAATAGGGAGACAAATATATAAGTATACACAGGAGAACCAGCCCACCCTGAAGTCTTACAAAGGGGTCAGTTAGTGGAAATCGGCATAGCACTGGCATTAGCGATGCAGCCACCGGCGACTTTGTGATTCTATCTGACAGTCAAGCCACTATCATCATCTGCGCCCAACCGGTGTAACAATCAGGCCAGTATATCATCCGCAGTATTCTTCAAGGGCTTGGCCAAACCACTAACCGCAGCGTATGCCTGCAGTGCCTCCTAGGCCATAATATAGGTGGGATTGACTGAGGTGTTGCCAACCCCTACTGCAAAAGTGAGGGGTTGATAGTAAGATAGACAGGTGTTTTGTATTATTTATTATAATAGACAATACTATTTCCAAATCCTAACTCCTGATTAACTCATGTCAATACTGCCTATCCAGGCAGCAATATATTGCAAGCTCTTCATTGGCTATGACAGCTGCCAAGAGCTCCGGTGTTTAAAGCTCTAATAAATTAGCCAATGTCCAATCTCATATAGTAGTTAGTGGGTGTTAAAGTTTTTAACTAGGTGACGGGGTAAGCAAGAGGGGTGAGCGGCTCACCCCATCTATTGTGCACTCACCCAAGCTCACCCCAGGTCGCGCGACCATAAAGCGGCTCACCCGCTAGCTCACCCGGGCGGCAGCCACCCGACTTCTGGCCGCGTTTAAGCCACACGCCGGCCGGTTAGTAGTTGGGTGGGTGACCACCAGCGAATCCCGGCTGTTGTATGTTCTTTTTATATTTTGAAAGTTTCTGGCGGCCTTTGCCCCAATAGTGGATGGTGGGTCACATGCCTCAGCGGTGAACCACGGCCGTTAAATATAGGGATGTATTATTTGGACGAGACGCTAAACCATGATAGGAAGGCGATATACCGTGTATTGGTAATACTGTATATTGGCCTACTTGATGGCTTTGAAGCTTTTGATCTTTCCTATTTAGGAAGGATCTTCTACTATAATAGGATTATTGCCTGCCTGAGTGCCTGCCTGAGCGCCTACCTGAGCACCTTGCTGCCGGAGCGCTTGCTCAGTCCGTTCAAAGCCTGAGATCTCTCGATTTCTAGAACCTCTAGGCCTCCCACGTGCCCGTATAACCAGTGGTTCCAGTAGATAAGGCCATTCAATTGGTGGATCTGGAGCTAGATTAGATAGATCAATCGGCTCAGGCGGATCATCCCGTGATATTAGCCACTGAGAATGGAAGGTTGAGATAGGCAGTGGCTCCCTAGATACACGATAGTGTAGAATGACATGAATACAAGGGATTCCTAATATTTTAGTAGTAATCCCCGTATAACGTTCAATTGGTGGCTTTTCTGGGCCTATTGGTAGATAGTGATTTTGTATACTAAGCACCTTATTCAGCGCGTAGGTTGAAATATAATGAATAACATTGTGGAATAGTAGTTCAGCCCGTAGATCACTAGATACCTGAATACACTCATCTGCAAGTGCTTGCTCAATCTGAAGATAATGATTAGTGATTGTACGCTCAATTGATCTGACTATATTTAGTAGATTACCTAAAGAGCTTTGGAGATCTTGTTTAATTTACCAGTGAGATCCCTCACTACAAGATATAGCTAGCTGACCAAAATATAGATAGGTGTTTGTATAGCAGCGGAGAAAAGCCCTTTCTGTTTGACTGTGAAGCCATTCAGATTCTATATAAAGTAAAAGCTTTTGGAATTGATATGTTCGCTTAAAACGGGCCCATTCATAGTCTTTTACTTCAATAGATCGTGCAGTAATAACACTATACTAATCAGCTAGCGTAGTCTTCCATTGAATATCAATCTCCTTAAGAAATTCTTTCTCATTGGCCACTGTCTCTGTAGATTGTACAAATAAATAATCGCATATAGCCCATTTCACATGACTAAGGATATTCTTATTAATATGCGTTGGTGATAGAGAATGACCGACTATCCGAATATAGACAGATGCTCCCCTAGATGTTCATGACCTTTTCTACCACAGTTGGATCGTTTGTGTCGATTTCCACACAAGAACGAAGTGAACACTGATCCTACCAAACTCGGAAATTGCTACTATTTCCAGCCACACGATCTGCGCACAAGGTTCTCCACAATACGGTGAATGTGTCTTTTCCATACCTCCCATCAGCTCCCACCATATGTGAGTGTCTCTCAAGCCATTGGGCATATTCATATAAGATCTACCGCTACCACAGTGGAAACATCACCGGATAGGCCTACATACTGCCCAGCTGGGAGCAATTCTTGAAATACTCCAGCTTCTATGGGAGATAATACAGGACCATCGAGCTCTGGTAGGGGTCGTGGATATCAGAGTCTACTCAACAAATCAAGCCAGCTTACAACCAATAACAAGCGAAAACATCCAAGGGGACAACATATCGTAGAGCAAATTATTCAACAAATCCGAAAAATATTACAAAACAAGATTCGGCTGATAATTCGGATATACATCAAACGATGTGGATAGTTGAGGACTCCAGCTAGCCAAGAGAGCAAGTCAATGGGTTTGGGTCGCGTATGAGAACCCGACCCGTGGCGAGACCTAGGACTCGCTACCAGGATTATTGTACAGTCACTCGACAAGGGCACAAATCGGCATTGAGCTGATCCATCCTGTACCCTTCCACCGTGGCCTTGAATTCATCTGCCTGGTAATTGAGCGTCAGAACCGCATGTGGCGTGACCTCCCAGTATCCATTGTGCCAGGCTCCGTCTAACCGCTTTCTTCTATACTTTGAACAAGGATCCCACAGAGGATGATGAAGTCTCTGTGAAGGAGGTTCTTGGTCTGGTCTTATAGAGAGTAGAGACCTGGTTTACCAAATTTGTAGCAATAAAGCTACCGCATTCGTGAGTAGCATTCTTAGAGATATATCCTATATTGCAGGCACCATTGCTGAAGACGGTCTCACTCTGGTATTCCTCAATATGATAAAGGTGTTTGACAGTTTCCTTAAGGTGTCTCAGTGTGTCAACCACCCCGAAAGCTGTGTGACACTAACTCAATTTTCTATGTATATAAACTAATTTACGATAGTACAGGGATCATGTGATTGACACAACCTACTGACGACAAGACAGAATAAGCATCGGATTTCTACCCTACGGTGTATGCAAGTTTGCTTGCTCTAGGATATTTCTTGCCGCCAGAATGATCAGTATCCTCTTGATCATTCTCATTACCGAATACGAGTTCGGATTGCCCAATGAGCAGAACATGCGCCCAGCCAGCGATTATCTCGACGAGCGGATTGCCCCTAGCGCGACCCAGACGATGGACTTTAGACGTCGTGTTAGCCAGTGATTGGAGAAACTAGAAGAAGCTCCACCGTATGTTTATAGATATATGAATAAGCAATTCAGTAGCAAATCAATTGCGATGTATGTCACCGATGCAAGTCCAACCAGCAAGTAGAATTAAAAAGCATCGATTTAGGGGGCCAAACTTATGGTAAAATTGATTAGGGCCTCGGCCATGGATGGTTACATGGGTTAATTAGACATGCTAATGAGGTACTTGTCGTAATTGTGGATATACGCGCAGTTAACCAGGCGGGAGGCCCTAGGCGGCCATGCACCTGGAGGACTCAATTGGTACGGGGTCTTTTTGAAAAACACCCTCCATAATGAATGTAGCATTGAAGGTTGGGAAGGGTTCGAAGTCCGCTTAGACGTCTCAAGGCAATCATTTCCCCAGTTATGCCGGTTCTGTAAGGTTCTTTTAGGGCTGGTCTTGATAATTTCGTGCAGCTACAGTAATTCTCGAAACGTGTTTGAGCCACAAACATATATCATATTTATTTTCCAGCCCCACTGTCGTGGTTTTGGTGCTGGGGGTTATTGGGCTGGTCAAGTAACTAGTTAACGTATTATTTAACTAGAAGACATCACATAGGTAAATTACATAACGTGAAACGCGATTAGTTATATTTATCACTTATATAAGACACCTTTATTTCATCATATCTTCCTTGTCTTTCCATATTCTAGCTACAATGTTCAACAAGCCCAGGATCCCAGGAAGGCTACAACAAGCCATCGAAGGTGGCTTTCTCTGTGGTGCGGAAAAGTGCCTCGACAAGGGGACTAGTTCCAGCCTTCGTGGTAACAAGGACAAGCAGAGCTCGGAGGCCTTTTTGGCACCATGAAGAGTATGGAGTTGGCCGTCTATACTTCAGAACTTACTAGCGTTCAAGACATCAATAATATCCAGCTTTTACTACAATCTATTCAAGCCCTATATAGATGCTGTACGCAAAATACTGTAAAGTAACAGGTCGAACTGCATAAGGTATGTACAGTGATAGGTTTACTATTTTGAAAAGCTTGGCATCCCATTGGGTCCCAATGGTGTGTCGAGGCCTATGAGCCAATACCTCCTTCTTCACGCTGCACTTATATTTATCATCCTCCCAAAACCAGCAAAGTCAGGCATGATAGCAAGCCAGAAACGGCAAGTCCATTCCTATGTTAGTAGATAAGGATTCTATAGTAGCAATGTATGTTCTACTGCATAGATATTCGGATTTTTAACCACGCTTCCAGGGGACAATCCACTATGCAGGGGCTACTTTCGCGCATAAACACTCAGCATGTCCGTCCCTTGTCCAACTTCATATGACCGAGCGGGCTTTATATATAGTACTCTTTTGAACCGACCACTAAGCTGGTCAGCCTCTGTGATCTCGGGGGCTGTACCGCTATTGGGGACGCCATCGCCACCTCGCGCCAGCAGATCCCAGTGTACCCCCTGCAAGCCCCATGGGGGCCCAAGGAGTGCTGGATCCTTGTACAGCGGAAATTCAAGGCAAACTAGGTAACCATCGTCCCGCAGAAGCCCTGCCATGCGTGCAGCCCATTGCCGGCGCATATCGGGGTGCAGGGCGCAGAGGAACTGTGGGGGTCAAGTTTCGTTATCTCTCAAGCACTCCCACCAACGACCACCTGTTACTAACCGTATAGTCATAAATTATGTCAAAGAGGGCTTCTCCACCTTTCAGAGCATTTAGTTCCCAGTCGGACTTGAAAAAATCGCCCTCAATAAAAGTGACATTGCCTGGACTGGCCGAGCCACTTCTCTGTTTTCCAAAGTTGTACGCCTGCGGTTTTTGCAGTTCCTCAGAGGCGTAACTCTGGGCTGTTGCAACTCCAGTTGCAGATATCTCCACCCCATACGCGTCAAAGCCATGTAGCGCCAACATGACTACATCGTAACCACGTCCGCAACCCTTCATGGAATCTAAATTAGTCATCTGAGGAAGGCCGAATAGATCCAAGACAAGGCGTCAAGGGACGTAGATACCATACCGGAACTAGCACCTTCTTACGCCGACCGTCAGCCGCGAGAGGCTGGAATAGATCCTCTCGTTGTTCAACAAGGTCGATCAATGCTGGCGAAGGCTTTCCCCGATCCCACATGTCGTTGTTTTGTGCATCCCAGAGGGCAGCCCACGCCGCGCCATGATCCTGCACTTTCCTGTGAATTGTTAACTTGTGGTCTCTGGGGATTAATTGCCGGGCACAGAGCGCAGACGTCAGCCCATTGGCTGTAACCCACCGTTCGGCAAAGTGATTGACGATCCAAGACCGTCCTTCTGAAGCTTTTTGGTTGATTGGCAGCGTCATTGTTAGAAGAACCCCGCGGATGGGTGGGTTGTACGGAGTATGTTGGTGCTGAATGATCAGCGAACCGCTTGGTCTTTTATATATGAAATTAAATGCCGTGCTAACCTTTTGAGTCCTGGCGGGGCCTCGGCTTTTACTCCCTTCACAACTCAGGTGTCAGAACCCTGACCACCGCATTATTGTGGCATTGGCCAAACATGCATTCCGGTAGCAACCACCAAATGCCGGCAGTAGAGTTTCGGTGTTTGGATTCTGTGTGTGTTTGTCAGCATAGAGGTTTGAAACCGCGCATGAAAAGAAGTTGACTTAGTTCTTCCCACCTCCCTCTCTATCCTTGAGTGTTAGCTACATACACCTGCTGAGGATTGGATTAGTTAGTTAACATTTCTCTATCCATACTAAAAACAGAACGAGATGCTGGCTGGGCTGCAGGGTTTCGGCTTTTGGTCCGGGCACATCCGGAAAAGGAGGGAACTGTACTGAATGGACTTAGATCCCGATCAAAGTCTCTTAACTAGTATCGCTACTTCCAACTCTATGTGCGAACACGCTCCAAAGGGGACGTTCGACCCCAACTATTGAGGAACACAGCTTCTGAGACTCTTGTTGCTGGGCGACACTCTCTTCTCTCTGTTTATAGCTATGGCTGCTTAGGACTGTTACGAAACTTGCAACCTTAACCCTAAGTCGGGCTGAAAGGAGCCGCGCTAATTAGACCTTGACAAAAGCCGCGGGTCCCGCTAAGATACCCGCGGGAGTGTAATATATGGAGTTTTGGTCTGTATAGAATATATATATTTGTCATGATTAACTAAATTACAAGTCAATTGACGTCTTCCTGAAGATTCACCTTGGCCTACTCTCTGACGTAATATCGCCGACACCCTAACAACGGCACCCATGGTAGCTCACTATGACCTTCGCCACAAAATCTGCAGTGGACGTGAGCTCTATTTTAACTAGACAAATGCTTACAATGTCTCTGCGATAATCAGCCTAGATGGTTACTTGTCGCGGAAATGGCAAACGCTGAGGTGCCGAACATATCACTGGCAAGCGCAAGGGGGTTGCAGGTACATGATGGTCTCTACGCAGAAGCACACGTGACTGGTCAGAGATAGGTTCTGTCAATTGGATTGCCAGGCATCATCGGATCTAACTTTCTGTCATTTCCTCAGATGATGGTCTCGTGGAGATGGAGCTTAATGAAGACGATCCGCAGGTAGCTAGCTTGCTGGATAACCTCGAGCGCCAGCTAACCCGTCGTCCATCGGAGAAAGCAAGAGAAATTACTGAAAAGTCTCCCCTTCGACTCAATGTGGTTATCCACATTGTCGGCTCGCGCGGTGACGTACAGCCGTTTATTCGGCTTGGGCAAGAGCTAAAACGGCATGGTCATCGCGTAAGGCTTGCTACACACCTGGTCTTCCAGGATTTTGTCAAGAGTAATGGCTTGGAGTTCTTTAATATCGGCGGCGATCCAGCTGAACTTATGTCTTTTATGGTCAAAAACCCTAAATTGATACCGAATATGGAGACCCTTCTCCAGGGCTCGATCAGAAGACGTCGGAGGGAGATCCGAACCATCATCGGAGGATGCTGGCGTTCTTGCATTGAAGCGGGCGAAGGCCTCGATATAACTAGTGACGAAGCTTTACGGGCTCCGCCCTTCATCGCCGACGCTATTATTGCAAACCCGCCGAGCTTCGCCCATATCCATTGCGCGGAAAAGCTGGGCATTCCTCTGCATCTGATGTTTACGTGGGTCCTTACCCGTGCGAATCCTCTCGACTCCTTTTATTAATGACCTTAGAATGCCCTGGTCTCCAACCCAGGCCTTTCCGCATCCATTAGCTAATATTCGCACCCGTGACGCGAAGCCATCGGTCGCGAATTTTGCTTCTTATGCTCTGACGGAGATGGTCATCTGGCAGGGAGTAGGTGATCTGATTAATCAGTTTCGTCGCTGCGAACTCGGCTTGGAACAGTTGGATGCGATGCGTGCACCGAGTTTAATTCATCGCCTGCATGTACCCTTTACGTATCTTTGGTTCGCCTCCCATCATGGCAGTGCACAGATAGATTGACTTACTTATGTATCTCAGGTCCCCCTCGCTGCTCTCCAAGCCCTCTGACTGGCAAGAACATATTGATGTCACCGGCTTCAGTTTTCTGCCTGCAACTGCTGGCTACAGTCCTCCACAGGACCTGGTCGAATTTCTGGAAGCAGGTCCTCCACCAATCTACATCGGCTTTGGATCCATTGTGGTGAACGATCCGGATGCCCTTACCCAGATTGTTCTCGATGCGGTCGAAATAACCGGCCAACGAGCTCTTATCTCGCAAGGTTGGGGCAGCCTTGGAGCCGAGGCGATAAACCGCTCGGACGTGTTCTTCCTCGGAAGTTGTCCCCATGACTGGCTTTTCCAGAGAGTCTCATGCGTAGTTCACCACGGGGGAGCTGGAACAACTGCAGCGGGCCTAGCTCTCGGTCAGCCTACTGTTATTGTCCCTTTCTTCGGAGACCAGCCGTTCTGGGGGTCATTAGTCGCACAGAATAAAGCAGGACCTTCGCCTATTCCCTATAAGAAGCTTACTGCCGACCGGCTTGCCGATGCGATTCAGTTCTGTCTAAAGCCGTCTACCGTGGAAAAAGCACGCGAACTGGGCAGTCAAATCCGAGCAGAGGATGGTGCGCCGGGTGCAGTGGAGAGCTTCCACCGTCAGCTGAATCTTCGCTATATTCAATGCTCCCTGTGTCCTGATCGTCCGGCCGTTTGGCGTGTTAAGCGGACAAGAATACTCCTCAGTGCCTTTGCGGCTACTGTATTGGTCGAGGAAAACAAACTTCAACCGAAGGATGTCAAACTGTTTGTCACCCTGCCCACATGGAAACATGCGCCGGGCTAATTATAACCCACCAGATACCGCGGAAAACACTACAGCCCCAACCAAGGCTGTGCAGGAGCTGACACCTTCACAAGTGCCATGAGTAGCTTCCTAGTCGGACCCTTTGATGTACCCGTAAACGCAGTACAGAACATCTCCGTAACAGCTGCGGACCGATTCGCAACCGAATATAACCTCCCCTCCTGTGAAGCACGTCAAGCAATGCTGGCACCGTCTGCCTGCGTTGTACCACAAGGCGCACCTTCGCTGGAAGAAGAAACTAAGAATGGCGATGCCAAGTCAGCATACGGTCTATCGCCCGTTGGAACTACCCAATTGCAGGAAGGCACGCCGTCGATGGTGATACACAAGGATCCGATGCAAAAGATGGTGGCTAATGTGAGTTACCTGGGCCGTCGGCTCTCGAATTGGCTGGTCGAAGTGCCAATGGGGGTTACTTTATTATTTTCCCAGGGCTCTCATTGTGCACCACGGTGGTATCACGACCGCACTGTGCGAGATACGCCGGCGGGTGAGGTAACGGGGTTCATGTCTGGGGTTGTTGCAGCAGGAAAGGTAAGTGATCCCTGCATGGGGTTATATGGGGAAGTACTGACTAATCTAGGAATTTGGAGGCCAAATGTATGATGGTATAACTGGCGTAGTGACCCAACCAAGTCAGGGCTGGAAAGACGGTGGATATAGTGGATTGACGAAAGGCATAGGTAAAGCCGTTGGGGGTCTCATCCTCAAGCCGCACGCTGGTAGGTCTCTGTAGCTTACCCCCTAAACTTCTCGTTTACTGACCATGTGCTCGACGATGATAGGTGTATGGGGGTTGATAGGCTACCCACTGCTGGGCATTCATCGAGGGATAGAACATTCCTTTGGTGCAAAACGGCAGCAATATATTGTAATGTCGCGTATCAGACAAGGAACTGCCGAATCCAAGGCTGCGCTGCAGAAAGAAAGGCAGGCGGTGTTGATGAACTGGAGGATCTACGAGAAAGAGGTTCGGATACAGCATGGAAAGAGGCCTCGCTAATATTTTTCAATGTCCCTGCCAGCTCAAAAGCGTGGCTACTACTAAAGGTGTAACCAAGTGTGTAGTTGTGCTTATCTATATCATGCCTTCTTGGCGATCGTATCCCGAAAGCGGATTCTGAACTTAAGGCCGTTTTCAGCTTCGATGACATTACACTACATGTAATCATATTCACAATGAAGACAGTAATGTTTGAATGGCTGATGCTATTAAGAGATCGGTTAGGTCGAGACTGGGAAGCAAAGGAAACCTTAACAGCCCTTGGCCTACATAGGCTCATTGTCCCCTCCCGTTTCCTATAGCATCCTATAGCGTCTCCTAATAGCTCTGCTAGCTTGCACAATGTATAGCAGGTTCCGGTCTCTCTATTCATTGGTTAACGATGCTAGCCCATCCAGAAGGTGTTACCTGTCGGCATCGGCGCGAGGCCTGGTTCTATCGATTGCCTTTCTTAAATTGAGTTGCGCCGGTCAGTACTACCAGAATCGGTTGATAAGGCCCATTGACCATCGATATGTTTCCTTTCTCCTCGTCACGTTTAGTATTTTAATTAAAAAAATCCATACAGATCTATGAAACCGTGCTTTCAGTATATGACTTTGCTGGCCATGACAGGAAGAGCCACTTCACCATGCTGTCGAGAGGTGGTTGCAATACGTGCATTAAGTGGAATGGCGCACATCTGTTGGGATGATGTTTGTGTTAATGGACTCCTGCAAGCCGTTGACTCCGTTCCTAGGGAGATATTCTCTCTGTCTGTCCGCCATTGAACAGAGCGACGTGTTCCGTGCTTTTGTTTGCAAACTCTTTGGCATTGTAAGTTTATATTTCCTCCGTCAAATATGTATAGCGCACTGACAAGCCGCAATCCTAATTTCTATCGTAAGTTATTAACCTATAGGAGTCAAGGAGGCCGTTACCAGCTACACTACGAAGTCACGGATCGTATTCTGATTTCGTTTGCATAATGGGGTACACCGTAAAGGGCATATTAGTAGTGTTGTCTATCGGCCTGTACAAAGCAAATACCGGACTCCACCGATAATGTATGTGAAACATTGGATGAAGAGTAAATACTGTGCCGCTTGCAATTAGGTGACTGACACACACTTGACTGGGCCAAGGCATATCCAGATTGGACATCCAGGTAAACCAGAAAACCCTTAAAACCTTCCCCCTGGCTCAATGCTGCCGGTCCAAGACCTGCGATGACCACTACCCACATAGCCCATGTTACTGTCATGTTATTCCGATTAGTCTTGCAACATAGTTGGTAGAATTTCACAGGATACTAAGGCTGAGTAAAAAAACTAGCTACTATATGGTGTTTATGTTGTCATCTATTCAAGATATTAACTGAAATACTATTTTATAATAAAGCAGTTATATCCGATTACATGTGACAGGTTAACTTGATTGGGTGGAAGAGATGGCCATTCAGTGTTGGTGATATTGTGCCAGATCTGAGCTTCCCAAGCCGGGACTGGAACGGCTGAGCTGGATTCTATGACAACCGTGAAGTTGACCTGATGAGATTATAAGCATCATGTCGCTGCAGAGAACTCCAGGTCTGGAGATAATAGTATTCTTGCTGTGTTATCCTCTTCTGACTGCACTGCCTTCTGTACTTCTCTAGAGACAAGTAGTCTACCCCAGAGATGAATAGCTAGACACTCAGGCAAATAATCTTATCTGGGCTGGCTAAGTAAATAATAAATGTCAGGCTTTGGAGCGCTGGCCTGCCCTAAAAATTGGAATAGTGGAGGCTGCGTTTCTAGTATTGATCTCTATTAGGAATAAAATAAGATACTAAGATAGTAGCAGCTCTAAAGCTCTGAAGCTCTTTAGCCAGTAAGTAAAGGGAGTAAATGTGGTTAGCTATATTTATGGCTGCTCTGATTGCAAACACGGCTAGAAAGGCTAGAAAGACTAAAAAGTCTTGGAAGACAAATCAAAAAGATATATATATATACCTATACTGCAGGAGAGAGTAGAGAAAGGGTTATATAAAGTAATAGAGACACTTGATGATCTCCGCGATAAGCTACAAGCTATCATTTTATAAATATAACTGTGCAGGTCCGGACTATTTATTCCGGCATTCATAAAATCATCATATTTACATTATGTTCAAGAATTTTTGGTATTTATATTACCCCTTATTCTTCCTATTTGAAAGGAAATATCATTATTTCCGATACTTAGTTTATCTTGACAGTCAACTTGCTGATATAGCTTTGGGCCCATTATATATATAATCAGCACGGATCTTAAGTGGCAGATAAAAAGTACACTTACCATGTACTTATAGGCCTTCTGAACTTAGTTGAGAGTAAAAACCTTCTTATCTAAGACAGAGTAAATATCATTAGCCTTGATGGCCCGGATTATATCCTTTATCAACTCCTTGCTATCCATATAGACACCGCGAACGGTATAAATATTGCTAAGAGTGTCCAGGATGGTCAGCAGATCTTGATCCTTGCCACTGTCGAGGAATCCAGTCACGCTGATCATGCCCTCGTACTTGATGGCCTTGAAGCTCTGCGTGAGAGTGCCCAGTCCGCCAACCTTGATGACATGGTCCACACCGGCACCTTCCGGAGTCAACTTACGAGCGCTCTCGCCCCAGTTGGTGTCATCCTTATAATTGATGATATAGTCGGTGCCGAGCTTCTTCAGCTTCTCCGCCTTCGCGGCGGACGACGTCGTAGCGATCACGGTCGTACCTGCGGCTTTAGCGAACTATTGATAGTGATTAGTCGGCGCCCCTTATAAAGTTATTTCAACTTCTTTAAGCACATACCTGCAGGCCGAACATGCTCACACCACCGGTTCCCTGCACCAGGACGACCTGGCCCGGCTTCAGAGATTTCAGACCATACAGAGCATTCCAGCTTGTAAGAGCAGCACAGGTGAGCGTGCTGTTCTCGAAGGCATTATGATTCTTCGCAGCCTTGACAAGGCCCGTTTCGCTAAAAACACCATACTCGCGCAATGTACCATTAATCACACCGCCTAGGCCCGTCAGTGTCGCGGGAGGGTCGATCGCGCCGTACTAGTGGCCCTGGTTGAAGAGGGTCACAACATGGTCACCCTTCTTGAACTCAGTGACTTTGGGACCGACCTCGACAACCTCGCCCGAACCATCGGATGCGAGGACCACAGGGAATTTGGCGGGGAATGGATATTTACCCTGTCAAAACGAGATGAACCAGCACGAAACCCGAAGCCTACACGCCGAATAACAACATGCCTTAGGAATAACAAGGTCACGATAGTTCAACGACGCAGCGTAAAGCTTCACCAGCACTTCACGCTCACCGACTTTCGGCACCGGTGCGTCCTTGTAGGCGAGCCCGTCGAAGTCGTTATCCTTGTTCTCCACTACCCATTGCTTCATAGTCATGGAAGACAGTGAGTTCGGCATTTGAGCAGTTCAAACACCGAACACCGGCTCCCGGCAACAAACATCAAGAGTTTCGGCGGTATTCACGGGGAATCCGATAGAGGATATAAATCTCTAGCCTTTGGACTGACTAGGGATATTGATACGTATTGTCCACTTCAATTGAAGTCGTTTATTGAGAAACAAAATAATGGATCGGAGCAAAGTTGGTAGTCTGTAAATGGATCGTAATCCTCTTTGGCTTATAACGAGCGGGATTGCGGTCTACACACAGTGGCTGTTCGAATATAATGTAATTGGGGAGTCACGCTCAGTGCAACATGCAGTCATTTGGGTTGCCCGGTGGGCTGCACCGAGGCCGGTAAGAGGAAGTAAGTGAATGAATCCTAAGCTGTGTCGATGAGCTGGTTCATGCAAACTTGCTCCGGAAATGCCAGTTGCCCAGACCACGCTGGGATCTCGCGCTCAGCATTTGGACGAGTCAAATAACATGTTATTTCAGTGATGACAAGTTATGGTGGGTACATATGCCGTGATGTCGTCATCAGTTCGGTGTTTGAATGAGTGACTGAATATGAACGGGTGCTGCTCCGGACCGGGCATGCGCTGTGCACAGGTATAAGAAGGGGGGTATATAAAAGAAAAAGAAAAAGAAAAAAAGCGTCGTCTTAATCTACACCTATAACCGCCTTCAACAACAAACACCCTTAGTCCTAGAAGCTTTTACACCTGTGACCATGACTCTTCACGGAAGTTGCATGTGCGGTGCTACCGCTTATACCTCATCCTGTAGGTTGATGAATGTTGCGCGTACCTCATGCAATGTATATGCTTACAGGCTATGCAGCTGAGCCACTTGTAACGGCTCTCTGCCACTGTGTTGACTGCCAGAAGGTGCGTGAATATCTAAGACTTCTATTTTCTGGCAACTGAGAACTAACAATATTATTAATAGTGGACAGGTGGTGCATTTACTTCTAATGTTGTGGTGCCAAGAGATACCTTTAAAGTCACCAAAGGTACGCAAGAAAAGGCCAATTCTGGTTACAATGGTAGCTAAGATTAGGCTATATAGGAATCCCTAAGTTTTGTGACATCGCAGGTGCCAGTGGCAAGAATAACAGACACTTTTTCTGTGGAAACTGCGGATCAAGTCTTTTCACAGAGTTGGACATCATGGGCGACAAGACTGTTATCAAGGCTGGCAGTCTAGATAACGGAGAAGCAAATCTGCGCAACAAGGTCGATGTCGAGTTCTACGTTAAAGACCGCATTTCCTACCTTGGTGCGGTTGATGGTGCTAAGCAGGAGCCTCACTTTGGCTGAGTCGTGGGAAAGCAACTATCTGGTAATATACGCCGAGCTTGGCCCAAACATTGGTGGCTAGATGACGCTTTCATGGTGACGTTTAGTTGGAGTTTATTTAGAAAAGCACAAGCTCAATTTGCCAGATGCTACAAAGAATTATCTCCTAGCCTCTCGCGTTGCTTATACTCTTAGAAAACCAGCTTAGTGTATGTTAGCTTGCTATAGTACTACCTCCACTCTAGAAAACTACTCCATCCACATTCGCTATGCTAGAACAAAACCATTAGTATTATCTCTGTACTGTATCTGGCCTCTGGTTGAGGAAGTGTAGTCCATATTTCTACATTATCAACTGTACGGATATCCCAGGCGCATTGAGGTGTACGTCCCTATTATCTTTAGGACATAGAGACCAATACACACTCTAAATGATCCTTGCACCCTGGACATTTTTACAGAAGAGTGTCTGACTGCAAGTGTAAAGCGACTACATGAACTTCTAAGGCGGCCATCAGGCAATCTCATTAGATGTTCGTGACATCAGAACTAAACATGGTGCAAGAAGAACCAAAAGTCAGATACTCGGCGGCCATAGTCATCCTAGTAGAGGTGTGGAGATAAAGAAAATGGTCAGTGATGAGCAAAGTTACTCCGGCAGGTCCTCTGAAGGAAAGGCTACAGGTTAACACTACTTTTTGACATCATACGAATTTTGGCGTGATTTTGGTTGGTAGACCCAACCAGCAGTTCCGGGAAAGTTCTATTCTGCTCCGCTCTAATTGACAATAATCCGTTCGCCGAAACCAATCACCGAAAATATGTCCTTTTTTCTTGAGTCACGCTTCGCGGCCTGCTTAGAAATAATCTGCAATTATCGCCGTCATAGCTTCCGACCTAGACATATATAAGGCCTGGTGATGTTTCTCCTTCCATCAGTTAAAATCAGTTGAGTACGTGGATTTCAATCGCAATTTCTCTAAGATCATCGTCACAATGGTTCTCACTGGAGGCTGCATGTGTGGTGCTATTCGATACCAGGCTAATGGTACTCATTGCGGGTCACTTAGTTTAATCTAATCACACTTCGTTCGCGGATTCTGACCTGGAGTAATAGTCGATAAACCTGATGTCAAAGCTGTTTGCCATTGCAGGAACTGCCAGAGAGTATGTTAAATGTCCATGCGGATGTCGATTTATCAGGCCTCTAATACTGATCTAGTGGACGGGGGGGTCATCCACAACGAATGTGATCATTCCTCGGGAATCGTTCAAGCTGATCCAGGGTAAGCTGCGAGACTGACTTGCGCAAGAGTGCCTATAATCTGATGTTAATCTCTTTCTTAATGGAGGCGAACCAAAAACGTACCCTTACACCGCGGACTCTACTAAGACCTATCATACATTCTTCTGCGGAGTCTGTGGATCTGGCATCTATGGCGAGCCGGATTTGATGCCTGACAAGCTCTCGATCAAGGCGGGCTCACTGGATGACCCTAATTTGGAAGGGGAAATCGATTATGAGCTGTATACAAAGCGCCGCGTCGCCTATCTAAAGCCCTTGGATGGGGTCAAGCAGCTCGAGGGCATGCTTATGCCCTAGTTATGATTTCCTACATATGCAAACGTCGTACGGAGGGTATTTCAAAGAAGAGGGATATTTCTTTTGCTGAAAGGACTAGTTAGAGCATTGATACTAGAATGGATGACATCCTGTACTAGCCTACGCAGTATAACATTGTCTTGTTTTCTTTCCAGTTTATTCTTTTTATCATCTTTTCTGCTTTTGACCTACAGCCCCTTTATTTCTGTCTCTGTTGTGATGAAATCAGAGATCTCTTATTGTCTCGAAACATTATACCTATGGGCTCTTCTCCTTCCTCCTTCCTCCTTTCTTCCACCTACTCTAGTATTCAATATCAACAGATTAAATGCAACTTTTTGTGAAGAAGCTCTGGCCACTTTTACTGGCGACACCTGATAGACATTTCGAGGAAGTATCAAAATGCATTTTCATCCTTCTACAACGGTCGCATACCCTGGATAAGAGGCTTTGTTCAGGAAAACATCCAATCAAAACAATAGCAGCTTCTTGTTGGAGCAAGTACAGGTTTCGTGATAAGAAGGTCATTTATTTCATCTCTCTCTATGCACGGGGAGGTAGGATAGCGGGTGATGGTCCCGCAGGGATTATGTCCTTTGCGCCTACTCTCCGGCTCTCATAGAACTTTGTATACCCGAACTTACACTAAAGAAAGCAAACTGTCAACAGAAAGGGCATCATGGATAGGTTATTAAGATACTTACGGCGAAAAAGTCGGTCGTCTCCTCAAAGGCAGACTGGGACCAAGGCACGCCAGTGTGGTACAATTGACGGTACCATCGGTCAATTGCAGGGTAGTCAAGGCGTATCATCTTTAGGTTGCATCGAAATACAGTATAGTAGGCCACATCAAACCGTGCTATAGACGTGTATAAGCGCAAGTCGGTTTCTGTAATGTTTGGCCCTAGTAGAAAACGGTTTGACTGTAACCGCTGTTCCACCTGGTCTAATAAATCAAACACCTTGTCGCTTGCTTCGTCATACGCCTCCTGACTCGAGGCCAGGCCCACATTATAGACCCCAGCATTAAGGCTGGAGTGGATCAACGAATTGAGCTTCTCAATATCGGCTCGAAGATCATTTGGGTAGAAACCGCCCCCCGGTAGATTCATCTCTTGGAGCTCGGGCGGAAGAAGAGCGTCGAAAGAACTGTACAGCATGCGCATTAGGTCGCCGCTCTCATTGCTGATCACTTTTTCAGTTTTCTTATCCCACAGCATCGGTACCGAGCTTCTGCCTGTGTACCCCGGCTCAGACTTCAGATATAAGTCTTTGAGGTATTTAAATCCATACAGGGGGTCGCGTTCCGCGGTCCCGAAACGTCCAGAGAAGAACCAGCCGTTTGAACCCAACTCAGGGTCAAGGACAACGAGCTGAATCCATGACTTTAAGCCTTTCAAAGACCGTACTAGGTTAACTCGATGTGCAAAAGGGCACATCATACTTATGTAGAGCACATAGCGGTCTTTCTCTGGGGAGAGCTTGGCGCCATGTTCTGCTAACGTCGGGCAATTGGCCGCCGGCGGTTTCTAATGCAGGTAAGTAACATGTTGCCAGACAAGGAATCATACTCACCATCGCACAGGACATGGTAGATATGCGTTGCGACTAGAATGGAAGACTTGTGAGAATTTTTGGTGGCTGTGAAAAGGGAGTCGGAGAGGGCAGGTTATATAACTCATGTTTCTACGGAGTCGATTCTATCGGCCTTCAAACACCGAAGCAACCAGACTCCTCAAAGACCGTCATGACATAATCCTTCCAAACTTGCATGAAGGTAATTTATCTATACTAGTGTGACCAAGTGCCAGTCACAGAACTGCTTTCTATGAACTTTATTAATTCAATGACGACACCATGCTAAAGGAATAGATTAATGGTCTAGCCCATCTATGTAGACTCGGGCAAAGTCACCGACCGGAGCAAGGATCTTGGGTACAGCTATTTCGGCGTTTGGACGGCCAGAGGAATACCACGGACGATCCATATATTAAGGTTTCCCTGCCGCATTCTCCGGCCTAAACATCTGCTCACTTCACTAAGTTGCTAAGTTAAACTCATTACTTGTCTCTTTACTTCCCTTGTTCTTTCCTCCTCTCCAAGTGCTGATCCTCGCTTCGCTCCTTACTTGACTATATTTCTGTTAACCCGTGTTTTCAAGTTCCAATATGTCTCCAGTGGAAGTGCAACAGTATGACTATATTGTTATCGGAGGTGGCAGCGGTGGGAGTGGAAGCGGCCGTAGGGCTGCAGCATGGTATGGGGCAAAGACACTAATCATTGAGAGTGGAAAGGCTGGTGGCACTTGCGTTAACGTTGGGTATGCATCTTCTCTTGCAGATAGCTAGCCATAGCGTATATATATATATATATACCTAACCGGGGACATTTTAATAGATGTGTGCCCAAGAAAATGACCTGGAACTTCGCCACCATTAATGAAACTATCGATGCTGGCCGACATTATGGCTATGGGATCCCTGAACATGTGGGCAAGGATTTCAAGCACTTCAAAGAGGCCCGCGACGCAACCATTGCTCGGTTGAATGGTGTCTATGAGCGGAATTGGGACCGGGATGGAATTCGCCTGGTTCACGGCAGGGCCCGCTTTGTTGGATCCCGAACTATTCAGGTCCAACTAGTCAACGGAGAAATAGCGCATTATACAGCCCCTCACATTCTTATCGCTACCGGCGGTCGCCCTATTGTTCCTCCTATCAAGGGTGCCCATCATGGCATTACTAGTGACCAGTTCTTTGATATTGCCGAGCTTCCCGCCAAATTCGCCGTTGTTGGTGCAGGGTATATCGCAGTGGAGCTGGCAGGTATTATGGCTGCTATCGGTGTTGAAACACACATGTTTATTCGAGGCGAGCACTTCCTGCGCAAGTTTGATCCGATGATACAGACCACTATGATTGACCGCTATGAGGCGATGGGTGTCCGCATTCATAAACACTATTCAGGCTTCAGCGAGGTGCAGCTACTGCAGGACGGAGTGGGTCAGGACAAGTTGCTCAAACTAGTTGGTGGTGATGGGTATGAGTTGGTAGTTAACGAGCTTCTGTGGGCTGTTGGCCGTACCCCTGAGATTGAAGGCCTAGATCTTCATGTTCCTGGTGTGAAGTGCAAGCCATCTGGCCATATCATTGTGGACGAGTTTCAAAACACAAATACAAAGGGCATTTATGCTATTGGTGATGTTACTGGACAGGCAGAGCTGACACCTGGTAAGCTTTGCCCCGTTTGGTCCTATCGCCAATTTCTTTCTTGCTTACTAAATATGGTAAACAGTTGCTATCGCAGCTGGCCGTCAGTTGGCTAGTCGCCTTTTTGGTCCCCCCGAGATGCAGGATGCCAGGCTCTCATATGAGAATATCCCAACGGTCGTCTTCGCGCACCCCGAAGTCGGTACCGTTGGGCTCACCGAGCCACAGGCTCACGAGCGCTATGGCAACGCCGTCAGGGTCTACAGCACCAAATTCACTGCGATGTTCTATGACCTAATGCCCACCGAGGAGAAGAAAAAGAACCCAACACAGATGAAAATTATCTGCGTAGGTACTGAGGGAAAAATAGTCGGCCTGCATATCTTAGGGCTCGGCGTGGGAGAGATGTTGCAGGGATTCGCTGTAGCAATCAAGATGGGTGCCACGAAGAAAGACTTTGACAACTGTGTTGCCATCCATCCAACCAGCGCGGAGGAATTGGTGACAATGAGCTAAAGAATTTTAGAAGTCCACGAAAGTGACGCAAATTAGTAGTTTATTCCGGGGACGTATTGGCTATTGCTGTAGAGCTTTATCTTGATATTCTGAGGGTTTATTATTCTCTGAGCAGATAGGCATGGAATTGATGCATGACAAGACATCTGTACCTGCAGCTTTAAAGCCTATTAAGCGAAAGCCGCAAGTTCTCTGCTCTTCAACCGTTCAGTTAGCCCTACCCAGTTCTCTTCTCCTGATTGCCCCATGCAGGACAACGTGAAACCAATCCTTTCTTACTTCCACCAATTTAGCCCAAATCCATGAAAGGTGGATCTTACTATTGAAGGGCTAAATATTGTCTCCACGACTGTACTTGTCCATTTCGCCAGTGTGATGAAAAAGCCTCATGCTTTGATCAATCCGCATGGTCTCCCTTCCATCCACGACGCCCTCAAACTTATACAAATCAACTTTCATGAATACAAAGCGAAGCGCACGGCGTTTGGTCTTTACCAAAATCTAATATATGCGGCCATATTTGCCGACAGACGGGATATCCTGTTAGAAATCGTGGATCTTCTAGCCTTCGTCAATACATACTGTTTGATTTACGATTAGATCGCACTCAAGATCTAAATGACTAGTGAACCTCTATGGATTTTCGGGCTAATATCTTGTTTTATGTCGTAATGACGGATAATGCTCTCCAGAATACACTGGCAGTGCTCGGCGAAGATCGCGGCAACGTCAATCTTGTCAGCAAGCATTTGAGCGAATCTGCTTACCCATACAGGGATGGTAACAAGCTTATCTAGTCATCGTTGAGATAGCTTTCAATAGTCTTCTCAGAAAGGCTGCCGAGCGCGATAGCAAGTTGTGCTATAATGGAATCCGACCCTGGTCCATCGGTACCACAATAACGTCTGACCCCTGAAAAGATTATACGAATGCCCTATGCGTCATCCGTCATCCAGAAGCGGACATCATGTTGTTGTTGAACATTGCCTTGGCATTGGCCGATATTCTATAACAGTAGGCCATACAGCCACCGACGGTCCTCCATAGGTGGCATAGTATCACTCTCGATATAGAAAGGTGCACACCCCGTCGTTGTTGCACTTCACATTATACCAAAGGCGTCAAGGATGACGCGAATCCTATGACTTACTGCGAAGAAGACTGACTTTAAGAGGTAGTCGATCTTTGAAGTCTCAAAAGCTAAATACACCTTCTGTCAACATATGTGGTATTCGGAATACAATACACTAATAATTCAATGGCCAAGGAGATCCATATTAACATGAGGGTCAGCCCCCCTAAATATTTGCGGGCAATCTAGCAACTAAATGCATCGTTTTGGCCAGAATATCAAAGTCAAAATAGGAAAGTTGCACTGTAGATAGAAAGATATGGAAACTAATAATCGTCATGACGATGGCCGACTAATCACATATCTCCTAATTCGAAATAGTAGTTATTTTGGTTGACACCTTCGGAAATAGATGATAAGTAGAACTATATATTTGCCGATCAAAAAACGGCTCAACAGAGATAATCATTGGCGTTGGGCAATACTGCCTAGTTCACTAATCCTATCTCCAGTTAGAATAATGGCAAATAAGTTCCTTCTCAACAAAAGCCCGGATTTTACCGAAAGAAGTGTATGTCCTTGGTCCGTTATTACCTTGCTTTGTTTTTTTGCAGATGACACCTTTTTATAAATTTCATAAAGTTATGTCTCAAACCCCTTTTAGGAGTGGTTTCAAGCTTTTTGGTTTCAGTGCAAGTATTAGTATACTCACTGTTCCGACAGCATTCCTTCGGAGGTTGCGTCAGCAGAAACGGACTCTCCCCGTCACATGGAAGAGCGTTCATTAAAATGGCAGAATAACAATAGTTGATCTCGGCAGTGTCATTGTCAAACAGTTGGTTGTCGCTCGGCGAACTGGGACACGTAGGGAGAGTCATCGTTGAGGTAGGATTCATAAGGGTTATGTCTTGGATCATTGGTAGCTTCATTAGGTAACTTGGCTAAGAATATGACTTGAAATGGTGAGTGATGCATGCTAAATGGGGTAATTTATAGTCGAGTTATTACCAGACTCCTTCAGAAAATGAGTGAACATGTGGCGGCCCTACTCATTCTCGGTGTTTGGCGATTGACTTCTGGCTGTGCCAAAGCCGAGACGGGCGACTCACCTCCGTTCTCGGTTCCTAAGCCTAGATAGGCTCTTTTAGTTGGCCAATTAACCTCCCTTTTATTTGAGATGGCCAACCATGTCCGCAGACGGAGTCAGTTTAAACATTACCTCATCAAACTTGTCTATACAGTAATAGAATTTGGCACACCCAAGGTTCACAAGCAGGATAAACTCAAGCCAAAGTAGAGTATTCGATCTCAAAGGCCGAGTGGCAACTATATGCAAATTGTTTTTATACAGAGACCGGCTCTACTACAACAATCGCCAACTAAGTAACTAGATCGTACGTTATGATGGAGTTTCCGCTAATGAGTACCGAGTTGCAGATACCGAGCCGAAATCAGCGGCAGAGAACTTTCCCCGCCTGTGAAGAATGTCGCAGAAGGAAGATCAAGTGCGACAGTCAAACTCCCTGCGCATTCTGCGTGGGCGCTGGACATAGTAAGAATTTGAAGGTTCGCCTTATTCTTTTTACAAGGGCTTACTAACGATTGCCAGACTTGTATCTATATAGGTCGCACCACAAGAAGAACTGCTACAACGGAATCGAAAGTGGCAGTGCTGGAGACACGACTACAGAAATTGAAGTCTCTCTTGAGCATGGCGCTGCCTGGCGCTTCTTTCAATAATAGCACACTTGGCAATCTCCCTCTGCATGAACTTGCATAGCAGTTAAATATCGAGCCGCCAAGTGACAGATCCTCGGAGGAGCAGATCTGGTTGGGCTCGAATTATCTTCGCAGATGGAATTTCAGGTTGTGTAGGTGCGAGTCGGGCAAAGGAAATCACGTCGTGGAATTCTAGGTGCTCGATAAATTGAAAGCGAAGACGCGAGATTGTAAGAAGTCGGAGCAGCTTGTGCTCCCATACTGGACACTGGTGACTGTACTACTCTTGTCCTTAGGGAATAGGGAACTATTCGCATATCCACACATTTTCCCACATGGATAACTACACTAAAGCGGTAGGTGTTCAGTATGCTCTGAGCCACTTTCAGGTGGACTTCGAGCCGGAGACCTTTCTACCTGAATCGGGACAATCAAGTTGCTACAACCTTTTCAGTATGAATGAAGGGTATGGACCGCGTAGTCCTTGCTTTTCTCCCCCTCACAATGATTGGGCATTTCTATGGAGTGGCTAAGCGAAGCCCTGAAAGTAGAAAGCACATACATGCCAGGAACTACATATACCGGTGATTTCTAATCAGACATTTCTTGTTAACATAATCCACGGCTGAGCGACGAATTTTCGCTGTGCCTACTACAACCCGACACTTTTCAACTATAAAAATTAGTATTCAACTAACCTAACTAGTAGTTTCCTGGATCCGTGACAATCATCAACAATTCCATAATCTTGAATAATTTTAGAAAGACGAGAGAACCACTCCTGCTGTTGTGCTCGGGTGGCTGTCAGGGCCGGTTAGCCACCACTACTAGTATGTTTATGTGCTAACGGGAGCGAGGCACGAACACCAGAAATGTACCAATGAGGACATCCAACCCCAGTCTAGGCATGCTGGGCCACGTTATGAGAGTATGGGCCCGAAAACTTTGTTATTTTCGCTGAGCTGGCCGAGACACCGATACCATAATTACCAGGTTTAAATTATTATATTTGTCAATACTTGTCAATACGGCCGTTATGATTCGGTGTCTCGGCAAACTCCCATCCCCATCATGTAAACTTTTCCCAATATTGTTACGGACCTTTGGTAGTTCCGTTGAGAGTGGTTCAATTCACACTTGAGAAATAGTTTATGAACGGGCCGCGAGCTGGCGCGAGACACCCACTTCTCAGCTGTATGAACAAGAATTTGGTAAATATGGAAAACCTGGTAATTATGGTATCGGTATCTCGGCCAGCTCATTGTCCGCACATGTAAGCTTGTTCCTCAGTGCAGTAACCCTCTCGTCCTGCCGCAGCTCAACAATGATCGCCTCAACGTTAATTCCTTTTTCAACATGATCAAAAGGCTGATCAAAAAATGCCTATTCCTAGACAAGCCCAAGCTATACTGGGGTCATCATATAGAACTGTGTACCATTAATCTTTTTTTTTTTTTGAGTGCCTCACTTTCAGCGCCCAATGAAGCCCGCGCTGGAGACATATTAATGTTTTGTTCAAGGCGCTTCATCAGCTGCTTCGCCTTATAACAATGTTTTGCAGCCGTAAATTGCTAACGCTGTTGGACATGGTCAAGGTCTTAAGCTTCAATATGACTTTTAGCATCTTGTACGTATATAAGACCGTCTACCTTGACCGTACGGCGCAATCGCATGATGGGATTCAAAGGGCCTTTTCTTGCCTCTGAAGGTCCATGCAATACAATTGACATTATGACTCCTTCCTATGCCTGATCGATCGCACCACAAAACATACGACTAATCGTGGGAGATAACACCTTTTCAGAGCTTGGTATTATCTCAATCCTTTTCCGTATAGAATGTAGCATTGTAGGTGTCTCGAAAGAGCAGCTCTTCATGTGGCGGGGAGGGTATTTTCTGCACAGCAGGATAGGTGGTGATGGTGGTCCTCGTTGTTGTTGTCGCTGCTGCTGCCCAAGCCAATCCTCTTTAAATTATTTAGAGTTAATTTAGAGCCCATTGGCGCGTGTATCAGCTCGAAAACTATACCCATTTAGTTGATCATATAGAGTTAGTGGAATGAGGAACTTTATGTACACGTGTAACTTGGAAAATAGTAGGGATCTGCTTTTGTTGGATAGCAGATATTGCAAGTAGGATCCTGCCTTCGTGCTCAGCTACATGTCTTGATTCTCTAGCCGCGTTTAGAGGGTTTAGAGGCATGGTAGTTGTTAAGAAATCAGGGAAAGAGCTTGGCGTAGTCTTAAGTAAGAGGGACGACCGTAAAGGCGCATAGGCTACACGCCAACCATCATATAACTTAGAGCAGAGGAGCTTATAAAACGACGATGTATTCAACTATCTCATTGGGCTTGTCCTCTCCAGGAGCGTAGGACAACGCGTCCCCATTTGTAGTAAGCCAAATTTGTACAAGGCACCGTCGAGGATATGGGCTGGCTAATCCACGGCCCCACTGCTTAGATATAGCCTCTGAATAGGCCGAGTCCCTTATAGTGGTTGGTTAAATGCTTCAGTGAAATAGGATGCTCAATTTATAGGTGACGTGGCGTCTCGCTTCCCGAGTACGTTATTTGTTGAGCGGCGGCAGAACTGGAGGGTCTGCCGGGAGCGGTCAGCTGAAAGCTAAAGCTAAACCAACTTACAACCTTTCTTTCCTGCCAGCCCGACTGCAACGTTTTTACCACTCAAGCCTATGCATATTAATTTGGTACAATCTACCGCCCTTTTACAACAAAGTAGCATTTTGGAGTCTATATGATACTTACTGCTGGCAAATACATAGTTCAAATTCAAGCCTCACAGAGTGTTATTGTCGCAGCAGACTTTTTCTCCTCTTACTAAACACGTACAAGGCCCCTCTCCATTTCTTCGAGGTTTCGACGACATAGCTCCTGCGCGATGACTAACACAATGGAGCACAGCGATCTTCAGCAGAGCAGTTTCACACATGATATTGAACCAAATAATCTAGAGTCCTCCTCGCATCGCAAAACGCAAAATAGATCTTGCACATTGTGCCGTCGCCGCAAGGTACGATGTGACAAGGTATATCCTTGCTCAAATTGCTCACGGGCAGATGTCCTATGCTTTTATTCAGAGCCTTATAAACGTCCTCGAAGGCACAGCAAACTGACAGTGAACGACATTCTGGATCGTATAACCCGACTGGAGCGAACCGTCAACACTTGGGCTCTTTCTAATCAACCGTCAACTGAAACTTGTGAGCCGGAATTAAGAAGGGAAGCTCAGGAGCAGGATTTCTCGGACTCAGTTGATAATGTGGTCTTCCAGAATAGCGACAGCACAGGAGCAAACCTGTTAGCTGGTGCAGGGGATTCAGATAGTGGCTTACTTCTACAGCAAGGCGACAATGGAATTACATACGTTAACGAGTTTCTGTTTGAATGTGTCTTGAAAGAAGTTAGTACTTTTTTTCCTCGACATACTGCCCAGGCTGACCGCTATGAGCAATCAGGAACAAGAGCTTCGGTCAGTGCTTGAAGCTCAAGGCGCCGATGAGCTGAAGCCGTGTTCAGAAGCTAGATCTTTCACACTATCACCTTTAAGCATCAGGGACCCCTTGCCGAAAGATAATATCGGCACCGCCGCAAGTCACTGCCCCCACTATCCGAGTAAATGGCAAGCCCTACAGCTATGGCACACTTTCGTCAACAACGTTGATCCCGTCCTTAAGATTCTCCATATCCCGTCAGTACAAGTGATCATATACTCAGCGCTTAATAATCCCATATCCACCGCAAAGGATGTGGAAGGTCTGCTTTTTGCAATATTTTTCGCCGCAGTAACAAGTTTACCAGCGCCCGATGCAGCTCACCTACTTGGAGTTCAAAAAAGTCAAGCATTAGGAGCATACCGGGTAGGGCTAGAACATGCACTGTCAATGGCGAACTTTTTAGAGTCGCCTAGTGTTACATCACTACAAGCAATCACTATATATTTAGTGAGTTTCATTCTATACGACATTGTAGACCGCAGCTAACCCTATATTGGAAAGGCGTGTCTTCAGGTCTACGATAGTGGTCGCGCTGGATGGTCACTGATTGGCCTTGCTATCCGGCTAGCACAATCCTTAGGCTTGCACAAGGATGGCAATCACTTCAACCTCCCTCCATTTGAATCCGAGATGCGTCGGCGTCTTTGGTGGTCTCTGTACGTCCTAGAGGCGCGGTCACCGGAGAATCATGGAATTGTGTTAGACGCCCTTGATCACCTTTCGGATGCCTGTCTACCGCTCAACGCGAATGATAGTGATTTGGCCCCTGATATGCAAACCTTACCCTGTCCTAGGGTGGGGTGGACGGAGATGTCCTTTACAATCTTAAAAGCGGAGATAAGCCAGATGTTCCGGAAAATAAGTGAACCTGCCTTAACCTCGGTCTCAGGGCAGAACATTTTTGAATACCATGCTTACCGTCTCGAGGAATCTTATCTCAAATGCTGTGATGATAATATTCCGGTTCAGCGGGTGACAGCACTAGCAACTCGTACGATTATTGCTAAGATGCAATTTATCATGAAACGACGGTCGTGTTGTCGTGGTTCGGGACTGAGGTACACAGAAGAATTGCTTAATGAAGCCTGCAATATACTTGAAATAAGTTTAAGCATTTATTCAGATGATCTGATGAAAGGGTTTTACTGGTACGCTAAAACGTATACCCAATATAATGTGCTGACCTATGTGTTGGGCCACCTGTGCGCACTGCCCCAAGGCCCAAGCATCAACAGGGCATGGAAAGCCGTGGACGAGTCTTTTCAGCTTGTCGACAGCTCTGATATTCCCCACGAATTTGGGTCCAAATGGACAATCTTACGTTTACTACGGGGGAAAGCGTTGCAGCTAAGGCAGCCAGCGAGGGGGACCGACTTCTTGCCGCTGGACTCAACGTCGAATCTGCCAGGTGACAGTTTAGAAGATCCAACTATATCCCGCGATGCCATCCTGGAACCCTGGGCTCTGGATAGCTGCACCGACATCCTTGACTGGAACTTATAGAATTTGTTAATTTAATTTGCGGAATGGTTACACCTATGCAATCGTCATTCAAGTCTTACAGTTCCCTTTTTCCGTAGCGCACATACCGGCTCACCATGCAAGCGACTAGCATCACCAGTAGACTTTATGGCGTGACCAAAAAGTGTAGTGGCTGGTCTGTGAAAAGTAGCTCAATTGTGGGTTCATTCAGCCGCTGACAACTGGATGTGATCCTGGCTGTTACATTCCTAGCTCGTGTTCGCCTCTATACCTCTCCAGCATACAGTTCCTCGGCAACAGTCTACGTAATTTTCCGCAGCCATTAAACTATATATAATAGTCAGAAGGCCGTGGCCTTTATATATTCTGAAACGGCAATTGCTTGGCGCCTGGATAGCTTGCTATGGTATACATACATTCTTTTCCACAAACGCTACCTGGCAAATTGATCTCTCCGCTTCCGGGGGTATATGTGCATTTGTTATCTCGCACTTCCTATAATGAAAGGCTGCCTGTTTTCCATGGCCAGTATTTCTCCGGTCAGCCTGTGAGTGAGTATGGCGTACCAGCCGATTAAGGAGTTTGATTTGATGTACAGAAAAGGTTCTTCTGTCTCTTTATATCACGATTTATCGCCAGCCTCAAACATATCCTGTTAGGGTCATCCGCCCGCCAGGGGAGCAGCATGTAGGTCTTCATTGTTCTCGCGCCGTTGAAAGTATCTGGGGTGACAAAGGCATTAGGTCATTAGCATGTCCTTACCTACCTAGGATAGAGTCCTTCAAGATCAGAGTGCGCCATGGCTAGCTCCGATAGATAATATGTGTTTCGAGAAAAGGTCCATATCCCATTGGTTCATACCTAAGATATCAACTAAGATAGTTATCTGCAGCTTTGTGATTATGTAATCTATCAAAAAATCCTGCCATCAAGTAGTTGAGTGACTTCGTCTCAATGCGAATGCGGGCTCCTGCTGTGTATTCCTCAGGAGCACACCGAATAGAGCGGGAAAAGGCATGAACACCAAATGAATCCTCAGAAAACCACGTCCTAGGCTATAGCGTATATTGATAGTGACTCCCAGTACAGCTATAAATATACATATCATGGTGGAATGGCTTTAGTTTGCAAACCATGTATATAGTGCACAAAATAGATTAATTATATTTCCAAAGGCTCCCGATTGATCACAGTATATACTACAACTATGCACCTACCCTAATAGTCCATTTCACAAGGAATCAAGGATAGAGCACATAAGGGACTGACCACATCAAACTTAATGCCCTCCACGTATGGATGCTTCTATCATTGGTGACCGTTAATCTACTTTTCCGACTGAACTAACCATACTCCGCCACCAGCATACGACTACTCCGCTTAGAGCGCTTGATCATACCTAGGGTTATTTGAGTGTTATTACGGGAATTGCCCGGCGACTTAGTGGTAACACACTGCACGATCCGCCCGGATGCTGCCAGTTACGGTAAATGAACAAGGTTCCATGAACGGACAGTGACCTGGCCGAGATACCGAGCTCTACTTACCCTATTGACCGGACAATACAATAAATAAAAAACTAGGGAAATCTAGTATCGGTGTCTCGGCCAACCCGACGGTGATAATAGAGTTTGGTGTGCTTATCTCCGCAGTACAGCTGCGGGCACTCTATCCCACCAGCAACAATCCAGACAGGATGCCAGCACACGCAGATCTAAGCCGAGTCATTTCCAAGACAAGACAGCGAAACTATATAAAGTACCGAACGGTCTTCCAAGGTTAAGCCAAAGCACTTTATTCCACTGTCTCCTTATCAGATTCTGAATATAAAGAAATCGCCAACATTTTCCACCATGTCTGCTCTTCGTCAAGACATTGAATTCAAGACACTTGATGGTGTGATCTTACGAGGTTGGTTCTACAGCCCACGGCAGGATACAGCGCAGCCATGCATAATTATGGCAAGTGGTGTATGAAATCCCAATTTCCTTTGATCAAGGTAACCAGGCATTCGCTGATTATATATACTTCTAGCTGGGGGGGCTGAAAGAACAGTTTCTTCCAGATTTTGCAGAGCGTTTCCAAACTGCTGGTTACGGAGTTCTTGTATATGACCATCGCAATTTTGGCGCCAGCGATGGGTTGCCTCGCAAAGAATGTGATCCTACTCAGCAAGCGCGTGACTATTCTGATGCATTTGACTTTGCTGCGTCTTTGCCAGAGGTGGATCGGAGCCAAATTATCTTTTGGGGCTCAAGCATGTCAGGTTCGGCTGCTATATATGCTGCTGCCTTTGATAAGCGTATTAGAGCTGCTGTTTTTCAAGTTCCTTTTGTATCAGGGGAGGCTAAGAGTGAGCTTTTTTCCAAGCATCTTGCAGCTTTGTATGAGAACCGATGCAATATCAAAGCTGGGAAACCGGGCGCTGTACTACAGGTCTTTGCCCAAAACTCCAAGGATGCGAAAAGGCCGGACTGTACAGCCATGGTCAATGAACCTGGAATTATTCCATTCCTTGAGGAGCTGGAACGCCGCAATATTCACTGGGAAGGCGCGGTTACTGCCCAGACAATTCTCAATATCATCAGTTGCGAGCCAATGGCCTTTATCCATAGAATTGCCCCGACTCCATTCCTTATGGTAGTCTCAGACAATGATGTGGAGGCTGTCACCGCTGCTCAACTCAAGGCATACGCATCAGCGTACGAGCCCAAGCGCATTACTGTCCTACATGACGCAGATCATTTCAAACCTTACTTTGGCCCTACCTTTGAGGAAAACATCAATGCCCAACTAAACTTCCTCAATGAAGTTTTGGGGAAGAACTAGGAGACAGGCTCCTGACAAGATTAGTTTGTGATATATCTTGAGACTCTATATAGAGCTCACACTTTGAATCCTTATTCATTCTTGAAACTATCTAGAGCTTTCTGTCACGAACACCTAAATGCTTGCCGGCCGGATCATCCCACTGGCCAGTCCAATCAGGACCGCCAGCCAGGATCCCCAGCCAACAATATACATACCGCCCAGAGCTCCACTTAATCTGCAAATCCTTTGCTTTGTAGCTATCTGCAATAATGATACACAAATTTGTAGCAGCTAGACCTCGCCACTGCCCGTCCATGGGCAGCCCAGGAAACACCTTTTTTTTTTTTTTTGCTTCTTTGGCATAATTAAGATAGATAAATCACTCATTTAGCTCAATATATTAACGTGATCGGATACCGAGCGAGACGCCCCTAATCCCCGAGATTTTGCAACCATCAAAATCAAAATCTATCCTAGATTTCTATTCCACCATGGCATCAAAACAAGGTGATTTAACTGTTAAATTAGAAGATCGTATATCCCTTGCAGCCAAGGCATATCAAAATGGTCAATTTAAAGGCGTTCGAGCAGCAGCAGCAGCATATGATGTCCCACATTCCATTCTAGCCCATCGAATCAATGGCCGAAAAGCACGGGCTACTATACCAGCAAACAGCCAGAAGCTTAGCAGCCTAGAATGATCTTCGTTAAAGAAATGGATTCTGGATATGGATGAGCGTGGCCTACCTCCAGCACATGCTGCAGTACGCAGTATGGCAGATCTACTGATTTGGTGTTAACTTCGGCTAACTCCGCTCCAGGAAGCCCTAGTGTACCATACTTGGAGCAGTTAACAAAGTGATTCTGGACTATCCGGAGATAAGACAAGTCCTCTGTTATCCATTCTACTGTATTAGCGCGTCTTTCGACGGTGCTGGAGATCAAGCTTACCCAACCTCGCCCAAGGACCGGTACAGCGGATGTCTCGGTGAGTGGATGGTCGCCAACTGTTGCCCTAGACTTGGTGCGTTGGCATTGCTGGCAATTGGACCTATAAAGGTCAGGTCATCGCTAGCTCTGAGGAAGATATGGTATTTGTGTAAACATTTTTTTTCTTTCTTTCTTCGTTGGATAAATAACTCCGTGCATATTCCATAAACCTCATGTCGGAGTTCCTTACACCCGCTCCAGAGCCATCCACTGAGCTGGGTCGCTACCGCATCCTCTCATCGACCGCGGGGATCCGCGTGTGACCGCTCCAACTGGGCGCCTTGTCCATCGGAGACTCTTGGTCTCAGGTCCTGGGCTCAATGGACAAAGAGTCCTCGTTCAAACTGCTGGATGCCTTTGTCGAAGCCGGCGGCAATTTCATCGACACTGCAAACAATTACCAAGACGAACAATCAGAAGCATGGATAGGTGAATGGATGGCTTCTCGGAAAAATCGCGACCAACTTGTAATTGCCACCAAGTACACTGCAGACTACGAGAGAGAGAGGCTTATATTATAGAACTAACTTATAGACAGCCCTATATCATAGAAAGCTCTGCCTAAGGCATCGCTATCAAGCCTTTACCACACAAATATTTTGTACAACATGTTATTTCTGTTAATTAGCTATTTCTTCTTGTTTAACAGGCATACTTAGGTTAGAACAATCTATTCATCCCGTAACATTAATAAAATATTATTTATTTTATAAAAGTCTAAGAATATTAAAAGATATCTAATCTTACTAGATATAGCTAGTAACTTACTTTATATAGTTAGCTATTATTCTTAGCAGGTTTTCATAGTTTTTTTAGGCTAAATTTTTTTATTTTAAATAACCCTTGGGTGGTTTTCAGAGTTCTGACCCGGACCATAACCCACCCGGGTTGTACTATACTCAAAACCCGGCCCAACCCGCGGGCCTAACAAGTCTAGTCTTCTATTTGTAAGTACTTGCTTACTAAATATAAATTGACTGTAATATATTGATAAAAGGGTTGAAAGAAGCAGTATTAAAAGTAGAGACTATATATATAATAGCTACTCTTCTAGATCTATAATCAGAGCAATAAATTATCCTGGACAGCACAGTAAAAGATTTGGCGCAGTTAGAACAGGGATATAGAGAGTTAGTAACACACGATAATAGACAGTGTATATAGAGAATATTAGATAACTCTACATAAAGAGAAATCTGACAGTCCAAGCATAGCCATGTCTTGATATGAGATGGCACCTGTGATAGACAGTAAGCCAGGCAAAGATCTGGCTGGATAGTTATAGATATATAAAACTGACAACTGTAATTCAGACAGGATTAACAGGATAGTATTTTCTAATACTGAATCTCTAAGTGCCTAAGTCCGCAAGGTTGGAATAGTAAAGATAAGAAGGCAATATTTTGAAAAGGCACTTACAGAATCTAAATAGTAAATTAGTAGTTGCTAGTAAGAAAAAAGACATGTAATATATTAATTAAAGAGACAGTCCGCACACTGAGATTAACTTAATAGACCAGTTGTATCTGCGAGCGCTCAAAATATATATATAATAGAGCATCCCAGTAAAAGCATGTATGGTAATAACTTAGTCTGCATATAAGTATAAGAACTGCATTAGAGCCAAAACCGGAGCAATCATGATAACAAAACATGCAGATTAAGCCCTACAACCCTAAGCCAAGACAAGTCTTTCTCAAGAGAAGGTGAGCTAAGAGTAAATGAGAAGCGCGCGTGGCAGTTGATTTAGCCCATACCAATCGCACTTCTTTTGTGTACGTCCTCGCAGGCTCGTTTACTGGTGACGCGCGCTGCCGCACGCCGTAAGCCCTGAAACGATGAAAAGTGCTAACGCCCGCATTGTATCTCTCGATAGCATGATACAGGCATCTCAGCCGCCTAGGATCTAGAATAGCTTGTCGGCGGGAGCCTTACGAGACTGGAGAGCCCCGAGGTACTAGGCAACAACGCCCCGGAGAGAGATGCTTCCAGGGTTGTCATTCAGTTTCGGAAAATCGAACCCCATATTCTCCGGTAGGTCTCCATTAACTGTGAAAACTGTTGTTTCTTCTTGCTGAGTTTCGTCGTTTTGAATTTGCTGGGCGACTCTCCCTGACTGAGGAACGGGGGGAGGCGGCGGTGGAATGAACATTTCAGGCATTGGTTAGGGTTGATTGAATAGAGGGAGTGATAGAATTTTGAAGAAAAACACCGCTACCAAGGCGAGGGTAAGGGGAGACTCTGTTATATAAAATGTCTACACTCGCACAGATATAGCTTTGCTGCCTGAATCCATGCAAAGAAACCGAGGTCTTTTCCATCTGAGTTCTGCCTGGACCTCCTCTATGGTGGGGTTTAATGGCCACTCCACAACATCAGTCGAAGTTGTCTCGATCCATACCCATGGAAGTTCACAACGCTTCGTAGGCTAATAGTGCCCTTTTTAATTCGATATAGCGCTGTCTCGCCAAGGGAGCTCCCGAGTCATATGGCGTTTTATCTAGCGTCTCGTATTTCCCGCATTCCAGCAGAGCAGAACACGAGGTAGGCATCTGCGATTTGAATAGCTTATTATCTCATAGGTCGGATCCCAAATGCTTAGTAAGTAGGAGCATCTTCTATGTCGAATCAACACTTCCACTCACATCATCTGTCAGCATTGGGCGACTCGGATGGTGGTGTAGGTCCGCCGTTGCAACAATGAATCTAGGTATCAATAATGGTCTACCTCTCGTACATACCGAGCCCACGTCAAAATCTGGGTCAATCTACTCGGAAAACAAATATCACACAATCATATCTTCTCTCCCATCAAACCCAACAATCCCAATCCCCAAAACCCAAGCCCACAATGCCACCCAACCCAATCTACACCACATCCCCGCCCCCAAAAGACCACATCCACGATATCAAAGCCACATCCCCTAACCGACCCATCCCCCCCAAACCATCCTATGGTATCGACTCCCCCCTCGGCCTAGTCTCCTCCAATGTCCTAGCCCCATTCTATCTCTACGCCTCCCTAAAAGGCAAATTCGACACCTGGAACGCCCTCCTCTCCCAAATACCCCCGTCGACCCTCTCAAAACGAACCCTAGATTTAGGACCCGGCCGCGGCATAGTCCTTCTCAAAACTGCCTCCCTCAAGAAACAACTCCATGACCGGAGTGCCGGACCCGTGGAGCCGGCCTACGGCATCGATCTATTCATCAGGGGCGATCAGAGCGGGAATTCGCCGCTAGCGACGTATGATAATGCTGCTGCCTTGGGGGTTCGGGACTGGGTTGTTTTGCATACGGGGGACTTTGGACGGTTGCCGTTCGCGGATGGGGTGTTTGGCCTTGTGACGGGGAGTTTGTCGATTCATAATGCTAATAAGGAGGTGAGGAGAGATGCGGTTAGGGAGGCTGCGAGGGTGTTGGTGGGTGGTGGTGAGTTGGTTATTGTTGATTTGGCTGGGTATGTAGGGGAGTATGCTGGTTTTCTGGAGGAATTGGGGTGGAGGGAGATTGAGGTGGAATCTGGGGGGTTGAGGTTGATGTTTGGTGCGTGGCCTGGTCGTGTTTTGAAGGCGAGAAAACCCCGGATAGAGGTGTGATTTTTATTGGGACTTGATGGGGTGGAAAGTGGTATACCTTCGATCGACTTTTGGTTAACATGGTATGGGCCCTTGATTGAGAAGTGCTCGATATTTGCTAACTTTGGGATATTGAAACAAGGCGTTAGTCTTTTGGACTCGATTCTTTGGGGGGGGGGGAGGATTGCCATATGTCTTTCTGAGGTCTGAAGTTTGTTCAAAATATGAGAAAGAACAGGTGGTGGAAGGTTTGGACTGGTCACTAAGCTTTGATAAACCTTGCTCACAGGATAGCTGTCCAATCCGTTTTGAGGATGACTTCTGTAGGCATTATTGGCTATGAGAGGTGGCTGCGGTCATTCTATCATTTAACTGGCAAATGCCAAGCCACATCGGCGTCTCCGCAGCAGCTGAAGAATACGAGCACTCAGTGATAAGCTAAAAGTGAGACCGGAACTCAACAGCTTAGGCTGAAAAGTACAGATTTGGCTTCGCGTACGCGCGGACATGGAGTTTGGGTTAAGGCCACCATATACCTGGTCATTTCAGCCGACGAAGGTAACCGATAAAAAGATAATGTCCACCCAGGTTTGCGAGGAGAAGAGTACAATAAAAGACGGGGATGAAAGGAAAAGATAGTTTCAGCACCCTTTCCCTTTTTACTACCTTCTGCGTTCAAGAAAAAGGAAACAAAGTAGCCCAAAATAGGCGCCGAATCCGCCTCTGAGCCCCCCAAACTCATGCGCAAACGCATCATCATCTGTTGCGATGGCACCTGGCAATCCTCCGTCAATGGGAAGGACAATATCCCCTCTAACATAACCCGCCTCTGTCGTGCAATCAACAGCATCGGCATTGACAGCAAGGATCACAAGCCCTGGCAACAAATTGTCTGGTATGACTCGGGTGTGGGCACAACTTCGGCGGGAATGATGAGTACCGGTATTGAAGGAGCGTTGGGTGAAGGCCTAGAAGGGAACATCATCGAAGCATACAATTTCTGTGTCCTAAACTGGAACCCAGGCGACCAGGTTATGTGCTTTGGGTTCTCGCGCGGCGCGTACACAGCAAGGGCCATTGCAGGCCTGATTTCGGACATCGGGATCTGCTCCAAAACCGACATCGGGGATTTCCCTGAGCTGTGGAAGATGTACAAAAAGACTAAGCTGGGAGGCAGGTTTTATGGTAGTGATGCGTATTATGACTATCACGATGGGAAGCCGGCCGATCCGCAGCCTGAGGAGCAACCATGGGGGGAGATTGTATGGGAGTCTACTCCGAGGGGGCAGTGGGCTTCTACACCCGAGTCCAGGGAGGTTGAGGTTGTAGGTGTCTTTGATACGGTTGGCGCGCTGGGGTTCCCTGAGGTGCTGGGGTATCGGGTTCCTTCGTGGTTGACGTGGACAGATAAGCCCGAGTGGCATAATGTGGGACTTTCGCCGAGTAAGTACTTCTGTGTTATTATTCGGCACACAGTGATAAAATACAAAAGAAGGGCTGACCTCGAACCATTTTGACAGATATCAACAACGCCTTCCAAGCATTAGCTCTTGATGAGCACCGCCGAGCGTTTACACCAACAATCTTTTACGTTCCCACTATCGCACCAGCCTCCGACACGGAGATCAAAGAACAGAAGGAAGTTTTGCGCAAGGCATACCGAGAATGGAGTGAGCTTGTGACGAGCCATCGACCCGCCGTCGAGGATTTGCGGCGCGTAGCCAAGGTCCGCAATGAAGCAGCCCGGAAACTCCTAGAAATGGAGGATAGCAAGACAACACCTCCCAATCTCGTGCAGGTGTGGTTTCCAGGCTTCCACATCCATATTGGGGGCGGCTCCAAGGAGACGTTGAAGAATCAAGGGAACATGGAAGAGATGTCGAACATAGCCTTTTCATGGATGCTCGACCAAATCAAGGAGTACATCTCGATCAACGATGACACGCTGCGGTCGGAACAATGGATACGTCAAGACCGTCTAGACCGCTTCAACAATGCGCTTAAATGGCACAATGAATGCGTCGAGCGACGCAAGGCAGAATCGTGGGGGGAGTGGCTGAAGCGAAATGGTCAATGGGCCGTCTCATCGATTCGGCATCCCCTGACGCAGGCATACCGAGAGGAACGGAGTTATGGGTGGGGTACTGGTGACTTGCCTGATAGCTTCGGGGTCGCTTATGTGGCCAATGGTTCGAAGACGCGCACGCCGGGTCGCTATGCCCTCGGTAAGGATGATAAAAAGCTAGGCGAGACCTTCGAGTATATCCATCCCACGGTTGGATTCCGTGTGGATCAAACTGCAAAGCACTCTGACACGCGCAAGCATTATCGCCCAATCTGGTTGACTGGCGATCGGTATGATCGTCGACCAAAGAAGAGCGGCAAAGGATACGAATATTGGTTCAAATATAATGGCACGTCCAGTTATGAGGTGTTGCCTGAATGGCCAATAGCAGCACACGTCAAGTCTTACGAGCGGTTAGCGATTCAGGGGCCAGCTGCGTTTGAGTATGTGGACAGGTTGGATAAAGACCTCGACAATGGGTTCATAACTCCTCGTGGACGGCAAGATCATTTGCGGGGCCAGAATCAGGTTACAGCATCGGAATGGACTGCGGGTGTATGATAGCTCTGATACCTTCACTATGGGTATATTGGCCGGATCAAGTGAAGCGAGCGGTCCTTTTTGGGAGGGTCCATTACTCTTTAAGGACTGTCTATTATGATCCTCGACTATTAGTATGAAGCTACTCGGTATACCATTGTATTTCTTTTCGTGTACCTAATGCGTGCTTGCCCCAAGAATCAAATGTATATGAATCCAATATCGATCATAATCCTGACGAACTACAAATTCGATGCCACCTAATTTAGAGTGGTTCGTTTCAACCATGTCGCAAGGAGGATGAGTTTCTCGCGTCACGCCTACGACGGCTTCTTAGCCAACTTGAGATACGTAGGCGTCAGTTCGAACAACAAAAGCGGCGCAGGTCTTTGGATGAACAATGATTTTTGGCCTCAAATTATGTTGGATATTTGGTGAGAGAGGAGTAAATATATGCCCGCTTAGTTTTAAGTGACTAAACGACGCCGTTGTAAACATAGAAATATGAAAGTTGCCGTGACAAACATCCTGGCGAGCATCATAGCTGAAGCCGTAGAGAAACCAGACGATCTACGAACAAATTCCGTACAGACTTTAAGCAACTGATTTAGAAGTTATGCAAGTTCCTAATAGGCCTCTTGTTGTTTAGTGAGGAGTGGATATGGAGGTTGTTGGCACCTACAAAATCCACCCCACCTCACCTTCTTGTCGCATAGAAAACCGCTTTACTGGCTAGAACTAGATAGAACATAGAAGGGGAAAACAAAAACATACAACAGCCGGGATTCGCTGGTGGTCACCCACCCGACTACTAACCGGCCGTCTAGGCAGCATTAATCTTGTATCTACGCAGTCATAGCAAGATTAGTTAAACCATGTACCATCACTATCTTGCCAAATCTAAGAATCACAGCTGTATTGATTCTGGGCACAAATGTATCCAATGAAGAGACATTCCTTGGCTATGGGTTCACTTGTTAACAAAGACCAGGCTTCCAACCCTGCTATGCTGTTTTCAACTCCCTGTATCCCTGCAGCTTAGCTATCCCCGTTGCGCAGCATGACTTTGGGGTATAATCTCCACGCTCACCGCAATCGATATGGATAGACTACAGATATTATTAAGGTAAGAGGTGTGCTCGTCCTTCTCGTCTACTTCACTAAATGATAGATTAAGCTCCTCGGGAAACCTTCCTAAAGTTGTTCAAGGACTTCGGTCAGCCAGGGAATGTGCGATGGTAAGACTTTTTGTGAGGCTCTTTAGAGAGTGTGGTTCGAGATACCGCAGCTCATGCCGTCTGAGATACATGGACGGGCCGCGGACGGCGCAAAAGCCTCGGGTCCCTAAGCCAGATGTAAGTGTTCTCCGCTACGTTGCGTCTCTCAAGATAGATTGCATGCATTCTACATAAACGTAAAGATATTTTTGGTTCGTCAAAATTACAGCCAACTCTCAAGCTTCGAAAGTGAACATTTCGATGAAGAAGAGGACTATATTTGCCTGTTAATCGCATTTGAAAACATTTTCGTCAGTCCTCTATAGTACATAGTTGTGAGGGCACATGATATTGGTAAGCAAGGAAACCGGATCACAACCTTGTGTTCAGATCACTATAACGCCTGTAATGCTTGGGAACCTGCTCGATATCAATGATCGAGCTCACCACAAGCTAGGAGTAGCTCGACCGGCGGCGATCAAGTCAATAAGCGCTTGCGCATGGTCTAGTGGCAGAACAATCCGCTTCCCACGGTCAGGGCTTTCCCCCACAAGGATGCGATGGTATAGGAGCTTGGGCAGGAATCTGGTCGGCCAACGGAGCTCCCCGGGTGCTATTCTGTCCACCAGTGTAAACATCAGCGATGGCAATGCCTCCTTGCTGGCCGACGACTGCAATCAGGTTGCGGGGTACTCATCTATTAACCCGTTGACACGTCGCATTCGCCAAATCGAAACCAACGCAATCCAAAGCCCTGGTGACTCCATTCGGTTCAAGAGTAATGATCTGCGCAACGGGATCTGAAGTATTAAAGCTGATGGGCACAGTGGCTATCGAAGAAGCCAGTCCTAGTCGACTTGGGACCTGGTCAACCGAGTAGACGCGCTCAGCACCGCTAAGCATAGCGGAGTACGCCGCCATGAGGCCTACCGGCCCTGCCCCGAAGACGGCGACGGTAACACCTGGCTGGAATCCACTGTAGCTCAGCACCTGCCAGCCAGTGGAGAAAATGTCCGAAACCATTAAATAGTCAAGTTCCTTAGTTGCATTTCCAGTCCGACCGTTAAAAGGAATGGGGATAAGGCTCATATCCGCGAAAGGGACACGAGCGTACTCGGCTATAAGGACTATATCAGTGACTGACGCAAGGCTGGGATGTCGAAAGGGCTTCTAAAGTGTACCTTGCAGACCACCATAGTCAGGGAGCCGCTACCTAAAGAAAGCGGATGAGGTTGACTGTAATGGCCATCATGTGCATTATCTGGGATAATAAAATAGCCTCCAACCAGGAGAGATGGCACGGCACCGCCAACCTCCGAGACGTATCCAACCGCCTCATGGCCTAGGCCCCACGGCACGTTGGGAGGCCCCCAATAGCCATGGTAAAAATGCAAATCGGACCCACAGATTGCTGAGGTGGTGGTAAAATTGAAAGACGAACTCGACAGGTACGTGTTCTGCCCAACGATTCGGGAGACAACAGGTTTACGAATCGCGTTAAAGAAAGTTGCTAGCATCAACGGTACAATCCCATATACGCCACGCTGGCCAGATTACCGGCTAAACTAGAACTCTTCCAGGATCGCGCGCTGAGAAATTTCTTGGCATAAGTTGGAATCTGTCTCCGTGCGCTGGTCTCTAGCAACTGCCAGGATACCTGCAGGAATCGGTCGAAGAGGAGTCCCAGGGGCATGACCCTTGGCCCTGAGCGAAGATCGGCCGCTCTCCAGAAGCTCTGGATGGTGTGTTTGGATATGCTGCGCCAGAACATCGCTGAACAGAAAAACAGTGTCAGGGGATTTTCGTGGGAAGTGTGCATGGGATGCATGTACGTTCTGCTGTACTTGCGGTGGCACCCCTGGCATTTGAAGGGCTTTTCTCCGGTATCTATCTCGCGAGGTTGATTAGATTCCTCGGCGCTAGCCAGCGCTGAATGCTGCGCTCAACACATACGTGTTCTCTGATGGCGCTTCAGATGTTCTTTTTTCGTGAACATCCGGCCACAATAGGCGCACTGTCTTTCCTTCGCCTTGGCTCGCGGGCGGGGGTCGTCGGCAGGTATGTATTACCTGTAGGTGGCTTATCCGAGTCTCAATCAATAATTCATGGCCATGGCTAGATGTGAGGGCTCGCGACTTCAGGGCAGACAGCAGACGTCCTCGCTGCTCTCCAAATCAGCTGCCGAGGTCACCTGACCCGTGTAGGCTATTAGCCTATTACTACTATGCACAGGCCCTTCTAGTTACCAAATCACTATTACGAGAATAGGAGAAGAGATGGATATCTGCTATTGAGGGTTCGTAGTATGCTACCAGAGAATTCACGTAGCAAAGCCCGTCCGTTAACCAGTCTGCATTATGCTGTAGTCGTCAACCAAGCAAGTATATACGTGCACCGCCGACGTATGGTTGAGTGTCCGTCGGTGGAGATACAATCTAGTAGTATACAGAGTAGATAATCTCCAGACTCTCTAAGGTCTCCAAGTTCTCCAAGTTCTCCAGGTTCTTGGGGTACAAGCTGGACCCCCGTTGTGAAAGCGCTGTGTGGGTGTACTCCGTATTCCGGAGTGTAATGCCCCACTGGGGCTTGAGGGACGCGGAAACATTACCAAAGACAGCAGCAAAAACTTACAGCAGGAGGGAGCATGACTACGATGTTGGTAATGTCGTACAGACAGAGCAATTGTGAGCACGAATTGACAAGTGCCCAAGCCTGATGGGGCCCACAGTCCCCAGTTCTTACCCGCTCTTGCTGGTGCGACATACGTGTGGTGGTGGTATGGCTCTAGTCGCAAAGACGCCCTGTATAACTACATATGCTTGACATAACCGTATCGGAGTTGAGACTCATCAACACTTGGACACTCTAAACATTCCAAGGACTCAGATACTCTGGGGATCTCCCTTACGCTCAAACTATGTCGCCTCCAGTCTCAAAAGTTGCGTTTGTCACAGGATGCAACGGTGTCAGCGGGAATGCCATTGTCGAGCATTTGATCCGGCAGCCAAGGGAAGAATGGTGAGAGCCTAACCCAGTCCCTCGATACTTGCCCTCGATTGTCCTGACTCATCCCCAGGTCTCGGATTGTAATCACATCCAGGAGCCCTTTGAAGAACTACTGGCAGGACCCTCGGATTGATTTCGTGGCAATCGACTTCTTGGCTCCCCCGGAAGAGATCTCCCGCAGGATGACTGGCATGTGCGAAGATGTCACTCATGCTTACTCCACATCGTATACCCATACCGACGACTTCACGAAACTCAAGGACTTGAACGTGCCACTATGAGAACTTCTTAACTGCGATTGATAAAGTCGCTGGGTCAGCATTGCAGCGGGTTTGCTTGCAAACTGGCGGGAAGGTAAGTCTCCCTGCGCCTTCATGTGGGTCAGAAGAAGATGGGGGCTAAGGCGTGCATGTTTATTATGACAGAACTACGGAGTCCATTTGTGCCTAGTCGAGGTCCCAACATATGAGGAGATGCCGCGATATGAAGACCACGGTCTCAACTTTTACTACCTCCAGGAAGACTTCATGTTAAAGCTGCATGCTCAGCGCAATTGGTCGTGGAAAATCATCCGGCCTAACGGTATCGTTGGCTTTACCCCTTTCAGTGAGTGCTCTTTGTGTTCCTTTCTGATATCTCGGTTTTCGCGGGCATCGCGGATTATACGCCCTGGCGGCTGTGCCTAGAAAATGGCATGTCTGAGGCCATCACCCTAGCCCTCTACATGTTAATTTGCAAGGAACTCGGAAGATTCCTAAATTTCCTGGAAACAAGTACTTTTATGAGGCTGTCGACGACAGCTCGTTTGCTGGTGGCATTGCCGACATGAGCCTCTGGGCAACGACGAACGACCACACGAAGAACGAAGCGTTTAATCCTACAAACGGCGACAACTACGTGTGGAAGTACTCTTTCCGCAAGGTCGGACGGTACTTTGGCATTGAGGTATGTATCGACAGTCTCGCGCCAAAAGAAGGGCAGAATAGCCAGGCAGTCAAACGTAAGGAGTACTTAGATCCCCGAACAAACTCACTGGCCGGAACACAGAGAAAGAAAAGGAATAGTACACAGCTTTCACATGGGCAGGTGGGCGGAAGACAAAAGGGTTGTCTGGGAGAGGATATGTGACAAGTACGGCAGGTCGAAGGAAGCCTTTGACTGGGGCACTTGGGCATTCTTCGACTGGTTCGTTGGAAAGCGTGGCCCACAGTCTCATCTATTAATAAGGCGCGCAGGACGGGCTGGAAGAGGAAGGATGACACGTATCAGACCTATATTGACACTTTCAAGTCGTTTGAGAATGCTGGGGTTTTGCCTCCCAACCGCGTCCTTTACCAGAATACGAAGGCCATGGTGGATGGCAAACGAGATAGGACTGAATAGAGTTCATCTTAACCATTCCAGCAAGATTAAGCCGTTGAATGGGCGTCTGCAACTTCGAGAGTATTGTACTTTATACTTAGCAAGCTCGGCATATCACAGTTTAGAAGCTTGATAACCCAGCATGATAAACAAGAAGTGCCGATAAATACAGAACATATTCTTGATATAGCGCAATATGGAGCCTTATATGATGACCGATATGTCGTGTTGTGAAGTGTAAATCAATACACGTAGAAGACACTCCTCCAAACACATTACATTACAGTATCTAATCTAGATCTCAGGCGATACGGTTATTTGACTTAGATGGCTTAAAGCTGACTATATTGATTGGTTGTACGGTGAGTTCACTCGCCTCTCTGCTTCTGAGAGCGTATCACATACAATACAGTAGAAACATGCAACGACAAATCTCCCTTATTTCTTGCCGCCCGGTATGATCAAGCCAATATTTTTTACACTGTTTCTAGATTGTGGTACACATGTAGACGTCAACCGCACATATGGCTGGAGACGTTCCACAACACTGCTCAACATAAAAGCGCTAATATACTTGAATATCTCCCATAAAAAGGTATACGTATAATCAGTAAAAAGAGATATGTAGGATAAAACAGCCCTTCAAAGCTAGGTACTATATTACTAAGTATTATTCTCTTATGTCCTGTTATAACGTGAGATATTGAAAGTACTAGTTCATGTAGAAGTGAAGCCCGTCAATTCTAGGTAAGATAACATATACAATACAATGTTCATACAGGTTGCCCGAAGGTATCCTGCCAATCCCCGACGTTGCTATACCATGCGCAACACAAGCAGGACCAGGAATCAAATAGCTGTTAAAGAGAAAGGAACGGGTAGCTCAGCAGACGCCGAGTGAAGACGTGATCCAAAGACCCGGACTGACACCAATTATTGGGATTCGGTTTAGGGAAGATCAACTGGAAGAGTAGCTGCTACAGAGTATTACAAGTTATATCTCTGTTATTCACGTATTAGAAAAGAGAGAACCCCCAACAGTTGCTCAATTTAATGTACCCTGGGCCCAGCGACCAGAACACCCATTTCCAAAATACTTCATCGTATGGCTGAATTTACGGATTCAAGAATCTAAAATTACTACCTCGATGGTACATCATTGTATCCTTGCCGGCCTCCCACCTGGCCTCCCACTAGTATGCAACCAGCGGCCGGTTCATCGGTTCAACGATGATCACCACAATCCATAAAGAAACTATAAGGCAAGGAACTCTAACATGTTTGCGAACTTCGAAATCCACTTCTCCCGAAGCTCGTTGTTCAAGGAAACCGCATTCTGCTCTTTCGCATTAGCTTCCCACTCATCTCTTTCAATGGAATTCCACAACGGATCATTGCTTGGCAGAGGGAACTGAAGTTCGCTGGCAGGTAGTAAAGGCTTGTCTCCTGGTCCTGTGCTGCTCAATTTCCCACAAAGCTTATACAGTGATATACTGTATCGCTTGAACTCTTCAACGCCCAGCCAGACAAAAGAGGGCAGGTCAGCTTCCTTATACCTGGCGAGCATATTCGGATAGGAGAACATGCCGAGTCTTCGACAGCTCTCAACAAGTGATTTGAGTAATGTTAAATCCTCAGCCGAAATAGATGCTTTCAGGTCGAGGTTGACAACACCTCCGCTTCTCGTGAGAACAGAGAAAATAATATGTAGTAGGATAGCCTGATATGTCGCTATTGGCCAGAAGCAGTTGCTGCAGGCCCCCTCTACTTCTGAGGCGTCCCATTTTTCCTGTGACTTGCACGTCAGCAAATTGGGTACATTACAGGTCAATGATCTGACGTACCCGTTGACCTCGGATAGCACTATCGAGTTTCTCATGAAGCTCCACTGCTGCAGACTGTGCAGACGATTCCTTCGATGTCCACATACCTATAGCCACCATTGATTGTAGAAGTAGCGGGGTTTCTTGGTGTAGATTGAATGTCCCTTTATGGATGAAAGGCCAACGGGGGTGGAATACCTCAAAGTAATGGTCAACGTACTGCTTCCTCTTCCCCCAATAAAATTCTGGAGACCGTTCGTGGCTCGGAGATGATGGAAGTGGAGTCCGGTTTCTGGAATGTTGCTGTTCTGCTATACCACCCTTATCTTGAAAAGAACATGGAATGTTGCGACGGACACACTCTTCACATGGCACGCCCCCTTCGCACCGACTTTTGCCGGTATGACAACCCGCGCAAGCTCGGCGCGCGCGGCCTAGTGGCTCGGTTGTTTTGTGCTGCCTTTGAACATGGCGTCGAAGTGTATCACTAATTGCAACGTTCTATAGTCAGGTCTGGTGCTGAAAAAAAGGTAAGTGTAAGCACGTAGGTACCTTCGTCTATATTGGGAACCGCAGATGGAACAGACAAAGGCCTGCAACTGGGCGTGGTTTGATGCTTCATGGCGTTTTAAATGCTCCTTGCGCCGGTACCTCGCATTGCAGCCAGGAAATTGACACCAGAACGTGTCGTACACGAAAGGATCCGAGAGTCTCTGAAAGAACTCGATTTCGCTGCCGGACTCTTCCATCAGTAAGGCGGCTCTAGCAACCAGCGCTCCTTCAGAAATGACCTGGCAAAGGAGAGGAGTGGGTCTTGCTTCGGTTTGCGCGGGTGTTCGAATGGGTGGCCTTCTCCCACCGGCCTCCCACCGCCACCATCGACGCCCCACTCAGCCGTGAAGTTACCGGTGATGATGCGAATAATTCCCGTATCTCGCAACAGCCTTAATCATATGCAGCTCAAATGATCAATAGGGTCTTTATAGCATGGTGGTCGTAAGATCTTGTATTCCGTCCTTTTCCTAGGAAGCGAGCATCGGCTGGTACTTCGTAATGTCGGGTATCTTCAAGGTTAACGTGTTTGGATTGCTTTAGGTTTGATGTGGGGCGTCAAATGAACAAATGGAACCCTAACTCACAAGGTTGGAGCCAGATAGATTAGTGTTCCGACGACAGTTGTGCTTAGAAATGTAGTTAACTATCACTAGATTGCTTTCTAATCGGCATTAAGCCACATTAGAGGAGCTGAATAAGTATATATATCTCGAGGGGAGGTCATGGCTGACCTGTTGACAGTGCTATTATACGAATACCTGATAGCTTTTCCTTTTACCTTGGCTGTGTTGTAGCACCTACGTTCTTGAAAAATGCCTGCTTTCAATTTCTCGACGACTGGGTCCGAAGTAGTTGCTGCATTGCCAGATCGAGTCACTGGGAAGACATGTAAGTATATCTTCCTGCGAACAGCAGAATTCCCTCTATAATTGGAACGGGGTTTTGCTCGATTCTATGCTGTTGCTGAGAGGCTATTAGTTGTTATCACTGGAGCGAGCCATGGAGGGCTTGGAGCCCAGACAGCCCTTTGCCTAGCAGCCGCCAATCCTGCTGAGATCATCCTTCTCGGGCGCTCCGAAGAGAAAGTCACCCCAGTCATGAAGGAGATCAGCAAGACCAGCCCCTCCACCATTGTTCGGTTTATCAAAATCGACCTCATGTCTTGTGCATCGGTGCGCGCCGCGGCAGCAGAGATTAATGTGTCCGTCTCGAAGATCGACGTCCTCATTAATAACGCAGGCATTATGGGTGTCAAATTTTCTCTGACTGCTGAGAACGTGGAAAGCCAACTGGGTGCGAATCACATTGGTCATTTCCTGCTCACGAACCTCCTTGTTCCGAAACTTGAAGCTTCTGGTGGTGGCGCTCGGATCGTGAATGTATCCAGTACCATGTACCAGCTTAGTCCAGTTATGTTCGACAACTACAACTTCTCCAACGGCAAGACCTACGACGCTTGGGTAGCTTACGGGCAGTCCAAGACAGCAAACATTTTGTTCGCTGTTGCATTGGCCGGAAAACTGGAGGAGAAGAAAATAAAGTCCTATTCATTGCACCCGGGACTCGTACAGACAGCGGGTCTATCCGAAGTAGATCCAGCAGCATGGCCAATTGTGGGATCCATGTTTGAAAGCAAGAAGCTGGAGTTGCCGAAAGCAAAGGACATGGAGCAGGGCTGCGCAACTACTCTCGCAGCGGCCCTGGACCCTGCGCTTGACAGTAAGTGTTTTAGTATCGGCTGTGTACCAAGTAGAAAGTGGGCTAACTAGTTAACGAAGATGAATCAGGGTCATTTCTTAGCGACTGTAATCCAGAAAAGGTTTTGGATTATGCCTCTGACGTCTCCAATGCAGAGAAATTGTGGACTCTGAGTGAGGAAATTGTCGGAGAAAAATTCCGCTACTAAAACACCTCTTCTGTTTTGCTTCCAAGTGATTTAACGTGGCTCCGAATACATTGCCTAACTTGCCTTCTTCGGTAACTAGCAATGTTGAGGTGTACTTATTGGAATATATCCTATATCCGTAAGACTTATCCTGCTTTCCAACAGTACCAACGTAGAATTAGTGACTATCAACCTAAGACAGCGGCCAAACAGAAGCTGCTAGCACCGTCAGGGTCATGATTATCCATGTATGCTTGACCCGTCTTCTATTGTAAAGTAAGTAATCCGCCGGTATTCTCTGCGAATCAACCTCTCCAAGGTCTATTGATCAATCTGACTCAGCTCTTCCGACGAGGCCAAGCACCGCTGAACGCAGTGTGATTACTCTACAAGAAAGCATTCCTCGCTACAGAGGGTGGGGACGCGGTCGCCGTGCCGAAGAGGCTCTTCCGCAGCGGGCCATGAGCATGAGACATGCCGCAAAGAAAACCTGGCGGTAGGAGGCGTCTGAAAAGGTCTTCGATTGCTGTAGTTTGGGGGCGACTTTGTTGGATGTGAGGTATGCCGGTCGACCTGAACCTAGAGGTTGGTTAGTGAAGAAAAGGGGCTATGTCTTGCAATAGCTCCCATCGAGTTCAGCCCAGTCTAGATTGCGCTGTCAGGTGCAACGATGGGTGTACAACGGAGGCAATTCCGATTTTAGACTAGTTAGAGAAGGGGGAGCCTGGGGTGGTGATGCGTGGTAATAGTCTTAATCTAGAGAATACATTCCTAAGCGATGCACATACTATTTGAATAGCCAACGCTTGCATTGAAGATATTCGTCAATTATGGTGTTGCGTACCGTATATCGGGCTGCGAGGTCGGCACGACAACTAGGTCTCAACGGCCGCGTTTCCCACGGTGCAATATGAGTATTGTTATTATTATTATTATTAGCATTATTATTATTGTAGGGTATAGTGGTTTGATATTACATCGACAACTACTGAAGTCCCGATTTGGCAAATGGGCCTAAAATCCGTGGCCAGCTGAACAGCCCAGTGATGATTGAATACTTATCAGGACCTGAGTATAATCGGCACTAAGCAACCCCTGGTGTGTCTGCAATTCGGAAAATATACTTGACAGCGCTTGCTTTTCCGGCCTTCAAGTCCCTTAGCGCCTCTTCGACACCTTCAAGGCCCCGTGGTCTGACCTGGAAAGGATGACCCAAGAGACTGCCCATACTCAACGCTCTCGTAAAATACCTGGAGAAAACAAAACCAAGCTCCTCATTGTTCTCAAATTCGGGGTGCTTGTGTACCGACCCTACTATTGTGATAGATTTCTTCGCAGGAAAGACGTCTAGGTCGTTAGGTAGCAAGAAATCAATCAATCTTCCCGCCCGGAGCGACAAGTTGCCTCAAGATATCTGCGCTTTGGCGAATGATAATAGCATCAAGCGCATGCTGCACATTAGAGTGACCTCCTCGTTCAAGACTGCGTCTGATCTTTTGGACCATTGTCTCCACACCTTCGCGATGGTCGATCACGACATCTCCTTTGCTTTGGTCCAGCAAGCCCTAGATATAATGCGAGCCTTGTCCTGCAATAGCAATAATAGGGTGTATATTACCGTTGCATGCCATTTTTATAGCAAAAGAGCCGACAGCAGTGCTTGTGCCATAGACGATGAATGGGATCGGTTCTATGCAGGCGCCCATGGAGGTGGGAAGCGGTGGTGCGCATATCAGGAAACAGCAGCAGTCAAGGCAGCAAGTGGGATAGTCGCGGCTTCTATTAATCGTGATCAGATATGGACCAGCCCAGGAATATCAATTTTTAACGCACCTTCGAATGAAATGTGCGCTGGCAAATGGAAAGTTGTGTGACTCCATGCAACAGCGTACTCAGCATACGAGCCACCAGGACACCTTCCATGAAAGGCTGCAACGCGATCGCTCCGCTTGCCAAATCGTAAGCTTGTGCTATGCCGGCGAATGTAGACGACTCACTTTGAATTCAACCACATTAGACCCGACCTTTTCAATGACTCCAGCAATATCGTCCCCTTGGCTCACTCCTTTTCTAATCTCGGGGACATGCCGGGAATGGTATCCCCAGAAGCTGCAAGGTCCGGGACCTTCCAGTCTTTTGGATTGGACCCAGATACGACCACTTTGATGAGCACCTGGTCATCGTTCGGCTCAGGGATCGGGCTATCCACGAACTTCACAGTCGGCCCTGCCAGATTGATGACCTCTTTCATGATTCTTTCTGGTTACTGTATGGTCGGAGTACAGGAAGATGGAGTACAGATAAAGAGTAAAAATGCAGGATAATGTCGATCGTGATACCAACTTAGTAGTGTAAATATGATAACTTGATTATAACTCTACATCCTACCGTACTCCCGCAAAGTCTAGTCGAATAGATGCCACCTTTGTCTTGGCACTGCCAGGGTGACTTCGAATAGCAGATTCATAATCAAGGCCAGTAAAGGTGTGGGATAACCGGCGGGATGCCGGTGGGATACCGGTGGTGGGAGACCTAGTAGAACCTTCGAGACCTTAAGCAGTAATGGAGCAATCCCGTAGTCTCGATTGTTTACAAAGGACCAAGCGTGCGCCCTATTCTAACTACAGGTTACAACAGGCTGGAGAGCAATGTACTCCGAGGTTTTCGAATCCTTCCTGTGTGCATTGATCAGCAGCTGGCGTCGAAAACAGCAACTATCAAGCCAGGTGCACGGAAATATGCTGCTGGCTTGGAACCGGGTCTGGAAGAACGGAACCTCCCCAGTACCTAGGTACTTTTATCGTAGCCCGTATAGCACTCCATCCATACGATTAGTTGTAGAGCCCTCGGGCAAAAGGCTTCAGGTGTCATGTCTCAGACATCGCATTCGCCGCGGGACGGCTAGTATGGGTGTCAGCAAATAAGATTCTTCCCTGAATGGACCGTATTCTCTTCTCGAGACGAGTTAATTCCAGATGGCCTTAGATTGCCCCTGATTCCGGAGGCGCTGTTTCATCCAGTACATCCGGGCCCGGCAATGAGGAAAGTTAACTTTGATTTAATAAAACTTAAGGATTTATCGGACAAGTGGAACGCGAGACGAAGTCATGCTCTTGGTATATAAAATGCTGGCTGAGAATTATATAACCAGGTTAAAGGAGAGGGAACATGTTCCAGATGAATTCAGTTTTCATTTTGCGCCTGGGCCTTGGTTCTCGAACAAGTTTCGAACCCAATTTATCGATCATGAAGACCTATATGTTGCTCGTGGCAACGGTCCTCACCCTCTTACCTTAGGCTCATGGTGCTGCCCCTGCCCCGACTGTCACTATAGCCTCGCCTGCGGCTACGATAGTCGGATTAGCTGGCCAGGTCGAACAATTTCCTGGCATCCCCTTCGCTAAGCCTCCGGGTGGGAATCTCCACTTCAAGCCCCCGGTGCCCTTAACCGAGCCCTATGGTGTCTACGAAGCTACAAAAAACAAAAACATTTGCCCCCAATTCATCGCCAACACGACGGACGCAAATTCCCTTCTCCCTCAGTTCATCGCCACTATGATCAATAGCCCCATATTCCAGAAGCCGGTTCTCGCAGCCAGCGAAGACTGTCTTTACCTCAATATTCATTCGGCTGAGACAAAGCATAACACCCAATGGCAAGGGTGGTGTTTCTTTGCTTCACAACAATTAATCTACGAATCTCAGATGGCAGCCATAGTAACCTTTGGCCTCCGAATAAGACCCAAGCGTTGAAAAGTGAGCTCTTCGGTCTCGACATGTAATTAATAAGGTAATACTCACGCGTAGTAATAGCATGGACTAGGGATTAAATGAGGTTTAAATGATACAGATGATTATTAGCTATGATCTATAATTATTGTCAGATGGTTCTAGCAGAACCGCAAACATACAGACTTGTCGTTCTCACATAGTACTGAAGTTAGGATTTAAGAGAATCATAATTGTAGAGTAGATTATGTACCACGCTTATAAAAGGATAGTATTATTTCAATTATCTGTTTAATTCATCTTGCCTTGGGGTTAATAGTCTCCCAGTTCATTCTCCCTCCATCAAACAATCGGGTCCATGCGGCTTTATCCCGTGACTAACAATATGATATCTTCCGTACGCTTAAGCTTTCTCGCTCGCCTATGAGTCTCTGCGATGGCGAGCGCGGTATTCAGTCCGGTAGCGACCCTTTCCTGCTGTCTTAACATACTGGGTCTCTTCAAGCTTTGGAGTCTGCCTTACCCTTCCAGCCATCCCCAGCTAATCCAAGCCTTGAGAGACTCATGGTGTCATTCCATGGACATACGCGATATATACTGGAATTACGATGGCTATTTTATGGAACACTGGGGGAACGAACCGTCATTTTCCACAAAGCGCTTAAGTAACCGGATAGGAGTTGAACCTGGCTAACCTTCGTTAAGGCTCCGGCGAGGTTCGCAGCTGCATACAATTTCAGCTAGTTCGCATTCTCGGCCATTCCCGGCATGCAAAGAGAGGATGTATCCGCCTAAGCATTATCCTCAGGCTATCAACTATTACCCTAGGTATTTAACTGGCAACTATCGACGGTTGGTCTCATGTCGACCTTTCTGGCGTCGATTTGACTAGTTTTGTCCGCGTTCTTGAGTTGCTGTGCAGATTGTTCGTGGGGCCAGGCCAAAGCCGTATATGCCTATGTCCCGCTTTCTACCGTGATACTGCTCATACAGAAGGGAATGACAGCAGGAAACTGAATTTGTATAGCCCAGCTCCCTGGGCGACATAAACAGCTTCTACCAACAGATTGGATGGTTCAAGGAGATCGCTCACATGATGCGGTTTATCGACTAGCCGACCCTGATGAAGGTTAGCAAGAGGCTTATGCAAGTGGTGCTCAGCATGGTCATCAACATTGGTCTTTCTGACATCCTAAGAGTGTTGTCGACTAGCAAATTGATCTCAAAGTTGGAGCCCTGAGGACTTGGCCAGACCGCGACTTAGGACACTAGTAGACATTGGCAATACGCCACAGGCCAAATTGAAAAGAGAAGTAAAACTAGTTTCTTTACTCTTGTACTGTGGCGTGGTCTAGTGGTTCGGTGGAAAGGATCGTAAATCCAAGTCATGGAGAGGCTTGCTAATGGATAGTGAATTCTTAGGCTCAAATATCACCTGGTAGTACAAGTGGTTATATTTGTCCCTAGTGAATCTGTGACCAGCGACGTGGAGCTGACACACTGAAACCCCCAATTAATTCATTCAGGGTCCCGAAGGGCCTTGCCCCTTCGGCGGATAAGCCGAACCCTTGACCTGCGCCACACCAGTTGCCCCCTGAAGCCATCCCACCCGGTCCTTAGTATACAGTTCAAACCTGGGCTTCAGTTTCGTTTCGTGCAGGGTGAAATCATCCACTGTTCCGGTACGCAGGATACTGTGTCCTGGAAGCATTTCACTGATGCGATACATGAGTGAGCCACATGTGGAACAGAAACAATTTGTCATTGACTTTCCGGAGGCAATGGTCTTTGACTGGCTAAATAATTTGAGGTTTTCTTGACCACGTATGTGCCTGAGATGTGTGTCCGCGACAACGAAATTGGTCGCGAACATGGATGCGGTGATCTTTCGGCAATCCGTGCAGTGACAGGTGAATGTATCGATTAGGCCTGGGCCTAGCGTTGGCTGAGATTCGTCCGTGTTGTGAGCAGGATGTATTAGAATGGGTCGTATATGTTTGGGAGGACTTACAAAAGCTAACTGTACTGCACCACAGTAGCATGTGGCAGTCGCCTGGCCGTCTTTTGACCAGCCATCATCGGCGCCACCGGCAACGGGTATGTAGGGCTTGGAATTATCTCTTGCAGCAGCCATAATTGGGCTTCTTCTTTGGGAGTTGAACGGGTGCTTTGCGTATATTTATATCCCATGTAATTTGCTTTCGTAATTCATTCTGACGGAAATTAAGATCTGGGTCCAGGCTCCCGCTGTTCTCCCACTTGTTCACCCACTTGTTCTCCCACTTGTTCCACCGGTTTCCCACCGGTTTCCCACCTACTTCACTTCATTATTAGTAAACATGCCGTTGATGACGCAATTGGATTTTCGATGAGGGGGAAAGCTCCGTTAATAATGAGTTATTCTCAGAATATTATCTGTCAGATCTTGATAGCGAGTTCATGATCTCTTAATTAGTTTATGGCATTCATTATTCGTGTAGGGTGTTATATAAGTACTCCGGGCGGGACACCCTTTATCATCTTGGGGAAGTGGGCCTGCGACCACCAAATGGGGATCGCAAGAAGGATATGAAAAGCAGGTATATATATTATTTTAGTATTATCTTAGTGTGTGCCCATGTTGTGGTAGAGCTGACTGTGGAATCATTTGGGGACTAACTTGCTTATAGTGAGGAAATTCCTATTGCCTGCTGTGACACAAGTCGGCTTAGTTAGGTCTAGTCCTGTATATATAAGTCTTTCCAGTACTTTGCCTGTATATATAATGCTGTGATAATGGCGCCCGATCACTCTCTGCTATCTTAGATTATTTAAATTCTGTGTATACCTTACTGTAAGCTACTTAGGCTAGATCTAAGCGCTTGTCTATATCTTAAGTTTATAAAAAGCTTCTACTAGTCTTACAAGTATCATAGCTCTTGAGCTTTCTTTAAAGATAAGTACTAATCTACTATAACTAAATATAGCTAACGATTATCACTGTTAGTTTATGGCGGGCACTTCCGAGCCACAAAATAGGGAATCTAAAATATTCCACCTTGATAATAAGCTAGAGCCACTGGATGAGAAAGATTATAGAGTAAGATTCTAATCACTACAAAGCATAGACTTATAGCTTATATATTATACAGTGCGCTGTGGACTTATTAGAAACTCTACTGACTATCAGGCAGCTTGATGTCCAGAGAAGAGTCAACATAACCAGTTATCCCTCAACGCACGTAGGTGATACTACACCTGGTTGGTTGGTTGGTTGGTTGTAGGTTGTATTTATACGCTGGCCCCTCGTCTTGTATCACTATTAAAATATATTGAAAGCAGTAGTGGTATAGTGGGATTATATAAATCTACTAATAAAAAGAAAGGCTGAAGAAGGTGTATAGTAAAAATATATAGACTCATAATATAAGTCAAAGTAAATAGAAGAAAATAGAGGGAATATAACTAACTATACAGGCAGGATAGCAGGATTCCACAAAAGCAAGGCTAACTATGATAAACACTAAGTCCAGGAAGGAAATGTTCTAAACAGTAATCAGAGAAGCGCGTGGTGAGCGTGGAGAGAAGGCTTGGTAAGATTTTGGTGAGGAAGTTGCGTAGTGTATGCTCAAAGAATAAAAGAATAAAGCTTTTCATGGTGGTCTTGCATGCGATAGTAAACCCTTTCTCTCCCTTCGGTGGTTTGGTTTCAGGGCACTTTTTTCCCTTTCTTTCACTACGTTCGTTCCAGGGCACTCGTAAATAATACGCAAATGAACCAAATTGACTAGAATATTTTTGTTTCGTATTGTTATGGACACCCTCCCCCACACTCCATATCGCCCTCAGCTTCTCCCTTACTCTACCCCATGGGAGCTGCGCGCCATGGGACGCCACCTTGAGCCCTAGAAGCATATGCTTATCCGCGACATGTTACGCAGAAAATGCTTTACTACTTCCCAGATTGCTGATGCTGCAGAATGTAGCGAACATTCTATCAGGAATATTCGTTCACACCTAGGCATGTTTGGTACTGAGAGTCCGCCAGTGAATCCAGGAGGTCGACCACGCAGTATAACCCTACCGATGCTTGACGCACTCTCCGAACACCTTATCGAAAAGCTAGGTCTATACCTTGACGAGATGGCAGTTTTCCTACACGACGAGTTTGATATTACTGTCTCGCCTTCGAGTATAAAAAGAGCCCTGTCTTCTACAGGTAAGACGAAAAAGTCAGCCCGTAACAGAGCGCAAGAAAGGAGCCGTGATCTGTGAGATTCCTACTTCCATAAATTATCTGAATACCAGTCATATCAACTAGTCTTTGTTGATGAGTCTGGATGTGATAAACGGATAGGGTTTAGGAGGACTGGTTGGTCTCCTCTAGGAGTGAGACCCGTTCAAATAGCGAAGTTTCATCGAGGCCACCGCTATTAAATATTACCCGCCTACGTCTAAGACGGTATACTCCTCTCTCGCGTTTTTGCGGGCTGGACAGATGCTGTCGTTTTTGAGGATTTCATTGTGCAACTTCTACAACACCGTGGGAGATGGCCTGAACCCAAGTCGGTCCTAGTTATGGACAATGCTTCTTTCCATCATTCCGAGAGGATTAAGGAGATGTGCTCTGAAGCTGGGGTCAAATTGTTATACCTGCCGCCATATTCTCCCGACCTGAACCCTATTGAAGAAATCTTCTCCGAGCTGAAGAGCTACGTCAAGCGAAATTGGACGCCATACGAAAACGAGCCTGGCCAAGGTTCCGACACTTTTCTGCAGACATGCGTTGCTACCGTCGGTGCAATACCATTGTTCACTTTATTCTGTGGGGGATGGTTGGCCGGAATATGCAGGCTACTACAACTATATATATCACTGTACGTCCATGTTTCCAAAGCCAATCTCAATTCCTCGTGAGCTACTTTATTTCGCGATTTCGATAACGACTTTGCCGGTTTGTTGTCCACCCTCGAGCCTCTTATATGCCTCACGGAAATCCGCGAAGGGATAGACGCGATCGATTATAGGTCTGACTTCGTGCCGTTCCATAGCTTGAAGCATAGCTTCAAACTCGACCCGCGAACCAATAGCAGATCCAGTCACTGTGAGGGATCGACCGAGGATGTCAATTGGTGGAAGGCCGCCACCGAAGCCGCTTGCGAACCCAATCACGACGATGGTGCCAGTAATCTTGGTCGATGCTGCGGACTTCACGATAGTCTTCTCTCCGGCAATATCCAGCACCTTGTCAACACCCTTGCCGCCCGTCAGAGCAAGGATCTCCCGATCCCAATCGGGGGTGGTACTATAATTCACAACGGCATCGGCTCCAAGCTCTTTAAGCTTAACAGCCTTCTCATCCGAGGATGTAATTGCCAGGACACGAGCGCCGGAGATCTTCGCAAATTGTAACGCAAAGAGCGAAACACCTCCAGTGCCTTGGATCAGCACGGTCTGGCCCGGCTGGAGGGGCTCAACTTTGCTAAGGGCCGTCCAGGCGGTAACAGCCGCACAAGGAAGGGAGGCAGCCTCGACGTAGGACATATAACGAGGGATGCAGACGAGTGCATCTTCGTTGAAGGTCACATACTCAGCCAACAGCCCGTCGACAGCGAAACCAACGCCGCTTGAGCGATATTCCGGGGTGTATGGGCCAGCAATCCAATTCGTAGTGCAGCCGACTGCGACGCGGTCGCCCTTTGCGATCCGTGTAACATCTGTTCCGACTGCAATAACCTCTCCAGCACCGTCAGAAACAGGAATGCCGTTTTCCTTAGTCGGCAAACGATATTCACCCCTCAACAGAGCCGTGTCCCGGTAGTTCAGGGAAGCAGCATGGACCTTGATCAGGACATCGCGTGGACCTGGAATCGGCAGAGATTCGTCATGAAGTTCGGCGGTAATTTTGCCGCCGGCCTTGGCAATGCGAACAGCCTTCATTTGCGTCATGTGTAGGTTTTCGGTTTTGGCTTTCAATGGATTAGAAGATTTCGGGAAATTTAGAGCCTCTTCACATTTGGCATAATAACGGGAGTCGCCGAGCTAAATATCTGATTGAGGCGCTCGAAAGCGTTCGGATATGGGTGAAAATAATGACGTTTTCGTCGCCCAGATCTCTAGTGAATTACTAATGGATTACGATAACGTATTTCCCGGGCGAGTGGGCCACCTCCGCTCTGATCCCACCTCTAGGCGAGATTCTAGGGTCTATATCAACAAAATGATTGCATTTCTATATAAAAACTAATTACTAAGTGGATTAGGACATCTAACCCTAGTATGTCCCTGAATATGGCAATTAGAACACCGCGGGGGGGCTCGTACGCGCGGCCCAACTGCAGAAAGTGCAGGATCTATAGAAAGTGCATCTTGAGCTTCATTGACCTCATCTTCACGCTGAAATCGCTCCAAGCCTTCCTGGATAGCTGAGCCCTCTTCAATAGCTAGCTGTCTAGTAGAGTACTTTCGCTTTTGACCTTTCCATTCATTTTCAGCACGATGTTTGCGTATTTCGTCCCGCGCAAGAACAAGCTCATTAAGTGTCAATTCATGACCTTTAATAATCTTGTCTAATCGCGTTTCTAGCAAAGGTAAAGAACTGTAGACATGTTCTTTAAGCAGTTTCCTTGCTGCCGACGCCTGCTTCTCTAGCTGCCTAGTAGTATAGGGCGTTTTAGGCGCTGAATTGGTTGACCGACTGCCAGGTGGTGTAGGGGTCTTTAGTCGGATATCTAACTTACCAAGTACCCTATCCGGATTAAATGGGACTAGGCCAGTGCCTGTGAAGCTATTTTGAATATTTTTAACTGTAAAAGCGCTTTTGCGAGCTTCTGGCAAGATCTTTAGAAAATCAATCTTATCAATATGATTGATTCCTAAGTGTGCTTTCTGCTCCACTAAGCTCCCGTACGCGCCTTTTAGAGACCGAAAACAGCCTACATCTAAAGGCTGGAGCTTATTAGAAGAGTGTGCAGGCATGCAGATAGGAATAATATTATTCTTACTGCAGATTTGGTCAAACTGAGGTGTAAGATGGCTGCCATGGCCATCAAGAACTAGAAGACAGTATTTCCCAGTTGTACAACCAGTAGTTGCAGGAATAAAGAGATTTTTAAGCCAGCGAAGACCTATCTCATCAGAAGTCCATCCCCCTCTATATGGACCTTTCCTTTGAAGATAATGCATGGAGGAAGCGCCCATCCAGTTGAATTAATACATTCAATAGAAGTAACCCATTCCCGATTATCTGGCTGTACAAGAAGCGGTTTTCCATAGTAATCAGCTCTAGTAACTACTTGAGCAGTAGCTACTAGATCCATAGCAAAGCCAGTTTTATTAAAATTGTAGATATCTTCCTGTGCAATCCTATGTTGCATTATAGTGATCTGTACGCGATCAAACCACTCCTTAATAACTCTAGGATCTTCGCATTTCGCATGTCGATAATCATAGCGTCGAGAATAGCGGGTTTTTATTTCATTATATCGTTTAATAAAGCTAGAGACCCAGTTCTTTCCAATAGTCTGAATAGATGCTGTACCGCGCGCAGCAAGGAGAATATTGGCCATTTCTTGTATATGGGATGGTCGGGGAGGTGCTCCACGTCGATCTAGAGATAAAATCCATTGTACAAGCGAGTCCTCTTTATTCTGGGTTAATTTATGGCTGTTGGCGCGTGTTTCTGTGCGTGAAGTGATCCCATTAAGTTGTCGTTGGAGAGTTGTACGAGACACATTATAGACGCGTGCCACTTCGCGAATATTGCAAATCTCCTGCTTTTTTAAAGCAGAAATAGCAAGCAGTAGTCTTCCCTCCTGCTCAGCTAAGTCTCTTGAAATTTGACGCCCTTTTGGAGGCATGGTTAATGGTTGAATTGAGTGAGGCAATAAAACGCGTAAATTTTTAATGAGGTGGCCCGCTCGCCCGGGTGGCCCACTCGCCCGGGAAATACGTTAGCACCGATGGAGATGACAATTTATCTTTAGCTCCCACCGGTTATCCCACTGCATCCTACCGGTTATCCCACAGTTGACATTGTCGAGTACGAACGGCGTGGGCCGGTTGCACCTCGTAAGTCGTTCTAGCAATTCCGACCTCCTTCGATAACGCTTTTCATATATTGCCTCGATATCCAATAAGCATAACCCTAAACCGAGTTAGTCGCTGTATACCATGACACAGACTGACTACAACTTTGGAGATGGATGGACTTAGACGAAACAGCTGGAGAAGTAACATATGTCTAGCAAAGGTTGGACCCAACCCACAAGAGTAAACCGAGGTCGGTAACACGCTTCTCATTGTGGCGTTTGAGATACAGGATGGACCGAAATCAGATTCACCCCTTCGCTCTCATATAACTGTACTGGGACCCTGCGACGAAACCCATTTCCTACTTTGTTCGGTTTCAAATCTTGGATGGCGTTTAAGAAGGGTCACATGATTTAATAAAGAGCTTACGGACTTATATTGATCCTGAAATGTCCATCCAAGTGTGATCACTGTGGGTGTGCGATCCAAACATCGGATCTACTTCGCACATACTTAAGTTGAGAGAACTAGGGGCACATGTATACCATTGCATAGTCACGCCCATGTAGACTGCCGAGAGAACCCTTCCTAATGTCACTCAAAGATAATGTAAAAAATAATCCAACCCTTTATCAGGTCTAATGGAAGGCATTTGACCTAGCGACTCGATGGATTGTCCTAACGCGAGTTCGCATCTAGGCGTCTGATCTTTGCGACACCCTTTGGAGTCGCACTTCAATATTTCAGTCCGCCGTCGAGCTTTCGGCATTTCTTTTCGCCCAACTCAACAGACTCTCTTTGGAGGCTTTCCTCCGACATCAATATCTGCGATCCATTTCCTCTTCTGAGAGACACAGTTCCTCCGAGGTTCTTCAATAGAGTGCGCATTGAAGAAATGGCGTCGCAAGTCCAGCGTCCCACAATATGATCTCTTTTCACAGCAAGGACGAGGGCATTGAAGAGGCTCGTCTTCTTCCTTCCCACTAAGATGCATCTCGTTGATATGATTGATTAGCGTAGATTTGACCCGCCACTGCTTGAATCGCTCCGGCGGCTGTTTTTCTGAGTCACCCAAGCAATAGGGATAGAGCCCTGGGTATACCAATGTATGGCGGGACGTCAAAAGACCGCATCGCGGCTGTAGATGATCTAGGTGAAAGCGACAGTGCTTTTGCCAATCGTCCTCCGTAGAAAACCACTCGCAGCAAATGTTGCACCATTCGAGGAAGTTCCGCTGCGCTCGTCGATGGGCTCGCTCTCGTTCTTGTACAGCTGCTGGTAGGGTGCCGCATTCATCGACTTCCTCCGACACTGTAAAATATGTTTGGAACGCTCCTGTTTGTGAAGACTGTTTTGGTTAGCTTAAACAAACTTCCTAGCTTCTAAGTCTCTCTGTCAAATCTGCGGTAGAGATGATTGAATGTACTTACATCTAATGTCTCTCCCTACCCTCAGTCTGGCTCCTGCATGTCAAGGAGAAAGCGACAACCTGCTCTGGCCGCGGAAGAGTTCCCGTAGGTACGTCCGCCACTGTGGAAAACTTCCAAGGAAAAGAAAGCGCCATACGTGAACGTTATCCCCTAAGAGGCGAGCCAGCTACCATCTTCCCGCTGACTTTTCTATGAATTTCACCCTCCGCTTAATGACGGCATCGGCCTCCCTGGACCGATACTCGCTGTTTCGAGCCCTAAAAAGCGCCGGAGACGTGATACATGAGGAGGTATATTCCACGTAGTCACGTTCTGTCATCACCTGGCCAAACATTCAGTCCCGTTGAGGTGCTCCAACCACTCACCGGCGCCGATAGGCTCGAAGCTGCTATAGCTCCCACTTGTATTTTAGATCAAGAGTAGATTGTCCACGACCAAAAGGAGGTTCTCCTCGCTCATTCATTAGTGACTCGTCTGGCTTTCGATGAGCATGATGGTTTTGAGTGCTTCAGCCGTGCAATCGGAATAAGGGTGCCATGGTAACGGGCGGTAAAGGACCAGGCCTTGAGTAGACTGGGGGGATAGCAAGGGGGTAATCTTTTCACTCTTCCACGAGTTGCTGCCGGATCAGGAACTCATAGGCATGTAGGGCATTCCTTTGGAAATCGGGATGATTCACAAGGCCTGTATACACGAGCACCTGCAGTGCAAAGGACGTGTACCACATATGTCCCCCTTGAATACTCATGGTCTGCATTCCCGAAGAACCTATCCATAGGCACTTTAGACTCATTTGTTGCATGCGCTTTAGACCAGGGAGCTGGGCCTCTCGCTACATAGAAGGCAATCATATTCAGCCAAGCGTCGAGGCTGACGATACCGGTCGAGATGCTGACCCTTTATGAATGTTGGAGGATTCCCAAGCTCTCTTCTGTCCCTTTTCCGCTAGCTTGCTGGGGCAGATCAATGGGGTCCACCCATTTTAAAGGGCCCAATTAAGGGTCCGCAGCATCCAGCTTTTGGCCTGATGCTGCTTAGATGGGAGAATGACCCCTTCGAATGCTACAAAATTGACGAAGGAGAAGCTTTCTGGAAACAGCACCGCCCGAATCTCATCCAAGAGATCTTTGGACAGCAATGTGGACCTTCGGGATGAGAGGTAGTATATCGGCAGATAAACTTGGCATGGGCTTAATGAACCATTGCCATGGGCTGACCGGAAACCACTCCGGGAGGAGCCTGACAACGAATCAGTTTAATCGAAACCTCGGAACCAGCCAACAAATACGAGATCAAAAACTTACCACATCTCCACCGGGTAAGGGTCAATACCTTCCCAGTCGTATAGACCCAGCAGCGCAAGCCAGAACTTGGCCCAGCATGGCAGATAGACCGCTCCCCCTGAGCGGAGATAGTATGACCGGGCTTTGCGAAGATGCTCTTCGTCGGTAGGGACTCCCATGAACCTCAGGGCAATTTAGACTAATGTAGTGACCATCAGCGAAGCTTGCTCTTGCAAATACGTCGGCCAGCTGCCGTCCTCGGGAATTTGGCAGTTGAACCTAAAGCGGATCTATTCAACGACGTAGGCTTCATCGATCTCGGCCCGGTGATATACCAGGAAACGACCATCATCCGGGTCACAAAATAGATATAGCTCAGGTCGCGGACGTGAGTGTTGGTTGAAATCGGGTACCCTTGTAGATGGCCTCGGAGGCCGTCTTGGGAGCGTCCGAACCGGGAATACCCTATATTTGCCTTGTCAGCCTACTTAATCATCCGAGGATAGTCAACGCGTGCGATGTACAGTTGGAAGATCTAGGAAGAATTTTGTGGTCACATTTTGAGGCCGAGCCTTGCACTCCTTATTGTTATTCACAGCCAAACCGCATCACTACCCCATCACTTAATATATTATCATGTACCCATAGAGGAGGAAAATGACATGCACTGACCTGTCTGGGTGATCCCGTGCGACGTCTCCGTTTCCGACTTGCTGCCAGGTCGTGGTCAAGAATATCACATTCCGGAAGGAGACAGGTCGATTCCATTCTATCGTGTGGTCTACATGCCATGCCGATCTATTCCCCTACCGACGTGCAAAATCCCACGCACCGCTAATGACAGATACAACATACTTTCAATAATCCATGCAGTTTAGACGTAATCTCTTCGATATCAAGATGCAACTTATCTTGCCAGTATCGCGGAGTAGTTGAGGGGCTGCTCTTTCTTTGTCTGGACCTTCACATCTCTGGCACATTTATATAGAGGCATCGCCAGTGCCCCATGAAAGACTCCACGTTGCTCACGGATGATGGCAGCCGTGCTCGACACGGCTGCCTCTTCCACCAGGAACTACGGCCACTATCTCGGCCGACATCGTGTCGTGCGCCTGTTCGGTCCCAAGGACCGCAAGACCTTTTTCGAGCGCCGGGATCTCGACCTGGACCAAGGGCTCGGTTTATCGCTCCTCTCTCTCCCTCTTATAATCTCATGTGGTTTTGATGCAGAATAATTCAAGTATCCCCGCTGACACTGGCTACGAAATACGGGGTCAATCTGTTCGTCACTTTTGCCAGTGCGGTCGAGCGAGCCGGCCATCATCCGCCGGGGCGCATGTTTCTTATCTTCGGACCTCACTTCGCAAGGCGCTGCTACGCACCGAGAATCTGGAATTCGTACTCGCAGACATACACGCGTCTACCGCCGATATGGTGGGTTTCGTGGCTGCTGAACCTATTGCATATCCCTGTAGTGATCACCATGGTACGGCTGTATATGATGCTGTGGCGGATCATCCGCCATCGGGAGCAGCACCAGAAGCGAGGAGACCCCAAGAATGAGGGCATACTGCAGCATCTGGTTGAGAAGGGGAGAAGTACCAGAGAGATTCTGAAGGTGGGAGGGGATTTTTTCTGCTTGATTTTCCCCAAAGCAAAATACACCCACAGCCTAATTAAAATTCATCAGATCATACCGGTGAGCCAGTTCGCATCTCAGGTGATGTCTCCGACGACCGCCCCATGGTTACTGATAGGGCTTGCAGCCGATGCGGATAATAGAAAAGCGAGCAGGGTTCGCAATTACCTTCAAACACCGCGTCATGCTATGTTAGCTTGTTCGAAGAAACGCGCCTGCAAGGACACCATATCGCATCTATGGGATCATATGATGGAATTATCACTTTTGGGTAAACCACTATTCTCAATACGTTTTATAGTCTGGTTGTGATGCTTATTTGCGCTTATTATTCTTTGGAATATAGGTAGTTCGGACTTTGCCTTGATCTTAGCGTCGTAAATCTTGCAAATTGGTACCCTGACGGGATTATATATGCGAGGAACAATATCTATCCCCCGCTAAACCAATAACCTACAAATAATACGCCAGCTGCACTTTTACTGAATGGCTACTACTAGTACAGTTTATAAATACAGAGTCAGCATGCCAAGTAAGAACACAGCCAAACATAAAAGAGAATAGAAGTACAATGCTGAGTATATATGCTGGCGATGTTGCCACGTGCTTAGATATACCTCTATCCCTACAACCAGCACTTTTTCCTTGTTCATTATACCTCGCATTTCACGGAAGTGGCTTTTTAAAATATTGCAGGATATCTGGTAAGCTATTCGTATGAAACAATTTTCAAAACGATCAGATTTATGATCCTATCAGACTATCAAGAAGGCCTATCTAGGTGAGGATTATGAGGCCTTTTATATGCGGCCCGATTATCATAGTATTCAACAAACCACATACTTCCGCAGATGGTCATTTCGCCAGGCATATGTCGGGTGCCTGCAATACTAGGTAATTTTCGTGGGCGCATTCAATAAATATGTACATATACCTAGTATCTAATCCTATAAAAGCCCTCACGCCTTCTCCGCTCCCCTCAAATACCCCATAACCCTCTCCACCAACCACCTCCTGGGCTCCGCCTGATCATCATTACTCAACGCATGCGAAGCATTGGGAATGACCCCACTATGCTCACTATCCCAAATCTCCTTGCCCCCCTTATTCACCACATCCCTCCACCGCGCCAACAACGCCTCCTTATCCACCCAATCCGGAACCGACTGATCGGCGCCAGAATGTAAAACCATCAACTTATACCCCAGCAACCCGCCCTGGCCAATCAACCCAAACGTCCTCCCAAGCTGCTCCTCACTCAAATCCGAACTAAACATATCATCCTCCCCCGGCGCAGCCGGACTATCAGGACTAACCAAGCTCAACAACCGCCGACAACTAATCGGCGTATTAGCCGGATACCCCATTTGCCCGGTCAATGCAATCGGAAGCAGCGTATCAAATCCCTGCTCCTCATCCTTCGCCACACCCTCACGCGCCATCGAAACTACCTTATCATAAATCTCCTTAACCTGCTCCGGCGTCTTGCCCCCAATCCCCCATTTCAAGACCCACTTAATCGCCTCACGATCAGAAACGGGAGCCTGCATGATCGCGCCGTCGAGTCTCATGCGCGTAACATGCTCAAGGGTTGAATCGAACGCTGGGACAGTTGGGTGCGGGTTGGGACGGGAGAGATAGTGCAAAACGCACTGGGAGCCGGTTGAATGGCCCATTAGGACTATCTTCCCCGGACCGTAGGTCTCGGTCTTGTAGTCTTTGATGTAGTTTAGGCATTGGGCGATTTCGGTGGTGTCGCGGTCGAGGTGGCCCAGACCCCAGGATTGGTAGGAGGAGGTGAGGTTTAGGGTGAAGAGGGACCAGTCTGTTGGTTGGAGGGCTTTGGCGAGGTCGGCCATGTAGGAAGTTGTGGCTAGGCCATCGCCGAGGCCGCCGACGAAGAGGAGGCTGTGGGGTTTGCGGATTGAGGGGGTTGTGTATTCGAATGTGACGAGGGTTTCGGTCTGTTTCTTTTGTTAGTTGATTGTTTTGTGGTGTGTGAGGGGTTATGAAGAGGGAGGAGGGATTGTACGTACGTAGTGGTGGAGGATGCCGGGCAGGCCGCCTTTGGGCCAGAATTTGGAGTACATTATGATTGTTGTTGATGTGAGCCTTTCAATAGGTAGGTGTTATTGTTGTGATGATGATGATTGATTGATTGAAGTCGAGAAGTCACTAGTGAGTAGTCCGCGTGTGGCTTTGGACAAGGATTAAGTCGAGTTTGTTGCGATGGTTATGAGAATTGCGGTATTTTTCCAGGATCGGCTTCATGTGCTTCTTTTGTCAAGTGTGGATATCTTCAGACTGGTGGTTTGATCCACCGGTGAAATTGTTATTAAACGGAATTGAAGACCCATCATCTCCAAGTTGAAAAACGAGATGCAAGTTCTCAGTATGTAACATTAGATCTTGGCAGGGTGGGCGTGTAATTTATGTGTGGTAACTTCTAGTCCAACAATGATATACCCTAGTAACGTCGCAAGTGGAGTCCTAATTTCACGGAAGACTAGATAACGCCAATAATAATTTATGACACAGACAAGTGTGACAAGTGGAGGGAAGAACCAATGGCAACGGTGTACTGGTGCGCTAAGAGACTAGATCAGATTAGATATGGTGGCGGGAGCCGGGATCTGAGGATCTGATTAGATTACTCTCAAAGTTACAGTTACAGACCCAAGGTTCACCAGCATCATTGTGTGGAAGGATCTCGGAGCTCAAAGACTGGTTGCGAAGCAAAGCACACCGGTACCTCGTTTAATCGAAGTTTTTTATTTTTTTACTGCGCACATACTATCCGTACAAGTTGCTTCTTCATGCACCTTCCAGTTCTGGCTCGGAGACTGGAGGACATTGCACGTAAAGGCGCTATAATGGATACGAGTATTGGCGTGTATGTAACCTGGAATGCTCAGTACACCGGAATAGGAATGCTTAACGCCTCCATTTTCACAATAATCTTATCAGCGGCAAGTCCCGACACGTCAATGCAGAGCAAACCAATTCGGTCAAGAGACTCTTCACCTGGATTACCCCTCCCCAAAGCCTGAAATTGTTACACTATAGGCATCTTTCCCTTATCGTGGTAAAATTGCCGCTGGAATGACTGTTGTGCTCCGCTATGATGTAACGGACTACTTTGAAAATCTCTAACTCCACCCGCAATTCCCTCACTTCGTGGAGTATCGCCGCCTGTAATCTTCACAAGTTCACATGGCTCCAAAGAGACCGTGCATGATGTATTTCATTTCAGTGGGACATAAGAGCCTGCAGATACATCGCTAAGTGAAGTAGGAATGTAGACGAGAGGGGGCGAAGAGGATTTCGCAACGCCAAAACACACCGAATCATCGCACAGGACAAGCGAGCCAAGGAGGCAGAGAAAGCTTACAAGTTCATGGATTGGCGAATCAAAATTTGCAGCCTTTTAAATCGTGTTGAGAAATGACAGCACACGTGAGTATACAAAAGATGGCGTGTATTGATGTATCTTAGAGTATTGTGTACTTTGCGACTCATCGTATCATACGGTAAAGGTAAGTATTGAATCCGTCGCGTAATCGCTTATCAATCTGATATTAATACTCGCTTCCGTTTCTAGGGCTTGCAATATCCCCAACCAAGGTCGAGTTAAATCCCTAAGGAAGTTTTACCTAATACCCGTTATAAAATTTTCATCTGATCCGGTTTGTCTGACGACTAAAACCGAAGCTCACGATAATATCTGACCCAAGAGGAAAAAAACTCGGTCAACTAACTCTCGGATCAGATAATTTTGTCTCAGCCCACCACACCACACCAAAATACCTCCCCACTAAACATCAGAAATGGAGAATAGAAATCCAAGTCAGTCCGACCGGCCCACATTACAATCCCTCCTTCAAAAAGAAACTAAAACCGGTCATAAATGTGGATGAAATGGAAACCTAGTCGTAAGACAATTGTTTCACTCGTACAATGATTCTCCAAGAGGATTAGCTTATCAGATGGGGATTATCTGATTAGATGATTAGATTGATAGGCCGGTTTAGTCTTGGCGTGACTATCACTTCCTTTTTCCATTCCGTGTACAAACACTGCTCCGCACAGTTTCCTCGGCCCAATCGACCGGAAGTCAATTCGCTTCCGGTCGGAGATTTACCCGTAAGGCAGAGTCTTCTTTCTTTTTTGGTGTATGTTCACGATGATCCTTGGGTATGACGGGCCCACATACATATCCAGTTTGTTGGTACGGAGTATTGGGGTATGCATATGGTTATGGAGATATCTACGAAAGGAAGTAAATTTTCCTTCACGAAGATAAGGTTCTAGGCGTTTAATTTCATATGAAGAAGAATTCTGCTGCCTCGTAAGTTTTGGTTACCCTGCACCGGCCAGATCCCTCCGAGGGCATCATCATTATCGACAATGCTCAATTCGCTGTAGAGTTACCGGAATGACTACGCATTATGTCTCAATTCAACAGTGACAGAAAATCCCATAATCTTTAAACAAAAATAAACTAAAAGGTCCATGCTACCCACTATACACCCATACAAAAGAACGAAAGAAAACAACGGAGAAAATCTAAAGCTTAGCATCCCATGCCATCCGATCCGAACTCTCCAGCGGCCGTTCCCTCCCATCCCAGAAAAGTGGACAAAGCTGAAACCACTTTTGCCGACTACAATGCACATGGACGGATCTCTTATGGCCCAAATCCACATACCCCTGGACCGTGAGACCCTGCGCATTCTCATACGATAGGACGGTGGTGTTTGTAGCCTTGGGCTCACCGACGACAGCCATTGTGCGTGGCTCGTCGAGGAAGATGTAGTGGATGAGGCTGCCCCACCAGGCGTTGACGCGGTAGGCGCCGCGCACGCTGTGCTCGCCGACGAGGGAGTGGCGGCCGCGGTCGTAGTCGTCTGCGTCGTAGTGGGCGCCGTAGTGGTCTTCCTGTTCTTTGTGTTAGTTTTTTATGCTCGGTGGATTAGGGGGTTGTGGTGGAGGGATGTACTTTAGCCCAGTAGACTTCAAAGTAGGAGAATTTGAAGTCATCGAAGCGGCCGAAGAGGCAGAGAACGTGTTTGTCTTCGTGGAGACGGCGGAGGTATTCGCGATGCTCGTCTAGGGTTCCGGTTTCGTTCCATCCTTTCGCAACGCGGGGATCGTTCTGCCATTTATTGAAGAGACGGAGGTGTTCTTCGTCTTGCCAGTCGACGGCCATGAGAGAGAAGTGCTGGTTCAGGTGCGGGATATAGCGGCTATAGACGAGGGAGCCTGGGGTAGGTTTCGTGGGGCGGATGGGGTGGCGGGTGTAGATGCGCTCGTCGGGGAATTTCATGGAGAACTCGTAGTTCTGGGCCAGGGCTGGATATTGGCTGGCGGGTTTGCGAAGGAGGCCATGGATATCTTGGTCGACGGCCCAGATTGGGCGGGGTCCGAGGGGGGAGCCGGCGCCTTGCCAGAAGGCGGAGCGGAGGAGGACGATGGTGTTGCTGGGAGAGGCTTTGTTTTCGTTGCCGAAGGGGATGCGGCGGGAGGGGAAGGCAACGGTCAGGCCGGTGCGGATGAGTTCATCGCGGATAACCTCGTGGCCGGAGCCAACGAGATCGAGGCGGAGGATCTCCCGGTGTGGATGGGTGATGAAGAGCGCGTGGATGACGTTCCATATTTGGCCCAGTGTTGGGGGCTCTACGCTGGTCCAGTGGAAGGATGTTCCGGGTGCGCGTCGGGTGCGAGCCCAGGGACTGTTGTCATTGTCGGGGATTTCTTTGGCGGATTCATCGAAGGCGATGTCTGCGTAGGTGAGGGTATCTGAGTGGAGGGGCTCTGGGAGTGGTTTTCCCACTTGAGCGTCGTGTAATTGAAGTTGGAGCACGCGGGGTGTGGATTCGGAGACTGTGTGGATTTTATAGCTGGTAAGATATGGATGAGGAAGCTTCACCTGAGGATATGTCGGTTTGCCAATGGGCGTCGACTCGGCGAGGGCTGTGTTCATAATTGTGGGAATGTGAAAGCTGCTCTGCGTCATCGCCAGACAATTGAACAATTTGTGATAAGCAAAACGGCCCTGGAAAGCGCCAGGATCTGGGCCTGGTATATATAAGACATGGGTGAGCAAAACCTCCGAGGCTAACGAGTGGAGAAAGTTTACACAATGGAATGCCGAGCACCAAGTAGTCCCGAACTATGGCTTGTGAAGTAAGTGCATTACGCCTTTACTATGTTTACTTAAAACGTGATCGAGCCACTCGTCATGGACACTCAATTTCTCAACCTCGCCTAAAAATACCCTCTTATATTAATACGCAATGTCGATGAGCGTGCAGCATCCCTCCGTCCAAGGGTGTCTGGTCTCGTTCCCGACCCCTCACATACTCCTTCTCACGCTCAACCGACCTAAGCAGCGCAATAGCATACCGCTCGCTACGAGCGCTGAGATACAACGACTATGGGAATGGTTCGATAAGGAGCCTACTCTACGGGTGGCAATCATAACTGGCACAGGAGAGTCCTTTTGCGCCGGGGCGGACCTCAAAGGTAGTACCAATTCGTTTCCATTTTCCTCACCAGCCTCTTTGTTCTAGGATCATCTAATATAATAGTATATAGAATGGAATGAACTTAACGCGCGCGGCGAAACAAATGAAATGACGGCACCCGGGCTGGCCGGACTCCCCCGCCGAAGAGGAGTGAAACCCATTATTGCCGCCGTGAACGGATACTGTCTCGGCGGCGGATTCGAGATGGTGGTCAATTGCGATCTGGTTGTCGCCAGTGAGCAGGCAACCTTCGGGCTACCCGAAGTACAACGAGGAATTGCCGCCGTTGCAGGCTCTCTACCTCGGCTGATTCGGATCCTGGGCAAGCAGCGAGCCGCGGAAATTGCGCTGAGTGGACTAAGTTTTCCTGCAGCGCAACTGGAGCGTTGGGGGCTGGTGAATCGCGTGGTGGAGCACAGTCAGTTACTGGCCACAGTGGTGGAGATGGCAACCGCCATCGCGAGGAATAGCCCGGACAGCATCCGCGTAACCATGGAGGGCCTGCACAATGGGTGGGAGATTGCCAGTGTTGAAGAAGGCAGTACGGCCTTGGTCGACCACTGGTACCCTAAACTCATGGCTGGGGAAAATTTTCACGAGGGTGTGCGAGCATTTGTGGAGAAACGGAAACCACAGTGGAGGGCTTCCAACTTGTAATCTGGTCGAGGGATTTCTGGTGACAGATATTATTATCTGATTCTAAACAAATTACAGCTAAAAACGCCACCAAATAGTTAATTAATAGATTACTTACACGGAATACATGGTGGTGGACTGGTTTGTTTTCCTTTTCCGGGAACAGCTTGTCGTGTACGGAGAACACACTTGATCTTTTGTTTACACAGAGTGATGCGGACGACCCAGGGACCTCCGCTATATTTAACACAAGAGCTTCCATGTTGATCCTACTGCTGATCAGTTCTACAGCCTTATTTTGACATACTGGAAACCGTCTGTGGTACAGTCCACCGATCCGTACGGTATAGAAATAATTACTAGGGTGTTTCGAGTGGGTCAGTGAGTATTCATTCATTACTACGTACTGTACCAGAGCTAAAACCTTGAAACCCACTCACAGAACCTAGTAAACCATGCAAATTTACAGTTTTTAATAGAAGTTGTATCTAGCATTTTCGAATACAGAACGGTAGATGAAGACAGCGCTAGTACTATTCATTTTCTAGTATCATAAAGTTCTGACGGAGCAGAATGGTACCGTGATCAGGTGATGCGCCCGCCCTAGTTTGCGGGATCATATCGGAATCCATGTTTGGCCCCGTCACGGGTCAGGAGAGGGGAAAAAAAAAGGAACAAAAGCGTAATGAGGTCCTGTACTCCGTACAAACTAGATCCATACTCCGTACATACAGTACCAGAGTACCATTTCCCATACTGTATTTACAGGCCTCCGTACTGGACTTCATACCATAACGGCATTGAAGCTGTCCTGCTCCACCCATCCGTTCACCGGACCTATACCTACACATGCTCTGCGCCCTACCTGTGAAGATATGTGGGCGACTACTGAGCCCACCAGTCTCCCGCAATGACGATCTCGGTCGGACATTGCAGAGCACCTGCAGGTACGGAATTAACTTGTGGCTTTCCGGGCTTGCCCGCCGGAGGACAATGCGATCAGAACCTTGGGTATTCTCGTTATATAATATACACCTTACCACTTGAGTCCGGTTGGACTAGTCGAAAGCTCTAGTGAATTGAACGGCTGGCCGAGGTGCAACCCCTCCTCGCTTCTCATACCCCGCCAATATCACGAGTCCAAAAACGCTGGACTGCCGGGAGAATGAGCTCTATACAGGTCGATAATATACCTTATCAGGATCAGCCTGGGCATAAATCCGTCAACGGAACGTCTGTCGGTCAGGCTGATGGCGCCAGCTTTAAGACTTTTGAAGTCACCGGCCTTGCGGACTATGAAAATACCATCACAGGTATGAAAGATGAGATCTTACTTCTTTCATGGCTCATCGTGCTGTTGCGGACCAGAGAAGGAGACCAGGTTCGCTATGAATGGGCTCATAAAAGCCAAGAAAATTGGGTTGAGCGGGAGACAGCGCACAGTCTGTCGATGAGTGAAGTTATACCACAATTACAAACCAGTGTCAGCGAGGCCGCGGAGGCAATTTCGCGGCATATCACAACAGTCAAATCAAGTGAGAGTGCAACCCAGTTCAGTTCGGCCTTACTCCTTTTGAGCAGCGGATCCCTTTCCCGAGTGTCTGAGCAATGTACGGATGGAGTAAGTTACAATGGTCCATTGTGGTAGTAAATGGCTAACCGGAGTGACAAGGGTGCGATTCACTTGGAGGCACGCTTGGAGAATGGCCAGCTGGGAATCTGTCCAGTATGGCAGTCCGGAAATATGCTCCCATTCACAGTAACGCAACACATCAAGTCGCTGGTCGACACCGTTAAAATGTGTATTGCAGATCCCGATGCATCTATTGAAACCTGTCTTCGGCCGACCTCAAGTGATTTGAGCGCGATATGGAAATGGAATCACGAACTGCCCCCCTCCTACAACTTTTGCATGCACGACGTGGTTTCCGAACAGGCCCAGAGATTTCCAGACAAGGTCGCAGTCGCATCATGGGATGGTAGCCTAACCTACGGCCAAATCGACCGGTATTCCACCTTCATGGCGCGCTTACTAAGGAAAATGGGTGTTGAGGTACATGATTTCATACCAGTGTGCTTCGAGAAATCAAGATGGACCATCGTCGCCGTACTCGCGGTGATGAAAGCAGGAGGAACTTTGGTGATGATGGACCCGACGCTACCACTTGCCCGCCTACAAAACATGGGCAAACAAGTCGGCGCGAAAACGATGGTATCATCTCGGGCACAATATGACCTAGCTACATCGATCTTACCGGATGGAAAGCATATCGTCGTCGAAGAAGACACATTCACGCACTTGTCAGATTCGGAGGTTTCTCCACAGTTACCAGTTGTGCCATCGTCTGCTTTGATGTACATCATCTTCACTTCAGGCAGCACGGGTACCCCGAAAGGAGTGAAGATCTCTCACGAAACCTATACAAGTAGTGCGTTCCCTCGGGCGAAAGCGGTTGGCTATACGGAGGACTCCAGGGTTCTTGATTTTGCGTCCTACGCTTTTGACGTCAGTATCGACAGCATGCTTTTGACTTTGGCAAACGGCGGTTGCCTTTGTATCCCTTCCGATGAGGATCGACTGAACGATATCAATGAGGTCATTCGGAAAATGCAGATCAATTACGCAGGTATAACCCCGTCAGTCGCTAGGATTTTGGAGCCGGATGTTATAACATCGCTCAGTATGCTTGGTCTTGGAGGAGAAGCAGCTGCGGCGACGGATGTGACGCGCTGGGGTAAAGACACTAGGATTGTGATCGGTTACGGTCCCTGTGAATGCACCATCGGATGTACGGTGAACGGCGATACTGCTACAGGAAGAGACTATATCTCCATCGGGACAGGCAACGGCGCGGCTATCTGGATTGTCGACCCTAACGACCACAATGTGCTTATGCCGGTCGGTGCTGTAGGCGAGCTACTTGTCGAAGGCCCAATTGTAGGACAAGGCTACTTGAATGATCCCGACAAAACCGCCGCCGCTTTCATTCATGATCCAGATTGGCTTGTGGCGGGCCATAATGGCTATGCTGGCCGACAGGGACGTCTGTATAAGACTGGAGATCTTGGGAAATACGATCCGGACGGTTCTGGGGGCATTGTCTTTGCCGGGCGGAAAGACACGCAAGTTAAATTGCGCGGACAGCGTGTTGAGCTTGGTGAGGTTGAAAGTCATCTTAATGCAAGATTACCTGCGGAAACTACTGTGATTGTCGAGGTGATTAAGCCTCAGGCATCCGGGGGCCAACCTACTTTAGTAGCATTCATTACAGCCCAGTCTACAAAGAAAAATGGGGATACTGAGCTCAAGTCCGCAGAGTGGTCGGACGAGCTGCGCAACGCATTGTCAACAGCTGATGCGGAAATCGCAAAGGTTTTGCCGCGTTATATGGTGCCAAACGCATATATTCCGGTCAATTTTATGCCAGTCCTTATCTCAGGCAAGACTGACCGCAAGCGACTCAGGGAGTTCGGTGCCACGGTAGACTTGCAGCAGCTGGATCAAGGCACAAACACTGGAGCTATTCGCGAGCTGACCGAACTTGAGCAACGTTTGCGCCATGCCTGGGGCCAAGTACTGAAGCTGGACCCCGAAGGCATCCGCCCTGAAGACAATTTTTTCGCACTAGGTGGTGAATCTTTAGCAGCAATGAAACTCGTGTCGGTCTGTAGAGCGGATGGTCTTGACCTTAGTGTCACCGGCACTTTCGGCCACCCCACACTTGCAGCGATGGCCAGCGTCGTCACCATTGCAGACTCGAAAACCAAAGTCGAAACACCGGAATTTTCTATGATCTCCCAAGCAGTAGAGAGTGCATGTCTGGAAGCATCCCAGGCTTGTGGGACAGATTCCGCATCCATCGAAGATATCTACCCATGCACCCCTACGCAAGAGTCACTGTTCACCTTCTCACTCAAATCAGTCAAACCTTACATCGCTCAGAGAGTGGCGTGCATTCCATCACATATCAGCACCGATTCCTGGAAGAAGGCGTGGGAGGAGGTTGTCGCAGCAATCCCCATCCTTCGCACTCACGTAGCCCAGCTCCAAGAGCCCGGGCTGCAACAAGTTGTACTAAAGAAAAGCATCTCCTGGAGAGATTCGACAGATCTTGAACAGTACCTCGAGGCTGATCGGAACGAGAGGATGAATCTTGGAGAAAGCCTGGCTCGATACGCTATAATTAGCAATCCCCACAATGACACGCGGCACATGGTCTGGACAGTCCACCACGTACTCTATGATGGATGGTCAGAGCCAGTTATACTTAAGAAAGTCAGTGATGCCTTGCAAGCTCAGCAAATTAATGTACACACACAAATTAGAGACTTCGTCAAATTTGTACACGAAACAGATCAAGTCGCTATGCGGGAGTTTTGGCGCCGGGAATTGAAGGGAGCCGTCGGACCTCAGTTCCCACGGCTGCCCACGAGAGACTACTTGCCCATGCCGGATGCCATGGTCGAACATGAGATACAGCTTGATACAAGCTCTGGATCGCCATTTACAATGGCGACATTGATCCGTGGCGCCTGGGCACTTGTAGCGTCACAGTACACCGGCAGCGACGACGTCGTGTTTGGGGAGACTTTGACAGGGCGAGACATCTCGTTACCGGGAGTCGAAAGCATTGTCGGGCCTTTGATTGCTACAGTCCCGATCCGCATACGTGTTCCACGAGCAAGCACCGTTGAAGCTTATTTGAAGACCGTACAGCAAAGCATTTTGGCCCGTACGCCGTATCAGCATATGGGGATGCAAAACATTAGAAAGGTCAGCCAAGATGCTCAACACGCTTGCGAAGCTAGCACAGGCTTGGTTATTCAACCAGAGCCAGAGTACGTGGCCAGTGAGCTTGGCTTTAGTCACGGAGATGTCGTGCGCGAGGCGCTCCATTTCAACCCCTATCCGCTTATGGTGGGCTGTGGTATTAAGAAGGGTGGGTTCAGAATCTGCGCAAACTTTGACAGTAGCTTGATCGAGGTCGCAAAAATGGAGCGAATCCTTAAGCAGCTCCAAATGGCCTGTTCACAGTTGACAAAAGATCTATCCAGAAGGATCGATGAGATATCCTGCTTGCCCGAGGCAGAATTGGACCAGATCTGGCAATGGAACCAGACTCCCCCATTGTCCTTGGACGAGTCGTCCAAGACACTTCGAGCTGATTCTAGTATTAAACAAGGATCTATCTATCCTCCTACGGTGGTATCGTGGGTATGTGATCCGCGGAACCCATCTTTGCTATCGCCGATTGGTTGTGTCGGCGAGCTCTGGCTTGAGGGGGCATTCCTATCCGGAGAGGCCGTTGAATCTCCGTCCTGGCTTGTGGCTGGAAGCTCAAGCTGTAAAGGCCGTGCTGGAAGGGTCCAGCCCACTGGGGACATGGTTCAGCTACGGGAGGATAGAAGCTTGATATTTGTGGGCCGAAAGGAGAACGTTGTAGCGGTCCATGGACATGCGGTAGATATCTCCGATATTGAAGCCCACTTCGCAAGACATCTCCCATCTCATATTCGTGCCGCTGCAGCTGTGTTCCAACCATCGTCAGACGCCACTAAGCCCTCCTCAGAGCAAGAGTTGGCCGTCTTCATAGAGCAACAGCCTTTGGAGGAAGAGAGCGTTGAGCTTCTGTCTAAGAACCATAACCTCACCCCCGAGACATTGATCTGTGCAGAAATTCCTGTCAGCCTTGCTGTCGCAGTCAAGCGACTCAGAAAATTCATGCAAGATTCCCTTCCATCCTATATGGTTCCCTCTGCGTATGTCGTGATCGACAGAATCCCCACTGAGATGGACCAAGTCGACCATGGCCTTCTCAATCAGCTCGCCTCAAAGATTCCTCGAAGCATACTCACCCAGCTTGGTGAAGGGTTCCAGGAAGCATGGGCGAAGAACTTAGGGCAAACACATTTGTCCAATACAGAATCCATTCTGCAGGCTGCCTGGGCAAAAATACTGCGGATGAGCCCGGAAAAGATTGACGTCGATGACAACTTCTTCCGCCTCGGCGGTGACTCCGTTCTAGCCATGAAGTTGGTCTCCAGTCTTCGCGCACAGGGCCACAGTTTAACAGTCGCCGATATTTTCCAGAACATGCTTCTTAGAGACGCAGCCAAGGTACTGAAAGTGGGCCAAGTGTCGCAAGCGAAAGCTCAGTCCTATAAACCTTTCTCGTTGCTAGGCCATGTGAACCTAGAGCAATTTCTGTCCGAGGTGGTCCGGCCGAAACTTACTGACCCAAGTTGGTCTATTCAAGATGTATTTCCGGTGACAGACACTCAAGCACTTGACATCAGAGCGACCGTCCAGCCACCGAGAACTTCCATCCAGTACACCATGCTTTATCTCGATAAGAAGGTTGATCGCGAACAATTGTTCCGCGCTTGCAGCCACCTTGTCAAGGCCCATGATATTCTACGCACCGTCTTCATCGAACATGAATCGACCTTCTTGCAAATCGTTCTGAATGAACTGGATGTCCCTGTGGCTATGCACCAGGCTGATGGGGACCTCGAACAATATGTCAAGGTCCTCTGCGCTGCAGACGCCGAATCGAACTTCCAGCTCGGATCGTCATTCCTCAAGCTGCTCCACGTGCAAGGCAACGATAGCCAAGACTGTCTTATAATAGGCCTTTCCCACTCTCAGTATGACGGAATATCCCTCCCAAGACTGCTTCAAGACTTGGAGACTTTGTACACCGGCGGCAAGATCGTCGATTTCGAACCATTCTCAGCATACGTTGCACGGATCTCCGATGAGCGCGTCCAAAGCAAGGCAGCCAACTACTGGCGCAATCTCCTAGACGGTTCATCACTGTCCGTGCTGGAGGGGACATCAGTCCAGCCCACAGACAAAGCGATATTCCGAACCAAATCAGTCGACATCTCCCAACCCCTTGACCTCGAAGAAATCACAACCGCAAACCTGCTCACCGCAGCATGGGCACTGGTCCTAGCCCGCCGTCTCCAGACACACGACGTAACTTTTGGCAGTGTCACCTCAGGCCGAAACATCGACCTCGCCAACGTAGAGACTGTCATGGGTCCATGCTACCAACTAACCCCGATCAGAGTGCCGTTCCAGTCTCAGTGGACCGCGGTGGATCTCCTGCGATTCGTACAACGGCAAAGTGCCGAGTCTGCAGCTCACGACTTCCTTGGATTCGAGATGATCTCTAAGCAATGCACGCAGTGGTCAGCGGCCGCGCAATCCTTTGGCTCCCTTGTCCATCATCAGGACTGGGATGACTTCGATACCATGCCTTTCGCCGGGGGAAATTGCAAGGTTGATATTTTGAATCCCGATGGGGACGCGGCTTATCCTTTGAAGGTTGTTTCGTTTGTCCGCGGGGGACAGATGCATGTTGGGGTGGTGGGAAGTGAGAGAGATGCTGCGTTTGTGAACGCTGCCTTGGACGAGTTGGCGGCCACCGTTCAGGAGTTGGTGACGCGTCGGTCGGAGCACATGTTGCTGTAGAGTCACACGGTCTAGTATCCTTCTTACAGTCCTTGCGTATTCTCTACAATGTTAGGAATGCCAAATCAAAGTTCCCGACCTCGAGTTCCTGGCACCATTTACATCTCCTCTTTAGGAAAGGTCAAAACAATCGTATGGGTAACTCTCTCCATGATATATAATATCAGCTTTTTCCATTGTATCCTGGTTTAACTAACTAAAATAAACAGCTACTAAGGCACTTTCAAGTCCGGATGTTCCAAACTGGTAGTGATTCAGAGGGTTACAAGCTCGCTGGGGCGATTGTAGTCACTATCTCCAAATATATATTTCTTACCAATGGGATACACAAGCCCCAATGATGTACATATACACTATAAAATTGCAAAATACTAAAGTCAAAGGTACTGTAAATATCTAACGTCTTAGAATCTTTTTGAATTATATGGTCGTGTTAAGAAATTGTTGGTCAATGGTGGATGTATGTAAGTCGCCGCCACGGCAAGAAGTTGGGAGGATGTTTTGGGGGTTGGTCTGTGGAAGTTATACTAAGAAGGGAGGTCGAACACACTTGTGTCCCAAGATATGAAAGGCCAAAATTGGAATATTATTTTGTATATATGAAAAGAAATGCAGCTATTACAAATATGTAGAACGTCTATCGGGGGAATAATCTATTTAACAATCTCGGCAGGTAATGGCCCGCGTTCAAAGATTTCCAGAAACAAAAACGCAATCAAGTTTTAGATTCACCTCTATCAGGTCGCCACTGTTTGATGCATGACGTTTGCCCGATAGCTGTCCGACCGGTGGAGCAATTCATCGTGTGATCCGCGGTCAATGCATTTACCTCCCTCAATGAGGAAGATGACATCTGCCGCCCGAATGGTGTGCAGACGATGAGCAATGGCAATCACCGTGATACCCTTCGCAGCCTTTGCAAGCCCATCCTGCAGTAGCTTCTCCGACTCGGCGTCGAGAGCACTTGTTGATTCATCAAGAATCAGCAACTTAGGCTTCCGAACAAGCGCCCGCGCAATTGACAATCTTTGCTTCTGACCCCCGGAGAACTGGCTACCATTCGGCCCGCAAAGTGTCTGGTAACCTTCCGGCAATGCCATAATAACATCGTGGATATTGGCAAGCTTACAGGCTTCCTGAATATCCTCAATCGTAGCCTCATGTCCGGGCCGAGCGCCAAGACCAATGTTAAACTCAATGCTTCCCTCGAAGAGGACACTTTCTTGGGGCACCAAGGCAATCGAGTCGCGGAAAGACACGCCGCGGTGCTTGGTCACGTCGACTCCATCGATCACGATGCCTCCGATTTCAGGGGTGTACAGCCGCTCAACTAGGGAAATGATCGTCGATTTACCGGCACCGCTCGGTCCGACAAGAGCGCAGAATTGTCCGGGCTGAATGTCAATGTCTAAGCCGTTGAGCACCCGGACGTCTGGCCGGGCGGGGTATGAAAAGTGGACGTTACGCAGCTGCACGCTAGAAGCCTGGTCGTTGCCGGCAATATACGCTGGTTTGGGCTCAACGGTCTCAGGGTCTGCGCTATCGGAAGACGCAGCGGACGAATGGGTAGGCACACGCCCATGCATCTTATCTGACCCGATCTCGATCAAGCCTAAGATTCTTGCCATCGCCGCTCGGGCGGCGGAAAGCTCGGGCGCGAGCGCGAACATCTGACTCCAGAGGAGTGCGCTAACCAGGAGCGAGAAAACGACAATCAGGAACTGTGTCTGCGTGTAGTTACCTGCGATGATCTGTTTGGCACCCCACCAGTAGGCCAGCGCATTCACGCAGTTGCCAAGGAAGTAGGTCATTGCCTGCCAGAGACTTGCGTGTATAGTGACTTGGAAGGTCTCCTTACGTGGACCCTTTAGAGATCGTCTGTATGTCTTCAATGTCTCTTCTTCGAGAGAAAGGGATGCGATTGTTTTGATGGAAGTGACTGCCTCGACACCAATGTCGACAGATTTGGTGTATGCGTTTTCGTGCCGTTCCTCGAACCTGCCGAGGACGTGGAGTTCCATAAGACCAGCTCCAAGCAGAAGTGGTACCAAGGCCAGGCAAACCAATGCGATCCTCCAGGCGATGATGTGAGTCAAAATAATTGCGGCAATGAGATTGACGGTTATTGAGAACAGAGTTCCAATGACAGAGCCACTCAGCCCCGCCAAGGCATTGCCGTCTCTTGTAATGTAGGAGAGGAGCAAGGCGGGCGATCGGCCGTTGGACTGATGCCATTGAAGGTCTTGCTCGAACAGTGAACGGAACGATAAGACCCTGACTGTGTAGACGATCTTTTCAGACACCCAGCCGAACCCAGCCCAACTAACCAGATTCGCGAAGAATTCGATGATTGCAAGTACGAAGAACATGAGACCGAAGAAGTTGCCTCGATCGCGGATATAATCTGGGGTGTGGCAGGGGTTTAGACTGCCTACAGTGTTGCCAAAAATCACGGCCTCACCGGAGAATGCACCGCCGACAATGCTGGATCCCAAAAGAGCCATGAAAATGAAAAGCAGATGTGGTCTGAGGGCGGGTGCATACCCGCGCAAGAGCGCCCACAAAGATTTGCGCGGAGTCTCGGGCTCTTCTTCTGCGGATTCAGTGACTGGAACTGCACTGGTGGCGGCTTCTTTTTTCTCGGAGTTGTCCGGATCGTCGTTTGAGACGCTACTTTCCTCGATCTCAGCGTCTGATACGGAGGCCTGGCCCGATTTGTTTATGGTATCTGTTTTAGCCGATGGTCCCTTATTGCCGGGCGCCGATCCGAGAGTTTGTAGGTTGACTAGATCAGCGTATGCTCCATTCTTTGCCATCAAGGCCGCATGGTCTCCCTGCTCCACGATATGTCCCTTGTGCATCACAATGATATTATCCGCATTTGTGATCGTTGACAGACGATGAGCAATCGTGATCATCGTTCTACCACTAGCAATATTTGAGATGGCTCGCTGGATACGTTGTTCGCTTCTGGAATCGAGAGAAGCTGTAGCCTCATCCAAGATAAGAACAGCAGGGTCCTTCACAAGTGCTCTAGCAAGGGATACTCGTTGCTTCTGCCCACCACTGATTAGCCGCCCACTCGAGCCGACAAGCGTACCGTATCCATGCTGTAAGGCGCTAATGAAACCATCCGCATCTGCAAGCGTAGCAGCCTTTCTCGCCAAATTCACAATTTCGACAACTTCCGAGCCTCGTTTTTCAGCTGCAACCATGAGGTCCACACCTTCTCTGACCTCGCTTGCTAAATCCGTAAGGTCGGTACCAAGGAGGGTTGTCTTCAAGTGAGCATGGATGGGATTGCTGGAATTGATCAGGCCATGTGCGATGTTCTCCAAAAGTGATCGATCGAGAAGAGAGGGTTCCTGCTGCACCAGACTGAGGAAACTTCTCAAGTCGCGGGTGTTTACCTCGCGAAGGTCATGGCCGTCGAAGAGGATCTGTCCGTCCGTAGGATCGTACAATCTTGTGACAAGGCCCGCGATAGTTGACTTACCACTTCCTGACAAACCAACCAGCGCGGTATGCTTGTTTGCCGGGATGGACAGGCTAATCTGGTCGAGCACCGTGATTTCAGGCCGAGAGGGGTATGTGAACGAAACGTTCTTGAACTCAAAGCCGCCTTCTGCCTGTGAGAGGCGAATGCCCGATTCAGTCGTGGCATCGATCTGCGGCTGGCGAACAATGCCCTCACGCAACTTGCGGAACGAGGCGACAGCAGCTGTGAACAGATGGAGGAACGGTGCAACCTGACTCAGAAGCAAAGTAGCTGTTATAATGTCAGTAAAGCCCTGTGGTAAACTTCAAGTATAACATACCTTCGACCAGGATGAAAATAACTGTAAAGGTAGCACCCACGGTGGCACCCGCAGAGTCGGAACCCACTGAATCGGCGACTCGTCTGCTGCCTTGCCAGAATGCCAGACCATTCGCGGAATAGGCGATGAAATACAAGAATCCAGATTGTATACCGACGGCCGTAGCCTTCTTCAAACCTTCCTGCTCGGAAGCTTTGAGAGCCTTGGAAAACTTGTCTTCCAGCCGGTAATTGGCGCTGAAAGCCTGTACCACGACTGTGTTGGAAAGCGCTTCGGAGGCGATTGATGCGGCAGAAGCAGAATAATCTGACATGCGTCCTGAGTATTTCTCGATATAATGGCTTCCAATGAATGACATCAGGAAATAGGCAGGGATCAACGAGATGAGCATGGCTGCCAGCCGGTAATCCTTGATGAAGGCGACGATATATGCCGTGACGAAGAAGGATATGCTGGATAGAACTATTCCTACTTTCTCCGACGTGCCCGATCGAATAGACTGGATATCGCCATTGAGTCGAGATGCAATTTCTCCGGGAGGCAGGTCATCGAAGTATGAAGGTTCTTGCCGGAGCAAGTTCTGCAGATAGCTCTCCCGCAGTCGCTGAGCCAGCCGAGCGCCGTTCAAACTCCAGCATGAAAGATGGATATAGATGGCAACGAATTGAGCAATGGCCAGATACACGATGATCAAGATTTTGCCGTTAATGTCATGTTGGTAAGAGGCATTGGATTCCGCCGATGCCGTTGATTCGGTTTCATTGCAAGTCACTGCATTAAAATCGTCGAGAAGCTGACCAAAAAGAATTCCAATCAATGGAAACGGAACTCCAGATGCTATCGAGGCTGCGATACCCAACAAAAGCCGTCCTATATCAACTTTTGAAGGGTTGCCGGCCAACAGTAGGCTGGGGTAGCCCGCAAGTTTCTGGGCCAGCATTATTGGGACCCGCGTCGATGGCTGCAACCTTATGATTGTCGTTCAGTTGCTAAGTTCTCCTCGTGGTCATTTATCGGAGGTCTCGTTCATAGGCGGCGGAGAGTTAAGGAGGGGAAGACACCATAAGGGAGAATATATCCACACCTTGGAGAAATTTCATATTGAGTCCGAGGTCGCAGATGATCTCCGAGACAAGGTGACCGGTGGTGATGCCTGAGAGCCTGAGGGGGGGAAAGAAAAGTCCCAAGTGGGGATTGGTATTGTTACGTAAGATTATCAGATTGATAAAAAAAAATAAAAGATTTCAACCACGTCGGAGATTTCCGGGATAGGAAAAGATCCACCGGTTTAAAAAAAAAAAAATAGTCAAACAAGAAAGAAAGGGAAATTAATTAGTTAATTAATTAATCATACGTAAGTCAGAATGGATTGACTTGTGTTTCGTGCGATACACGCCCCAATACCATACTATGATACCAACTTACCCATCGTATCCGCACGACACAAATATTACGCTAAGGTGTAGTACGTAAATAGATATATTCATACATACATACATACATACACTCTTTCGATGGATCAGAATACATGCTTGTCTCGGCTATAGGGAGCTAGAAGATGAGAGGATCAAGCTCTTGCGCACGGAAACTTTCGGTTTTGGAAAGGATCTAATTTAGTACAAGCGCCCTGGTAGCCAAAAAATAAGACAAAAAAAAATAAAAAATAAACCACCCCTTGCGTGGTCAGGATATACCAACCACTGGTGACTTCCATGCGATCGTTGCCACAACCAATAGCGCCCTAAAGGTGGATAACGTATGGTCCGGTCGTTCTCCGGTGTGATTTACTAGGTTTGCCTTAGTCGCAAACTGTTCCAACTTGAAAAAAGGTGTCAAAGAAACTTGTCCCTCTCAAGTTTTTTTCACAACCTTCATCTCAATCCAGCAACACATCTCTTTCTACTGCACGTGTAGTTGAGACTAAGTTTAATATGTTGTCTTCGTGGCAGAAGAAGTTCTCTGAGAAGAAGGGCTCAACGGAGAGTGATCCAAATGTCCCTCCCGCCTATGGGACCGAAGATGCTCCTCAGCCAGGTTCCAAAGGACCAGAGGAGGCCGTCAATGATGTTCGCAGCCCAGATTTACCCGACGATACAGCCCAGGATGGTGTAGCACAAGCCGAAGCGATCACGTTGACTTGGACAAAGTGGTCCTTGGGATCCGCCTATATCCTGTGAGTTGAGGTTGGTTGTTCCAAAGAAGATCATGACTGATGGGGCGACAGTATGTGGTGTTTATACTTGGTGAATGCCTTCCAATCGTCTATCACGGCGAACCTGTCAGCCTACGTTACCAGTGGATTTGAATCCCACTCCTTGATTCCGCTCATTGCTATTGTTTCGAGTGTCATGTCAGCCGCAACTTATATGCCACTGGCGAAAATCCTGAACCTGTGGGACCGATCGATTGGATTCTTGATAATGGTGATCTTTTCCGTCATTGGCCTGATCTTGTCTGCAACGTGCACAAACATTGCAACCTATTGTGCATCGCAGGTAAGTCATTATGAAACTTTGAACATGCAATAGAAAGCTTACCCGACCATAGGTATTCTACAGCATCGGTTTTGCTGGGTTGATTTTTAGCATCGACGTCGTCACAGCCGATACTTCAACACTTCGCGATCGAGGTCTCGCTTACGCATTCACCTCCTCTCCCTATATCATTTCTGCCTATGCTGGTCCTAAAGCGTCGGAGGGTTTTTACGCCACTAACTGGCGATGGGCCTACGGCTGTTTTGCCATTGTGCTACCCGTTGTTGCCGCTCCCATGTTCTGTCTGCTTCGGTACAATCGTCATCTAGCGAAGAAAAATGGCCTCCTGCAGAAGAGGCAAAGCAGCGACAGGACGATCGTGCAGAGCATCATCCACTATGCCATCGAGTTCGATCGTAAGCCCTCCTACTTTTGTATCAGGAGAGTCTTTTACTGATGTTTACAGTGCTGGGAACGTTCCTTCTGGCGGCCGGTCTAGTCCTTTTCCTCCTCCCCTTCACCATCGCCGGTTCCGCTGAAGATGGTTGGAAGTCAGCCCACATTATCGTCATGCTAGTTGTCGGTTTCTGCGTCCTGATTGCTTTCGGCGTGGCAGAGCGCTGGTTCGCCCCAGTGCCCTTCCTCCCATACCAACTCTTGCTGTCTAGGACCGTTCTAGGTGCCTGCCTGATTGACGTTACCTACCAGGTCGCATATTATTGCTGGAACGACTACTTCACCTCGTACCTCCAGGTGGTGTACGGCACCAGCCTGGCAACCTCCGGATACATTAACAGCATCTTCGATGTGGTTTCTGGCGTCTGGCTTTTCGGTGTCGGTATGTTGATCAAGCTCACCGGTCGTTTCCGCTGGTTGCTCTGGTGCGCCGTTCCCCTCTTCATCCTGGGCTGTGGCCTGATGATCTACTTCCGTAACCCGAGCTGGTCGGTGGGGTATGTGATCATGTGCCAGATCTTCATGGCCTTTGCCGGTGGCACCATGATCATCTGTCAGCAAGTTGCGGTGCAGTCCGTCTCTGATCATAACAACGTTGCCTCTGCCCTCGCTTTCCTGAACTGCTTCGGCAACATCGGAGGTGCCGTCGGAAGCAGTATCTCCGGAGCCATCTGGACGCACACCTTGCCCGGCGCACTGCGAAGCCTTCTTCCCGACTCCATCAAGGGCGACTGGGAGACAATCTACGATGACCTTGAAGTGCAGCTCAGCTACGAAAAGGGCACACCCGAGCGCCATGCTATCGCTCTTGCCTACGCCAGCTCCCAGCAGAAGATGTTGATTGCTGGAACCTGCATCATGGCCCTTTCTCTCATCTGGATGTTCGTCATTCGGGACATCAAGCTTTCGAAGCAGCAGACCAAGGGTGTCCTGTTCTAGAGGCCGTCTTGTTATCCGACTTGCAGAAAACGCCACTCATTTTACACAATTATGCAACCGTGATTCCTATTGTATTGTTGAAAAGAGATTCTCAATCGACCAGGTTGATTATATTCAGTGGTAACAGAAGCGAATGGAAAATTCTTTCAATCGCCTCCAAATCAGTGATAGACTACCGTAGCTTAATTTAATACTGCAATGACTTAAGACCTGCTGTTTAGAATTTGATTTTTCTTTTTCTCCTTTTCACCCTACCTAACAACACATGCGTAATATTAGGCTGGTATGGCCACCATTTTAACATAAGAAACTAAAGTACCTAAGGTTATAGAACCGGAAAGCCCACAAATAAAAGAAGCCATAAAGCGGAGTCACACTGTGTAGAAGCGCATGAACTCCAGACAAGATGGAGCATTGCAGCTTGGCCATGCTTACTCGTTAGGCCAAATATACAAAACTTCCTTGGCCGTAGGAAAAGTGGAGCTGGCAATCCCTTGGTAATCCTTCTTTCAGACTGAACACTTGCATATCGACTATTTATCTGCCGTGTGCTACAGGAGCAGATCAATGCCATATCCATATTCACTAGCGGCAAGGCTTTAACGCAGGACTAGTTACAGTTGACGGCGGTACTTATTGAAAGGACCACGCAAGGCCCACCATAGCTGGAGAGGAGGGCTAACTTGAATCAGATGAGGGGCTAAGATTCGATGGCTGATTCTTTAGAATGTACTCTGTTAGTACTCTGGTTGACGTACCATTTCTCCCTGCGGCAAAAGCGCTATGTCGTTAGAGTTTCTGTCTATGTAATAATTACAGGGATATCAACGGCTAAACTGCGTTGGCGAGATAAGTGCCTCACTGGTGGTAAGAAAAAAAAAAAGCCTAATAAGATCCGGACAGAAATCTCTGTTGTCGGGTTAGCACTGCTAGCGATTAGAGCAGGCGTAACAACCCGTCTAATCCAATTTTCCTAGTAGACTTTAAAAGAAAAAGCTTCGACCTAAATCAAGGCCGATGATAATCTCGCATATAATAACTCCCTAGCAAACTTCGACTTGGTGTGTCTTCCACGTTCAGCAAAGTGGCGGTCCGAAGCGATACGGTTAACCCTATCAGATGATCAGATAACTTTCACGGTTGCATCCGCTTGAAAAAAAAAGCATCGTACGGAGCAGACCCACTTAAGCTCATATTCTCCTGCATACCGTACATACAGTACATACAGTACATAAATACATAAATACATACCCAGTCTTTCACCAAAATCGTTTCTCAAAAAACCAGTGGACCGCCATGATTAGTGCGCTCGTAAAGCCACCTCAACCTCCTTGGCAGAAAATAGCCCGGATAAGGTTGAAAAGGAATTATGTAATGACAACAATCAACTTCCATTAGCTTGACGATAACCCGGATTGGTGCGGGTTTGGTGCGCAGGTTTGGTTCTTCACTTGGTCTCGCCTCATCCGGATCACGAGTCTACCGTTGCTTCCATCTTATCAATCAGCACTGGGCAAATTTTTCCCCCATAATGGCATCCACTGGTGACGCAGTGGGTTTGTTTCGTGTCCACTGTTTGCGTGGTGGTGGCTGTGGCCTCCGTCAGTGATTTGGCTAGAATGTTGTCCTTTGGGACTTGGTGGGCTTTCTTGTTTGATGGGTGGAGGAATTTGGCTTTCTTGGGTTACTATAGCGAATTTGGAAGGGGTTAGAGTGATTTTCTAGCGGTAATCGGAGGTTTATTGTGTTCACGTAAAGACACTCTCGAAGAAAGGAGTCATCTCTAGGAGCTAGCTCTGAGCCACGGCTGTCTTGGTCATTTGATTGTACCGAGGTATTTATCCGTTGTCGTGCTTAGAGGACTACACTGCCCATGTGTCGCGTATCAAGCTATCCCTGCCATACAGTTCGAATAAAGATCTCAATGAATGGTTTGAGATAGGTCTTTGGCTCAGATAGTTAAGCTAAAATGTCTGTAGAAGAGATTGTGATAATAAAGGTATCTACAAATAGACAAATCTAAAGTGAATAACGGCAGGGTCTGATTTGAGCGAGCGAGAACTGGCGATTGGTTTATCTACGGAAAAACGTTCAGTAGAGAGATGAGCGCCTTTATGCAGGCAAGCTCATACAAATAACCTTAGAGGACTATAATGGCCTTCTAGGACCCAAGGGATCAATTCAGACATCACGTGCTTTGGATATGCCCCATCGAGCAATCTGAGGGTCACTAGGACACTGGCACCTCACTATGAACCTCGATCTAGGTTGCTTGATAAGCGTCCATCGCCTATATACACGACATTCACCCTTCGGGACTGAATATAGGAATACGGTCAGTATTTTGCCAATCTATTCCGGGAGGCGCTACTGTCTTACTGCGAAAGATCACTCTAATGGATATAGTTGGTCATCATATCAAGACGATGGAGGGCATTGTCCTGGAGGTGAACTTCTAGAAGACGTTTAAGCTATTCATGGTTTGTGATACCAAGATACAACCACTCCAGTAATTGGGAAATGATAAATGATGCACGCTGCTAGGCTCCAATGAAAAGACTGTATACTGTCATTTGAACGGCAGGAGAGAACATGGAGCATACAGCATATACAAGTGCTGCACCAGGGTCTCGCTCTGTCCTGGAACTAAGCACCACAATCTCAAGGCAACCACTTCCAAGTATCTTTTTACAAACTAGGGAGGGTTAAATATACTAATGAACTTTGCACATACCAAGTGCTTGTTGGGTTTAATTCAGCTAGCCGTGAAAGCTGTGAGAAGTTGAACAGTCTCCCATCATTCGCTGGGAAAGAACCAAGATTATATCTGGACTAATCAGGCCCCCCTCATTTATTGAACACCTGGGATAACCATTGGATTTTCAGTACCAGGAGGTGATTCTAGTGCAGTGCGATTGGACCCGTCTGTTTCAGTTGGAGATTCTACAGAAATGGATGTTCGGCGAAGCGCCCTGGTGTATGAATCTTGGCTTCTACACGCGGAAGATCACCGGAAATGTTTCCACTATTGATCTTCGGAAAACTGACCTCTCTACCCTATTATATCTGTCCTAAAGCTGATTACTCCCCGCCCCTAGAACTCCCCGCGGACATATATCAGGTGGGACAAGGACATCGTCCTTCTATATCGGGATTAAGCCGTATTTGGTCATATAGAAAAAAAAAAAGTAAGATATTTCAGCTTAGAATGATGATAATAATTCTTTCGGTGCCACAATTGCCCCTCCGACATAACGATTGAACAACAAATTCTAGACTAAAGGCTGACAGATATAACCATGAATGCTAGAAAGTCTTCCTAACAAACAATCTGCAGATACAGGAAAGCAATACTGTATATACAGTAAACACATCAAAGGAAATCAAAGCTTAGAGTCGGCTATGTGCACAAAAGGAAGCCGTGAGGGTATACTGCATACTTTTCCTGCCAGATGTGTCGAATGTGCCTACAGATACTATATACTGCACGTATAGATTTCGGGAACAGCTCAAGACAGGTCAACAAAGCATTGACCGATTTAGAACCGCTGGGAAGATTCAAGCCCGGTATATCAGGACGACTAGGATCCAGGAAATAAAGAACGATTGCTTTGTCCTCAATTATACTTGTCTTTCGGCGATGCAAGTAGGTGGAGTCAATACGGCTGACCGAGACGCAGCGATGGTGTCTGGTCCTCCACATGGTGAATTGCAATCACCGCATTAGTCGCTGTAGCCCAGTGTTTATACTCTCTTTCACCGATGGTGCCTTACATTAGTATTATTTGGATTGACTTGTTCGTTCTGACCTTGTAGTTGAAGAGTCAGCGGGGAGGGGACCAACAGGTTCTCTCCTTACTGGGGTTCTGAGGGCCATTGTCTGTACACTGCATTGGCTTTTCCTTAAAGCTCGTCATCTTTATAAGAGTCTAATCACAGTAAACAGTGCCCTTTGTTCGATCCAGTGTGCTCAGGGGGCTTGTTCTAGATACCCACAGCTCCCACAGTAAATGATTGACATTGACTGTGGACATATCATATCCAGCGCAAATCGAACGTGCCAGAAGTTCTCGCTACAACACGTATCATGAAGTCTAAAAAGGGCAGTTCAGTATAGATTATGGACCCTTGCGTCCCATTCATTGTTGGACTCCCACCTTACATGGCTGCCTTGTTTCGCATACACTTTGACAAATAGGATGTGATTCAGTTATTAAGCTAGCCACTCAGAACATGAATTTCATTGCTTTTTCTTGCTGATTTGTTGAGCATTTGGGGCAATGTGATAGAGCCATCTGCGACATGCACCCGACTACATTCTGTTGTCTGCTTACTGAAACTCATATTATTGCATTTAATGGCCATGGCAGTTTTCCCAATAAAGTTCAATGGAGGATATATACCTTTGCTCTTATTTGTAAATGGAGCCAGCGCAATAGATGCTAGGTACTATCTAGAAACTACCTCCCTAGATATAAATATCACCCCTCTTTGACGCATGGCAGAAATTCCTCATCTCGGAAACAACTACAATCTTAAAGCTCAACGAGCCCAATAGCCTGAGTCTTCACAACAGTGTTTAGAGCCATCAACCAATCCGTCAATCATATCTTCGGTGGCCGAGATGAAGTTTCTCTAAGCCTTTTTTGCACTGGCACTGCCAGCTCTTAGCCTCGCTCTCCAACAAGCCAGGGTGAGTAGAAGTTGCCTCGGACTGCTAAGTCATTCTAACATGATACACTCAGGCTGTTGCAATTGAGTCAGCAACACAAAACATCCCGGAACCCTTGGTTAGAAATGAACCTGTCGGCGGCCCAGTTGGTCAGGAATTCAAAGTATTAAGCTTACCTATTATGGCTATAGAGACTCTCCGTTTCTTAGTTAGGCTAGCTAGTTCACGTGAAAAAAACGTAGGTCTCAAAGGATTTCAAGTCTCCTGGTTTGCTCCTAACATTAGCTCCGTCTATGGAACGCAAAATGGGGAATATACTTCCTTCACATCCCAAGGGGAAAACTATCACGCAAATGCAAATCGTTGGCGGCAGCCAAGCAGTCAGCATATCTTTCACAACTTTGAAAGGCCGTTCATTCTTTGCTGGTGGGACTGGAGGGCCAAGTACGGCAATGGGTGTTGGAAGGGGTGTTCTACTTGGATTCAGAGGGGCGTCGGGACATGATGTTGATAGACCTGGGGCAACTTTCTTGGGCAAAGCTGTTTCTTCAGATGGAACTCTTGTTGCGGGTCAAGGAGTGTAAGGGGCTGAGCTCACTTGCTTATACATTGACGGCATAGGTCCCAATCCTGCGTCAATAGAGCACTACTTTGCTTATAGTTGATAATATAAGAGGGGCTGCTCTAAGTTTCAGACTCAATAGAGGTCGCATATTTCCTAGTGTTGTTAAGGACATCGGGCTTCAACCTTCCAGGACCATTGGTCTGGGCAGCTTTTAGGCATCGCCTGTCTTCAATGTCAATAAGCAAGGGAATATCATAAACGTACAATATGCTCCTCGAGTCTAATTCAGGATCAGACTTTGAGTCTCTTATCTCCAAATCTTGGACAACAAATAGACACCAACTTCCATGCAATCCCACAAATCTTCAATCCGGGTTGCCGTCACTCAGTTAGAGCCTGAATGGCTGGAACTGTAGACCTCGGTAGCTAAAACATGCAAATACATCGCTGACGCAGCCAATGGGCCATCTCGTTTTCTGGAGTATTCATTCCAGGGTATCCAATCTGGATATAGTGAATTCTACATACATTGAAGCAAAAGCACAAGGCACCCCCATCCTGCCCCTAGCCACAAAGTGATCTCTCCAGGAGTCGCCCCGTATATCCTACGCTCTCAATCCAAAATATGCAGGATTCCCTCCGGGTTGACTCTCCCGGGATGAAGCGCATCTAAGGTGCCCGGAAAAATGCCATAGCGGCGTGTTTTAGATTTTCCGAAAATGACAACAATTATTCGCTATACGTCACGTCGGCTCTAATCAGTGCCAAAGGAGAACTACTGTTCTCACTTCGTAAGGTCAAACCCGCGCATGTCGAGCGCACGATATTCGGCGACGCCTCCGGCGACAGCCTGGTGAATGTTACAGACACTCACATCGGAAGACCCGGCATCCTCGCCTGTTGCTTGGAATTTGACACCTTTAGTCACAAGGAAGAATTACACAGCGCTACCTGGCCTCCTGTGCTTACTCATAACGGTGAAGGGCTATGGTCTCCATCCCGAGAGGGTATGATATCACTGCAATCCTAATTTAAGGTTACTGTCGGACATCGTCTATGTTATCGCACACTCGCACGGACATATGCTATGGAGTCTCAATCCTTCATCCTTCATCCCACTACCGTACTCAGCCAACGTGGAATTGACCATATGAAAAGAGATACATTGCTCTTTGGAACACCTGGAGGGGGAAGTAGCGCCGCGTTTGGACCAGATAGTCGGAAGATAACTGATAATGTCCCGCCGACGGATAAATTGTCACAGTGATAGTTAACTTCTCTTATGTATGTTATATATTAGGACACCATGCAAGCTACAAAACGAATACAGGAGTATTTATAGAGCTAGCTTGCCTAGATAGAATGATCATGAATATATCCTAGCTTTGACAGCACAAACTCTACCGCGTTTAAGAGGTAGCGTTCCACATATTTATCATGTCCCGGGACGGAATGACTCTCAATATCTTCTCGCACACCCGCATCCAATTTGGTAACGTTTTGGAAGCTGCATATGTAATCTCCCTTATCACAATATGATCGGATAATACCAGTATAAGGAGAGCATGGCACGTTTCGCATCCGGGGATAAAGCTGCATATTGTAAGAACCAAGGCTAAGGTGATGGAAAGGAAAAGACAAAGGCGCTCACCTCATCCAGATTCCCACTTCCAGTATGATTGAAATTATAGGGAGCTGTCTGTCGATGGCTAGGGTCACCCATCAGAATTGCTGCTTTCACTACATGATACGTATGAGCATTCTGACGGTGTAAAGGACGACGACCGATCACCAAAACGCACCGCTCTGACCGATACCCCATGGTAATGGGGATGAAGGATGGAAACCTGATTCGCTAGTTCCACAGAGAACATCGGCTACGACTTGAGCCCCCTTCATAGAGAGCCATACTAGCTTAGCATAAACTGGTGGAATATAATAGAGCAGTAGACTGACCTGAGAGTAGCCGAGAAGGACAATGTCGGAGTTTGGACAAGTCGAGGTATATTCTTCGAGCATTCGCCTGGTTTCGTTGACCCCCTGCCCCTCTGAAATACTATAAGGAGGATTATCCCAAGTGGCTGGGTAGTCAACAGCCTGGGGATCTGGATGTAGTATCTTCTCAGCGATGGAATTCGAGACATTTCGCATCATGCCGGGCCCAGGGTTGGCACTAGTCTCTCGCACAGAAATTATATGCACCATTTCCCCACAATCATTTTGATATTTAGTAGCAGATGATGTGATAATGAAACACAGAAGAAAGGCTCCAAGCAAAGGCCTGTGTAGATACTTTGCTAGATGACTTAAATTCATCCTTCAAAGGATTCTGTGCAAAAAAGGAGAAAAATATGAGGAGAAACTGTCAATCGACTAGGGGAAGGGATGCCCTTGCATGACCCCAATTGTTGAATTCGAAAAGCGAAGGCAGTGAACCAGTTCTTAATCACGGATATATTTAATGGAGCATTGTATGTAACTAGTAGAGGAGAGTTCTAGGATTCCCAATCTCCACCCGAAATGATGTACAATTCACTATTTAACTTGAACTTAAAGTAAGAATATATGACGTCGAAGCCCAAGCTCTCATCGTTGGCACTGCCTCAGCGGTGGGCATTTGTAGTAAGTTGTGAGATTGAAGACCAAGTCGATGCGGTTGCATCAATATGTCACCCGTTATATTAATCTAATCTCTTCTATGTTCAGCAGCAGGATAGATGGCTTGTTTTCATGCTTGATGATTTCAGAATGTTTCCGCGCGACGAGTAAATTCCAATAACATGTAGATCTGGAAGTACCCAGAGGGATAGAAAGATATAAGAAGACATCGGGGTCTCGGAACATCACGATATTAGACACAATGTAACGTTATAGATGGCCGAAGCAGGAGGGTGGTGACGTTGATGACTTCGGCGTCTATGACATCGCTGAAGTGGTTATACCATGGCAACGAACGACGCACCCATTTATAACGCCGCTGCTCATCTGGGAAAAGCATTATTATGCTTCGAAATTGTATATTCAATAGTCCCGTTGCAATCTAATGATTCTTAGCACTTGGTCTAGGCGAGGATACCTTCGCTTTGAAGGCCGTGAAGGGCTCCAAGAGCCCCTATTGCCACAAAGCCAGGTGCAATACAGAAAAACCCGGTCTTAGAGAGCTATGAAAGATCTGCATTCTATCAGCCATAACCTTAGAAGATTCAGTACATACGACCACAGGGTGTGGAGAACAGGGCTTCCCGTCCGCTCAGCCGTACTTAAGCCACACGCCGGCCGGTTAGTAGTTGGGTGGGTGACCACCAGCGAATCCCGCCTGTTGTATGTTTTTTGTTCATCAACCTTTTTTTTGGTTTTTTGAGTTTAGTGTCGTTGCCGCCCTGCCTTCACCCCCTTCATCCTCGTTCACCTGAAGCTTCCCTCGCCAACCTGAACCACCCTGAACCCCAATAGATCTCACCCAGTTAACGCGCGTTCCTGTCATCTGGCTGACCTATTCTTTCCCGCCTAGCTCACCCAAGTTAATTCATTAGACGGGGCCTGCTGACTGGTATATTTCGCAACCCTGCCGACCTGCTGTTGACCGGGATCTTGCCCAGTCGCAGGGCGTCTGGCCGTACTGTCTGCAGTTCTGGCAATGTCATTGGCGCAAAATCTCACTTGGAGAGACGCCACGGTGTCTCAGCGGCTCTACCTCGCCGCCTCGCTTATCGGACAGGAAGCTGAATGTGGCTGGCTTGATAAGCTGCTTGGTGTAGGAATGCACATTCCTGCTTCTATTGTCGGCGAGGAATATTATTTACTATGATCTAGAGGATAAGCCTACAACCATTCACAAACATCCTTAAGCCAAGAAAATGATTAAGGATTTCAACAAGGAGACCTGTCCCACAATGATAAGACTACTTATGACGCAGTTACTAGGCTATATTATAGATGGAGGATACTGTGAGTAGAGGTCCCTCTTCTCTCCTCAGAAATAACCAACAAGCAGATATGAAGTACAGTATCTATTAATCTCAGCCGCCGCGATTGTCAAGGCCGAAATGAATCATTAAACCACCCAATAACTGTGCTCAAGAGCAGGAAAAAGAGACCGAGTAGAGCAACACTCGCTTCCAGCAGAGGAGGAAAAGCCAAGGCAGGCCAGTTAACACAACACACTAACTTCGGAAGACTCCTTGACAGAGAGCGAGGGTATTAACACAGCCAAACTTTGGAAGAGCTCACTAAACTCAGGAGAGAGATCAGACAACGAGATGACTCGCATAGGGAAGAACTAAAGAAAGTTAAAGAAGAATATAGTCCTACCTTAGCAGAGATTTGACGCGAGCTGCAAGCCCTGAGAAGCAGACCTCTGGCACAGCAAGACCACTCCGAGTCATGCGCACAAAACAGCCACAAAGAGATCCTTCGCGAAATCTAATCCCTGCACATCTTAATCACCACCCCAGACCCTACAAATAATATATTATATACAGATGTTGCCCGCACTCCTCCAACCAGTTAACTGAGCTACATACGGACTCTCTCATCATTCAACATGACACTGGCCACCTTTGCCGATACATTATATTGCATGATAGATAGCAGATAATGAAAACGATAAGATGTCCGCAGGCCCAATTAGGGCAGCAGTTGAGAACGAGTTCCGGTCAATAGAAAACCACATGAACTGGCGATGTCGTGCGGTTATTATAGACCCAAAGAACACCAACCAGATCAGAATTTGCTTGCCAAGATAAAAGTTGAATACCAGCTGGTTAAGAAAGCTGCAGAAGCAAAGATTAGCACAAGAGTCCGGGTGCTCTATGACAAGCTTTACCCAATCAAAGTTAACAGTGTCAAGAAGGCAGCAGTGCTAGATAAAAAAAAGATATGATCAGAGGAGCCGCCCCAGCCTTCAGCAAGAAGAAAGAAACCACCGTGGCCAAGATTATATGGCTCAGCAGAAAGGAGAGTGTGAAGGCTTATGGGTCAATAGTAGTATACCTAACCAAAGGCACTGACTCACGGAGGCTCCTGGCCCATGGGTTCTTCCATACTGGGGAGAATCTGGAGTAACCAGCGTCTTTAAATATCGGCCAAGACTGATATAATGCTATAATTGCTAAGAGATTAGGTATAAGATTATTCCAATGCAAGAATATCCAGAAGTGTGTAAAATGTGCTAAGAAAGATTATCATTACAGCAATTATAATAAAACAGTCCTTAAGTGTATTTTATATATAGAGGCCAATAAATTATACAGCAAAATCTGTAAGAAGCTCTATCCAGTACAATATAAATAAAATACTCTAAATAATCCAGCTAAATATAAGAAAATAGGACACAGTATATAATAGCTTAATAAATAATAAAGGGATTTAAGATACAGTGACAATAGTAATCCAAGAATCCTAAGTAAGAAGAATTAAAGGCCGACTCTTAATAATCCTAATAGAATATTACAATTGGGTAAAGATAGTCTCTTCCGCATAAAGAGAAAGCAAATATATAATTTAAAGCATGCTCTGGGTAAATAAGGATGTAGAAGCAAAGCAAGTGAAAATAGAATCCCTAGATCTGACAGTAGCAGTTATCCGGCTTCCCGAGTGATTGATTTTTATGGCATCAGTCTACATAGAGGGGGAGATACCCAGGCTTTGTGGGACACATGCAACAGCTTAGACAAGGCAGTTACAAAGGTAAGGCAAGTGTTACGCCTGGGTATTCGGGCAGGAGCTCTGTGACCAGTTAGCTGCGCTTGCGTAGCGAGGGTCAGACCTGAATGATAGAATCCACTATGATCCAGTAACAAGAGACGATGATGCCGTGAAGTGACCTAATCTAAGGTCCGATCGAAGACGGTAACTAATCAGTGAATAGCTCAAGTCCAAAAGGCCAGGCCTACTAAGTACGTATACTCAGTAGTTAGAAGAGTGCGAACGAGTCGAATGCTGGTCTTGATACTAAAGGTAACTCTATAGTAAAAATTGGGATTGATCACGAAGAACTAAACTAAGTACATGAATGAGTATCCTTATATATCCTGTGGCCATATACCATATACCATATACCAAAACGTATAACGTGCCATATACCATGTCACATGGTGGCTCCTTCGGGTAAGCGCCAGTGTGGACAATGTCCGATTCGTAGAGGAACGTATGTACTAGATATTCTCTGGCGTCTTCCGTATTAGTACTAGTACTCAGTAAGGCGGGTGAGCGCTCAGTGATCAGCTCAGCCCTCAAATACCTAAGGTAGTCATCTCTGCCCACTGATTATCGCGTCACTGATTTTGCCGTCTAGTTCCGCGCTCGATATGTGCACTAGGCAACAGCAAGTCACAGGCATAGTGGTAGAGGTTATGATTACAGAAGACTTTAACTGACATAATTAACTTTGTGAAGGAGATAACATGTCTTTAGGAAAAAAAGGATAAAGCAGATCTAATTATTAACTTTATAAGTTTACTCTCAGTAGTCTACTTAAACAAGGCATAATGATATGGTATAACAAAGAACAGACAGATTCTATAGTAAAGTATATAATACATGGGTCAGAGCTGTGCTCTGGCCACTATATAATTAAGACTGTGTTTAATATTCCAAGACTAATTTTAAAATATCAGAAGTAACTTCTGCTTAAAAATGCGCTAGAGAAGGAGATAAATACTAGGATTATAAGAACCCTAAGCACCACTTTGTCCGATAGCACTGTGTAGTAGAGAACAGACTAACTAATATTAACAGTGCTGGAAGCAGTGCATACTTTAATTCTAAAGGCCAAACTGATACTATAACATAAAGTGATGGTAGTCAACAGACTTGACACAGCTTTGTCATATATACACATACTGAAGGAATCACACCCGCTCGGAGCGACAGGCAGGGCGAAATGTAGCAAACCAGGAAGAGACAGATGAAAGTGCAGTGAAGTAATATCATGATACCATCCGGTAACAAAGAAAAAGCACGGGAAGGAATTCCTTACTACTCAGAGGGTCTCTCCTTTTATAGAAAAAGATATCCTAGTATACGCTGCAAGCTACTTCGGTCAATGTAAAAGCTCCAAACGTGACAATTTTGGAACCCAATAGCCAGTTTATTCCCACTTATATCATAACATCGTAGCTGGGCATCTGATGGTAGACAAAGGCTGGCCATCACTCCATAGTATATCCATTGGTTCCCGACATAGAGGTCTTGTAATAAGTTGAAAGTAGGGACTTGTTTGTCTGTAGAGATGTCTCGAGCGATATAGGACCTATGTTCGTTACAAGGTAATGGTTACCTGCTGAGAAATTAATGGTGTGGATGGGCGCTGACGTCTTGATTTCATGCAATGAAAGGAACTTAAATCGACTACTTAAAGTCCGTCTAAAGTATTTTGATGCTTTCAGACATTTTTCGGTATCCCAGAGCTCGGTGGTTTGATCTTCGGAGCCAGATACAATCTATCGCCCGACAGGTGAGAAGGTGACCGCTGTGACCGAGCCTGAATGGTCGATCAATGTCTGTGGAGCACCGGTGGCGCTATCCCAGAGCTTAATAGTTCTATCATCGGAGTCAGATGCGATCAGTTGCCTATCGGGTCATAATACTCTGATACCAGGAACTGCTTGCTCAATGGCATTGAAGATCCCCCTAAAGATAATATAAAAGGATGGGGGATACTGGTGAGCCCTGTGGAACCCCTGATTCTATCGGCTGTATAGCACAGAGCTGTTGGTCAGTTACTAGCTGTATCCTGCGGTCTGCTAGAAACAATTGTACCCAGCGGCATAGAGCTGTATCTAAGCCTAGTTCTAGCATACGCTTCATTGGTCTTGCAGCATCCACATGGTCAAAAGCCCCTTTTATGTCCATAATGAGGGCCCCCACTAGCTGTTTTTGACCCTATGCTTGGTGAACCTCTTGAATCTAGTAGGCTACTGCATCAATTGCACTGCGTTGCTTGCGGCTCCCCGTCTGGCCCTGAATGCAGCACCCCAGATGTCTCACAGTTGCTAGAAATAGCCTCGGCGGTCACCTTTTCCCTACCTTGCCTATGCAGTTCAATAGGCTGATTACCCTTTAAGCCTTGATTATTGAATAGTCAGGGTTATTAGGCTTGCGTAGCAAGACGCCCTTAGCTGTTTTCCATGTAGGCCTAGCCTAAAGCATTAGCGTACTAAGGTCACTATACGTGTTGCATCCCATCTCCATAGTAGCCCAAACGCTTGGAAGTTGAGCCGATCTATGCCTGGTGCTTTTTGAACTGCTTGACCAAACAGGGCCTTCTTAACCCTATTAAAATCGACTTCCAGATGCATATTCCCTGGACACATATTCTCAATAGCTTCATTTCTAGGGGCTCTGAGAAGAAATAAGGCCTCTCTAATTAGAGCTTCCTTTGCCTCTAGAGTAGTTGCCCGTTGTCCCTGGATGCCGTTAAGTACTGATGTAGCTCCAGTGGTCTGGGGCTTGCAGTATCTTAGTGCTTGCCATTATCGGGCTGTATCATCTGGTCCTAGTCTATCTTTTAGCTCTGCCTGAGGCTCATTAGGCTTTCCTATTAGGAAGGTCTCTTAGAATTCGCGTTTTACCTTTCGAATAGTGCTATATTAGGTGTTTCGAGCTTCTTTTAGCTCCTGCTCAGTCCCTAGGCCTCTTCCCACGCTCTTTTGGCTCCAGCATATTCTTGACGGCTGGCTTTGACCGGGTGGTCCCCACCAACACCCCATTGCACTTTATGAGCTTCGGCCTAGGTGCCATGACTACAAAAACATAGAGATAGATCTCTGCTAACTGGATATATGGATTATATGAGTGCGAATATGAATATGACCTAGAATGTTAGGTGTACTTCAGCGCGTTGCATTTGTTAATAAGTCTGTCTCACCCGAACCACTCAAACGAAGGGCAATGATCGTTTTGTCCCTTGCCCCCGTCTAAGCAAGCCTTAAGGGGACAGATGCCATCCCACACAAGTTGGTCTGTGCCAGCGCAGGTAAAGAGCGAATCCCTAATGTGGTGACCGTCGATCGGCTGATTTTCATCAGGCAGATCATTGATAATGTCCTGGTAATAGTCTCCTTTTATGTTTGTAAGCATTCGTAACACAAGATAGCGAATCTCTGTACCTGCCTTGCCCGAGCAGATTCCATCCGCAGTAGGTCAAACCACCGGTACAACTATAGGCAGCAGCCACGCTAGCAGCGATGGCCATGATAACGAATTTGACACCTTTCATGACTGGGCCGGGTTAAAAAAAATTAACAACTTGAAATACTTCTTGAGTACTCTTTTTGCAAATATTATTTTATGGGCCTATTGAATTTTGATGAAATAGATAGGCCAGTGGTCTTTAAATATCCATGTTCGCAAACTATTAGGTTGCACAATGTTTAGTACACCAGTTTGAGAAAAGGGCTGATACTTCTTGGGCACCCTCTAATAACTATCTGTAATGCTGAAGAGCTAGATAGTATAGTAGAAGCTTGATTTTTATATTTTTGGGCTGCCTGTTTACTAGGGCAACTAGTAGCTAAGGCAGGATACCTATCTCTACAGTTGCCACACCTTGCTGGGGTGTCTTGGCATGCCTTGCCTGGATCTGCTGAGCTTCTGCCAGTAATCCTACTGTAATCATAATGCTAGATCCTCCTTTCTGAGTGCTGTTTTCAAGGCTCTCTAGGCTTTTCAGCTAGATAGGATCCTGTTTCAGGTATACAGCGCTGCCTGTTTTAATTCTTGCCTTGCCAGGCCTAGACCTAGACAAAGATATCACAGGGTAGAAACTCCATAAATCTTTAGTCAGTACTATTGCTCTGGTACTTCTAGTGAGATAAATGCAAAATCTATCTTCCTAGCAGGTGCTATCATTAGACTCAGTATATCTAGATAGTAGCGTATAATTCAGGGATTCTTTCTGCAGAATAATGGAGATAGTCCCTGTTCAGGTATAGCCTGTATCTACTATCTACAGAAGAAAGTCTGGTAACCCTGCCTCAGTAAGGGTAATATTAAACCCTAAAATAATATCTCTATATTCTGTCTTAGATATCGTAAGGCCATTCTCTTATCTGAATATTAATCTACAGGTCCATAAGAGGTCTGCTTTACAGCTTTTGGCTGAGCTAATGGTATTGTCTTAGACTGGGTCCTAGAAGTCTTTTGAATAGCATTTTTTAGTGACTGTCTGTCATTCCTTCCCTCCAGGATTTGTGTTTAGTAGAGCTGTAATATCTGTATATATAGCTTCAGGTTTGCTTGGTCTTGTGGCCTTAGGTATAGCTCTGCTGAGTGGTCCGTGTATGGAAAACTCTGCCTTTTGGGGTGCCGGGGACCCTGGGAGCCCTGAGATAGGGCTATTTGTGATTTTTGCGCTTCTGGGGATATTTAAGCTGTAGAAGAAGCTCTCTAGATTACTTAAGCTTGTTAAAACTGGTAAACCTTCTTTAGGATCTTAATTCAGGTCTCATACTGTTGTTTGCAGGTGTGTTGCTGGGCTATCTGGGCCTCTATTATCTGATTAATATAGGCCTATATCTCCTCTAGCTCTATCTGATATTTAAGCTCCTGATTCTCTAGGGGTTCCACCGGGGCTTGACATTGCTTATATTGGGTTTGTCCTGGATTTCAGTTCAGGCCCAGCTGTATTTGGCTTCTTCCCCCCAGTTTTTGGATACTCTGGGCACTTCATGTGCTCCGGCTACTCCTAGAACTGGCCCTGCTTAGGGCTCTGCTGGATTCGCTGTTGCTTAGGTCCTGTTCTAGATCCGCAGGCATCCCCAGGGCCTTAGAGGCCCCTCGATATATCGGTGTTGGTGTTGGTGGTGGTGGTATCCCGCTCAGGGGCATCCACCTCGACGCGCTCGGAAGGCCACCACCATGGGGGGTTTAGGACCTCCATAGCGGTTCCTGGGGCCTTAGAAGGCCTTACTGGATTGATTGTCGCGTTAAAATGACGTGTTCTGGCTGGGTGTTGATTTTGATGTTCCGATCGCTCCTGCAGCGTGGAACGGTTGTTGCTGTGAAGGAGATTAGTGCATAGATTTTGTTTCTCTTTGATATGAATCTATAGGAGACACGTGATCGCCTAGCGGCTTGGCTGGATCACCCACTCCTTCAGCCCCTGAGGGCTTTACCCATTAGTAGTTGAGGAAGAGAGGAAGAAGCGCTCAAGATAGTTGATATAGTCGTCCATAGAATTGAGCACCTATCAGAATGGCATCCGGTCCTCAGTAGGCTACGTACGTGTAGCTGATACAGCCTCATCCTGCCCATCTTTCCCCTGAGATCACAACACTCTTTAAACTAAATTGGTATTTGGTTGCCGTGAAGTTACTTTCTTTTTTTCCTTGTCCTATCCAACAACCATTTGGGGCTTTGAAATTATAACATTTGCCTTACCGAACTGATAAAAATACAGAAAATGCTAATCCGATGGCTCTTCCGGAGATTAAATACTTTCACATCATTGCCTGGTGAGGAAGTCAACGATGTCTAGGTAGTGTCATCTATAGATAGTAGGCTATCTTGAACCTTTCATGTTTAGAGAGTCCTTTCCAGTGCTGATCTGAACGTCTCCTTTATAGGGCTCTAGGCGGAAGGTAAGATTGTAATACCCAGACTGTGTAATTGAAAGATCTAAATCTTAATTCACGTGTTATTCTTGTCTCAGTTTATTTATTAAAATCTGATATTGTCTTCTGAGTTCAAATACTTCTAAGTACTCCGCCTGGAGGTTGGTGGATCCTTCCCTGGATTTTTTTTGATCAGGGTAGAGAGGGTATAATGATGATTTAGAAAATGTAGTGCACAACAAATCGTCCGCTTCGTGGTGGGGATACTAGAACATTCAATTTAGAGTCATGCACCAGGTAAGTTCATACCCCTCAGGTGAGTTCAACAGGCCAAGCCATCGTATCAAAGAGCGATTGCGTTCGTGATCCGGGTACCGGCACAGGAAGCGTCGCCGAATTGGTGGAGTCGAATGAAGGCTCCCCGAGCCCCGCTGGGTAATCTCCAAATAATTGGCCATGTGTCGGTAGGATAGTGATCTTTAAAAGGCTGTCAAAGCATAATCGCCAATCTATCCTCTACATATTAAATAGGCCATGTCTTATCAGGCTTGTCAATCTCTAGCCGCTCAATCTGATCTACACAGACTATAAGAGTACAGCAGCACGCATATATATGTTTATCCAGAACACTCCCCCTCATACTCTAGAAGACCGAAAAAAACACCACCTAAGCACTGTGACACCATGGAGTCAAGGACCCCAGATATAGAAACCAACAGCGTGGCCACCTCTCCTGAAGGGATGAAAGAAGACGCTTTAGGTTGGTCTGTCGACCCGGCTAACGCGCAAAATTGGACTTTGCCCAAAAAGATATACAACACCTCGATCCCATCGCTCCTATGCTTGCTCATGTCAGTTATCTTTTAGGTTCCGTGGGGTAGCAGCGTCACTGACCTTCGCATACACTAGATCATTTGGTCTGGCTATCTATTCACCATCCCACACCAAAGCTCAAGACGCTTTTCATACCAGTATAACTATGTCACTCCTCCCGTTCACCCTGTACGTGTACGGCTTGGCATTTGGCCCCGTGATATCCGCTCCCTTGAGTGAGACTTTTGGGCGCCGCTTCATATACATCATTATGACCCCACTGGCCCTTCTCTTTATTCTGGGCGCAGGCTTCGCCAAAAATTTAGCCACCCTTGCTATCTGCCGTTTGCTAGCTGGCATACTAGGATCCGCGCCTCTTGCCGTGGGTGCTGGGACAATCATGGATATTTGGACAGGCCATTACCCCAATCGCGGAGTAGTCGTGTTGATGATGATCGCTTTTTTGGGACCGGCGCTGGGCAGCTTAGTGGGTGGCTTTATTGCGGAATACAAAGACTGGCGCTGGTCTCAATGGACAACGTTGTTCTTTGGGGCAGCGCTCTGGGTCTATGTTTTGGGCGCACAAGAGACATACGCGAGCCCCATCCGCCGTCGCCAAGCGCAGAAAATGGGGTTACCCCCACCACCCAAACCTATCCCCAGTGGTATGGCTGGAGTCAAGGTTCTCCTGACTGTGACCCTGGCACGGCCGCTATACATGCTGCTCACCGAGCCGATTGTTCTCCTCTGCTCCCTCTATGCCTCCTTGAACTTCTCCGTGCTGTTCTGTTTCCTGGCCTCGGTGCCGCTCATCTACAATAACAACTATGGCTTTTCGCCGGGACAGTGTGGGCTGGCCTTCATCGGCATTGCCGTGGGGTGTCTCATTGGCGCTCTCGTGCTGATCCTCCTCGACAGACACACCTTGGCCAAGCACCATGCGCGCAATCAGAACGTGACGGCGCCTCCAGAACGACTGCTCGTAGGAGCAATGGTGGGTAGTCCCCTGATGCCCGCGGCGTTATTCTGGTTTGCTTGGACCTCCCTGCCGGGGATCCATTGGATTAGCAGTATCATCGCCATGGCACTCTTCGGCTGCTCAAATATTCTCATTTTTGTACGTCACCCTTCTGGCTCTCCTCAATATGCTACTAAGCAAAATCTAACACAGGTTTCAACGGCGTTATATCTCACAAATGTATACGGGGCCAAGTACGGGGCCTCAGCTTTGGCGGCGAACGGTCTACTGCGATACTGTGTGGGCGGTTCCTTTCCTTTGTTTACCATTGCAAGTAGGTTTCCATGATCCTGACCACTGACTGATGCTAATGGCTGGCTGACATAGTGTACAACAATCTTGGTTTTACCTGGGCTTCCAGTTTACTGGGCTTCCTTTCCGTGGGGTTCTCTCCTCTGCCGTGGATATTCTACCGGTTCGGACGGAAGATTCGTCAGTCGAGCGCTTATACGTCGTGAATATGTTACATGAAGTCGGCTACCGCAGGCGTACATGGCATGTGCTTTTTTCTTCTATATAGTTAACATCACCCCAACTACAGCATAAAGTCATATGATCTATTTTCTGGAAATTTGTAGTAGACAACATGATCGAGCTCGTCGAAGAGTTTGCGATATCGATCGGTCAAGTCAACAAGATGACTGATTGTTTCTGTTGTTAGAGCAGGACGTTAGCTGTCCCGAGTCTTGGCAGACCTTATACTTAGTGGAATTCAATGCATAGAGGGATGAAATTAAAATACAAGGGTTGTTTAACAATCTAAAAGATCTTTGTAATAAGAATAGAGATCTAGATTCTCCACAGTTATCCAAAGAACTATTACTTAATGCTATGATCAGACTGGATGGCGTTCTGATAATTCCTGATGCTAATTATTTCGTGAATAGACAAAGATACCGCCGAAAGATACAAAATGTGCCTACCTAACCAGATATGGAGCAAACTAATTACCCAAGGTGACTGTTTCTCTGTCCGACCATAATGACAATCATGCGCAAGGGCTGCAGTTTCTTGGCTTGGGGGCCTGGGAAAGACTCCACTAACTCGGCGAAGTTTTGATGCCCTAGACCCACCATATCGCCGGGAGCGAATGAGGACTATTGCCTGGGATATGCACTAAAGGCATGGCCCACCGATGAGCTCTAATTCATCTTGAGAAGAGGACTCCTTGCAAAGCAAGGGAGCAAAGTCGATAAAGATATTTCTAACCGTGTTTATTCCAGGTATTCACCCCTCTCATCTTGCCATACATGGGGAATGCCATGTTCGTGTCGCATAGATATTCCCATAGGTTACCTAAGACGCAAACCCTCAAGAAATCCGACAACCTGGGTGCCGTTCTTGGCTGCCTCATCAATAAAGGAGATGACCTTTTTAACCCCCATCCATCAACGTCATTCTATGCTAGCTGGGCCTGGACGGTTGTGAGATGGATTGTCTTCCCAATTCCGGTGTACGCTGTTGCACGCAGACAAGAAGTGTTCAAAGGCAGTATATGACTGTGTTGATCGTTGTTGGCTGAAAGTTTCAAGCACGAACTAAATGACATGTTTCTCATATCTTGCAATCAATGGTAGATACATATTATAGCCTATAAGGTGGATTCTGTACTGTGAAAAATGGCGGGGGAAGGGGGGGGGGGTTCAGCTGACATCCCGGTGGGATAGAAATTTAACTAATAGTTAACTAATTCATTATTAGTTAATTGAACCACCAACTTCCACTCCGGATTTCTTCCCTTCTATACTTATTCTTCCAGCTAGAGAAAACACCATGGAGGCCACTAGTCCTGCAACATCCGTTCCCTCAGTCCCGGTGGCCTGTCTAAATTGCCGCGACAAGCATTTAAAATGTGACGGCAATATGGGGGGATGTTCGCGGTGCAAAGCACTGAATCTCTTTTGCCATTTCGTACCCTCTCGCCGGGGACGGAGAGTGCGGCCAGGTCCCTACCTGACACCGATGACGGACTGCAGTCCACAACTCGGGAACCACTTCACTGAGACTCTTCGGTCGGACTCGTCAAATATTGTCCACCAGATGAATGGGGGTTGCCCCTCGCAGGAATCTGGCCAGATCGATGGACACATGGTCACTCTCTACTACCTCCATTTCCATCAGGCACACCCTTTTCTTGCCCCCCAAGAGAATTTTATGCAATCGTCCCCACCAGCTTACCTGATGGAACTGGTGCAGTTCATTAGTCTTCATTACCTCCCCGCCGATTATGTCCCGGATCAAACTAGTCGCCTACGCGCAACACTCCAAGACGCAGACCTCACCCTGGAGAAGGTACAGGCGTTTCTCCTACTATCACTCATCCTGCATGCACGAACACAACCTCAGGATGCGAAAGGATGCCTTGCCCAGGCGATTAGCTGCAGCCTGGAACTCGGACTTCAATATCGAGAATATTCCGCAGCGATAGAAGAGCAGGATCCCATCCGTGCGGAGAGTGCACGGCGTACGTGGTGGGAAATATTCATTGTGGATACACTTCTGGCTGCGGTGCAAGTCCACGGCTCTCTTCAACTTATGATTGATCCGCCGGACGTGCCACTACCCTGTGAAATGGATGACTACCAGGACGGCCTTCTAGGATCCGGTACAAGTTCCATTTGTGAGATGGATCGCCAAACGTATTTTCATCGTGATGGAGACTTCTCATCCTTAGCATATAGAGTTCAAGCAGCGTGTATCCTGCGCAAGTGCTTACTAGCAGGTCAGAGCCATTTCTCCCAAGTCAGGATTGACGCGTTGGATGCCACCATCTCTGCATGGTTCCATAGACTACCCAAGCGCAAGCGCGCCGTTCTCTACAGTCATGGTGATTTAGATAAGATGATTTTCCAGGCCACCATGATCATACACTGTGCATCGCTCTATCTCCACTTCCCAAAGTCCCATCTCTTAGTATTTCTCCCAGTGAGCAGTCAGGTGTTTTGCGCGCGACCCCCGAACCTCGTATCAGTGTCAGAGAATCCTCACATACATACAGCAAAGGTGGCTAGTGCCGCGGTCCATCTGTCTAAGCTCGCATCTCTATCCACCTCGGTACTCGATCATAGCCCATTTTATGTTTGTACCCTCGTCTTGAGCTCAATAATCCAACTGGCCATGCTCTCGGTCGACCCAGACGAGGGGTCCCGAACGGGTCGGCAACATCTCTCCCTTAACCTTGGGGTCCTCCGATCCATGGGAGACATCTGGCCGATTGCCGCGATTTCAATGGCACGCATCCAAGAGGTAGCGGTGGAACTCGAGACGTCACTTGCCACACAGCGGAGTCAACTTTCACCAGATCCTTTAAGCAAGCCCGGATTGATCGACTTCCCGGAACTAAACCTACCGATTATATGATATAGATATTTATTATAAAGTATACATAAAAAATCCAATAGATACGACTGAGCGTGCTTGCGCCTGGCCATAGTATTGTAAGCAAAGATTTGTCGGTGCAGAGGTGTTTCGTTAGATTTTGGTAAAATACTCTACAGGGAACCCAGTCAATCTGAATTTGCCGGACGTTTGTATGGCACAGATCAGTCTTTTATATCGTGTTTGTCTCCACTCTAACCACTGAATGTCGTGACATTGATATCGCTAACTCCACTCCACTGCATCTCATAACCCCCGATCATGGAAGTAGTGACTTATACCAAGCATCTAAGCTATATCCCATTGCGGTACGCGAGCACCTCTCGGGGACCTTCCTCGTCAAGTACATCATAATACTCACACCGGTCATAAGAGACCTTGTTATGTTCGTGGTAGAATTGATCATACTCCTCAGCCATCGCATCACGCAAGGTTTCCACTGAACCGCTGGGGTGTAAGATATCCCATGGCTTGATGCAGCTAGCCCCTTGACAAGTCTTCAGTACCAGGAGGAGAGCATCCAGCCTTGAGATAGCCTTTGATACGTGGTAGCCCATGATGAATGCCTCCTGCTTCTCAGCGGGCTGCATACCGGGGTAAAGATTATTGACTTGGTAGGGGTCCCATCCGGGATTCGCTGGTCACCTCCCTCATAAGGGGAAAATTGTGTTGATTGTGTTCTACCACTGGGGTTCTTTCTACCTAGGCGACTATCTAATAAAGAGCGCACAGGCGCTAGGCCTATTTAGGCTGTATCAACAAATTATCCAAAAGCGAACCTTATTGTCCACTTCGCTTCTCTACTACATTGCCTATTGGATAACACCTTTATGCTTCAAAGAATTGGCATTCCTGGCCGCTTTGCATAGTCACAATGGTAATTGCACTCATTTTTGTTTTGGGAAAGGCTGCTGAGGATCCACAGATATTGGGTAGTTACGATGTCACGTGCCGTTATGCTGCGGCAATTTCCGCCACAGAACCCTCCCCTAACCCGAGGGTACGATAAAAAGGAAATGGAGACCCAGACAAAGCTGTGGACCGAACAAGAAGCCCGCCGACTGCTTGAGCTCGAGGCCGACGCCATATTCGGCCTGGACCACCGACAAGACCACCCAGTCGGCACCTTTACACCTCACGGCGTGAACAATCGCAATGTCTACGCAGCTCACCTGTGGTCTCCGCAGGCACAGTTCACAGTAAGGCAAGCTGACATTCCGGTAACTGTGGATGAGGAATCAAGTCGGCAGAATTATATACCCGGAGAGATCCCATTGCTTCTTCGCCGTCTATGCAGCTTACTCAACCTCCCGTTGTCATGCATCCAAGGCGGACCAAGCTACGTAGTCCCGTTGGACATTCTCATGGACAGCACGCAACAGCCCCGTACTGCGCTCCCGATTCTCACTTCTTCCGACGACAGCCAGGTTCGCCAGGCGAAGGAACTCGCTCTGCCAGATAACTGGGAGGCTGATGAATGGGCGGAATTGCTAGGCGGTAAGCTTGGCCCATGGGCTATGGCGGTCGACGGAAGGGAGCCTGTATCCATCTGCTTCTCTGCGCGGCGCACGCCCAAGGCCGCCGAGGCCGGCATTTGGACACATACGCGGCATCGGGGAAAGGGACTTGCTCCCGCCATCGTGGCTGCGTGGGCGCGACTCGAGGCTCGGGGCAAAGAAGCTATCTTCTACAGCACTAGCGCAAGCAATACGGCCTCACAATCCGTGGCATTAAAGCTGAACCTGAAGCTTCTGGGATGGATCTGGAAATTGGAGAAGCCAGCGGGTGAGGAAACCCAATAGAGGCCGATAGTGCACTGACCAGATAAGTCATATCGTCAAGTGCTAGAAAGATGTAGTGGCTCAGAGTGATATGTGGATAAACAAGTATCATATCTTTGTGGTATTTATATGGTTTCTCTATTGGCCCGTCGCATAATCTACCTCACGTATACAGGATTCCTATCGACGTCTTCTATTGACTACTTGCACGGCACGAAGCACACGACGGCCGGAGGTGTGACGGCTGTTATCCTAAACCGATCGATGGAGCCAGCGCCCGGCTAAGGCATTCTGGTTCCCCATTATTTTTTCGGACTTTGTGTAGATTATGGGAGGCGTTTGCCCTAATTGGGTATTTCGTGCCATACCCCATCCTCGTCGATACTGTTTCTGAAGCGGTTATTTTTTCATATCAACTAGAAGTGCTCGCCATCCTTATCCACCCTTATCGACCTCAGCGTGTCTCTAGCTGCGTAGCAGCCAGGAAAGGGAGTGGGATGCTGTCACCGCTCCAGTCCTTTTTGCGGGCTACAGCTAGGGACAGTTCTGCCGAGTCAGTCCCGCGTCGCCCGGACGATGGGTCGCTCCGTAGGGAGGATAGGCTGGTTATTGCCTCCACAATACGTACGATTTCTTACAAGTTGGTGAAGTGGATTCAACATCCACAGCAGGTAGCCTTTTATTTCTCACAAGCGGTATACCCGGAAACTTATCTGGTTTCTCTATGCCACGTAATCTCTAGTATCAGATAAGGCGTTCGGATCCTTCACAAGACCCCAGTCTTGTGAATATTCTGGATAGGGCCATTAGGGGAGTAATATAAGAACCTAAGAACCAGCACTAGATGGAAAGGTCTGCTAGTTTGTGGTCTGTTGATCAGTAAGATCAATCCAAGCACAGGTATTGCCGGTCTGTTTATATTTCCCCTTAACATCCCATCAACCTGCCAGACCATCTCGCCATCTCGGGGATCTCGTTCGGCCTGCTCAGCACCGTATTACCATACTGGAGCATTCCGGTGGTCTTTTACATACGTTTGGATCGGGTAGTGGTCATCAAGCCTCAGATTCAATGGTCGTTGCGGGCGATATCATAACTGGATAGGATCTCTACTCGACTTAAAGACAACAACTGAAAAGGCCATCTTCCTACTTTGTTAACTAAAGCCATTCTGATCCAGAGAATCGATAAGAGAAGAATGGCGCCAATACATCAACTGTCGTCGGTATATCCCGTAGTCAGATATAAGTATACCTGCCGCACCGGGAAGCTCAGATAAACACAATAGTTATGGTGGGCTGCTGCTAGATTCAAAGGTCGGACCGTCCGTGGAACCGAACCATTAATTTCGGCTTCCACCACATCCCATGCAGTTTTGCATCTCTGAACCAGTCGAGTTCTGTGTTAACCAGTTCCATATCATATGTCCAGAGCATTTTCGTCATCACCAAGTTCAGCTCCATAATTGCGAAACTGTTTAATTGAGTACGAGGTTAATATAAAGACATCTTGTAGATAGGAAAGAGCGTAACCTACTTTCTTCCAAGGCAATCCCACGGCCCGAACAAGAACGGCTGGCTTGCTTCCTTCAGGTCTTTCGAGTTGGGATCTAGCCAGCGTTCGGGCAGGAACTTAAAGGGATCGCTGAAATATTCTTCCCTATGTGTTACGGTCCACAGGCTGGTGTAAAGCTCGACCTAGGAAGACAAGATCAGGTCAATCCTCCGCCTTCAGTTTCATCATACAGAGATCTTACACCTGGAGGAATATATGTGTCATGCACCTCAAAGCCAGGAGACATTCTCGCGAGACCATGAGAGCCCGGAGGTGCAAGTCGAAGACCTTCACTGATGACGGCTTGTAGATATGGCAAGCGTTGTGCTTGGGTGGCATTGATCTCATCATATGACTTGAACGCGCCACGAATCTCGGAGACCACCCGTTTAAGCTTCTCAGGATGTTGGAGAAGGAAGCATGTCGTCGATGCCATGAAGGTTGCAACGGTCTCTCCCCCGGCAACACTGCACTTGAAAGGTTATTTATCATTCAACAAAGACAAGGTGTGCGGGAGAACGAACGCAAATGTGGACACGTGTGCCGCCATCTCTTCCTTGTCTACCTGTCCATCACGAACCTTCTGTGCCAATAAGGTCACAAAATCCTTTCGGGTAGATTTGGACTCAAGGCATCTAGGATATGCAGTTAGGTAAAGTTCGGCCATGGATACGTCGGGTTATCTCACTTCTCTACCTGTGCCCTAGCATACCGAGAGTTTACACTCTGCAGAAGAAATCGGGATGGAATAAGCAATCTTCCCAATTTAGCCAGCACCCAAAACCGTCGAAGGTTATCAATAACGGTGATCAAATAAATGTGATCCAAAATGTTGTCGCCCCAGTAATGTGGTTTGCCTTGAATCCAAGGTGATTAGCTGGAACGGGTCCTTCCAACGTGACTTCTGTCTGGACAAAGGCATGTAGTGAGATGACATACCGGCCTCCACGCTATGGAAGGATTCTCCAAACGCCATGTCCCCCAGTATATCAAAGGCGGTCATCTCGAACCACTTGACCATATTGATACCCTTAGATCCCGGCGGTGCCTTTTCACCGATCGCCCGCACAAATTTGTCAACAATACCACTGATAATCGACTCTTGTTCAAGAAGGGCACGTTGAGAAAATGCGGGGGAGAGCATCTTCCGCATCTCCTTGTGTCTTTCGGGGTCTTGCTCACTACCTATACAGCGTCGGCTGAACCCGGAGTTAGTGACCGGGTAGAACTCGGATCGAAGTGCCTGGGGACTGGTGGCCGGTCGATGGCCATGGACCGCTTTCATGGCCTCCACAGAGTCAAAGGAAAGTTCATTCGGAGAGATACGGACAATGCGACCTATTCGTTCGACAATTTAGTCGATTACCTTGCAAGTTGAAGGGGAAATGAGAAATCACCATATTTCTTGTGCAATTCTGTTATGCTCATGTGAACTCTGCCTCTTGAAGTGTGCACAACTCGCCATAACTGTCCTCGATGGGTTAGTTGAAGCTGCAACCAACAGCGCGGGTTGTAGCGGCATACCAGGCTCCCGCGAGCCACGAACGGACCAGGAAACTTGGCCAATGGGTGGAAGTAAGAATTATAGACAAAGTTGCAGATCCAATACGCCAAAACCTTAGGAGACACGGCGCTCAGTCAGTGAGCGAGACAGTCTCTGGGGCTATTTGTATGTGAACTGACAACTGTAGATAATGCAATGGCGCCCGTTGTCTGCCAATTGCTCCATATCGCTGGGGCTGCCGGAAGGTCGAGATGCGAAAACATAATTAGTAGCTGAAGTGGCGGGATTTGCTACGCGAGTGTCTTTCGAGCTCTGTTCTCCGGGGGACTGTTACCATGAGACATTATATCTATAAGACAGCCTCATTAGTCTCGCCCGTTCCACGTTTGCTAACCATAAATGGGGTTCCCCGAGATCTAAAGTTGTCCTACATGGTTTCTGCATGGGGAAGGGCCGAATGGACCCAATATACTCAAGACACCTGAGGATTTATGGAGTCATGTTCTAGGCCCATTCATTTCCGAGCTGGGACAACCACAACTGTTACTCTTGGCATATTCATCGATGATCTTCAGTGGCAAAATATTAGGTGTGGTGTGCGTCAGCCAGCCGGTGCCATACTACATAAGGCGCTTAGGGAAGTTCGAACCCTTCCCGGGTTCAAACATAGTGGTCGTTTTGACTACTGGAAGTCCAGGCCCTAAGCTGAGCCTAACACAATGGAGGGGCAATGGAGGGGTTGAAGCATCAAAGTCCAATTCGCGGCGCCATGATTGGCTAGTTGCCCTTGCTCCGCTAAGGTCAAACGCTAATGTAAGAATGGCACTAAGAATAGTAATCCCTGATAGTAATGCAACATAATCAAATGTAACCCCGGCCTTGATAAACAATTTTCAAGGAAGACTGCTATGCATAATAAGACCCCGGACCGTGCTGGGATTGTATAAGAGACTATAACTAAGGTAATCTATATGAATGAGTAGGTTCCCAAGGGATCATTCCACTCTCCCATTTCTCTTTCTTTATTATATATACACAATATGGAGTCGTGTTCAATGAGCAGCTGTTGAGACAGTCAGAACCCCCCTACTCCGAGACCATCACTCAACTAATGCAAGATAACCATCTGGCTCCTCAGAAGCCGCAATTTTCACAGGATAATTAAAACGCTTACCGGTTGTCAACAGGGCACTATCTCGTTGCGGACGTTAATGAGGATTTAATCCTAGGCATTCTAGGCGTATTTGCGCTGGTGTGTTGAGGTGTGTCTGCAAACACTGCGATGGTGGATGGGTACCTGCCGTCTACTAAATATAATGAAGCTGTGAGCTCGGAGCTGAGTGGCTGTTTGTGGTCACTCTGGAGGCAAATGGTTTTTGTAGCCTCTCCATGGGTCTGCAGCTTAAGCGATATCCTTCTGCTAGAGCAGTCGGAATGGTCTCAATGTTCCTTTCGCCCCACTCGTCATTTTTCGCTGCCCGATATATTTCCCCAGACCCTGCTGATTCCACACATTTCCCAATGGGTGAAATTCCAATTCTCTCATAGTACATAGACACACATCTGATAGCCGGGCATGTTTTCCACACTTCGTTTCCGCACCAAGAATGAGGGACAAGTGTCCGTATTGCAGAGTACGCGCAATCCTCCCGGTCAGAGGTTTTTAAATCCGGATTGCTACCGCGCTGCATGCGATACATGTCGCGAGAAAAAGGCATGTCCTGTTCTTCTGGCCACCTAATGAAATTCTTGGTTTTCCCCAGTTAACAATTGGATTGCCATTCCATCAGGAATAGCTTAAATGCTCTGGTCAGAAGGACGGTTGTGATCGATGTCGGTCCAAAGGACGCATTTGTACCTATCCACCAAAGAAACCAAATCGAGCGAAAGCTCTAGATGGAGCAGTGCAGTCTTGTTCGCCACCAATTTGCTCTCAATTCACACCATCGACATTTGATGGCGATGCGACGGTGACCCAGGCGACCGTTGACACGGTAGCACCGTTCGCATTAAGGAGCGACAACGACAAGTCTATCCAGCCTAGAGGAGCATTCCAAGATACATACATGTTCCCAGATAAACATAATATCACACAAACTCACGAAAGCCTGCATGGAAACGGGCCAGATAAACTTGACCCAGCCAGCATGGACACTTCTGTTAGCAGTGAGCAGAGGGTCTCAAACGGCGCTGACATAATATCAGATCTGGCTCCTGTAGAAGGATTACCCATGGGCTCAATTGAGTGTGATCGTTACCCTGACCTTACTTGGACACAGTCACTAGATACGTTGCTGCAGCAGTTTGATGACAAGTCAGATCATCCGCTCCCCTCGGCACCAGAAGCAAACCCGGGCTATCCACCCCAAGCATTAATACCAGAGTCAATGGCCTCCTCAAGTCGACTGTCAACAGCCAGTGTTGAGCAGAGAAGTGGGTGTCTATCCTTTTATAATTCACCTGAGTTCCATTCCTCTAGTCGACATATCCCTACCACTCCTCCTGCTTTCATTCATGATCAAAACCCGTTCATATCCAAGGACACCCGAGAAAGCACACCTTCTGTCTCAATGAAGTCACCATCAACATCTTCAGCGCACTCCGATCAGCGTAACTGGGAAGCGGAAGACAGCCGTATCTCCCAGGGTCCCAGCTTTACCCATATACCGCAATGCCCACCAACTGCGCCATTAGCATCATGCCAATGTATAAAACGCGTCCTCTTACTGAACGAGGAGGTCGAGATCAAAGCAGGTCTGCACACTATGATTCTTTCCATTGATGAATTTTTGAATTTTCAAAATGAAGTCCTGAGACGATGGAGCAGTATCCTTGACTGCATGGTCTGTAACAAGATCTCTGCAGTTGCATTGCTCCTGACCACAATCAGTGAGCGATTGTTATGTTCATTCCAGCGCCTCTCTGAAGCCTTTGCGGATAGACTACGAGATGGTGCAAACAATCAGCGTCAGCAACAGGAAAGGAACAATCCAAATGCGCAAGGAAAAGGTTTCCATATCACGAAACAGGTCTCTATTGGGAGACACACGATTGGCGTCCCCAGGGACCAGGATATTCTTGTCCTCACGGTGATCATCCTTGAGCTCGGTACTTTGCAACGGCTTGTGATGCGACTCTGTGAAGCTGCAATCTGTGCTGGGTGGGAGAAGTATGCTGTACAGCTCCATTCTATTCACGAGAGAGCGCAGCAAACAACGGCAACCTTGAAGAACCTGATGGATCAGGTACTATAAGGAACTACGTATATATCTCAAGGCAGTTCACTGAGTCATTATTCAACTGATGGAACCCAAACTAGTGTTTCTCTTGAGCACCCCGCAAGATTATACGGACAGCGCTCGATAGAGATATCTGGCAATTGACACTACTGTGGGCGTCTGTGCTCGTATTATATGATGAACCTTTTTCGTGCTTAATGTTCATATATATAGAGAGTGTAGCCACCTATATAGCCCATGTGTTTTAGGCAACAATGGGAAGGTACTGGGCCTAGTATTATGACTATTATGATGACCACCATGATGATTTACGACATAGTAAATCCATAGTCCAATATTCTTTACACAAGTGCACCCAAATGACCAGAGGTACGTCACTAGGGCAAGATCGAAACTGCTGCAGGTGGATTCGAATTTCGTAGTTTTCCTGGCTCCCCATAGCAGCTTCCATAGGGGATCTATAGACTGACCGAGTATTCCGGCAAAGGAACTTAGCATTCAAAAAGAAGCACTATACACAAAACGGTTGTTGTTTATTTTACACGCGATATTCAGGAGCATTTATGATCGATTTCGCAGTGGAAGGTTATTTCAGTTACTGTACCAGTAGGAATGTAAAGTAGTATCTTTATATTGAAAGCACGATGAGTTAAACTATTCACGCCATATTTGATTTAGTAAAACACAGTTTAGAGTATTGAACAGGAAAAAGAAACTACACAGATAATTACGCCTTCAGAACTTCATCCCGTTCTTTACTTTCTCCGACTCAGAACTGTCCTTGACAGGACCTCCAGGTTGGAACTGGTAATTATCTCCAGGATCTGCAACTGAGCATTCAGCTCACGAGTCATCCAGTTGCGGAACTCGACTGCAGCAAGGGAATCGAGGCCACAGGTAACCACGGAGCTGGTGGGAAGGATATCCTCCGCCGGGATCATAAGGATATCAGCGATCTTGTTGGCCAATGCAGTATACACCACATCCACAGCCTGCGCTTCACCTTCCGCTTGAGCCTCCTTGATGAGGACATCCAAGCATTTCACGCTACTAGGTGCATCAGAACTATCTCCACGCGACAACTCAGCCTCCTTGAGTAGAGATTCGAATTTAGGGTCCTGAGCCCAGAATCGGAATTTGATTGACTCATCAGTCAACTTAAGCCCTGTAACACATTGAGGTTGTGTTGCAGGCAAGGCGCCAGATATCGCGGCGCCAAGTAGCGCCATAACCTCGTTTTTGGTAATGGCATCGGATGCAAACCTCTCGGAAAAGACTTTCACATCACCTAGATTGTCTTCTGCTAGGCGTCCCGCATCCAGCACCGGTGCTATATCCAGGGTCGTAGCTGGCAAGCCCAGAGACTGGCGGAAGGCGGCAAATCCATCCAAGAAGGCATTGGCAGCTGCGTATGGTGCTTGACCACGACTGCCGATTATACCCGAAATTGAAGATAGCATGATGAAAAAGTCCAGCTGATGGCCACCTGCCTGAATTTCGTGGTGGAGGTTCCACGTTCCAGCCACCTTGGGTGCGCTAACATTATACCATAATGGGTATTGCATGTCTTCAAACAGGGTGTTCTGATAGGTCTAGTGTTAGCAAAGTATATATTTATCTGGGTCTGACCTAGCATATCGGGTCACCAAGACAGGAGAAGGGAAATAGAGCCTACCTCGAAAACCATAGATCCTTGGATCAGTCCCCGAACTGGAGGCTTGTTCGCAGATACAACGCTTTGAAGAACCTTACGAACATGGGACCGATCCGTGATATCGCACTGCTTCACTGTAATGGTGGCTCCGAAAGTCATGGCGTCTTGAATCAACTGGGCGACCTTTCCATTCGTCGAACCACTGCGAGAGATGAGGAGAAGATTCCGTGCTCCTTTAGATATCATCCATCTAGCTATCGCACGACCAAGACCGCCGGTACCGCCAACAACAATATATGTAGCGCTGGCATGCAGAAGGGTCACTGGTAAGGAAGGAATAGGTGCCTGTAATTCATTGTTCCATAAGCAACCATTCAACTCAAGCCCAAAACGCCAGTAAAGACAATAAAGAAAAAAGAAACACAAGAGCAGGTTATTATCTGCTTACCTTGACTCTTTCCTCTGCACCGTGAAGAACAACCAATTTGTTAATCACCTCCCCAGATTGCACAAGACCGAATGCTTCCCCGACCTCGGAGATCTGTTTCGTATGCCCTGCCGCCAAAGGGCTGATAATCCCATTCCGGATCATAGTCATGACATCCGATATTAATTGTTTCATTAGCTGAGGTTTTTCATTAGCAATGGTGATAATGTCCACGCCGTAAAACGCTGCGTTGTAGTCGAACGGTCGCATTGGCAACCCTACATCCGCCTCAATATCGCGTTTGCCAATTTCAATAAACCGACCGAAGTGAGCAATACACTCCCAGGTCTCACGGAGACGGTCGCCCGAAACAGAGGATGAGTTAACTATCACATCAACTCCTTCTTGTCCATGTTTTGAGGTCGCCTGGCGAAAGGCCGGAGCGAAGCTAGAATCTCCATAATGAAGAATACGATCTTCCGGCAGGCTGTCCTTGAAACTGTGCATCAAGAACATTCTTTCGACATCGGATTTAACTGTCACATAGATCTCAGCCCCAACATACTGGGCGAGCTTGATTGCAGCAAGTCCGACATCGCTTGTACCTGCGTGTATTAAAACTGATTCACCTTTGGAAAGCCGTGCCATCTTGATCAGGGAATAGTATGCAGTACAGTATGCTGCAGGGATCATTGCTGCAGTGACGAATGTCATATCCTCAGGTATCTTCGACACGCTGGTGTATCTACATCTGGTCAATTGCGAGTAGGCACCTTTTGTGTTAACCGCACAAACTCTGTCACCGACTGAGAAGCACTTAACCCGACTTCCAATCTGAGTGATAACTCCGGAGCATTCCAAGCCGATAGATTTAGCAGGTAGATGACCCATAGCTTGCGAAATATCGCGAGAATTAACAGCAGTGGCTTTGATCTCGATTTCTACCTCGTCGGCTTCGAGAGGTGTTCCCACAACTGGATCGGGAATAAAATATAGGCTATTAAGAACACCAGGGGTGCTGACAGAAAGCTTCAAAGGAGGCCGGATATCTTTGTCTCGAGAGAAGAATGGTTGCTCCTCAATAACATGCTGCCCATGAGCCTCACTCTGAACAAAGTTGTCGGCCTTGTCATCATAGACGACACGAGGGACCTGCAGCTGGCCATTTCGCACACGGTACTCCATATCAGAACATGGGTATGGTGACCCCACTTGACCAGGTGGTGAAAGGGATCTAGTGAACACTTCAGTTACATGAGTAATGATATCTTTCACAGGGCTGTTTGTACTATTCGGCGTGTTGGCCTCCAAATCTAGGACTGCAAATTTCTTGTCAGTTTCTGCCCGTATACATCGAGCAAGGCCCATGGCCAAATGCGAATTAGGGTCCTGGTGACCTGCGTACGCAATTTGCGAAACCCAGAGCAGACTGCTGGATTGGAGAATTGTCTTTTTCATCCACTGGAACTCTTTGTCGGATAGGAAAGGAAGAAAAGACTTCCCAATCTCGATAAGCACTATCACGACGCCACTGGGGGTGGTGGCTACATCAGCATTGGTGTCAAATGGTTGCAACTCGACTAGAGTTCCTGTCAAGCTCTCCAAGCTCTTCGATAGCTTGAATGCCACATCGAACTGATCTTCTTGTCTGTATATGATGGTCACCAGATCCAGAAGAGCGAACGATAGTTCATTGGACCCTTCCGAACACGTATCGGCACCGCTACTGCTACCGCTGTCCAACACGGTGTCTTCGAACACAGACTTCCAATCCAGTTTGTAGCAAAGTCCCCTGCTCGACTGTTTAATACCTGTGTCCTCACTCTGGTGTACGGGCAAAACCTTTAGGCCGTTCAAACGTATCAAAGCTTGGTCATGATTATCGGAGGCAGTTACAACAACAGAGAAACTTGAATCCGCTTCCCTTCGCACTCCATTTGACTTCTGCGAAGCGGAGTGCAAAGGTTGAGATGCCAGCTCAGGGGCTGCCGAGACCCGCAGTTGAGACTTAGAATCATTTCGGATCCTGCAGGAAACTGACATCTGCTGAACTGCAGTAACCATGTATAATGTGTCCAATCCAGTGGTGCCAGCTCCGAGTAGAGGCCAAATAGCTTGGAAGGAACTTTCAAGTATGGTTGGATGTACCATATAGCTCGTCTCGCAACCATGGGGCATAATTGATGCTGTGTCTTGGACGAGCAATTCTGCAACTGCGAGCTCACCAGTACTTGACTTGGCAATATTCCTCAGCCCTCGGAACATTTGCCCATAGCCAGTTCCCGCGGCCTGTAATGAATCATACATGACCTCATAGTCAGTGGTGAGTATGCAATCCTCCTCATTATAGAAATGGCTGACTCGCGGGGATATTCCGTCCCGGGCCTCTCCAGCCCCATCAATGTGCTTTGAGCCCTGAGATGGAGTACTTTCCGTATCAGCTGAGACAAGCCCGCGACAATGCTGAATCCATCCTCTCTGTTGCGTCCACGATGTGACAACAAACTCGCTCCATGTATCAGACTGTGTGTGTGGGCCCAGCATAAAAGGCGAGAGTTTAGTGACCATCTCAACTTCAACATCCTCGTCCAAGACAAGCGGCCGTTGAATAGCAAAGTTGCGCAGATTAATGCGCTTGATAGTATTGTAGCTCTCATCGCGGTTGTTGCCTGCTTTCTTACCATTCCCGAGCACAAGGCGTGGGTGCTGTATGATCGCTTCCATGCCCATTGCTATAAAGCCAGCCATCGGGTAGGTAACAATGCCTTGCACCTTGTGATCGCGCAGCCACGGAAGATCATCCAGCTGGAAGACATTTCTCCACTCTGGGGTAAGGTCATTAGAATAGTCGGCGAGAACTCCTAAGATATCATTACGAGCTGGTATTTCCTTGGATAGGTACTTCTGGGTAAATCGTGAACTGTGCCAATATGCATTATCGTGTTGGAAAGGATATGGAGGCATGTCTGTCAGAACCTGCGGTAGTGAGGTTCCCGGAGCTGGTCGATTGATAGCAGCCATATTGACAGGTATACCTCTCATAAACAGGTCTCCTGCCGCCTTCTGGGCTGTCTCTGTGGCATCTTTGTTTCTCCGCAGCATACTGGAATAGACCAGTGAGCCATCGGAAAATCCCTTGGATACGGTCTGCTTTATTGGTCCTTCCAGGGCTGAGTGGGGTCCGATTTCTAGCAGAACGGTGGTCCGAAACTTGACTCCATTCAGGTTGTTAACGGTATCATCATATGAGCACAGTTCGGACAGACTGTCAGAAAACAAGACTGTTGATGTCAAGTTTTGAACCCAGTAATCTGCAGTGAGCTCCCGGGTATCTATCAAATGCCCACGTAGAGAGGAATGAAACCGGACAGCAGAGCAGTCGCGCTTTGGTTGAATGTGCGCAATTGATGCACGGTAATCCTCTGCGACGACTTGCATATGGTGCGAATGGTATGCGACATTCACATTCAATAGCCGGTGGAAAATACCTTTCTCTTCAAGGATCTGATCCAGCTGGATAACGCCAGCCTTGTCACCAGAGATAGTAACACTCTTTGGACTATTGACGCAGGCAATTCCAATTCGACCATGGCTAATTGTGCCTATGATATTCTTCACTTCATCTGGTCCTACACCAACAGCTAACATTGTACCCCGTGGCAACTTAGAGTTTCCAACAAGCAGCATTGCGGTCCTACCCCGATGATAGGCAATCGCCATGCAGTCTTCTAATGACAACGCATTAGTAGCATACGCACTAGCAATCTCGCCACTAGAATGACCAGTAACCGCCGATGGTTTTATATTCCACGAGCGCAGCAGGTCTACCAGGGCAATCTGAATAGCTGTGCAAATTGGCTGACTGATCTGAGGTTCGTTAACCCGACTTGCGTCTTTATTCTTTGAAAGTTCCTCTGTGGCTGAACATTAGAGGGTGATATCACTATGAATGAGGGAACGGAGAGAGAGCAAAACTGATAGAACACCATAGACTTGAGACAGCAAAGAAGTACACGGTAGGTAATACTGACCGATGAGGGAGAATCCAGCACCCAGCTTGTCCAGGGCGGCATCTGTAGCGCGTAAGGTTGTAAAAAACACAGGGTAAGTCGTAAGAAGCTCGCGACCCATGGCATGCCACTGAGCCCCTTGGCCAGTGAAAACAAAAGCAACTGTTGTAAGCTCCTTAGCCCTCACTGGGCGTGACTGACGATCGACGAGCTGTCTAGTCAAGTCACTTGACCCCGTCGCTGTAAATGCTATCCTCCAGGGCATTATGGATCGTCGCTCACCCAGGGTATAGGCAAGGTTTCGAGGCATATTAATTTCAAACGCCTCTGGCTTTCGTTCCAAGTAGACGATGAGATTCTCCATACTGGCCTGTGCTGCCTTTTCGTCGTGCGCACTCAACACAAACAGCCGTCTTGGTTCTCTCTGATCAGAACCCGGCGCATCAACGCTCACTTCTACCGGTGCGGCTGGGCGAGACCCTTTCTCTAAAACCACGTGAGCGTTTGAGCCACCGAATCCAAAGTTATTGATCGATATGTATTTCTTGTTATTGGGCCATGGTGTTTGATGCGTCGGCACCTATAAAGTGAATCAGTTAGCAATCTCCGCCGGTAGCCTGCTATGAGCAGTAAGATCGGTCGTCGCACCTTGATGTTCAGACTAGATGATATACTCGTTGGGAACTTTTCATAGTCACAGTTTGGTAGGATAAAGCCTCGTTCTAGCATCATAGCTGCTTTGATCACCGAGGCAACTCCACTGGCGGCTTCCAAGTGCCCAACATTCGTCTTGACTGATCCGACCAGCAACGGGTCATCTGCTGGTCTCCCTTTGCCCAATACGTTGGCCAAGGCTGTTGCCTCAATCGGGTCTCCCACTATTAAGTATTATCTGTCAATATATAAAGTCAAAAGTAGTGGAGTAAACGTGTCCGTATTCAGCTTTACGATACCTTTTGTGCCAGTTCCGTGAGCCTCAACGAAGCCCACATCCTCCGGGGAAATGTTAGCTTTTCTGTACACCGATCGAATAAGATCTTCCTGAGCTGATCCATTTGGTAGGGTAATTCCATTGGTGCGACCATCCTGATTTGTACTTCACTATTCATTAGCACAATGTCAAATACACTTCGGTGTGTGTCTCTTGGATGGATAAAATACCCCGAATTTACGATCACTGCACGAATTCGATCGTTTGACTCCAATGCATCTGAAAGACGTTTCAGGATCAGACAGCCAACTCCTTCTCCACGACCATAACCACTTGTGCCCCGGTGGTCGAACGCGTACGACTTCCCCGTCTCTGAGAAAAGCCTGTTTATTATTAGCACTAGCACCGCTATCAAGAGGCATATAAATACCTTTGCGATGACATTGTGGCAAAGCTGTCAGGACTAAGATTCAAATGGACACCGCCAACGACTGCGGCGCTCGATTCTCCAGCTCGGAGAGATTGGCATGCTAGATGTAAGGCAACGAGACTTGATGAGCACGCAGTGTCAATTGTGAAACTAGGTCCTTTCAAGTCGAAATAATATGAGACCCGGTTAGACATAAGACCTTTGCATGTTCCTGTAGCAAAATACATGGGGACGGTCTCCGTATCCTTATGCCCCAAAAGTTGATAGTCGGCCCCATAGCCGCCCATGAACACACCGATATTCTGACCGACAACTTCTGATTTCGAGATGCCTGCATTCTCAAACGCTTCGTACGTGCCTTCCAATAACAACCGTTGTTGCGGGTCCATTGCTGTGGCCTCGGCTGCAGTCACGTTGAAGAAAGGCGCATCGAAGAGTGAAATGTTCTCGCTCAAGAAATGCCCTCCCCGTGCATTATGAGTTCCTTTCTTTCCTGGATTTGGGTGGTAATAGGCGTCAGGGGAGAAACGCTCCGCCGGAGTTTCAGTCCAGCCACTGCGTGCCCGAGCGCACATATTCCAGAATTCAACTGGGTTACTCACATCCCCAGGCATTCGACAAGACATACCCACGATAGCGATACGGTCTGGGCTGCTGGAGGTACAATCATAGCATTCGGGTGTGTATATAGAACTGGCTTGAGACGAGCTTTCTTGTGAATCCATTATGGCTGTTGGTTGTTTGTATCAAGCAGGGTAATGGCTTAAATGCGAGTTGTAGTTGTCGTTGTAATTTAAGGGAAATGGAATCAATCGTCCACAACAGGAACGGGAAGAGTCAAAGCGATGTTTTCAATTGAAATATGGGATATTAGGTTAAGAGAGTCAATACAGTAGTTCTTATATCTTCTTTTCTCTGTAAGAGACACATGCGACAATAACCCCCTTAGCGATCCTATGGTTGACGAAGCATGGCAGGCCCGGCAACCCCACTTCGAAGTGAATGATTGGATCTCACGAGATCTTGATAGCAATATACAGGAGAGTAGATCAGCAGCAGGGTTTTATCCGCGGCTCTCTCAAACCCCCGGAGCAGATGCGTAGATGTGCATATTAGGGATCGCGTCGGGGTTACCCGATTAGGCAAGATTACATAACCCTCGGACATTCCCAATTAAGCCACAAGCCAATGCTTTACTAAATTTGCATTCAACTAAAGCTCAAGCTAGATTGCCATCGCTGTGGATATAACTCTGACGTTCTTTTCGTTAATTCATCACTGATTCTCCAAGCATAACCGGTGATCCCGACAACATTACATAATGAGGTTTTTATGCTTTCCCGGTGCAGGCTCTAATGCCCAGGCAAGTCCCCATCTCAGAATGACCATATACACCATCTCTAGAAAGGATCAGGAATGCCTTATTCTAACTCCAATGACATAGACATTCAAGCCGATCCTGGGTAAATAAGAAACCTTTCCTCACCATCTTGCAGCGTGGAAAGATTATGGTTTCTAACTTCGCAATGAACATATACCAACAGCGCCATTCATGGCAGAAATGGAGTCGGATAATTCCATGAGCTTTACCTTTACGCAAGGAGAGGTCCCCTGTCAAATACCGGAGAAGTTTCTCGCTCACTATGGACCGGTACGTATTCTTTTAGTAGCTCCAACCCAACCCTACCTTAGGCAATTCTCATTTATGCTACCATATACTCATATTTCACTTCGCCGCTCTCCCTCAGGAACCACATCTTCAATTTATTGCACGCAAAGGTACGTTTCGCCATGCTTGCGGAGATCACACAATGTACAGGCTGCCAGAGATTGGGATTGTACTGACCAAAGGGGATCGAACCATATTGCGAACAGAATACTTCCAAGACTTAACGGCACGATTTGCAGCTGTCGAACGTGCAATTGACAATGCCACCCCCGAAGAAAAGATGCGATTATCCCTGCAGAACCTACAGCCACTGGATGGCAGTGTCGACGCAGCTTTAGCAAAAGTATTTCGTCTAATTGACCAGGAGGGGCCCTTTGATGGGGTCATAGGCCACTCTGAGGGAACGGCCATGGCAGCTACTGTCTTGCTAGAGGAACGGAGAAGGTTTCGAGAAACAGGTCGGCCGCAGCAATTGAAATGTGCCATTCTGTTCAACGGTTTCCCGCCCCTAATCCCGGGGAAGAACAGGTACTTGCTGGCCGACGAGGGGAGGGGCACGCTGGGATATGAGGATTGGTTCATAAATGTGCCAACTCTTCATGTGCTAGGATCGCTGGATCCGTGGGTCTATGGCTCTCTTGCTCTGTATAATGTCTGTTGTAACGATAAGGCAATCTTGTTTGACCATGGGGGTGGCCATAGTGTTCCTAGGGATGCACGAACAATTAGGGAACTAGGACAGATTGTACGTGAGATGATTGGCGGCTTGAAATAGATTAGAGAGACCGTCTCTACATTTGTTAGTAAAAGCACCATATGGAGATACTGTGATCCACCCGGCTTGGCGTGCGGGGACCTAGTTGAAGCCATCCAACCTCCTTTGGTTAGATGAGCACCTCAGCGAGTAGCTTATGTAAACTCGACGTTATTAATTACTGAGCTGCCTGGGCTTCTATTCTTTGATTAACATAGGCTATTGACTCTAGCTACATCTGGCGTTCGAGCTCCTGATCCCCTGGTGATTCTGCTAGAGCCTGGAATTGCTTGCGTAGGTTTTGTCCAGGGCCTAGGCACAGACCTAGGCGTACCTGGTTTCTTACCCCCGCTTTCGGATACTTTGGGCGCTCCATGTGCTCTGACTGCTTTTAGAACTGGCCCTGCTTGGGGCTCTGCTGCATTCGTTGTGCTTAGGTACTGCTCCAGATCCGCAGACGTCTCTAGGGCCGTGGGACCCCCACGATATATCGGTGTTGGTGTTGGTGGTGGTGGTATCCCGCTCAGGGGCATCCACCTCGACGCGCTCGGTAGGCCAACGCCATGAGGGTTTGGGACCTTAGAGGCCTTTCTTGATTGATTGGTGCGTTGAAACGACGTGTTTGATGGGGTGTTGATTTTGATGTTCCGAGCGCTTTTTTCGATTTTGAGAATTACGTTACCGAAGCCGTCGCTAAATTTATTGCACTTAATAAGTGTGAATCAGCCCACTTGGCCCTTCATAAACCTCCTCCAGTCTTGATCACTTCTGCTGCACACTCTGTAAATCAAGTGTCGGCAGGAAACCGGGTTACCGCATACAGCCTGGCCAGAGACCTCAACTTTGATCGTTGTGCTGCACTGCATAATGAAATCTACCGGATAGGATAGAATGGCATGGGACAAAACTCTAGCCCAACTCCAGTTGTAACATGGTGGGAGCATCATATACTAATAGAGGAAGTCATGAAAGACCTGAACCCAGATCTGGTTGCTTTCCTGAAAGTAACCTATACATTTCTAATAAATACACGTGATATCACCTCATTCTTTTACTAGTTTCACAACCTAGCTTACCCATGTACGCTGTTCACAACATAGGTTGAGCATGTCTACCCTTGTCTGCTTGTCTGGCTGTACCAGCATAGAGGTTACAACCTTGGTAATGAGGTAGGGATTGTGTATGATGCATAATGTCCTGAAAGCTAATTGTTGGTAATTAATAATAGATATAATCAAGAATAATCATTAGCAGCGTTTATAGGCCACACTGACGGGTTATCCGGGATGTGCATATCTGGTTGGATACTTAATCCTTTAGGGATCATCCTTTCCGCCTATCTTGATATAATAGAGGAAGGAAAGATATCTACAACTCACTATATTATAAGAACCTGGGAAGCGTCTCCAGACCCTATATTACCATAGATTATGCGACTCCACACTAAGATAGATATTGAAAAGACTGTATCCGCAATATAAGGGCTTATGGCAGCTATAAAATCTAGACTGCCTTTCTATCCCTCTCTTTTCTTGAATCCATAGTCTGACTTTGAGACGGCTGCGGCTCATCTGCCTTTTAATATATGTATTTATAAGTTTTTGAAAGAAATCTTAGCTATACAGATTCCCTTTTATTATCTTGCACCTGGAATCCAGCTGTCTAGTCCTACTAAATTTAGTAAATAACTGTTCCTCTCTTTAAACTTGCTAAAGGACCAGGACTATCCTCTCAAGTTCTTATTACTATTATTTTACACAGACAGCGCGAAAACTACACATCGCAATATTTCTCTTGTCCCAGTATTACTAAGAGTTCTATCTATTCCGGCCTGATCATATATGTTGTCTTATTATCCCTCTAATCGCGAGTTCTCTAATAGTTGTTGCCTGCTTCTACCTTTTAATATTGGCGAATGTGACTGGGCATGCACAAGTAACAATCAGTAGATGGGTGTGGCTCCGTGGGATGATAAGGTTAAAGGAGGCAGATACTGAGGATCACTGGAAGAAGTACTGGGCACCACTGAGCTGGTAAAGATTAATTGTAATTATTGAGTTCTCGCACAGTTTGCGTGTTTTGGGGCGCGGTGCGCCGGAGGGAAATAGATAAATAGATAGTCTTGCTGGTAGTGGTAAGAGAGTGAGAACAATATATAAATAAATCATATTTGTGGTAGTTCATCACAATCTTAGCTAGGTAGTTATGTTCAATATAAGGTCAAATCAAATACCTAACTTAAGTAAATTAGGCAACGTTATCTAGCACTTGGAATATCTAAAACCTCAACCGCCAATGAATACTGCTGAAGTACAGGCACCGGAATAACAGTGGTCTTTGCCGCAATATTTCTCTGTGTTGCCACGGTAGCCGGAAACCGAGCTGCATTTTCTGAACTGTGGCCCTGTACATGTCTTATTCCCAGAAAAAACTAGGTCCGCACTCCCCGTTCACACTGGGACCACCGAGGTCATCGTCACATATATCGAACAGCATCTGGTTAAGCATATTAGCGATTCGGCTTATTACATGACACACGTTCAGACTGTGGAGTCTATACAACTCAAAGCGATAAATTACTGTACAAAGGTAGACACTGATTGAACCCTGAACACAGGGGGGATGTATTGGGTGCAAAATACATGCATTGAACGTCCGGCTTATGTGCGCAAATTTGCTAGACTGTACGTACTGACGGGGTATAAAAAATATATATACATGACACACAATGAGAAAGACACAAGGAACTAAACACAAGGCGAAACTACTCTGGCGGAGTCATACCCGGGGAGTCCAGAACAGGTAACCAAATCATAGCAAGGCGCAGGCCCCAACGTATTTTGACAGTGACCCAGTCGGCCTGCTCCGCAATCAGAATCCAAAGGGAGCATCATTGGATTTCCACAAGAATCCATCCCAGACTCGAATAATCTAGGATCAAACGTATGGCATCCGTAGGGCGGTGGCGGGTCTCTATTATTCTCGACGACTTTTCCATGAACGCTCCCATCATCTCTTATGACGCCAGGCGTCATGTAGATACTGAATGGGATTGTTTCCGCAATCTATAGAGCCCTAGTTAGTATCCGCTGTTGCTGCATAAAATTAACTGACGCACCTTGACTACCGCTTGCCCGTTTTCGTCCTGGAATTCCGCATTTAAGATTAGGCTATGGGTGATGTTAATAGTTCTCGACGAGATACTTTGTGAATATGCTCTCAAGTTCTGGGGTAGGCGGACTGGCTGACTCAAGCGCCATTCAGGTCCCATGGATATGCTTTCCTGTGCGAGCTCGGTTCTTTCTGTAAAGACGGTGAGTGCCTTTGTCGAGGTTATGTTATGGACATTGTGGAGCGAGGCTTGTACGGCTGTGGCCTGCACTTTAATGATATGTTTCTCGACGACTGTGATGGTAATAGCGCTAAGCTTGGCATCTTTCGCTGGAGCCGCGAAACAGGCGTCCACGAAGAACGTCGAGCCGAACGGGATATCGGAGTTGGGCATCGAGATGCAATATTGAATATTCTGGTCCGATTGGCCTTCCACAGTCTGGGTGTGGATGTTAGTTGCTGTGAATCTTGCCAGAGATACAAGTCGCAACATACGGGTGGAATCTCGAGTAGTATATCGTTCGCCTCCAAGTCCGGAACATTGTAAATTCGGACTGGTTGCGAGATTACGGTATTTCGCCAGTATCGATGCTCAACAATGGCGTCTACTTGGTAAGTGTGGTTGTTGCTTGGGCCCGTGACGGTTTCGAACATCTCGGTTGCTAATGGGATGCTGAAAACGAATTCGTAGGTTCCGGCGGGCAGTCGAAACGAATCGAGTGTTTTCGACGACGCCAGTGTTTGGGACTTTGAGAAGGTGAGACATTCACGGTCATCTGCGATCATGCAGCCATCCCGAGGACTGTAGACATAATGGTAAGTAACTTGTGTCCTCCATGGTAAGTTTCCCAGACAAGACGTACATTTTCAAGAGACCCGTAAGCCTTACTTTGATTCTCTTGATAACGGCCAGCTCTGGCAAGGATACGCAGAACTTCCCAGTTATTGAGTTGGTAAACTCAGCATTTTGTGACTGGGAGACAAATATAGTTGACTGATCAAGCCTGGGTGTGGTAGTGCCTATATTAGAGTCGAGGGAGACAGTGCATGATGTGACGATCATACCTTAGATCATACCTTGCTGTGTCCTTGAAAAACATCATTGTTGTTCAAAAGGTAAATTCACTTCGTGTTTATGAATTCGCAGCTACTTGAAGTGGTACCTAGAAAAATGTGGACATCTGGATGGGATTTCTTACATTTATACTTGCCTATGTTGACATTGCCATGGGGCGACGGAATATGGAAAAATTTCCCGTAATCTTGGCGAAATTCAGTCTGCCACGCACAATGGCTTTATTTCCATTTTTAGCCAGGCAATTTGGACTGGACTCGCTTCAATTGCCCAGGTCGCTCACTTGGATTTCTGGTATCCTTTGAGTGGACTACATTGCTAGAATTGCTTATTTACCAGGTTCAAAACTATATCAGTATTGCACTTATTGTCTATATAATCTCTAGACCTTCACTGCTTAGCCCAACTTGCTAATAAAGTAGTGGTTAAGCCTTTCACAACATAATATAAACCAAGACGTAGCTGAAGGGCTACCAAGCGTGACATAAGCAAATGCAAAGATCAACCAGTCTGCGTTAAAACAGTACTATAGCCGGACAGAGACTAATTCTCCGGCCATATGAGAGAGAAGTCAATGCTAGGAATGAGTCCGAATTAGGGCAGGGAATATATCCCCTATGACGTACGAGCCGAATCTTCATTTTATCCTTTACACATATACCTATATCACTTGAATCATCAAGGAATCCTGGATATTCAGGCAATTCAGCCGATCTAATAATATCGATCGATGTATCTGTTGGTGCGTGGCTGTTGGTATCAATGGTAAAAGATTCACCTTAGACGGCCACGAGCAGCGGACTTTCCTAAAGTGGGTCGGAGGTCCCGACCTACCTGGTGGTCGTCGTTTGACTCATTCCCACTCGCTTAGCCTTATAAGGCGCAGTAATTTGATAGTTGACATAATGTAATTACTTAAAGATCTGAGATTTTGTTTGGAGGGATACTACATGTTCTGAAACATTTCGTTCCTTGTACCCCAGGTTCTCTTCCTAGATAGCTGAGATAGACATTGAGAAGTGTTGACTTTGTTGGTGCATGCTTACGGCCATTACAGTAATTTAGAGATAAACAACGTTTGCTTTAATTATTTGATCAATATGTAGCGAGTTGACAATGCTTTGCCTAATCTATAGCAGGCCACGCATTTGAGTAATTACGTAGTGCAAATAGCACTACAAGTCCGAAGCAACGAGGACAGCAAAAACTAGGAGATCGATTTTCGCAAGACTAGGTTATTGTCAACCTAAGATGCTGAAAGTGCAGACCAATCACCTGGTAGTAAGTTAGAGTCCCAAAATAACTGATCGCCCGAAACGGTGGGGAAGTTGACGTCTGCAAAGTTCTCCAAAAACACATCGAAGAAGTCTTCTCCAGTAGATGGCAAGGCAGGATTTCCCAAGCTGTTTCCGAAATCGGAGGGATAACTTGTATTTCGGTCGCTATAAGACTCCTGAATATTTTGAGAGCCGCCAGAGTAGATTGAAGTCGTACCATCAGTCTCCGAGGCACCCTGACTAACCAGTGGAGGTTGAGCCGTAGACTCCGCATTGGACCAGGCTGTATGGTATACAGATCGATCAGATTGTTCTTGTGCGAGTCGTTGTTGCATGCCATCTAAGCCCTGCCTACCAAGCTTCATCATCACAGCTGCTAACCACCAAGTTTTCCTGAATGCGGTAAGACACTCATAGAAGAACTCAAAATTGTCTTTTGCCACGACTTGGGCACTTGGCAATTTCGCCTCCTTGAAATGGATATAAGTGATTGACAAGGCAAGTGATAAGGTGTATGCCGAGATAGATATCGGTAAAAGATTGTCCATCCGTGTTTTACGGCTCAAGGCCGCAATCGCTAAAGTCGAGTGGCTCTGGCGAATCTTCGACATGCGTGAATGGGAGCGACCTTGCAAGCCTTTTGAATGTGTAGAAAGAATGACAATTGCATGATGATAAAGTTCAAGAGAACCTTTGCTTCGGTCAGATATTATCAAGGGAAGTTTTCGTCTAATCACTTACTAAGAACTTCAGTGCTCACATTCCACGCATTAGAGCGCTCAACAACTTCCTCAAAGGTAGGTAGCTCGAGATCTTGGTCACAAGCTCCACGCACCATTGGCCGGTAAGACTTAATCACTTCCCCAAGTTGATGAGCAAGCAGAAGCCAAAGACGGAATGGCGGCTGGAATACTTGGATGATATCGGTCACGTCTTGGCCTATATCGCAATCATGAAGTATAATAGCCCTTCCATTGACGGCAGCGCTCCATCTATCAAGGCTCCATAAACACCAGAATAAGGACTTCATATGGATGTCCCATTCTTTTCCGGGCCTTGCTAAATGCAATCCGATAATCTGGGCATGATGAACCGCTTGAGCCAGGTTTAAGGAGCAATCTTCGGATCCATTGGGCCCCCATTCATGAAGCGATATCAGAGCGAGAATCTGTATTGTAAGAACCCTCTTTCTCTCTTCCCTCCTGGGCATGGTTCTCATGATATCATCGTACATTAATTCACCGAACCTTTCAAGCGGCAACAATGTCCGGTCCGAGTCCAGATATAGAAAAGGCACAGCGCGTCGGTCCTTGGAGGCAACAAGGCAAATGGATTGAAGGAGCGGTAGAGATATTGTACTGTTTAAAAATTCCGATCGTGTTTGGACCTCGTTGAGTAAGGGCAAGATTGGATGTATACGACGAAAGTATAGGTCGACCAGTGCCTCTTGACTGGGCTTTGGGGGCAAGAGGCCGACATTTCCGGTTGAGTGACTTTGACCCTTTTCTACGAATGTGAGTGAAGATCGAGGTTGAGAGGTAATGCGCTCATCAGGCAACCACGCTCCCACCTCCCCCCTGCCTCGCTCAAGTCTTGACTCAGGATTTTCCAATAGGTGTAGGACTGGGTTAGTGTCGCAGACAAAAGGATGGGGCTCTAACCCCTTTCCGTCAATATCTTCTCTGGGTTCTACTGCGGCAGGTCTCGTTGGAAGCAGTGGCCGCTGAGTTTCGATTTCTCCAGGTGACGGAGTAATCACCTGTTCACGGACATACGATGTAGGAGAATCTAGAACTATAACAGGCTGCGGTGAGCTCTCAAAATCATTTTCTGTAGGAGCCTGTCCTTGGCGCGTATATGTGGTTTGTTCGACAAGGTCCGATGTTGTATGAAGACATCGTTTCTAACTACGTCAGTCTGTCCTTCAGATTACGACTTTTTCATGGAAGCTGCACCTTTTTCTGCCGACATGGCGTACATGCTCGACGTGAGTGCTCTCGTTTTATATTTCTGCCATCCCGGCCAATCAGGAATTTCAGCTCCATTGGCTAGTTAGTACGTTTATTTGCGTTCGAATGCAAGATTTGGGAAGTTGAACGAAGTGACATGACACACAAGGTTGCGGTCAATTCCCCAATGAGGCAACTTTGTTCCGCAAAATTAATACCTCAGGCATAAAGGCTAGCCAAAATTGGAGCGGTGTTTATATGGCCTGCCCATACCTAATTGGGAATGTCCGCACATCCCCAGTAACCCAATCAAGAAGACTCCACGTTTTCTCATAACTTTAAGTTTAGAATGTTGCTTTGGTTTTCTCCTCTATATAACTTTGTAAAATCCAGACTGAAAGATGTATATACAATAACTACAAGCCAAGCTAAACCTCAAATCACCGTACACACCTGCTGTTTATATAAACTTGAAGGACAGAATAACTCCTCATAATTCCCAGGTAGATAGGCCTTCTGGATTAATAGGGATCATAAATCTGGTCGTTTTGATTTTGTTTCATACGAATATCATACCAGATATTTTACAAAGAGCAATACCCTCAGAAAATAAGGTCGTTATCCCAAGCTGGACACGATCCACCTTAATTTAGCAGCATCAAAAGCCTGACCAAACACATTCCGAATTCCCACCGAATCTGTCATCACGCTTATCTTCTGAAACCCTTTGTTTGCATACTTTCTCACTTGCTCCCCAGTGTCACAATAGATACCAGTAGGCTTCGCAGCAGCCTTCGCAGCAGCCTTCGCAGCAGCCTTCGCAGCCTCGTGAACTTTCTGAATAGCCAGAACAAGCTTCTGATACATCCGCGCAGAATGGTTAATAGGATGCCCAGTACTAACACCAAGACTAAATGGCCCAATAAAAAGAACACCAACACCTGACACAGCCGCAATCTCCTTTACATTCTCAAGACCAGTCTTGATTTCAATCTGCACAGCAATAACAAGCGAACTATTCGCTTGTTCTAAGTATTCCACACCCGTCAACTCTATCACCCCCCTCTCCATGTGGGTGCTGCTCAACGAACTTCTCCACCACTAGACCGCTCTCATACCCAAGTGTACCAATAAAGGGGTACTAGGAATATCGAACGATTTTTCTCTCATCCTCAGCGGAGTTTATAGATGGTACTAAGATTCCGTGTGCGCCGGCGTCTAATGCTCGTTTAGTCATCCCAGTGCTGGCCTTCGACGACACGTACAATGGGCGAGGCTCCGTGCGCTGCTGTAGCTGCGACTATCCGGGAAGCATTTGCCAGGCTCCCAAGTAGGGGTCGCCCTTACTGAGAGTTTCCTGAAGGCGATTTGCAGCTTGCATTGTGAAGTAGACGGTATCACAATCAATGTCGGAAGCGATGAAAAAAGTGAAAGAAAATGATAGTCCGTACGACCTTTATAGAGGGCAACACTTTATAAGGCAGTTCTAAATATGGGCACTCATTTTACCTGCTACTCCAAGTGCAAACCCCGGCAAATGACCAGATAGGCTATAGACGAAATACGTGGTCTTTGTGTGACCTAGATGGTTTAGGGCTGCAGATGCTCGAAATCGTCGGATTCTTGTAGTTGATCGCCGCATATCCTATTCCCCCTCCCGATGATCCCGAGCTTCCCCGCACCGGTCACTCGGGAATTTCGGGTTCCCCTAAGGTTCTCGTTCCGATGCTTGATTTTACCCAAACATGTTAAGCGCTTATCTGGCCTTCCATTACAAGTACTGCTTTGGGGAGGATGTACATGGTACTGGTGCTAATGTAGCTAGCTCAGACCGAGTGCATCTACACACCTAAAGGACGTTAGGCAAAACAGAGAGAGTGCAATGCTTGACTGATAGCACATATCATGTACTAAATAGAGTATCTTCCATAGCCAGCCGAGGATAGATCCCCCGTCTCTTTGATCCAGTCTATTGACGTGCACCTTAACTACATCTTCAGTTCAACAGCTGTTCGGGCCCTCCTTTTGCTTAGAGGTCTTTTTGCATCCCACCATCTCAATGATCTCCTCCCAAAACCCGCTCGGGGGCGATACTAACCCAGCCTCATATGTATCGATCATAGGACGTTCCCAAACCAAGTCTGCCTCTAACGAACCGGTGACCTTAGTGCACTTGAAGATCTTCCAGTATAGGTAGAGCAAGGGAGCTAAAATGACCATCGTGTAGTGAGTGAAGAAATTGGAGATGTCCCACGGAACGAAACTAGAATAACCATAGAAAATAACGATCAAACATTCCCCAAGTAGTCCAATCCATGCGCTGTAGGGCTGGAACCATCCGAAATAGGGAAAGCTTTTGCGATCAACGCCCTGTGCTTGGCAAGCTCGGTAGAAAAATATGTAGGTGATGCATATGACAATGTAATCAATGATACCGCCAGCGGTGATAAGATTGGTTAGCCAGGTAAGTACCTGGGAAGATCCACTGCCAAGTTGAAGAAGAGACAGAAGAGGGAAACATATGACGACGAAAACGCAATATATCGGGACGCCTTCCTTGGTACATTTCTGTAGGAACCTAGGGGCTCTACCGTCTATCGAGAGGCCGTATAGACTCCGACTTGCGCAATACATATAAGTATTCCCCGCTGAGAAGATAGTGGTCACGATAAGGGCATTGGTTAGATGGGGTAATCCATCAATCTTCATGTTTTGCATTGCGAGGATGAATGGGGAGGCGGCTTCAGTGCCACGTCCGGCATTGTCGAGGAAAATAGAGACGAGTGTTGGGTCATTGTAGGCAACCAGGACACCAACGCTAATAGCGGCCAGTATGTAGAAAAAGAAAAATCGCCAGTATATAACCTTGAATGCGGTCTTTACATAGGTTCGGGGGTGTTTCGCCTCAGCTGCTAGTAGGTTGACGAATTCCGGTCCCGCAATGGTAAAGCTGGCAGTCCATAGCGCAGCAAGTACTCCCTCGAGCCGACCCAGGTTTCCGGTATGAAGGTATTCAACCATGGGTCCTGGATCACGCCAGTATCGAAATCCATAGACATCTCGCTGTGGGTTACCGCCGACCATGGTGATGAATGTGAATGAGAAGAGCATAGTGATCAAGATGACTTTGCCACCGGAACCCCAAAACTCGGCTTCTCCATACACTTTCACCGCAAAGATACTCAACGTACTAGGAATGATGATCAGTTGAAATGTTTGGTTGTTAAGATGTGAGACGTCAGGATAGATTGAGCATGGTCTTACGCATAAGCGGCAATACACGCACCACATACAGCACCTGTTGGGATATCGTCTCGCCAGAAGGACAGCACCATATTAATTGCGGTAATCTCGAATGGAATTGACAGTGCTTCACAAAGAAAAAAGTTCCATCCGGCCATAAATGCGAGAGCATCATCGACCCATTTGCCGGCCATTCGGATAAACCCACCTGGAACAGGATACAAAGTAGTCATCTCAGCGAGACTATTATTGACAAAGATAAGTATGACCGAGTATATCGAGTAGCCGAGAAGCAATCCTAGAGGCCCGCTCTTTGCAAGGCCATCACCGATGGTAATGAATAGACCTGTTCCGATAGAACCACCCACGGCCATGACCTGAATCTGGCGATTACCGAGCCGGCGCTGCAGCTGGTCAGTACCGTTGACTATGCCCCCTGGTTTCGTGAAATCCGAGGAACCACAGCTGTGGCTGGTATCAAGGATGCCATCAACGCTTATTGAGTGTTCCTTTTCTGTCATCATTCTAATATAGGGCAAAGTAGGAAAGTAGCAGCCATGAGGGACTGGAAAACTAAGCCTTTATATGAAAGAAAAGTACAAAAATTCTTTTGGCTTTAATGGGAATAATCATGCTGCCTAAATCCCGCATTCCTGAGCCTACGGTCTCTCCTCGAATCTGCTATTCAGAGTTTCCATATCATTGCGATGGCTTGGCCGGTCTCTATAGAACACTGTTTTGATAGGTTTTGCCAACGCAAGGGGGTGGCAATGTTTTAGATCGCTATGCCACCACAGTGCCATTCGTCAGGTTTAATTCAGGTACGAGTGTGGCTTGTATGCCTCGGCTCCATTTGGTGGTTCTAGACCCTTTTCTTCTAGGGTTATCCACTGTGTAAAACGTCGTCGACATTTAACAACGATCGTTCCTCCAAGCGATAACAGTCTTCAAAATCGTCGAGAACCCGAGGAACCCGAGGATTCTGGGATAAACCGATGCGTCTAAAGCATGAGCGGCGGGGATTAAGAATTTCCCTTGGTCATCCTGTGAGCGTGGAGGTGATGTAAAAGCTCGTCGGGAGCGTTATCCGGCTTTGGTGCATGGTAATCACACCCGAACGGCCATCCATCTCGTCTCAGGCTTCGGATGAATCCTAAACTATGGTATAAAAATGACCCGTTACCCCAGGATTTCCATTGCTGATTCAAAATACCCGTTTGAATCAGTTGAGTATCTCATTGACGCAATAACATCACTCAGAAACGATGTCCACTACAACAGTAACGTCCACCACGGCGCCACCAACCGTTGTTGGGCCTTCGACATTCAGGGCAACACGCCCTACCAATAAACTACCTCAATATTTCATTGATGAAGTCCAAGACGCGGCCAAGCAATGCTTCGACCCAAAGAAGCATCTGAACTACCACCCCCCCCGGCCAAGAGCTACACTATGAAAGATATTGGCCTTGAAGGCCAGGGGATATCCCCCACTGCAGTCACTACTCCATTTCAGCTATTTACTGAAGAAGCTATTGGACGGATGAGAGCGGAGATATTCAGTTAGCCAGTACTGGAGGACTGTCAGTACGTGTCTACTTTTGTGAAGAGCACGATCAGAGGAATGGGTCCTGCGTAAGTAGGCAGTATTTCCCGTTAAACCTTGCCACCTCCTGACGTTGGCAGACGGGCACCATTCACATGCGATGCCTGGAATTCTCCAGAAGTTCTGGAAAAATTTCAGAGGTAGATGGTAACGAGCTTATCCCTGGAATGAACTATGAGATATGCCGCCATCAATGTCTCAGTCGATAATCACACTACAGGGCTAGTCAAGGAAAGCGAGTCTAATGATGATAATTTGCCTGCTTTTGCATGGCACCGAGATAGTTACCCATTTGTGTGCGTGACAATGCTGTCTGATTGCAGCGGTATGACCGGAGGAGAGACTGCATTGAAAACTGCGACGGGCGAAATCATGAAAGTTCGCGGACCTGCTATGGTATGTCGTCTCTAATATGAAAATATTTCGCTATCTTGACTTGCTAACGTATAACAGGGTACTGCTGTCGTCATGCAGGGTAGGTATATTGAGCATCAAGCATTGAAGGCATTTGGAGGTCGCGAACGAATTAGTATGGTCAACTCTTTCCGAGCCAAATTGTCACTTGTTAGGGATGTGACGGTCCTTACTGGTGTTCGTTCGACCAGCAATTTGTCTGAACTTTATACAGAATATTCAGAGTACAGGTTGAAGGCCCTCAAGGAGCGGGTTTGGGCTCGGCTGGAGAAGGAACGGCAACGGCAACTGACAAGGCGTCCCTTCAACATCGATGACATGAAGGTATTTTTAACTGAATAGAGCGAGTTCTTGCAGTCTACGGTTGCGGAACTCATTGAGTAGTGTTTGGCTCCTTTGACCACATTCCAACGTCCTTATGTGCAGCTTTTACAAGTTAGCCAGGACCCCTCGCTTAATTAGTTTGGTTTTCTACATCAAATAATTTCGATCCATGACCAAAGTCCATTTAGTAATTTGTTTGCTTTTTTCACCCTCCATCCCGCAAGGCAGAGAACCCATGTACCGATGTAAATACACCTATTTGGCATAGGAAGAAAACCACCTCACCATACGAAGACAGACCTAAAAATACTATATACTAAAGATACTATAACTCTTGAGATTGCCAATTCAAATCGGAGTGATACAAGGCTTGTAATGGACAAAGCGTTGGATTTGTTCATAGAATGCAGTGACCCTAGCAATGATTGGCGCGGACCGTTTCTAGAAATGACAAGATCCATCCTACATACACTAGCCGGACATGCCCAAGAAGTGGAGAAAATCATTCATGTCCGATTCTGGAATTCCGTTGATGCCATTCCCAAAGGCAGGCGGCACATCACGTTACTATACCACCAGGTATGGAGAAATTATTAATAAGGAGTTTACACAAACGCAGCAGCTCATGGGACCGCAGTGCAGTGTGTTATTGTCGCCACGCGTCCTGTCCTTCTTTCCGCCCTTATGGAGCGATTAGAGAACCTTGCCCACGAGAGAGAATACTGGCGGGCATTTCTAGCCTTCACGAAAACCTTGATATCTAGTGGGATCAAATCAGCGGTCAAGTCTCTGCAAATATTATCCAACGATGATAATCTTCTTGGTAAGTCACCTAACGCGAACCCCCTATTACCCTGGAACAGGGATTGACAATCCCACACTAGAGATGTTCCTACCATATGACCTCGAATTCACATACGCAGCCGCCCTACATCTCGCAATGGCTAATGCTCTCTTCCCACAGATCCTCCATGGCCAAGTATATAGCAAAGAAGCCCATTCCATCCTGGAAGAAATGATCGCGAATGGAAACAAAATAGCCGAGGTACGGCAGACGGAGCTGGCTCATTTCGAAGGCCTGTTCGAGGAGCTTGCTGCGCGAGAGGAGTCCCAAGGGCTGCAGCCTCTCACGTTGTCCAGTCCAACTACGCCTGAGATGAGGCCGGCCCTCGAGGCTTGGGACTCTTCTTCCTCGATGACTCCAACGATCCTTGCGTAGCATTCTGCAATGCACATGCAAACTACTCCGAGGAACACTGCGTTCTGGATGACGCAGAAGAACCGTTGGGGGCACTGGGGACAGTCTAGAACGGATGTGGCTCTTGTGATGGATGAACGTAGAAGAATGAGGTCGTCGGGGGCTCTCCATTGTGTTTTTACTTGGAGCTGCTCTAGTATCAGGTATAATACGGAAATGCAAGCGCACCGATCACCGTCAGGTTGGCCGGCAAGTGTGGAGGAAAGTTGTGGTGTTGTGACTTCAAGAGGGCTAGGGATGCTGAGCGGGCGTCAGCTGCTTTCCACGATGAAAGGTGGCGCAGAACAATCCAATAGCTTACAATTGGCTCCCAATATCCGTAACTCGAGTGGGAAGGTCCTGGGGAAGTGTCGAGGCTGTAGTCGAGTCGACTACTGGCTCTACATCTCGTTCCCCAGCCTCTATATCAGTCCTCAAGTGTTGGTTTGCTGGAGGTGTTGGGCACAGAAGTCGCGCGGACCGATAGGATTGACTCTTCTGTACAACAGTGTGTCGCGACCGCGGACGACCCATCGGCATTCGTTGCGAGTAAACACATCCTTTGCTTGACGAATTACATCGGGAGCAAGTTGGCCGCGCTCCATCACATCGCACTTTCTTCTTCCCTAGAAAATGACCATAAGTGTCGCGGACACGGGAGTGAGGGCCAGGAACATACTGCAGGCATCACGGGATATTCTTATCGAGAGTTTTGCAGTGGCCGAGTGTGGTTGACTATCACTATTAGAGGACGATGAATCCATGGTGAACCGGTGATTGAAGGGGAGTCAGGACTTGGGGCACATTGAAGTGGAAGTCTCCGCGGGAAGAATGTAAAAATGTCCTGACCGGGACATTCCATACTCCATATATGCCTGACACTGGCCGATTGGGTCAGAGCCTCTGGAACTTGGTCCACTTTTGCAGCTGTGCATCGATCATGATCTCCGCTTGGCTCGGGATGGAGACTTTTGTCCAATCAGAAACTATCATCTCCAAAGCCCGATGTCATGGCTCGTCTACTGCATCCATAATCCTACACTTCTCGCGAGGGTCAACCCGCCATGCCCAAAGACGGTATCACTCTTAGCCAGCAGGTGGGAGTTGAACCACTGGACTCGGGACGCTATATTTCGCCGGTGAATCCCATTCGGTTGGGGAGTCTATCGCCCAATGGCTTTGGGGGCAGCTGTCTGACTGTAGCAGTCAGTGCAGCATACCATGCCACTTGCAACTCCTTCCATCTGTATTCCATCGCCAGCCATTCCCTCTGGCCTAGGAAACCTGATCGTGAACTTGTCGGTCATGTGGAGAATACCAGAAGATCCCGAAGCTTTGAGACGAGCATAATCCTGATGACACGAAAGGGAGATTATGGACCCTCTAAGCTTTGTCTCATTGCCATTGCGGACTTCCACATCGAGGCACCCAGGTCAATGGTAATGTATTCCAGGGCCCCGAGGATACCAATACGACCCTGTATCTCGGAAAACCAACGGTCGGCGACAGCCGCACAGCAAGTGGGTGGCACGTAATCGCCATCTATATAGAAATATCAAGGGCTTTTGGAGATGGAGCCCATTACCAGAAATACGCCAAATCTAGGACCAGGGACCAGCCAGGCATGCACTGGAAGAGCACACCAGGCACCAGTTCAGGTCGAAGCGGAAAGGTTTCGTGTCTGCGATCAGCTCAGTGGCGAAGCAGACCAAGTCTCGGCTCTTGCGTTCTACATGGATAAGGGCCTCGCATACATCCCCGCGTTCCATTGTGGACACCGAAGATCTGACGCTGGCGCCTGTGCGAGCTTGGATTTCTCTTTGCAGCTCTTTACTCGTAAGTTCACCCTGCACGATTGGAACATCTCAGAGCAGAAAACGATAGTCGCAACAATACAAGGGCATATAGCGAAGGGCGGGTGTGGGGTGAAAACGGTTGTATGCTCGCTTGTATGACCCAACAGACGACCTTGCGCCCTGCCCCCGGACGTGATGGCATATCTTCGTCGCCTGGAGTAGCCTGTATGCATGCGTTCCAATGTCGAAGGAGTGATGCCGCAAATCGGAATACTGATTTTCAGAGACACCGGTAAATACATATAGCTCGTGGAAAATGGCTCTTGAGGGTTGGTCCGGTTCACTCCATCAGGTAGTGGAGCTGGACTATGCAGGATAAATATATGTCTCTTTCTATGACCACATCTTCCTCCACACACAACTAACAACCCATCCCGCTGAGATACCGAGTCAACATCTCGGGTCGCTGTCCCCCGCTTATCCTAATAGTTTAGGTACTTGAACCTCCCTTACATTCACAGCAACCGTCGACAATATGAATATCTCCAACAAACATACATCCTCCCAACGCAATCCGAGTCCGGGTATAGAAACAATAAAAGTCAAAATTATGAGAGCGCAAAAAGAAGCACAATGCCGAGGATCACCAGCCCGAAAACAACCAGCGAAACAACGCCGCCCCCGCCTTGTCGACGCGGCGGAGGAATCCCTCTCGGCGAAGAAGGGTCGAGAGGAAAGGCGAAGGTACTGTAGTTTTGCGATTCAAGATCTGGAGGTGGTCTAGAATTTGTTGGTGGGAATATCGCCCCATATTTCACGGGTCTGGGGGATCCTATTTCCTGGGGTTTCTGATGGTGGTTTAGGTTTATGTTTAATATGATGTGGGGAAGGGCCAAGACCTACCAAGGTAGAAGGAGGAGCGTCCGCCATAATGTCCGGAATGGGGGATGATCTTCTATAGTCCTCCTCTTACGAGCTGGGGTTATCCTGAGCGTTTAGTAGTCGTTCCCCTCGGTTTCTTGCTCCTGTTGTCGCACTAAATCGTGGTCATGTGGGGGATGCCACGTGGGTGATTGTCGGTCATCTGAAATGCAAGGCGGAGGGAAATGACCTCCAGGCCAAGAGTGTGGGGATGGGAATACTCGCCGATGTGGCATCTGTCCTTCCAATGAATGAATGACCATTAACCAGACCCCGGGGTAGTAGCTGCAAGTACAAATCAAACCTTTCGGGGCCTTCTCAATGAGTCAAGTTTGCTGGTAAACAGGTTGACGGGGCGACATCCAAGCTAATTAAAGACAGAAGAATGACCTACAGAGTGGCAGGTGGATGTGATATTACTTAGTTGTGGAAGTACTCACCATGCGAGCTTAGTTGGTTTGCATCTGGCAGTGTAGAGTATCTTTTATTCCATCACTATCCAACACCTAGTTGACACTTGGCTGCACTCATAGATCGACGCACGGTAGACAGGATATATTGCGCCAAGCTCTGTGCACATGCAGGACCTATTGAAGAAATGTCTCTACTTTACGTTTAGTAGCAGCTCGTACCCCTCTGTGAGTGGCGTCTTCATCAGGATGCTCAGCGTAGAAGCGCCGGTGTTCATCAAGATTGATTTTACTTGCTCCAATCCATAGAGGGCAGCGGTACAATAGCTGAACAACAACCCAGATTATAGAGACTGCAATCATGCTGAGGTGTTTTGCGAAGAAGTTTTTCGCTGATGTTTCCTTGCCCAGAGACTTGATGCTCAAATATAGCTCGAGGATGATAAGAGCAAGGCAACACCTCAAGCCCCACCACTGAGCGTATGGTGTATGTCTCGACTTCTAAGGCAAATCGACATCGGGCTGGCCTTGTAGCTTCCAGCCTTGCGTAAGCGAAGATTGCAGAGGTAGATCATACCCCAGCCAACCAGCCGCAACAGTGAGACTAGGTAGGAAACCCGGTGAACACATCCGCACCTGTGCTCCAAACACTGATATATTGAAGGCCACCCCAAGACTGATGGTCACGAAGTAGGGCCGCCCAAGGATGACCCGTGCGAACTACACTGCTGGAGATCTGCAATAAAGATTTAGAAGGTGAATATTACGCACATGGTAAATGATAGACTTCCGCGGGTTACCATATGTAGATGCGACAGTCCCACCAGTGTTCGTGGCCACCATAAGCAGTAATACTTCCAGCTGATATAGCAGAGATAAAGACAACGGCATTTCTCACATGGTCCATGGCAGGAATACCTGCGTTCTTATAAGTGATGACAAAGGGAGATCGTCGCTTCCTTCTTGACCGAAGAGATTAGGGACATGGGGAGATACAACCAGTGACACCATCAGACTTCCGAGAATGTAAAACACACCCATGCAAAGTCGAACTGAAGTTATAGCCTTGGGCATTGAACGACGGGGGTTCGCAACCTCATGGGCTACAGAGGCAGCGCTCTCTGTACCCGCCATAGCAAACACGCAGGTCGGCAAGACGACAAGAAATCCTTTAAACCCATTCGTAAATGGAGTTTCATTCCAGTAGTGAAAGCCAATGGCGTCACCTCTCGGTGCCCCTCCACCGGTGATGACTCTGATTTGTTAGTTTTCTGACAGTGCAAATTCTTCGGGGTGTCACTCAGCATTTCGGAAACATTCTAGGCCAGCTTGAGCTTTTCAGGCAAGATGAGATGGACCTAATACTAATACTTACGATGGTCCAAAGGAGCAAAGTTCTGGGGGAGTTAGGGAGTTAGCTATCGCAACAACCAGAATCTAGTATTCAAAAAGGAGGCTGACTATGTTTGATTGACACTGCAATCAACTCCATGAATCAGAGTAAGTAGCTGTCATAAGTCCCCTGCCGACCGGGACACACGTTGTTCAACTATTTAACATGCCGATACCACACTGCCGCATAACCTATTAACATACCAACACAAATCCATTTGTGCTAGGTGAAATGATTGGGGGAACTTCCTTATTTCCTGTGATAGGACTACGCTCTGGTATCCAGAATAGGGCTCCACCGATCACGCCATGTTTTCCCCAAGACTAAAGCGATGATCATCGCTTATCGATGGCTATTGCGTCAGGCTGCAGATCCGAGCCTTAAGTAGGGTACGGAATGTTGTGAGGGGTACGTGGTCCTTTGCGAAATGTTTGGATTTTATATTCATCATTCTCCGTCCATATTTGAACAATAAAGCGTTGTGGTTTTACCCGTATATGTGAACCGACATTCTGTCATACTTGGGCTTTCCTATACATTTTGTATTGCAGTGGGGTTCGCTGCTCGATTTTGAGAGCGACCTGCCCGTTGTTTGAATAATGGAAAGGGAACCCGACGTACAGAGAGACAGGGTGAGTTCGGGCCAACACTTCTAAGCACGTTGATGCTAGGAAAATAACTAGAACGAGACTTTTGGATATACGCTAATCATCGCCGCACAAAAATAGCCCGACGAAATAGGAATGAGGGTTGAAACCCGAACGTCCGCAGCTTCTCCGCCAGGCCAACCCCATAGATCCAAGGCTGACCGGGGGCCGACCACATCTCCCAGAAGAAGGCCCACAAGCATCGATGAGTCCAGAAGGACTGGTCCTGCGGTGCGACGACGCAGTTGGGCAGTCTCCCGACGAAGCGAAAGCGGCGCGCCCAGCCATGCCCGCCAGACATCGCTAACCGACCAGATGTTCATGGTCGCTGGCCCTGATGAGTCAGCCCAGTTGCGGCTAGCTCATGAGCCCTTTGTCCAGCCGGGTTATGCAGACCTAAACCCCTCCTATGAGCAGCCTACTAATGCCAAACCGGTGTGGAGCTTGGCTAAGCCTTTACCGCGGGTGGTGCGGCCGGGCATGGTACCTACCAAAGAGGAGCTGTTACAACGTCGTGCGAAAGCGCAGCGACCGGTAGAACACTCACAAAGGCTCGGACTAGATGTAGACCCGAATGAGCTTGAAAAAGGACGTATTCGAACGTCTGTTGATCCACGAAAGATAGCGGCTCAGGTTGAGGATGCTAGGGTGCAGCGCGAGACTAACCTTATGAATAAGGTTCTTAGTGGTGATACGAGCTCATTTGGTGGTGCTTCCCGGATGTTGAGCCCTTCCTCTGGTCGTATAAAGCGCGCGTCTACGTGGGCGGTGCCTCAAGACCAGCTGTCGACTGTCGAGGAGAGCGAACCGCAGACTGAAATTGATGATCAGGATACGCCGCAGCATCCAATTGATGATCCCCTGGCGTCTCCTCCAAGTGAGAGGGACCCGCTGCTAGGCGACGAAGCTAACGAGTCGGTGCATATACCTCTTTTTGACGAGAAGGCTTGCCCAGACGATCTAGACCCCCTTGTTCAGGATCTCGTGGTAGAAGAGGTGCACAACAACCACACTACCTGGTCCGTGATCCGTACCAACCATCGCGAAGCACTCGCTGAGTCCCTCGCAGTCTTCGTTCAACTGACTATCGGTTTCTGTGCCGATCTCGCCGTCACGCTGGCCAACGCAGGGAACCCTAATACCACCGCCTGGGCCTGGGGCCTGGCAACGATGATGGCCATCCACGTATCCGGTGGGGTGTCCGGTGCACACCTTAATCCAGCAATCACAGTCGTACTCTGGTTCTACCGCGGGTTTCCCAATCGCAAACTACCTAGTTACTTCGCAGCGCAGTTCATCGGGGCATTCTTCGCCGCACTTGTCGCATACGGCATCTACTACCCGTCCATTCAATATTATCTCAGTATCAATGGAGACAGGGATATATCCAACAGCTTCATCACCGGTCCACAGGCACTATGGGTTCATCCTATAGCCGCATTCTTCAACGAATTCGTCGGAGCCGCCATCCTAGCCATCACAATCTTGGCCCTAGGTGACGACCAGAACGCCCCGTCCGGCGCCGGAATGAATTCCTTCGTTGTGGGACTGGTCATCACCTGTTTTGGCCTTACATTCTCCTACCAAACAGGCGGAGCACTAAGTCCAAGTCGCGATTTCGGTCCGCGACTAGCCCTGTTAGCTCTAGGTTATGGGCGGAGGCTATTTGCAGATTCATACTGGATTTATGGTCCGTGGGTAGGTGCCATCAGTGGCGCTTTTACGGGCGCCTTCTTATATGATTTCATGGTTTTCACGGGAGGGGAATCCCCGGTTAATTACCCGGTTGAGAGGACCCAGCGGGCTGTGAGGAAGAGTCGGATAAGGTGGGCTCACAGACTGCATATTGGCCGTGGGTAGACTTTGGCTTCCATAGACAAGAAAGGCATATCTATCTTTTCATTCCAAACCAAACCTCGTACCTCTAAAGTGCTACAACATAAACCCATCCAAGTACAAAAACCACCAAACCAACAGAAAGGTAAAATACAATCTTCCTCACCCCCCCCCCCCCACCTCTCCCCCCAACCTTCTCCAAACCCATAAAAAAGAATCTACTTCCGATACCATATCCTCGTAACCCTCGTCCTGCGCATCTTTTTCTGCAGCTGAAAATTCCCTTACAAAAACGCCCCCGGCGTCGGCGGACACACCGGAATATACACATCAACCGGCAAAATCTGATCAACCCCGCTAACAACACTCTAACTATAATGATAATACCCGCCCCCATTCGCACAGCTCCCCATACTAATCGCCCACCTTGGGTCCGGCATCTGATCGTAACATTGGAGCAGCGCGGGCCCCATTTTATTGGTGACCGTGCCGGCGACGACCATTACGTCGGATTGGCGGGGGGAAGCCTGGAAGATGATTCCTAGCCGGTCTTGGTCGTAGTGGGGCATGGAGACTTGCATCATTTCGACGGCGCAGCAGGCGAGGCCGAAGCTTAGGGGCCAGAAGGAGGATTGGCGGGCCCAGCTTACTAGTTGGTCTAAGGTTGTGCTGGGGTTTTTGGTTAAGGAGATTGGATGGGAGAAGGGAGGGGACTTACAGGACGTGTTCGGCTTTGTTGGAGGGAGTTAGTTGTATTGGGAAGATGGAGGTAGAGGTTGGGAAGGACTTTCCGAGGGCTGTCCGAGCTTCTGGGGCTTTGGATTCTTTGGGGCTTTTTTGGTAGTGGGTTTTATGGATTGTTGTTGTGAAGGGGAGGGGAGGGTGGATAGTAGGCCTAGGAGAGTTAGCAGTCTTTTCCTGAAGACAACAAGGGGATATGAGATATTGTGTCTCAATTACCTATCACGGGTTAGACGTGCGCGCTTTATAGTGGTCATGTTGGCTGTTTGATATAGCCTTATCTCAAGATCCTGGACAGAAACAATTGAAAAGATGAAATGTAATATGTGGGCTAATGACTCCAGGTACAACTCTAGGAACGATATCTGCGACGAGCATGGTCGAAGGAACTTTGTCAGGGGAGTATATCATATAACGTACAGGTGGGTTTTCCCCGACGCCCTATTGCCACAGTGGGAATAGACCTTATCTCGTATATTGCATGTGTGCAATGCCCCTGATTTTGCACAAAGGTCGGCATTTCTTGCAAAAGACAAAGAAGTAAAATAGAAGGATTAAAATGAACTTGAACGAGAGGCTCACAAGCAAAAAGGCAAAGAAATATTTGCCGGCATGCATGAGTTGATAACTGGACTGGCGATGCGGGAATTGCCACCAAGCGTATTCTACCAACAGCCACTGCGACGGCATGAAGCAACGCGTATGAGCATAGTACTCTGCAGACACGTGGTACAGTGAATTTACCAAATGGCATAGATGTATCGATTGATTTTTCCGTTTTGTGATCGAACTTATACACGATGGTGAGACTGCCACAAGCCCAAGGGCTAATACCTTCCCCTGCTTATCTGACAGACGTAAAGAGATGTTCTCCGCCGTCACTTTCGAACGTGCAAGCAGGGAGGTGACAGGCCAATACCATTTGATCAACAACGTAGGAGGAAATGGAAGGCTTGCGACGCTTGCGCTGCGAGCCGTGCTCGGTGCGATGGAGAACCTCCATGCAAGACATGCCTTCAGAGAGGGCTGGAGTGCTCATACAGCCAGATTTTTAGAGCCAGGCAGGGGGCGCCTAGTCCCCAATCCACTGCACAAGAGTCACAACCAGTGTCAAGTGCTCAGAAGATCCCTGTTCAATTTCTTCTCAATTATACCGACCAGACGACCAAGAGCGTGCATGGACGTCAACACATGCTTGCAGGTATCACCAAAGAAGAGCTAGGTGTTTCTGGGTGCGTGGGAGATTCTGAACTGTCCTTCCTCAATACCTCCGGGAGTAATGGGTTGGTTTATTCCATCTATTTATCAATACAGCCGCGTTTGACAGGCCATGCCACGATCAGCGTCTCATGTACGGGATGGATGATACAGACGCTTTGCAGACGACAATATCCCAAATTCTCGCTCTATTAAAGCAGACATCAGCCTCACAAGTGTTCGATGAAGTCAATTTCAGCGTGGAAGAGGCAGAACGCTTCTTCGCGCCGAGCCATCTCGCTACGGTGATCAATGCATTCGACTCTCATGATTGCATCCTACTTCAGGCTCACTGAAATTGTAAAGGAGTTGCTGGAAGCCGAAAGGGCTCTTGTTGATTCCGTGGACGGCGGCCACGAGCCGTCGTCGCTACCTTGGACTGCAGAGAAATGAGTATACGATACTGTGACGCTGCTGCTGAAAGGCGTGAGGTGTTCCTTTATCAGGATGCACCTCCTGTTTGGTAAAAGAGCCGAAGTCAACTTACTGGCCGTATACATGCGCTCACCGCTAACGTATGCAGCCTGGAACGGGCATGTGGCCGTTGTGAGGCTTCTCCTGAGCGGACGAGGTTGGAGATACTCCACTCCTTTATGCCACCTACAGTGGAAATAAGGCTGTAGTTAACTTCCTGCTCGCAAAGGGAGCTAAGGCTCACTCGGGAGAAAGTATTATCAAAGCGTTATGCACGACCGCAAGAACGGGGGAAGAGCCAGTCATGAGGCTACTGCTTGAGAATGGCAGTGATCTTAACACAACGCAAAGTAATGGCCAGACCCTACTGTCCTAGACTACGGGCCACATATATGAAAGCGCACTCAGGTTGCTGCTTGAGAGCGGCGCTGACCTTAATATGAACTGTCACGATGGCCAAGCAGCAATGCATTTGGCTGCACGGAACTGGGCACGAAACAGTGATAAAGGCCCTCCTCGATGGAGGAGCTGACCTTACAATGCAGGATAAAGATGGCCAAACACCACTGCACTGCGCTGCAAGAAATTAGCACGAAGCAGCGACACAGAGACGAGACTCCTGATGGATAGCGGTCGCAGGACAGCAATGGCCGTACCCCATTATCATTAGCAATAGAGACGGAATACATTGGCCAGTCGTAGGGCTATTCGCGAATAGGCCCCATGAGCTTGGTTCTCATTCTAGGTCTTGACTACATGAGTATGTTCAGCTGGCTAGTATCTTTGATGGATTTCTTTGCCATGTAGTTAATTTACTATATCGACGCGCACAACGGTATCAATCTCAATACCCCCAATAGCCGGATCTGCCCCTTCAGTCGGTTCAACACTTTGGACGCAAAGCATAAGACCAGACAGGTAAGAGCCGCAACTGTTTCGGAAACCCTGTTTGCTCCTCTGACAGAATCAAGTGCATTCCGGCCTGCTTGAATAGCTTTCGTAATTTTTCGTCTGTCCGTGTCACACTACTCTCCGAATCATCGTAGATATCCCCCTCGGGCTCTTCTGAGACATTCTCTTTAATCACCATAACCCCCGTGTCCGTTAGTGCACCCCGACACCGTACCAGATACTCGACCAATTGCGCATCCGTCAGATACACAACACTCCATTGCGCCCAGATGAGATCATACTCCTTGACCCCGGGGACCCAATCCTCGATACCCATAGTGAGCACCTTCCCGAGGACACAATTCCTCGTGAGCTGCCGTTCACTTAGGACCCGGGAGAACTTCTCCACCGGCTCTACAGCGTCTACCACTTCGCAGACCTGGCCGAGAAAGTCATTGATAACACGTCCAATGCCAGCCCCGCAGTCGACTCCGCGCTTGAGTCTCCCGGTGGCCGGACATCCAGGCACCAGCCGGCGAGCCTTTGATAGAAACTTCTTGGATCCCTGAAGATCAGTGCGCGAGACCTGAGCGTATCCGCCGAGCATGCCGTTCACTGTGGCGGGTTTGTCGCTCCAATATTTGACGGCAATGCTTTGGTCTATTTGGGCGTCGGCTGGTGCATTTGGTGGTACACTGTCGCTTTGTGTGAAATTAACGGGTTCGGTAGACATGGTTGGTGAATTTAGAAGAGAGGTTGATTCCCGATGTTTCGGGCATGGATGGTGGTGTTTGCTTGCTTTATTTTCCAGGCGGAGGGAACCTGGCTTAAGTAATCGTGCAGCTGAGATCCACATTTTGGATCTGCCTTGCATTATTGCAGCATTGCGGACATTGGGCGCTTTCGATTCATAGAATCATGTCACGGTCATTCCATAACTTGTTGATACCCTTTTATACCCAGTGAAGAGAATGTACTTGGATTAATCCTGAACATGGAACGTCGAATTGAATACGATTCTCTGTTTGGTTGACGTTGAGCAAGGGTCAGCTCATGTGGGGGGCGCCTTTCCGGAAGCAGTATTTAGCTTGGAAGGGTCCCCCGTTTAGGTTTGATAGAGAGCGCAATCCAGAACTCACTTGATCAGGTGTCTACTGTGGGGTGTCTAGAACCGATGTTATGTAGTGTGCTTGCTTATTATAGGTAGAGTATCATGTCTATTTAGAGGATCGTTGCGAAGATTGATTTTGGAGCCTACGATGAGAAAGATATATGTATAGCCAACATGACTGCCGCAAACAATCCGAAAACCCGCTCTAGTAGTCCTCCGCATAAATATGTTTTAGAAACTCGCTAAGATCTGGTACATTTAGGGGTTTCTTCCCCCCCCCCCTCCACAATCAGATCAATCTCTAATCGGTAGTTGTTATGCCGTTGCCCATAACTAATCTAGCTATATCACCCTAGCATGCTCTACACGACCAGATTGAAAGAATGAGTGGTTTATTGAATTAGATTAGAAGCGTGAAAGGATATATTCCAAGAGTATCGTTGGTCGTCGATGCAGTGGACATCTGGTTCGGCATTTGCAGTTATATCGTCACTGATTGAGAACCTTGACAGTAATCCCAGAGGTAAGCGAGTAAACTTGCAGAAGGGTTGCTCACGCAGCAATGCAAAATGCTAACTATATACAAGGAGCTAGGCGAACTAGAAACACATGAAAAGATACATAATAGTCTTAGCACATGCCACCCACTATCCGGCATTTCCACCTTATGACAGACCTCCGGTGATCTCGGTCAACCCACACAGAGCCCTCGACACCAGGTACTCTAGTTGCCTCGGCCTAGGTTTGCAGTATCGTTCAACTTCCTTCCCGTCCTTATATAGTATCAGAGTCGGACGCTCAACTTTGGCATATTCAGATATGTCTTTGTAGCCGCTCACGTCGACTTCATAGAACGCCACGGTGTCACTATAGGCGTAGGAGGCGAGGTCATCATAGGCCCGGTCGATTTCAGATTGTCGACTCTGGAAATCGCGGAAGTTGAAGACCGCGTAGTTGGCTCCGCCTACTACATTGTAGTAGGTTTCCAAGCTAGTCATAAGTCAGTGTTATTGAAGCAGATATGGTTACATTCGCATCAGCCTTTTCTTACTCTGTCACTTTTATGGATCCCATTGTCTCTGCCATTGCTGTGAACCTTCTGTTTGAAGTTAAGATATCTGCTTTCCTAGTTGATGGGCCACAATGTGTGCGATCAACACTAGACAGGGCACTGATGGCCTTTAAGTACCTGGGTTAATATATTTGCTCTGAGGGTGGCCACACTATGCGCGACTAGTATGGCTCCATCATGACTGTGGGGGTATATTAAGCTTAATTCCTCTTACTAGCGTCAAGGGATAGCACATTGACAGAGTTGCAAATGTCGGTTCTAGCCTTGCGTACATCCATCATCATTCCCTGGCCAAGGTTTGAAATGCCTGGGCTATAGAGATAATAGAGGCGATTATAGTGCTAAGCAACCTCCATCAATGATGGTAGGCCATGGCCTTATTGAATATCTTTCAGATTCCTTGTCTAGGCATACTTGTCTAACTCAGTTGAGAAGTCATGCCATGATTACCCTATTTCCCCAGTTTTATGGGTGTACCCGCTTTTTTCTACGGAGCTGAGTGGGTGAACGGAGACGTTGGCAATGGAGCCCTCTGAAGTCTGGATCGCCCTCGTTATCTCATACTGACGAAAAGACCGTATCAGCTGTGTTTCCTTCCACTTCATGACGAGCTGACTTTCAGGTTCTGTGGTAGACAAGGCCTTTGTTGCGTGAGGAATGTAGAGTTTGCTGGGCTATGCATGCCGGGATCGTCCCCAGGTATTTCTTGGCTTGATGATTGATTCGCGGTTCCATAGCCGTTTCAGTCCAGTCTGGCCTACTATTCCTACAGAATATGCAGGGGATCGGATTCTTTTGCCTCAATTAAGAATATTACGTTTATATCGAGTCATGTGCAAAACTCAACCCTTTCCCTTCTGTATAACGCAACCTGGATGGGATGGCATGACGAATAAAACTTGTTATTGGGCTGGGTTACGACACGCCAAGGAAGCTGTTCGTTTTAGTTTACTGCCATGGTCGATTTTAATTATCATTCTCTTTTTGATGCCATACTAGTTTGAAGTGGCGCGGGAGTGAGCGTGTTCGTTTTATCGCTAAACCAAGGGACATTTACCCGAATCACCATATAGCACTTTCGCATATTGGATAGCCAATAAACACTCTCAACCTCAACACGCCACATTACAAACGTTTATGGTTTGGCCCGTACCAACCCTTATCCGCTGCCGTGCTGAGCATGAAGTTCGGCTCCTCGCCGGCCTTCTCTACATCCCATCTCCCAACTCAAACGTCTTTCCGGGCCACGAGAATATTACTGGGGCGCGATGCGCAATAGCTGTGTTAGATACTTAGCCTAAGCTTGCGGATACTCTATACGTCGCAGAAGCCGCACCGTATTGTCATGCGGCTGCTGGCGAGCCTTCTCATTCATTACCTTCCCATATAGCGCACGCGGTTGATCGTGGTCGGCTTCCTTACCCTCATAGTAGAAGTGCGATTCCCGACTGACAATGTAATCCGAGACCAGATAAGGTAGTATGGGTCGGGATTTGTTCACGAAGCTATTGGACACGTACCGTGGGTTCATCTTGTGGTTTTGCGTCGACGCAAAGCGAACAGTCAAAGCCTAGAGAGAAATATGAGAAGGGTATGGACGCTCAGATCATCAGTTCACGGGTAATTGGTGCAGGTTGATACCGGTACGGTGGTATTGGGCGTCGCGTTGAAAGAACATGCAAAATTATAGCAGTGGATCGGGGATATACTCGATTCTGGGAACTATGCTTCCTGGGAAGAATACAGCGTTAGCTATGGGATTAATATCATTGTCCAAATTGCTTTATCAATAATCTGTCGCCAAGTTTGACCCTCTTTCAAAGCTCATCCTTGCGAAGTCTATAAAAGTTATTAACCTCATAGAGTGACAGATAGTTGGATAGGTGTTATTATGTGTTTATTCTGATAATACTATCTAAGGGAGAGTATATCCTCCATCCACAACAAGGTCGGCCCCAGTGGTATAACTCGACGCATCCGAAGCTAGATATAGATAGGCACCCTTGAGCTCATGTGGTAGGCCTTCACGGCCCATCGGAATCTTATCCTTCCAGATATTTTTGGTATCGTCCGGAACAAATGTTGATATATCAGTAACGATATACCCAGGCGATATTGTGTTGGCACGCGCGAAGCGAACCCATTCTACCGCAAGTGATTTGCCTTGTCAAATTGTTAGCTGATAGATCTTGATACACAGCTCCTGTTAGACATACACAGGTGGATCACCCCGGCTTTAGCGGCATTATATGCGGCCTGGAGCTGTGGTACGTTGACAATATGGCCGCTCATCGAAGCAGTGGCGACGAAACTGCCGTAGGTGAAATTTTGCAGAGGACTGCCGAAGATATCTGTACCCTCAGTCTTTTGCCTCCTCCAATGGTATCCAGCTGCTCTCGCACAATAGAATGTGCCATCCAAATCTGTTTGAGTAACATCCGAGTAGTGCTCAACGGGCGCATCTATCATGGAACCCTGAGTCCATGGAATTCCCGAGTTCGCAACGAAAATATCTAAACGACCGTTGAACTCGCGGACACAAGTGTCTAACAGGTCCTCCACGTTCTTAGGTTCTCTGATGTTTATTTGATATGCGCGGCCTAAAATACAACCAATCAGCTGAGTTGGGCCGGAGGGAGACGTAAAACATCGAAGCCAGCACGGGACATACACTTAACACCGTATTTCGCCTCAATGCTCGCAGCTTCCTCAATAGCTTTGCTGTTTCTGTTATACCAGATAGCAACATTGGCGCCCGCCTCCGCTAGAGCATGGACAACGTGTAGACCAATACCCGATGCTGCACCAGTGACAACGGCCGTCTTGCCCTTTAGTGAGAAAAGAGCTAGAACACTCGTCTCCACTGGAGGGGTGTTATTATTGTGGCGGAACAAACCATTTGCTACTGGACTTTCAGACATTGTATCGGGTTTTGTGGATTGGGACAATGAGTATCTGCTCTGGGAAGATACGAAAGACTTTAATATCTTCCCTGTAGACAGCAGGCCTATTCTAATTAAATAATGTCTAGCTAAAACGTGTCACCGCTTGTTTCGGCTTCTGCCTCCCCCCACCCATAGCGTAGATATTTTATATCGTGTGCGTTGACATCATGGAGGCGCTATTTCCATTCCGGCGGATGTGTTGCTGAACTGGCTACTGCTGAGGACATCGAGATCTAAAAGATTTAGTGTTGAAGCACCACAACAAAGCGACTGGATATCTTCTTCAATAAGCAGTATTTAAATTGTTTTGTTGGTGTATCTCAATTCCTTGAAGAAAATGATATACGGTCTCACAACATCCCTGCAACATGATCCTGCGACTGGGGTAAGGAAACAGGCATCAGGGAGAGGGCTCGCGTCCGGTTCCGACCATTCAGCATCTCCGGCGGAAGCTCGCCTCGGTTTCCTAAACCTCGTGGAATCAGGTCTTCATACGGCATAGCGTTGTGGATCCCTGCCTTCCTGTTTAATATCTAGGATTTTTTTCACACAAAAAACAACTCAGCCTATCTCAGCTCTGTCCAATCAAGGTCGACCTAAACAGCTCTTGGAAAACCGCGATCCACCATAGTCCCAGGACTCCAGACGCACTTGTTGAAAGCATCAAGTACGGGGTAATATTTCCGAGTTCTGAGCTTGGCCTAGCGGGACTACCTCGGGCCAGACCCACACCACGGCATGTAGATAGGTGGATGTTCCCCCAGGTTTGGATATATATGCTGTCTTCCGTCTGCTGAGATGTTCCCCGGGTCCCAGAGGGTGGAGTAAGTAAGTTCTCCTTTGGCGGTGACATTCCACCCTTTTTGAATGGTCGAGAAGTAATTCATGTTAGTCCTGTTCGTGGTGGCAAGGAATGAAGGTAGACGCATTGCTTTACCTTTACTCCGTCCAACGCAGCGTCGATATCGGTATGGGAGGTTGATTTCGCGTGTTCGACCGGTGCCTGGAAAGGCGTTAGAAAACATACTCCGCAAACAGGCACAGCCATTGATGGTTGGGTAGTCAAGACATCACGTTATTCAGACTCACATATCTGGCCGATTTCAAGCACGGTATGAATTAATATCAGCAGCGCTCCGAACGGATTTTCATCCCTCAGGGTCTCTTTCATTCGTCCATCCTCCCTTTGTCGTGATAGAACAAAGAACTCGAAATACGTCATATTCTGTGGCAAGCCCAAAGGCCGGCCTATTGGCCCCGCGATTGCGTATAGGTATTCTTCAACGTTGCTGATTGTCTCTGCTGGTTGATTGACACAGTCCGAGTCGATTATATTTGGTATCTCCTCCCCGCTAAGATCTAGCTTGCCTTAAATTTGAGAAAAATTTACTCAATCTCAGGTATAATCCTTTGTTTCCTCGGTAAATCACTTTGACGATGGTCTTTCATTTCTTCCATTGAGTGTTGCAATGGACGGCCAATAATAAAAATGCTAGATTTGTCGGACCATTGTCAGGAAGCCGTTCACTTGTGGAGCCTAAGCTCTGGAGTATCTGAGAAATGTGCCTTATTTTGAGCATCGACAAGGAGATAACCGGGGAAATATCCGTTATGATTAAGATTGTCCAGTTGATGAACAGGCCTTCAATATGCTATAATGGGGATTGGAAGGCGCCGCTAAAAGGGCCTTGCTGTTATGTTACGACGAGCAGCTTTCGGTCCCGAGGAAAAAGGCCCCTAGAGGAAGGTCATGTTGACTGGGATGAATGAATTACCAAAATGTACTATCGGTTCTATCGAACGCATCGCGGCATCAAACCGGTTCTACGCTATTCACACTTACAGAAGCATAAATAAAGCGTAGGATTCATGTTCCTCGAGAATGTATATCGTCTAGATATGATTTTCTTTTTATTTTACTTTCAGAAAAAAATTACTCTATAATGTATTGATTAAAGCCTAAACTTTGGAAAACTGGCTATCTTCTTTTTCTCTTATTACGCGGAATAGAATATAAAACAGGTAAAAGTATTTTGCAGCTATAATAGGAGAAATAGCGGTAGGCAATACAATACAATCTTAGTGCAAAACGAGGCGATATATAAGGAGCATAACTTCTCGTATTAGGCAAAATATGCGTTCAAGCAAACAACCTTGTAAGATAGGCTACATCATAGCGATACCTTGGTCTACGGATATCAAAGGATCTACCCCTAGTCAGACATCATCCATCATTATAGTATCAAAGGCTATAGCAAGTCACTACGGTTTCCAGGCGCTGTAATCAGCGATGCGGAGGTGAATTATAAATGCTTTCTCCGAACTTCAGCCCCCAAGCCCCCTCACTGCAATTTTAGTGTAAACAAGGCCCTGGTCCAAACCAGAGCTTCCTCATTGGCCAAGAGTAGTCTAGCCTTCTGGAACCTGCGGGCACAAGATGAGCATCGCTTGCCGGAAAATATTTGAATGGACGAAACGAATGACCGGCGCAGGTGAGCCAGACCGCGGAGAGTATTACCGACCAATGTATATCGAGTCGACGTCACAGACTAGAATCGGTTTAGTTGAACGAGGGTAGCTAGGGATCACGAATTCTGCCCAAAGTCGAGTACGCACTATGAATGACTACGTTCTGGTCTTCGACTGGGCGTCTCTTGAAGCGCTAATTTTTATATCGTTGCAGGACCATGGTTTCGTCGTCCATTTGAAAAGTCTTATTCAGGGACGATCCTTTCATCGAGAACATGGGAAATAAGATGAAGACGGCTTGGTATCACACGAATCCAGCCTAGGGTCCTATTGTTGGACATTAGCGTCTTGGAAGACCTGGATCTCTCGTCGTCCAGCGTAAACAACCATTCTCTTTCCGTGCCGCCGACCTCGTATGGAATCCATCCGTAGCTATAGTCTGCTGAAACCATTACAAAGTCATTGTGCGGGTTTAATTTCTCAGCTGCAAGATTTCCCCGCTGGGACTCATTCACTCCCTCTGTTGCTACAGATAATTCGAGTTTCATCAGCTCGCTTGCAATCCGAGCCAGTAGCTTGGCATCCCAAGGCCCCTTCCAGTGTGAGCAGCGCAGGAGCGCTTCGATAGCACGCTCATGGACAGCACGGTCAAGGCATCTGTTAGCCACAAGATACAAGAGAGGAATGTCACCTGAGTTCAAGGTTACTTTTGGCAGATTGGTCTACCCGTTTGTGAATACCTCGGCAAGTGACAAGACGTTCATGAAATCATATGTGTGTTCGCTAATTGCTGGATCATTCGCTGGTTCTTGCCGGCGACATTTCAAGGATATAGGTATTGAGGACTGCCAGTGGTCAAGTCAACGCACATCTTGGCAATCTCACTCCTCTTCTGGTTTCATTCCTGGACTGCTTGGCATACACGGGGAAGGGAAACCCGAAGATCCGAAGTTTGAGAGAGGGCACGTGATGCCCCTGAGTACTGACAGGCAGAATAAATTGAGCCGCCAAAGTCACCGCCCTCAACCATATCAGCCTACTTACCTCCTACCTTAATGTATCCTTATGAGAGCATCTCCTAGAGAGGAATGAGAATGAATGAATGAGGTTGTTTGCTGCCCATAAGTCCAATATCCTGGGGAGTGCTTTTCAGTACTAAACCCCGTCAACCGACTTACTATATAGCTCCTCAAACGCCTCACTAAGGCGGCGCGCCAAAGCTGATGCTGCATCTGCTCTACAAAGACACTGGCAGTCTGTAGCTCCACAATCTTACCAGGATCTATGGATTACCTCCCCCCAGTGCCCTGATGAGCTGCGAATTCCACGCCCTCTACTCGCGCGGACCCTGGCAGCCCGTACAGGATATGGTGACTTCGTAACTTATCATGAGCGTTTTAAGCACGAAGATGCGTACCTTTTCTGCCGCTATAGTACAAGAAAACCTCCTATACATTTCTTCTTCTACCGTATTACAAAGAGACACCTGCCACGACCTCCAGGTCCCCCTCTAAAACAATCCCCTACTTACTAGGCACTTCAAAAGGCGCGAATAAACTAGCCGCATGGCTATCTCAGACCCGTTTCTTTGAGGATATTTGCCCACGACGCCGCCCATCTCAGCAAGACTGGGATAACATACCTCCTTCTCTATATTTTCTTCCTTTTCAAAAAAAAAAAGAAAAGAAAAGAAAAGAAAAAAAACCTACGCAGTGGAGGCAGAATGGGTCATGGAGTGTAGGCGGACCTGTGCAGCTGGCATTATCCCTCTACCTGCTATCGCAGGCCCTTTTTTCTTCTTTTCTTGACTACGGCAGCTATGTAAACGCGCCAAAGTCCCCTACATGTACAAAGAACTAGGACTAGCAGCTAGTTAGAGACACCCAGGGCTTACCCCCTGGCGGCCTTTGCCCCAATAGGGGATGGTGGGTCACATGCCTCGGCGTGAACCACGGCCGTTAAATATAACCTAACCTAACCTAACCTAACCTATATAGCTCCTTAAGTACGGATATAGCTCGGCGTGGGTAGAAATTTGCTTGGTGTTGGTGAGCTTTACACGCCAAGCTATGAGACCCTCCCCCCAAATAGTACTCTGTACTCCACGTTGTATAGCTCTTAGGTAAGTATGGACATGAGTTTCTGCGATATCGGAGATCTGCTTTGACCGTTGAAGTGATCGGGCGTACGAAGGTCCTGCCAAGAAATTGAACTTTAATCGGACAGAAAAAATGGTTTAACAGTCTAAAATTTCCACCTACGGCCGATGGTCCATAAGTGTTCTGATACTTCTCCTATTCCGTCAAGGAACAAGTTATATCGCCAGATAACGCGCGTGGAAGCTCGTGTTAATGGGTCCTGGTAATACCCTCGGAGATATTATAGCGAACCGTTGTCTCAGCTGTGAATGCGGTATATATAGGATGTCTGACAAAACTAAGCTTAATTTCTCATTGGCACCATCCACTCATTCTTCGGGAGAAATCGCCACCTTCAAGTCCCAAGGGACTGTAATCAAATTATTGAGCCAAAACCCCGGGTCGCGAAATGTTCCCGCATACGGTAGCCTATCGTGGGCTCCGATATTATCGGCACCGGGAAAACGGACAAAATCCCGAGTTAACGATACAAAACCTTATGTCGGGGAGAGTGATTTGCGGATCTGGTGGTATGCCACTACACAACCGAATACAAATCATGCATTGTTATATTTACACCAGGCTTTTGTGACATGTTTTAAGCAACTCTTCGATCGCCATAATCCCTGCAAGAGCCACGTGTGCCCGCCCAGGTTACTAGCCCTATGGGGTCAGGGTGCATACCTCCCGTCGTAGTAAATGGCTCGGGGAAAAAGTGGATCCAGCCCAGTTTGTGACGGGCAGTCCCAAGGAACTGGACGTTGTTGCGCACGTAAAGTGTGGGCGTTCCCTTTTCCTCTCGACCGAGTCATATGCAGATGGTCATATATGAGAGCCGGAGCCTTTTCCCATAATGATCGTCATAGCGATGGACTCCTACTCTCGAAGTCACGGTTGCTTCTCTGCACCCACCAAGTCGGGATGGCGTCTAATGTGAATAGCTGGATATGGCTGGCAGTGGTGCTGTTGATCGGTAGGTTTTCCGCATGCCACATAACGGTGCAAAATTCTAACAGACCCTAATCTAGCATTCCTACGCTATGTTTCCCGCTGGCTCCAATTGGGTACCCCCAGAAACTTCCAAATTGAAGACATAACGATGATCGTGGTTGTGGTATGTACGCACCACATCATATTGTTCGATCTCGTCGGTTGCTAATTTTATCAGGTCTTGTACATCTTAATGACGGTCTACCTGATTGAAGTTGACAAACACGGGACCAACGGAATCCCCTTAGATAAAGTCGACCAGATCGACCCTGCCTCCATCCCAGATCTTATCAAAGGCAGTAAGATAGTGATTGCAGTAGAGCAGCTATGGCTCGGAGTCATCTGGGGATGCAAGGCCTGTTTGCTCTTACTCTATTCAACCATGACGTGAGTTGTCAGCCTCCACTCAGCGATCATCATCTAATCAATCCATAGATCGGGTCTGTCGCAACACCGAGTCGTCAAAGCCATCGGTGCATTTTGTGCGCTGAGTTTCGTGCTAATTGAAATCCTCTTTTTCGCTGCCTGGTGCCGCCCTTTCTCCGCCTACTGGTCGGTGCCACCAAAATCCGTGCAATGCTCCGTCTATCGCAATCATCTTATTCTAACCTTGGCCATAAATGTCGCTACGGACTTGATGATCATGTGCATCCCATTGCCGCTCTTGATCAAAGCCAAGCTAAGCCTGTCCAAAAAGCTTACTTTATGCGCCGTTTTCTCTCTGGGCGTGTTCGTAATCCTCTGCTCCATCCTCTCCAAATACTACTCGATATCGAATCCATACGGAGATCGCTGGGTCGACTGGTACGTCCGGGAGGCAGCAACCGCCATCGTTGTGGCCAATATCCCACAAACATGGACACTATTCCGCCGGATGTTCAACTGGAAGTCTTTCTTGGCGCAATCGTCATATCCTCGCAGCTACAGCCGAAGCAAGTACACCAATCGACTTGATAGCTCGACCATCCATCTATCCCGGTTCAAGGGTGGAGATAAATCGCACACACGCTCCGTCGATCACACGGCGTCTGGTGAGCACATTAATCGCGAACAGCCACTGGAGATCTGGGAACAACGCCAGTTTAATGTGACGAACGAACCCGGCGAATCGAGCGATGGCATCAGTCAGAGTAGTATGAGTTTGGAGTTTGACACTACGGGGCTAAATAGTCCCCAGCTGAAGACGATAGTGACGACAACGAAGTGATATATATAAGCTCTATGTGATGGGAGATCAATCCGTTGGGAGGCAGTTTCTTTTATGCGGTAATGCTTAGATTCATGGGTACGTACAATAGAACAGCTATATTACATGTATTGCTAGATTTATAGACAGATAGAGATAATTTAAGGCTGGTGGGCATTCTTAGGGCTTGGAGAACAGCTGCTCTGTATAACTATTCTAGGACAATGAAAAGCGCCCGCCAAGCCGCACTTTAACTGCAGGGACGCACCGGTATTAGGCGTTAACAGCGCAATCGCCGACAAGATAACTAACAATCCTTCGACGCAGGTCTTCTCCCTCATATTGCTTAGGATTAAAGCTTACCATGTCCTCTATCTATATCTTGTTGGGCAATTGTGACGTTTGCACACATTCCTTTTCAGGCCCACCCTTTTCCCTGTACTTCAGACTGGTATGTACCGGAGTCAAGCTAGGCTTGTCAAAGCTAGCTGCTCAGGAAAGTCTGTCCAAGACCTTAAACGGTTTTTATATTGGTTTCCTTCATTGGTTCTAGGACAATGTCTACGTAGGTAATTCTGCCTAGATAGCGCAGCCACATATAAAATGATAGAAAAGAGGCAAGTAACAGATCTTGATTATCATCTAATGGTAAAGAGTATTCTTCTAAAGCTCATAAGGAATCGGCTTCAATTTAGATATTATCCGTCAGAAGACACGACATGGAACGTTTCAGTTAAATAACCTCTACCACACTCTAGGGTAGACCACTTGGCACACAAAACATCAACATACTTCTCAAATTGGGATCATATTACCACTTCCACGCAGTCAGTTTTGCTATTACCGAGAAAGACAAGAATTCTATAAAGCCTACGTGCTCATTTAATCCCGAAAGCGATATACCAGATCTATCCGACAAGGTGATATTTGTCACTTGTGGTCAGTATCCTTTCACCTCCAGCTTCATTCTCTCACTTACCAAGGAAAAAAGAAAAAAGAAAAAAAAATTAAGGGACGGCCGGTCTCGGAGCACAATCAGTCGTTAAATTGGTCAAGCATTCTCCGACGCAGACCTATATCAGCGGTCGGAACGCGAAAAGTGCAGAGGATATCATCAAGAAGGTAGTCGAGACAGGGTCGAGTAGACCTGTGTCGTTTGTCGAATGCGATCTCGCCTCCCTGGACTCCGTGAAGAAAGCCGCAGATAATCTCCCATCACGAAGGATTCGCGCCTGGACGTACTCATGTGTAACACAGACATCATGGCGCACCCTCCGGGGCTAACAAAAGATGGCTACAAGGTGCAGTTTAGGACCAACAACATCGGTCATGCTATCTTGATTTAGAGGCTGTTCCCACTCCCGCAACGTACGGCTGAAAAACCGTGACCGGTGTACGTCTCATCATTCTCACATCTGTAGGCTACAGGGTGCATCCTTGTGAGGGCATCATATTCAAGGACTTGAAAACCACGCAAGATAGCGGCCCCTTTGGATCTTGGAGACGGTACGGCCAACGCAAGCTGGCTAATATTCTTTATGCGCTTGGGTTGGCCCGTCGATATCCGGATTTGATAGCTGTTTCCATTCATCTTGGGGTTGTGAATACGGGTCTAGTTGAGAATCTTGATCGGGCAAACCGTTGGTTCGTCTATGCGACGACCTTTAATCAGACGGTGATCCCCGGAGGATAGGACGTACAATCAGCTGCGGGCAGCTACAGTCTCTCAAGATCACTTAGAAAATGGCCAGTTTTACATACCGGATGGTCTTCCATCGAATAGTCAACTTGACAAGACGACGCAAGATGGTGCGTTGGCTAGTCAGCTTTGGGAGTGGACGCATAAAGTTCCGGAGGTGTATTATGACTGATTTCAGTACAGGACACTCGAGTATATGGCAGCTCTTCTTCGATCAGGACCTTATCTATGAGGTTGAGGCTACCTACCCCTACAACGCTAACAATGTCTCTATCACCACTAACGCCGACAACCATGTCGTCCAAGATGAGACCGAGGATACCGCTTCGGACCCATTCTTCGAGTATGCCCTCTAAATTCAGCCCCTAGAATAACAGAAGAATGATGGATTGTCTCGAGATACACGATCGACATGGACACCTATCGACAGATGCACCTCTGACTTTGATCACGGTATTCAAGACGATGACCTCGGTCCAGACGTCATGGACAACGAAAGCCTCCGCAAGACCTCTTTTCTCCTTCTCCTTCCCCATGAGATACACCGATTCGGCTTTAGCATTGAGAAATGGAGTGTGTTGACACTTCCAGGCCATATTTATTTCTTAAAATCTCATACTAATTGTGATCAGCACTCTACAGGGGCACTTCAAGTCGAGCGGATTCGCGACATAGATTGGAATGAAATGGCTTCGAACGACTCGTCGTACAACATCATAAAAAAGCACTAATTAAGCCCCAGTCACAGTGCACACCAGGTTTTCCAAGTCATCCGACGTCATAGAGGGCAAAGGCAACGCCCTGATCATGCTTCTCCACGGCGGCCCGGGTACTGGAAAGACACTTACCGCTGAGTCCGTGGCCGAGCTTACCAAAAAGCCTCTATACCGAGTAACATGGGGAGATATCGGAACCAATGCTGACGAGATCGAACGGTATCTCGAGACCGTGCTGCTCATCGGTACAATCTGGGGTTGTGTAGTTCTTCTAGATGAAGCGGTTGTATTCCTCGAGGAACCACGCGAGACAGATTTGCAACCCAATGCGCTTGTTTCGGTCTTCCGGCGTGTTCTAGAGTACTACTATGAAATTCCCATACTGACGTCCAACCATATCGGGGACCTTTGACGCTGCGTTCATATCTCGATTCCAGCTCGCGGTGCACTATCCCCCGTTGGACTTGAAGGCCCATATGAGATTTGGCTGAACTTCATTAATGGGCTCAGCAAGACAAATCCCGATGTGAATATCGATGACTTGAAAAATCATCTCGTTGTGCTGGCTGCTGACTGCCTCAACGGACGACAGATTAGGAATACTGTGCGGACGGCGCTTCAGCTGGCTTCCTTTTGGGAGGAGACGCTGGACTATCGGCATTTTGAGGGTCATTGTGGTAAATAAATTTGAGAAAGACTTAGGATCTGTTTCTAGATTTAGCGAGCAAGATTGGGTACAGCATCAAGGGATTCGGTCGGAATAATGGCTCACATAGCCTATGATTAAATATTGGTAAGCCAAAGAAAATCCATATAGGTTTAGCTAGGGGGTTAATCAATATAGTAACTTAGGGTTCTGAGGCCTTACATACGCAACCTAACCGAAATTTCCGGTTATCTTGGTTTTACACGACTCGACATGGGGAGATAACAAGCTTACCAAAACGATTCCTTTATTTTTTTTAATCCTTTGTGTTGTGATCTCAGGGGAAAGATGGGCAGGATGAGGCTGTATCAGCTACACGTACGTAGCCTACTGAGGACCGGATGCCATTCCGATAGGTACTCAATTCTATGGACGACTATATCAACTATCTTGAGCGCTTCTTCATATCTACTAATGGGTAAAGCCTTCAGGGGCTGAAGTTGGTGATCCGGCCAAGCCACTAGGATCACGTGGTCTCGTATAGATTCATAACACTTTGGATCACCCAACTAAGCATCCTGCGTAGATAAAACCTATGTACTTTGGCGCTCATTATTTGTCGCTGCCAAGTATGTAGGTGAAGGATATACCTTTTCCCGACCTATCTTCAAAGATGTCAAGCCCCAAACTACACTGGAACCTTAGAGTCGGCGCACCAAAGAAGAATGCGTCTCTCACTACCTATTTGTACTTCCAGTGTGCCATCAAGATACTTCTTGGCTCTCCACTATCCGACAAGAACTCGGAATGGTACACTCTACAGCTATACTACATTTATGGAATGCCATGGAGGACAGCTCAAGTGGCCCTCCAATTGCCCGGTTATGGATCCAGCAAACTAACTATGACTGCCGGGACACATCGATGAGGCAGGTCCATACAAGTATCAACAGTATAGCCGGCTGATATTGATTAGAGACAGGAATTTTGACTTTCATGTGAAGCATTACGTGCCAGGAGACATCAACAGGGTTCAAGGGATCAAATCAGATAATGGGCGTAAAAGGTAGAAAGAACAACTAGGTTAGGGTAAACTCATCTCCGGGACAGACGTTATTATTGTTAAGTCAATATCTCGACCGCGTAGGAGCCATTATAACCTTACTAATATGGATTTACTGACACAGACTCACCGAAAGTGGGTCTCACTAAATATAGCTAGTATTCCCATCCACATGAATATAATAGTAAGTTTGTCGTCTAAATAGGGCTTTTCTAGATGTATTGGTGCGTACATATAGCAGATATCCGTGTCCAAGTATCCCACCCTTACTAATCAAGATTTCTTAACCATGCACAAATTATCATCTCAACCCTTGCTGACCAACAAGCGATAAATAAAATTAAGATACTTTCGCATCGGCGCTGCATGAATGTAGAAATACATACAGCAGCCGCAGCAACACCCTTTTGGCATAAGGATCATGTTATTAGTTTTTATTAATTGGTGTCAGGGATAGATAGCTCTAGGATTGTAGGTGGTTCTAGGCTCTGCTAGCTCTCGCAGCAGGATACTATGACGAATTTGCAAGCAAGGAATATTTCCAAGTAAGGAGTTGGTTCCACTGTGAAACTAACAACCCAAGACTTAAGCAGAGGGAACGCTATCGCTCTTTATGTTAACTTCTTCTATGCCAACATGAACGCTTCGATGTTGTTGTTGCGCTGTATGTCTAGCTAGCTAGCTTGGGCTATTTCTCATGGATCCTCCGATTGATAGCGGCGCACCCGCCTGTCATTTTATTTCGTTGGAAATCGGTGGTTCTGCTGTTGCAAATGTATAATTGGCAAGCAATTCAGGAGCTTAGATTTCGGAAGGTCCCTCGCCACCGGGGAATATCTCCACTACATAGCATGCCGGCAAGGGTCAGCGGGCAACAACCTCACTCCTTGCGTTAGAATATAGAGATTGACCTGAAAGGGGCGCAGCGCATACCAACATCAAACAATGAAGAAGGAAAGTATTAATAGCATCATCACTTGTCCTGACTACTTTCTATAAGGCTACAACTATCTCGTAACTAAAATCCTTTTTCAGATAAGCCATTGTTCTTCGGCCGCTTCTAACAAGGGGGCGGATAATGGCATTTATAAGCATCTCGTGCTTGTTCACGATCACCCTTTACATATGCTACAAGTTGTTTGTTCGCACCAATCGCTCGACGCTACCACTTCCGCCGGGCCCAACGCTTCTAAACCCAGGCGCAATCCCGCAGAAGGAAATATGGCTTACGTTTCGAAAATGGCACAAAGAGCACGGGCCCATCATCAGTCTGAAACTCGGAGTCCAGACGATCATTATCCTGGGCAATCACCAAATAGCCCAGGACCTGCTGCATAAGCGCGGCAGCTTATACAGCACTCATATTCAGTCAGTATTTGTGAACAATTACATATCTAAAGGCCTACAGCCCGTCTTCATGGAATACGGGCCCAAGTGGAAACTCCATCGACGGCTTCACACCACGTTTCTCAGCCACCAATCCACTCGAGCTTGCCAGACTCTTTTAGATACCCAAAGCAAGAAGGTCTTGCATAGCCTGCTATCTACAAACGACTTTGGATCGTGTTTCCACAAGTATGTTTCTAACTTAATGTTCAATTTGGCATACGGAAAGGATGTTGGCGAGGAGAACAAGAGTGATCTGAAGCACATGGACACGATGTTCGAATCACTGACCCGAGCAACCTCCGTCATGACTTTCATGGTGGATATACTCCCGATCCTTGACCGACTTCCGAGATTCCTCTGCAGGTGGAAAGTCAAAGGCGAAATGAGCCACAACAATGTGAAGAATTCATTCATAAAATGCGTTCAATCCGCTCTGCAACAGGACACTTGGAACTGGAGCCAGGAGGCCTTCGGTAGAAAGGAAAGCAAAGACTTCTCCCTGGAGCAGCTCGCTTTCAGCATGGGCGAGCTCTACATAGCCGGAAGCCACACTAGCGACACAACCTTAAGGATATTCGTCTTGGCCAGTCTACTCCACCCCAGTGCTGTGCACGAAGCACAAGGAGAATTGGACCAGGTCGTGGGATCACAGAGGCTCCCGTCATTCGAGGACCAAGACAAACTCCCGTACGTCAATGCATTCATCTCCGAGGTACTCCGGTGGCGGCCAATGGCCCCGACTGGTGGACCCCGTACACTCTCCGAAGATGATGAGTACATGGGGTATTTTCTCCCAGCCGGCGCCACTGTCATTGCAAATCAATGGGAAATGGACATGGACGAGAGTATTTTTGAAGACGCCCCTGCTTTCAAGCCCGAGAGGTGGATCCAGAACCCGGATCTTCCTCTTTCTGCCTTTGGCTTCGGCAGAAGAGTATGCCCAGGACAACATTTTGCACGGTCAACTCTATTTATTGCGATAGCGCGCATGCTTTGGGCGTATCACATAGACTGTCCAGATGGGAGCAGCTTGGAGGATGTGAGGACGGCAGACAGGTCCGAGCATTTTGGTGTGATATATAAACTTCCGCCTTTTGAGGCTTCGTTCCGCGTGCGAGGTCCTGAGCGCCAACAGCTGATTGAACAAGGGTGGGGAATGGCGAATAAGGATTGTAAAGATTTGTTAAAAGAAATTAGAAATGGCGCCTTTAATACAAAAGTGTAGGATTATTTTGGCGGGCAGCTTAGCAATAAAATATCACTTATTTTGGGTGTCAATCTTTCGAAGTTCCGCCAGCTAGTAGGTAACGATTAGGGCTATCCCAGTTTAACTGAGAACCTTACCCCAAGTCCGGATCATGTTCTTAATTTCATACAAAGGTAATTCCCACCTGGTTTGGATTATGCGAATTGTAATGAGATGACTTTGACCACAACTGCTAACTTCTACGCGATTATATAGACGGATTACATGCACTATAATTTCTAATCTAGATAAACTCAACACATACGACCACAGGGTGTGGAGAACAGGGCTTCCCGTCCGCTCAGCCGTTCTTAAGCCAACTGTGTAAGCTCGGCCAAAGGATAGGAGCGCCCTCTGGGGCTCGCTGCTTTACGGGCGAGCGACGCTAAGTCGTAGGGTGAGTGCAGATGAGCTGGGTGATCCTGTTCAGAACATGGGTGAGCTGGGAGAGCTGGGTGGGCTAGATGATTTAGTACAGGCTCAATCGCACGCTATCCTAGTGTCTCCATCATATGAAATAAATAGGGAGGGCACCTTTTGTGCTTCGCCAAAAATTTTCTTCTCTCTTCAAATCTTTTCGTGACTTTGCCCTGGTGTTGCCATCTACATCTGCCGATACCACGTGACAACATGTCGGATTTATCTAAAGAGCAATGACAATGAAAGATAGACGAGCTCCACAAGCTCGGCAAGTTACGCGGCTTCACTGAAGAGTATTAACAAGAGCAGGGAAATAAAGAAAACAAGGTTTGCTATAAGTAAAGGGCTCCATCTACTGATCAAAGATATGATCTGGCCGTTGAAAGGTAGAAGATGTAAGATATATTTAATCTCTGTTCCTTGTATGAATGACTAATCATTACAGGTGGACATTGTCCCGAAATGAACCTGAAGACAGATACTTTATAAAGGAGGAACCTGACCTTTCTAACCAGATTTTAAAGCTTTTCTCGGAGAGTAATATTGCTTAATATAAAGGAAATCTTCTATTATAATATTCAGTATACCATATGTCAGAGCCTATGGGAGCCTAAGGCAGCAACCACGTGACCTGACCACAACACCAAGGAATCTCTGTATGATAGATTTAGACCTGAAGACAATCAATCCCATACACGTGAGCTATACCAGCTCCATCAGTTTGTATTGACTCCCTCTTCACTGCCAGGGGTTCATGATTCATTAACCAAGAGCTCAGCTCTCCAAGAAGATCCTTGTTTCCTCGGAACACATTATAAGCCAATCAAAATTAATGGTAGGCACGTCCGCGTTGCCTTTGTGCGATTATATTGGTCAGGTGCCAGCTTGTCAATTGTCCCGTGTGGGGCTTATGAAAGCCTAATACGAGAATGGGAGCTGACGGGCCCTGAATGGAATTCTCCGACCAGGTACCCACCCTAGCCGCTATACTAAAGATATACTCTCTTTAATAATCCTTTTAGTAACTAGCCGGCCATTCTCAGCTGTTGTCACCCCATGGTTGTTCTGCCTTGAGTGTCCGCCTTCGATAAGGTACGCTAGACAAGGGTCTGTAACACCATCCCGTCGTCAAAGTGCTTCGTGCCGCAAGTCGCTGGGTAGAAAGATAAACAGATAATGAAGGAAATGTATCCATTCTAATTGACCGGAAGTATCATCTTTCACCTATATCTAGATATATTTCTGAATACCCGGAGGACGCTTGTAATATGTCAACCAGTCAAAGGTATCACAGACATGTAGGAATGCCCATGTCTCTGCCTCATCATAAAGCACTTTCATCCAGCCGACATCCTCCAAAGTACATCCCTCCAGAGGCTCATACTGTTTAATCTCTGATTGGCTAGATACCCCATATGCTGCTAATTCATCCTCATCCAGTTCCTGCGGCTCCCAAAACCCATTAACCAGACGGACAAATCCATATTTATTACTGTCTTCCAGATCAGGCGCGCCCAGAACTGACTCTAAAGCCTCCTGGTCCACCATAATAAAGAACCGATACCGACCTGATTCTGGGAAGCAAGTATTATCGACGCCCTGTTCTTTTTCTGGCGCTGTCACAGCCCACTCTTGGAAATGCTTACGCAGAAAAGCAGTGCTCACACCATTAAAGGATCGGTCTTCAAAGACAGTAGGGGCAAAGCTGTCTAAGAGATCCAGACCATTATAGAATTCAAGTGATTTAGTAACATGGTGTAGAAAGCGAGCCATAAACTTTTCCCAGTCAGAGTCACTTTGATATGTGCAGCGATAAATCACAAAGCCCCATATTTTAAATCTATTCTTTTGAAGGAGCCGTTCTAGTTCGTCAGCCTGGTTCAAAAATGTATCCGTAGCGGGGTCCCGTTTTGACGGCCGTTCGGGGCGATATTCGTTGGGGTTATTCATTGTGGTTCGGATAGGGTGGAAATACTGGCGTTTGACGGGAGGTGAAGCGCGGCCAATATTTGTGGGGAGCCTGAGTTGGTTGCAGATGGGGCGAAAAAGCCTTGTTGTCATTCTAAAGGCGAATAAAACTGAGAATGAACAGCTAAAGAAATACAAACCGGCTATCTTCATGGAATGGTCGGAACCTAATAAAGTTGATCGAGATTCCTACATCCATCAAGCAGATGAAATTCCGTTCAAGCTCCGGAAGATCAAGCACTATCTTGCAGAAAAGGTGGCAGGGCGAGACAGTGAAAATAGATTCTCTCAGGACAATGCAACAGAGCTGGCCAGGCTTGAGCACGAGCGCCTTATCAGTGAGAGACTGTATAAGCACCGGACGCTTGACCTTAGTCCTGCTCAGGGGCAGGTGGTATTACCTCCTCTTATTCCTTGGGATGATTTGGCTTTGGAATGGCGAGAAGTTTATCAAAAGCTTGTCCAAAGCATTCCAAAAATCTTGAAGGAGTGTGGCTATTCTGTTTACGATCTCCAAAAAAAATGGAGCTCAACTCCAATCGTGACTGGCTCTTTATTTTACCCTCAATTTCTCTGTCTGGATGTTTTTGTTAGACCCTTGTCTAGCGCACTATCACCGTTGAAGTGAGCGTCGTGCAGGTTAGATGAGATGCAGATAATAAGGACAAAAGTCTTGATATATTAATTACCTTGTGTCTTTCTAAATGAGTGCGGATTTGGAGTGGAAAAAGGAGAGACTTGAACAAGCGAAAGAAAAGCAGTTAGGCTGCATAACAAGGTTAAAGAAAGGTCAGATCCGAGCAAACATGACGCCTAGTTTGGCGACATAAGCGACTCCCCAAAGTCTGTAGTTGAGAGGTCGATCCCAGTGTCCGTAGAAACCAGCAATTTTCCTTCCACTGGGTGCCCGAAATTCGACTCGACTGGTATAAGGCGATGGTCAGTGTTTAGTGTTTGAGGAGAAAAGCTCCATACCAGCCACAACCTGGACTTGCAGCATATTGCTAGGTCAATCGGAACCATTCCTTTTTCTCAGTATGACCAATACCGGTAGCCTTTTATCTAGTTATGATGAGGAAGCCTGTCATCCACGGGTGATCGACCCATAGGAGAATATTGATGGTTCTATTTTTCCTTCGAGATATCGACCAGGATCTACCTAATCAACTCATGCCAATGTTGCCTTGTCCAGGCAGCAGCAATATATTGTAAGTTTTTCATTGGTCTGCTGACTGCCAAGACCTCCGGTGTTGAAGATCTAATAGAATAGCCAATGTTCGATCTCATAAAACAAAATAATGGGTATTAGAGTTTTTCAACAGAGCAACAGGGTGAGCAACAGGGTGAGCGGCTCACCCTGTTTATTGCACACTCACCCAAGCTCACCCGAGGTCACGCGACCGTAAAGCAGCTCACCCGCTAGCTCACCGGGCGGCAGCCACCCGACTTCTGGCCGCGTTGAAGCCACACGCCGGTTAGTAGTTAGGTAGGTGACCACGAGCGAATCCCGGCTGTTATATGTTTCTTTTCATGGTTTGAAAGTTTTTGATATATTTTTGCATAGTACCACAGTCTTCGGTCAATATTTTTATATATTTTAATTAGACCTTGATACTATTACTATTATCTTATTTAGATCAGACTTGTAAGTTGTAACCAAATTGATAGAATTTTATAGAATACTAAACATGAGTAAGAGAACTAGCTACTATATTATACTTATATTTATATAAGATAATGGCAGCCTAATCTAGAAAGCAGTCTTGTATACTAGAATACTATGCAGTTCTAGCTTACAAGTCTATAGATATCATGATATTATACACTACTGGCTGGATATAAGCCATATACTGGCTCTAATTGTCAGGATACTTAAAGAAGCTTTTTCCTAGCTGGGTGAGGAAGAGGGAAGTCCTATATATATCTTCTCATCCACAATTCAGGTACATACGACCACAGGGTGTGGAGAACAGGGCTTCCCGTCCGCTCAGCCGTACTTAAGCCACACGCCGGCCGGTTAGTAGTTGGGTGGGTGACCACCAGCGAATCCCGGCTGTTGTATGTTTTTTTGTTCATCAACTTTTTTTTGATTTTTTGAGTTTAGTGTCGTTGCCGCCCTGTCTTCACCCCCTTCACCTGAAGCTGACCTGAACCGCCTGAACCCCAATAGCCTTCACCCACCTACCTCACCTACCCCTTTGCTAGGCTTACGTTGTCATGTGTTGCATCACGTTTCTATTGTTGGCCTGGATTATATAACGCCCCTACGTTTTATGACTCGCCGTACTAAATCGGCTGATATTAATCCGTCCATTATATATCTGTTTATTGAATTGAATCCTTAAACCAAGACTCAAGGAACACAATATTATAATTTTTACTATTCTTTGCATGACTGCTCTATAGACCGTACTGACCTTCAAGAAGACTGAACAAGACCCTTTCTTTACAGCAATGCCGAGTCTACTCAAAATCTATACTGGGGTACTTTTCTGGAGGCACGAAAGGCATATATTAGAATATAGATACTAAATATTTTTATATCCTCTAGCGCTATATCAAACTTGCGCATCAGCCAGAATAATGTCCAAGCCTTGGCGATGATACAGGAAAAGTGGTTACTAACAGTTAAGGATATGTTGACTAAAATCTAACTTACTAGTGCACAAAATATTGAAGCCGTTACCGGCCCTTAGACCCAGCTAACAGTCGTTCTAAAGTGTTCATCATTCATCACACCTGACTACTGACCAGCCAGCGTGTGGCTTATGCGCGGTCAATAGGTCGCTGGGGGTTAATTCTGCGCCCTACCACGCCCCTTTGGCGTGGTCCCCCTTTAGACGGGGTTGCTGACTGGCATATATTGCACCCCTCGTGCTGACTTGCGCTCCTGCTGCTAACCGGCCGGGACCTCGCCTAGCTGCCTGAGGAGAAGCTCTATTGGTCCTGGGGACAAGTATCCGCAGCGCTGGTGAGCCCGATATTGTGCCAGGCGTTGTGAACGCAAAGGTTAGGGAGTGTCTGGACCCGTACCTGGCTCCAACGTCTTTATATGTATTCACGTTAAACAGCCGATACATTAGAGACAGACGGTGCACCTAGTCGTACTAACGCGTGGAAAATATACAGATATTCGTCTATACTACAGGTATAACTGCTTCTATAACTTGACTTACTGCGTCGCTTAGATAAACCAGAAAGAATTATGTATACCCTAGGGCCAAGACCGTCAGGCTACGGCCAGCAAGGTCTGAAGGATACATTGGGGATTAACCAGGGATCCTAGATCGAGGATAGACGAAGGCCTGAGGTTGACGGTTTCCTGTATTCTGAAATTGACAAAAAGAATTCGCCATAGCCGTTGTGCCGCCCCAACGAACCAGCCAAGCACATCAAAAAATAATATGGTTCGAGAAGAGTTTGGATAGTAGAGGGAGAGCCGGCCTGGGCCAGCCCATTAACGCTGCTAAGGTCAAGCGGGAAGCTTTGGTTCGCATGTGCGTTAGGGAGCGCCCACAGCTGCGGGTTCTCTCTCGTCGCATCGCTTTCAAAAGGCCAAACCACCGCACTGCTACAAAGACGGAATTGAATGGCGATAGATAGGCATGCTGCAAGGCTATCGGACTCTCGCTGGTCACTGGATGGCCCCTCGATAGCTCGGGGGTTAGCGTCCACCTCTGGACACACCCCAGGACAAGTCTGTCAGTTAATGTGTCCCATCGGCCGTAGCATCCGGAACCGCATTATTCACTGGGAGGATGATATCCTTCCCCGGGAGAGCCTGTTTGCTGCGGCATTGGATCTAAATCCGCATCGTATTCGGTCTATGTCGGAGCGTCAAGGCTTACATTTCCCGAGGTGGCATATTCACATAGCTTTTCGTTTCGGAGACAAAGGCCACATGTTGACTTCGCTTCATCACACTTCACGATGATTTATTTCAAGGTACAAATAATATAATATTGTAGTTCAAAAAGGACGCCCTGTGGCCCATAGACAGTTCTCCCCCACCGATATATCGTTGCACAATCCCTCCTTCGACATACAACACAAGATATTGATGACTGTGCTGCCAAAGCAGCAGCAACTTGATATTCTCATATCCTCTTCTCTCCCTCGCTAATTTTTCCCCTATCGCCCCGAGCTACCTCTCCTTAGTAACCACTGTGATGCAAGATCGCACTGGCTTAAGAAATACCACGTTCCATGGGTGAATATCCTTCGTAAAGCTGCATTTCAAAGCCCTCTCCGAGCATAAATGCTTCCCTTTCGCCCGTAATATAAGGGCGAAGTCCTTGATGAAAGTTCTGGGAGCATAGGATTATCATTGCCATGGTCGCATTGGAGAGAATGATAGCCATGACACCAAAAAGTATCAATGATCGTCGAGCTGGTAAATAATCACCAAATGTTTCGGGACTATACAACCTTGTAATCTTGAAGATGAAAAACCCTTCTAGTGCGCAATGTAGAGCCTGGTACATAGCTCTTAATTACCATATCATAATATGGGGTGGTGCTGGCTTACACAAACACTAATAGTTCCCCATCGTCTCTCATGTCTTACGACTGAGGCAGTGATAAATAAGAGAGAGCACGAGAAGGGAATAAAAGCTATGGTTGCAGCGAACTCGGCATCCGAGCGAACGGTAGTCACGGTAACAAGCTGCACAAGGAATCCAATGAAATAAAATCCATCGAACTTAAGGATAGAAATAAGAAGCTAGGTAGTAACCGCTGTTAGTTTTTTAATGCCCACTGGCGCATTTTTGACAGACTCCCCATACTTCAAAATAAACATATCTACGCTGCATGGTAATGTCTGCTTCCACCTTGTGAAATATAATCCATGCAAACTCCCCAGACAACTTCCAGGCACTAAAAATAGTCCATATGGTTGATACTGCAGTTACAGCGATGATGGTGATTGCCAAGTTCAGGATCACCTGTCCTGTGCTCGGGTCGATAGCACTATTATCGTACAAGATGCCGTATGCGTCGCGTACCTGAGTCAATTGCAGGCCATTGTATATACACAATGTGGCCGAATAGATACTCAAGCCAAGAACTTGAATACTATTATGGTGTGCCAGCGTGTCATACACAAGGATTAGCTGATATAGGAGACCCAATGTCACCAGGGCGAAAAATGTTGGAGCCACCCTGGTTGAGGTCACGTCTTCTGCAATATCGGCAACGGAGCTCATGAATTCAAGATACAGTGTCCTACTAGAAGGGTGAGACATTTAGTTTCTTTAAGGCATCTTGAGGATAAGCCTACATTTCAAGAATGATAAGGACGACCGCCTCAAGAAATATGGAGAGGAAGAAAATCCAGGTCCATCGGGTGTTTGGTCTGTACAGCATTTCGACGGCGATTTGAAATGGCAACAATCATGAAGCTCAAGCGGCTTACCCTTTAGGATTAAAGTGAAAAGGCCATCATGTCATCTCTACTCGTCTCTCCCATGTGCAGGGATCGTGGTCCATGGCTTACCAATGCAGTGTTAAGGCAAACTAGCCACAATTGGAATCGGGCGAGGCTGAACATCTCAGCTTTCACGGCCTATTTATAGCACGTAAACCCAACCTCTGCTTTTTCCAGCAACATGTCTCTGCCCCACGATGCCTCAAGACCAGGGCTGGACCTGGGGAGCCAATCGTAGGGGAACTCTTGATATTCTGTGGACATGTATATCAACACTGGCGCTGTGTGTATGGACTGCTATTCATCCCAATATTCCTCTCGTGTATAGAACCTGGCCAACATTCCTGGAGCGCTTGGGGTTAATGTTGCTGGCTATTGTATTTCCCGAGGTTATTATCAGCTCAGCCTGGAGCCAAAGACGACGTGCGAAGGAGTTGCTTTATGATGTAAATCGGTCGATAGGGCGCACAGCCACGGGACCCGCGTCGCAGGTATGAAGCGCCAATTTGTTCTAGATGCACTTCCACCGGTTGGACGCCATCGTCGATTTTTTGAGATAGTATTGAACTTACCATCACCTCGCTAACCCTTTGCTTGAGACAGGAAACGCCGATCCACACAGAGGCCGAGATCAGCCACCAAGGTCAAGCGTTGCTTTCACCTCTCTCAAATTCCGATCAGCTCGCACACAAACACTTCGCCCTTATTCAATCGCATGATCAATCCTCAAAAGTAGCCCCCTGGTCCATCCAACATGGCATGTTTGGTGTTATGGGTGGATTCGCTATTGAGACACCTTATGTGTCTCCAACAGGGGAACGACATACACTACGTCGTCTTGTTACACCGGCAGGGATATCAATACTAGCTCACGCCGGGTACCTTCCCTCTCTGGCCCCAGAGGATATTGCTGAGCGGAGTAAAGCCGATCTCTTCGCAAAGGGCGTGGTTTTGGTTCAGATTATATGGTTTGCCTTGCAAGTGCTGGGACGGTTAAGCCAAGGCTTGCCTGTCACTCCCTTGGAGACCCATACTGCGATCCACGTTGGGTGTACTATTCTGGTCTACGCTATCTGGGCCAGTAAGCCGTATAACTTGGTACAATCAATCAAGCTTAGTGGGCCAGATATCATATATATCGGAGCATTTTTTAACTTTCAGGACATTAGTGGTGAAGTGTTCCACCGGGAGCAAGCTCGATATAGATTAGAAAGAATGGAATACTGGAAGCGGCGTGTTATCCTGGCATCGCAGGGTGTTTCGCCTACCGAACTACCACCCAGCCCGCCGAGACTGAAGTCTATCACTCAGTTGATTGAGGATTATTCATCGAGAGCCATACGAACCGAGGCTGTCCACTATACATATAAAGATGAGGCTATTCTGCATGCGATTGCGCAAGATGCTCGTCAGGGCCTCTATATTCTGGAAAAAAAAGGTTACACTAATTGCCAGGGGAGCCCACCGGGCGAGACGAAGCTTCTTCGTCAAAGCTCTGAAAACTTTACTGTCAAGGCGATATGGGGCGGCTGGAGTACTGATATTGGACACGAGCCATCCCTAGATAAAGGGATACATATACTTTTCAACGTCTTATATGGTGGGAGCCATCTGGCTGCATGGAATTCCGCTTTTCCAACTACCCCAGAGCGATGGCTTTGGAGAGGATGTGCTTTATATCTCACGACGCTTCCTTTCTGGGCTATACTCTGGATACTCTGGTGGAGGGGTGTAAAGTCCAGACTCAAGATACTCTACCTGATCCGAAACGGCAGCATAGATATTATCGCCGCCAGCCTTTTCTTCACAGTTCTGGTGTGCTATACTTTGGCAAGATGCTACTTTCTTGTCGAGGCTCTCATTGGCCTTAGACGCCTTCCATCTACAGCGTTTGATATAGTTCATTGGACTAGTTTCTTACCTCATGTGAGCTGATAGTGTACGAATACATTTACTTGTCTTATTTTGGCGATTGAGTGTTTCCGTGCGCGAGTGTACCTCTCTTGGTCCTGTGTAATGACTGGCTGAAAGGTACTAAATGATGACCAGTGTTTCGCCTAAGATGCGGTCCAGCTTTTCTTCCTAGTTTACGACTACCTCGTGCTGTCGTACATTGTAAACCTTCCGTATGTCCTGTCGTCACTTCACTTCTATGATTCTTGGAATCTATTATGATCCCTGTCTTTAGCCCAAGTCGGCTAAACGGTATGCGCGATTCTACCGCTGTACTCATGACGGCGCAGTAAGACTATATCATTTAGACTAGCCCTTCGGCTTGTTCGATTGCCTCTCTGCTCAAGCACCATTTATTCTGCAGTCAAGTGTCAAAAGCAAGTGCATACACATCTGTCGGCCACCACTCTCCCTAACTGGTCAAAAATATCTGCTGCGGATCAGATGGGAGGTCGGTCGCAGTAAACGCTCGGAGCAGACTCTGGGCCCCTGTCTGGAGGTGTCAGTTATATGACACATCTCCCAAGAAGCAACACTCTTCACCTGAAGGGCCTGATTAGGGCGCGGCGCCGCGCTCACATAGTACTTGGTGAGCGCCATCATACTTATGCTGTTGTACGTTTTTTTATTCCTAATTTCATTTCTTTCCTTAATATGAGTGTTTGTTTTGGGTCACTGAAATCTTTTTGGTATGAAGAGGCATCGGTATGTAGGATGAGATTAGCGGTCCATTTTAGCGAATGATAACTCTTGGTATCCCAGGCATCGAAGACCAGCAGGGTCAGGCCAGTTCGCACTAATAATAGACTGGCGGATGTAGACTTCTGCTCTTCAGCTATGCATTATATCAAGGGATCGTGGTCGGTGACAGCTCGCGAAGTTGATCTGAAAGTGGGGTATGCAAGGACGATTTATCTTTCTACTTAACCTGTTTGCTGATATAGGTGATTGGATCACTCAAACTCATTCTTTACGATAGACAAAGAGAAATGTACATAATAACCTAGTGGTACGACGGGCGTACTATAAATATCAGCAATACGATGGGCGAGTGGTGATTAACGCCATAGCTCCTTTCTGGCTACGTCCCAATGTGGCTCTTTTTTACCCCACCTATGCAAGATATAACGCCCGTAATAGCTGCAGATGTACCTTATTGCTAGCATCTCCGCGGATTCATAGGCCAATGATTATGGCCCAACAGGGTGTCTCGTATGACGCCAATATTGCATGGTTCTCGATGGCCATGTCTTAGAATGACACAATGTGGGGTGATGGACTTCTGCAGCCGTTGCAGATCTAAGCATACATATATTAGTCACTAAGCACGCAGCAGACCAATATCAGCATGCAGGGTAGTTCTTCATCCTCTACAATGATTCTAGGTTCATATTATACTATAAATGGGACATGGAGTTTCATGCTGACAAGGAAGTAGATCCAGAGTATTCCAAATTTCCTTTCACCCGGCCGAACGGCGATGAGCTACCCGCAGAGTTCCATCGTCTTCTTCGAGAATGTCCTGTTTCTCGAGCAGAATTCTGGGACGGAAGCCATCCGTGGTTGGTGGTGAAGCATAAGGACGTGTGTGATATGCTCATCTATCCTAGACTATCCAAGGTACAGCCAGGCTCGAATATTTGTTCAGTATACGTAAGAAGTTAACATTGATGAAAGTTCGTCAGCGAGAAGGCTTTCCGGAGATTTCTCCCGGTGGAAAGACCGCTGCGAAAAACCGGCCAACATTCGTGGATATGGATCCACCAGATCATATGCGTCAGAGGTACTTGCTGACAATATGTGCGCATGGACTACCTGAGACTAATGTGCGATGAAGGACCCAGGTCCTTCTTCACAAAGGAATATGTGAAGTCCCAGCTTCCGTTCATTCAAGACACTGTTCAGCGTTATTTGGATGAGTTGATTGCGGCAGGCAATGACCAGATGGAAGTCGATCTTGTGAAACATTTCGCTTTACCAACCCCCGTCACGTGTGAGAAAACTGCTCCTAGTTCCTGTCCTCTGAAATAATATGCTGACACTACAGCAGATAATCTATTGTACACTCGGTATACCTGATGAGGACTTTGAATACTTAAGCAGCTGTGATGCCACGCGAACCAATGGAAGTAGCACTGCTGCGGCTGCTCAAGCTGCCAACAAGTAAGCTAGCTTTATGTCAGGTATTGTACATTGAGGGTAACCCTGAACTACAGAATCAACGCAGGCAACTCCTGGACTACCTTAAGGGATTGGTAGATAAAAAGAATTTGAACCCCAGCAAAGACATTATAAGCACCCTGGTCCTGGAGCAACTGAAGCCAGGCCATCTTGAGAAGCTCGACATCGTCCAGATTTGTTTCCTCCTTTTAGTAGCTGGTAATGCTACTGTAGTTGGCATGATCGCCTTGTATGAGCAAACGCCCAGACAAAGGAAAAGGTACGAGGGTTCAGTCTGATCCAATTGGCTCTTTAGGGCGTGGTAACCTACTCGAGCACCCTGATCAGTTGTCATGTGAAGTGGCTCGGTACTAGGGTTAACCTGCATCGTGAAATGTCATAACGTTGGTTTGGTGATAGTTGGGAGAGTTGGACATGATTGTTGGCAACTTGATCTTCCCTTTGATATCGCTTTTCGTGTACCATCAGTAACCCTAACAACTCCCATTTACTAGCATCCAGAAACCACAGCTTAATAGCATAAAATCAGTTCAGGAATAGGTTACTAAAAACTTGGCCTAACCGGACAATCCGTAGCAATTTATAATATAATCAACGGATTGAGAATTCATGGATAGTGGAGCCAAAGAGGGTAAGCACATGTTGGAGGACACGGTAGATTTTCACCTCTCGCGACCTCCTTTTCGAGCCGAAATGTTGTTCATATATTACCCGTTGTCACTACTGAAAGCTGACTTGAAAGTGGGAAATCTGGACCAAGTCGTAAAGCTTGCATTCAAAGATACTATGCCCCGTGGACCAACGCATGATACCACATAGGTTCAAGAGCACCTGCTCCCAGCCACTTTTTAAAGTGAGACCAAACCATGGAGCTGAGTTAACGTACAAGAAAGGCGAAGGTGCGTCTGACTCAAAATCTTGGAGATAATCATCGCTGGTCTCAAACTGCAGAAAACCCATATAGTGCTGTGCAGCATTAATAAACAAGAAGCTGACATATGGCATTAATGTATGCAATGATATATGCAAGGTAGGCAGTATGGATTGAGTAGGGAACCTGAAGTCCCTGAATACCTGCTATGGTCGAATTCCTTGAGTTTGTCAGCTAGTCTGGCCCCCAGAGCCTCGCAAGATCGGCTACCCGAAACACTCGTCCGAGATAGTCGGTCACTCATTAACCTGGCATTGAAAGTGTCTCTTAGCATCCAGTATAGCTATGCGATATTTTGTGATCTTGGAGATACCGTTTGATTCTTCCCGGAAGCAGAGCCCGCCGTCGTCAATAGCTACTATCTTCCGCTGTTTGACAGGAGTAGCCGCGGATAACCTGGCTTTGGTGTCTCGAAATTCGACAATGGCTGGAAGGATAGGTGGATTTTGGGGCGGTGCGAAGTATGGTATATGGCAAATATCGTAAAATGCGAGTCACACAGTTTCGTCCTCCAACGAGGCCAGGGCCGGGCGCGATTCAGGGTCCATAAACCCCAGTGAGGATGTCCGCTGAGAGCTCTCCGTCAGTGGACTACTGGATCCGATTTGGATCATGCTTGAGTCGACGTAATCTTCCTGAAAGGTTTGACGTTTGACACGCTTTGTTCTCGACTCTCTTTCACTATCACCCTTTCGGAGCTATCTGAGACGCCTCTCTTGCGGCGATCTAGGTTGCCTATAGAACAATAGCCGCAACAGGGTTATGGTCATATTCACTTTGGATACTTTACCGGCCTCTACTAATCAGGTCGAAAGTGATAGACATTCCCAACACTATTCCTAGGCTAAAACATTGGAACGATAGGTCCATAGCACAGTCGCCTCCACGTACCCTTCGGTACAGCCCAACGTACTGCCTCCTTAATATCCAGCACGGTGGTTCATAAGTCTTGCTGACAAGTAACTTTGACCTTGACCAATTTGGGTTAATCCAAGCAGACTATTAAACTAGCATCAAGGTCTGACCACCAGTGTAACCATTAAATACTCCTGAGTAGTTAGCGGGTATGCATTGTCAATGGGCTAGAGGACTTAGCCCGACTAATCTAACCGTATTGAGAATACTTGCACTTCAAACAACCCTGCTTAGAATCTCTTAAAGTGTGCGGCCATACCGATCTGCTAATATTATTCCTCCATTTAGAATAGCTTTTAATGCACGGCAATGTTGCAGAAAAGCAAATACGAAGATGTGTCTCACTCGGAAGGCGAGGGGTAATAAATAATTCTCACATTCTCACTGGCGTCGGCCACATTCCACTCTGGGGTTATCCCTCGTTTCCGCGATCACCGTCTTCTCCCTAATTACATGTTTTTGCAGCATCCCGAGCCATCTAAGTGACTACTATTATGTTCATGTTATGATGCGACTTCTATGTTTCTTCCTTCTTTGTATTCTCCAAGATGCTACTCATGCGGCGAATCCCCTGGTGATGAACTGGTCATCACAGGCATACGGCCCAGATGGCCCATGGCAAGCCGTGACGATAGCAGTGGGCAGCAATAGACAATCAGTCGATCTTTATCCCGGCGCCAATGGGGCCTCCACCATTTTCGCAGACTCAATTTGCTCGAACACAACTCTCTCGGCAACATGTTACGCCGCACGCGCAGGCACTTATAACCAGAGTGAATCGACCACGGCGTTGCCCTTGAATCGGAGCTCGTGGGAGACCGCTTATTGGAACGTGCAAGGAGGAAGTATACAAGGTTTTGTTAGCGACCAGGTCAATGTTGGTTCTGTCATCCCAAACGTCAGCTTCACGGCGGTCTATCAAACATACCAGACCTATCCCAACGGCAAGGATTATCCGGTACCCGTCGGAAACCTAGCCTTAGGTGGGCCGTATTTGAAAGATATGGTGTCGGGCTTCGGACTCGACACGATCGCAGCGTGGCTATACACCTCCGGGGGGGAAAAGAGTATTCCATCTTACTCGTTCGGAATGCATATCGGGTCTGTAGATCCAGCTGTTCCGGGATCTCTGGTGCTAGGTGGGTATGATAAAAGCCGGGTCCTCGGGGGAGTGAGTTCACAGCCGGTAAGCTTGTCTTCTTATTCTAGTGGCATATGGCAGATTGTATTGAAGGATATTGGACTGGGCGTTGCGACAGGAGGGTCGCCCTTCGCTTTTACGAACAAGAACGGGCTGTTCATGCAAAACAGTGGCGCCGTGCTAGCCAAGCCAGCCACGATTGACCCAACAAAGCCGTATATGTATCTTCCAGAAGCCACCTGTGATGCGATCACTTCGTCCTTCCCCGTCTCGTTCAGCAATGACTTGGGCCTGTACATCTGGGACACGACCCGCAGTGACTATGCGAATATCACATCCTCCGCGACTTATCTTGCCTTCTCGTTCAATAAAGATGGCCTGAACGATCAGACGATTACAGTCAAGGTTCCCCTGAGGCTGCTCACGCTTACGCTGCAAGACCCGCTGGTCGACCGCAACGTCACATACTTTCCCTGTTTCCATTCAACCGATACCCCGGTTCTCGGTCGGGCCTTTCTGCAGGCCGCATTTGTCGGTGTCAATTGGTTCGAAGGAAACAATGCTGGTACATGGTTCCTGGGCCAAGCGCCCGGTCCGGGTCTCCCCGATGCGGATATAACAGCCATTAATCCCAAGGACGCCACTCTTGCCGCATCGGACAGCCCCTGGGAACAGAGTTGGGCTAAATACTGGCGTCCCCTTCTGGAGCCCGGCTCGAATAACTCAACCAGCCCAACCAGCTCGAACGGTGGTCTTTCCACAGGGGCAAAAGCCGGGATCGGCATTGGAGTTGGAGTCGCTGGAGTTGTTCTCATTGCCGGGGCAGCATGGGTCGCGATGCAGCGTCGTCGCAAGCATCAGCCAGCCCCTGTAGAGCAAAGGAAGCCCATTTTTCGAGGATTTGCTGAATTGCCTGTTTCGAAGAACCAGGATGGATTTCCAAGGGAATTGGGTACTAAAGAGAATGTGCAGCCGCAAGAAATGGTGGGCTCCCAACCACTACGGCATGAACTTCAGTGAGGTTATTTGTATTTTTGATTCCCATGACACACCCCCCCTTCTTAATGACCACTGTCACAATTACGATGTTGTATGCTTTTCTATTTCTCTTGTTCCGTCTACATGAGTTTGGCAGGTTTGTACGGAGTTGATATCTAAGTATGAAGGAGTATTCAGCAAGGGACAGCCGTGGAGAAGAAAGGAATCCGTAGGTTTGGTTCGAACCCGCAATGCTGAGACTTGACAGGTCCTGAAATGCATTCAGCTGTACAACTAACTCATGGTGCATAAAGTGCCCTATGTTTCACGTTCAATAACTGCCCGTGTTCTCGAAAGTCTCAAGGATTGTCAATGGCATCTCAATCACACGGACAAAGATTTTGACGCACATTTTCCCGTACAGCCATGAGAATGACGATTGACGTGTAACTATTTCCATGGCTATCGTGTCAATAAACCGTGAAGTTACTATAGCACAGACGACTAAATTGCTTTTTATTCAAGCTGGCTCCAACAAATTCGAGAGCGTCGACACTAGAAGTAAGGAAGCAGGCAAGGGGCCAACACATAACACAACCCAAGCTCAAATGACAAGGCCGTTATAGTAACTGGAATGGATCGACTCTGCAGGCGCCCGCCCCACAGGCCTTGGCGGACACAACGAGGCGTCTGACTTTTTAGATACTGCTACCCATACAATGAAATTCGTTTTCATTTCCTCTTCCTCATATGTCTGTCTCCCAACAATTTTGTACGAGAAAAACAGCTTCAAAATAAGGGAAAAGAAGAGCAGGTACGAGAGAAACAACTCCAAAATGGGAAAAATGAACTAGAACTCTTGGAAAGACGGGCAAGGTTACGAAATATAAATTTATGGATTATAGTAAGCAGTTAATAAATAGTTAAGCAGTAGTAAATAAATGGTTTATAAATGCTTGAAACTTGTAGCTTAAGGTAGTGGGTATGGAATATGTCATGCATTGAAAAGTTTAGAAGCCTCGTAATATAAACCATGAGCGGTATTGGGCATGTGCACCGCTAGGTATATCAATCACATGACCAGTTTCGGGGCGGCCGACCTTCTGAACGAGGGCTGCTGCCCTGTAACCTGACTCTGCAGCAAGGGGTATTGACATACGTCGCAGTGCAACAGAGATGTGTACCGTGAAGGGCATATGGCCTCCCTATAAAACTTATATACAGTGGGCAGGGAATGGTATCACCGAATCTTTGCCCGTATTCATCCAGAATCGCCAATTTTGGAGAATCATACACCTTCCCATAGAGCCTACTACCGCCAGTGATGATAATTATCCCCCTAACGATTGCATGGGTGGTCCTTGCCATTTGGCAGCTCTACCGGGCCAGTAAGACGAGAAGTCGGCGCAGGAAACTTGCCCAGGAATGGAATTGCCAGCAGAGCTCCCATTTCCCCGGTGGTGCGTTTGGTATCAACGTGCTACGCCTATTAAGAGGCGCTCACCTCGAAGGACAAATCGCACACTTACACAGAGAGGGTCATTTACAGTACGGTAGCACCCTCGATGCTAACTTTCTCGGCCACAATGTCATCTCCACCACCGAGCCGGAAAATATCCAGGCCATCTTGGCCTCGCAATTCTCCAGTTTCGGGTTGTCTCAGCGGCGCCATCCGCAATACCAACCGCTACTTGGGGAGGGCATATTCACCTCGGACGGGAAGGCCTGGGAGCACTCGAGGAAGTTATTACGGCCCCAATTCACAAAAGACCAAGTATGTCCGATACACTTCGGTTCAGGCTTTGAGCAGGCCCGCACATCTCTCGCCCCTATCTAGCTAACGAAAACACTGGGTAGCTCCCCGCCCTGGAGTGGTTTGACTGCCATTCCGAACATTTTATGCAAAGTCTGCCGTCCGATGGCTATGCCTTCGACGCTCAGGAGATTTTCTTCCGACTGGCGCTCGATACTGCAACCGACTTTCTGTTTGGAGAATGCGCCAACTCTCTTCTCTCCGCTGGTTCAAACCAGACAGGGGTCGTGGAAAAAGGGGTCGGTGAAGGACAAGGCTTTGCAGAGGCCTTCGACCACGCTCAATATGTTCTTTTCCAGCGTTCATTGGCGTTCTCATTCTATTGGCTTATTAATCCAAAGCAGTTTCGAAAGGCCAACTCCACGGTCCACCGGTTCATAGATTACTACGTGAACAAGGCTCTTCAATGCGATCAGAGCAACGGCAGTCCTCAAACTAAGGAGAAAGGCCCGGACTACGAGCGATATTATTTTCTCCGGGCGCTAGCTAGCCAAACCAAAGATCGAAAGGTGCTGAGAGATCAATTGGTGAACGTCCTTCTAGCCAGTCGGGATGATGTCGCCAGCTTGCTCAGCTCGATCTTTTATCTACTAGCGCGGGACCAACTCGCGTGGAAGAAGCTGAAGGAGGAGATTTCTCATGCGACAAGCCTGTGTAAAGATAAAATAGGCCTGGAGGAGATTCAGCGTCTTCCATATCTTCGAGGAGTGGTCCACGAGGGTGAGCGATCGCGCATGCACGCCTATTTTCCTGCTAACCCTGTATATAGCACTAAGACTCTTCCCTCCAGTTTCTCTTAACGCTCGTGTTGCACGACATGATACAACCATCCCAGTCGGAGGTGGCCCCGATGGCCGCGCCCCTGTCTTCGTATGCAAGGGTCAGACCATTCTATACTCAGTCTGGGCGCTTCATCGACGCCTGGACCTCTGGGGCGAAGATGCTGAGGACTTTCGGCCGGAGAGGTGGGTGGCGCGAAAGCAGACCGCGGGGGAATTCCTTCCGTTCAATGCCGGGCCTCGAGTCTGCCTTGGGCGTAAGTTGATATTACGTTTTCGTCTTTCGTCTTCTATTCCAGCCATTCTACCTTACTAAGCATGAATGAAGACGATACTGATGATTGTTGATACAGAAAAATTCGCTGTTATCCAGGTTAGCCACCTGGTGTTTCGGGCTGTGCAGCAATTGGATAGGTTGGAGAGCGCTGATACAGGGCCGGACATGGGCATGCGTCCTCCCATGCGGCAGACGCTGACCATGTGCCATAAGCATGGGGTCCAAGTGCGCGTGTACCGAGTTAAGCATTAGAATATGGTTTATTCGTAGGTTTGGGGAGTGGTGGTTATCGTGGTAGGTGAGAATCTAGGCCCCTCGTCTATCCTCCATCTTGCCCCCGACTCTTTAGGCTTTGTTTGTGGACTTATCATAAGACGAAGTCTAGAAAAAGAACTATGATCTATGTTATTAAATACATAAAAATTTGCCATCCTAGTTATCTACTGTATATAGATAGAAAGAAAGGGTATTTAGCCCTTTTCCTTGAAAAAAGAGAGAGAGAGAGAAAAGTAGAAAGTAAAATCCACATTATCTGGCTAGCCCCTGCTTTACGTCTTCTTTTAGTAATTATCGATTGGATACAGGCCTTTGCGAACACGTACACCACAAGCATCTAGTGTGTACAGTGCTACGGAACGATATGCAAGGGGGTGACAAGTGATAACTTCTGGGGCCAAAGACAGACGCTTAATGCGGGCATGTCTGTACGAATTCCCGTGCAATCCACCGTGGAACACAGGGTTGACAACCCGGTCATCAGCGACGGACTATCAGCTGCCAACGACCCCCTGCGTAACTTACCTCCTAGCAGCCGTCAACCGGCCACTGCGAATCTTCCGTCCTAAGGAGCGGTGGGTTGGGTACTTTTCCTATGTCTATTCCGGAAGGCAACGCTGCCGTGTTCCACCAGCAGTAGCACTACTTCATATTAGGGACCAGTTGTGTCACCTCGACGCGGATACTTCACCAAGTCCTACCTCGCTTGCTTATAAAAGGGCTTTCCCTCAAGTTAAAACCCTGGCACTGGATTCCAACAAGATAATGCACAAAGTCATGTTTCCTGCGAGGCTCAGGAGTGGCTTGAAAAGCATGGAATTTTAGGTGTTGGAACGGCCCGCACCTTCGCCCGATTTAAAACCCTATGAAGCGTACCTGGAACCTGCTTAAGAATAAACTTTTACAGCTCTATTTAGAGATTTTCCTAGGCGGTAGATCAAACATTGACTGGAGGTGATTTAGGGAGAGTATTCGAGCTGCTTGTTGGGCTATACCCCAGGAGATCATAGGTCGGCTTATTCGCTCTATACCACGCAAGCTTCGGACTGTACACCTGGCACATGACTTGTATACAAAGTATTAATATCAGAAGTTATATATAGTTATATATCTCAAAGGTGGATTCGAGCGTGCTGGATTAGTTGAACAAATCGAATTGTTGAGCATTGCCATTGTGGCCCAAATGATGGGTGTAGTCAGGCTTTTGACCCCTACGTTTACGAATGATTTTTGCACAACACATCACTAGTGTACTTGGATTGTAAGAGGAGGCATTCTGACACTAGGAGATTTGTATCGATTGTCAACACAGAGTTGCTGTGATACTTGAAGTAAACCATTTCTATCCGATTAGACTGTGCAGTGGGTAGTTTTATATGTAGCCGTAAATCCGTACCATTAATTTCTGCTTCACCCAAACATACCCTTAGCATTGGAGTAGTCAGCATGTATAACCCTTAAATGGGCAACTAATTTAACACTGCGAAGCTGTGTTTAGTCCCATACAAGAAAGTAGTCCTGGAACGGAGTCTGGTCATTCATTTAGGTAGTACTTTTGGTGACTTGAAACAAGGCCAGTGACAACTCGAAGGCCTAGTTGGACATTGTGAAATCCTCCTCCGTTAGGAGGGACCTTTATTAGCATATTTTCTTAGCGTACTTCTATTTAAAATCAACAACTTGCTCCGCATGCTCAGTTGGGACTATCAAAGGTGAGGAAGTTTTAATAATATGGCGCTCGGCCGTAGTGCTGGGAAGTATCGCTAGTTACTTCCCTGGTCTGAGAAGAATAAATCTCTCTCCCTCTCTTTCTTCAATCATACCTGGCAGAATTATTTACATACACGGTCGGCTCGACCGAGGCCAGCAATCAGAAAATATACAATACAAAAGGTAAAAATACCGACAGAATATCGCCGGCTCTTAGGTCAACATTTCAGAGGCCCCCTTTTTATGATACGGCTAGATTCGTTTCGTGGAAGAACTCAAACACCACAAGGAAAAGATGCTCAGCGGCACTGCAATGACAAAGCACTGCCAGAAATGCTGGCCGCCCGGCGCAAAGTCGTCGCTCATGCTATAGAGGCCAGTGACAAAACTGAGCGGTGCGAATTCGTAGACTAGGTAAGTGAGCATTGTGCCACTCGGAGCCTGAGCCCATGCACGTCTTGCCTCGGCGAGTTGTATTAGGCTTGTTACTAACTGGTACAGCCCTTTCGAGTCGGTAGGAGCAACAGTTCATGGCCTCGGAGGTGGCGTTATCTTCCACAAGATCGTTCAGTGCCTGCGATATTCCGTGCTAGCAGGTTTTGACGCAACGTCTCCAGCTGCGAAGTATTCGGAGATCGGGTGTGAATCGGTTGAGATTCGGAGGTTGAGCGGACATTTCGTCCATAACACCTTCATAGTCTTTCAGACTGATACCCGTGCCAGCCAGGCAATCAGTCCCTTCAAATTCCACAATACGATCTGGGTGATATACCATGGATAGAGATGAGGGACTATCAACGCTGAAATTTGGGGGGAGGCTCTCCATCATCCAGTAGTATGTTAAATTCTCTAACAAGCTGCACCGTGGCGGGCATGATGACTTCTCTCTTGGCACAAATAGCACAATACGTGTTCATAGCCGCCTCCATACAGTTGACATGATATAGGTGAAGGGATAAGAGCCCCTGCTCTGGTACTTGAGCACGAGATGGTAGTCATTGATACGGGGGCCTACCAGGACCAAACCAGCGGGTCTATGAGCGTATGAGATGGTGAGACATGGTTACAGAACCAACCGCTGTCTTGTTTACCGGGTGTCTTAAAAAGAGCGCAGCAGTTTTGGACCAGTGTAACATATGTGTTATCCTGGGCTGGTGGGAGCCCGGCAACTCCCTTTTCACATTAGTGTCGCGATGTTGACGTTGTGTTGAGCAAGGATCTTGTAAGGCGGCTGCTCGGTAACAGCAGACACTTGTCGTGGACTTGTTCTTTAACCTCGACGGCAAAGCGATATGCTCATCGCCATGTCCTTGCAAATGTGTCACGAAGAAAGATGGCTCAATATGGAGTAAGTAACGGGCCCAGCATTTCCACAAGGCCACGAGTCAGATCCGCCACTGTCAAAATCCGCACCGCACTGGAAACGTGTCATTTCCTGCTAATATAGCCCATAGCTGCTGGGGATTCAGACTACGGTTAGCTAGGCGTTGGGTCTCCTGAGAATTCTAGCACACCAACGCTGCAGCAGTTGTGATCTGCATTAGGGTCGTCCAAAACCTCCGCGAGGGCAGACGGCAATGGATATCTCTTTATCTGCTCTTGGACTGTGTCTCGATCACCGTTCATTTTTGTGAAGCATCGTATCAACCAATCTTAGCGATGAGGCTGAGCGGATATTAGCTTAGCGTCGATCGAAAGCCACCGAGCTTAAAAGGCTCAGGCATCAGGTTGGGTGCCTGACTGGCCCCACGCAGAGAAATTGGGGCCAGTTGGATTTTCAATTGGATGAACATGTCGGCGCAATTGACAAGCCAGCTGGCCTGTTTGGTGAAAGATATCTGAATAGTTAGGAATGGCGCTTTTCCAAGTAAATTTTTTTCTCCAAAATCCAAAGATTTTCGGTAATATGACTGGGTGTCCTTTCTGTCCTTTTTCCTACAGGTCATTTATATACTCCAGGGTCAGGAGAAATAAATGGTGGCACATACGGAGCAAAGATACGGTACGAGACGCTAAAAATAACAAGTGGTAAAGTGCAGCCTCGTGTTGCCCACCAATAGGGCGGCACGTGTCCCACCTTTTCTCCTCTTCGTCTTCGGCGGATTCTCCACTTGCAATCAATCCAACAGTTGAACAACAACACAATCCCTCTCCATCCCCATTCCAAAAGTTGGAGGTACTCAAACCTCCTGATTGACCTCCTTCGACTTTGTCATTCACTCTGTACAAGTCGCTCCCTTTCATACATTCTCCGCTCCCCCTTTTTTTTTTTCACCTTTCCCTCCTACCACCCCATTACCCTCCTCCATGCCCCTCTTTAAAAAAAAGCCGAAGACTCCTCCTACGACTAAGTCTCCTGCGTTCCGATCAGTCGAACATCTCCCATCTTCGGTCGTATTCCCCGACGATCTCGACCACCGCTTTTCCGTCTCCACCAACGAACCTGTACCGCCGCTGCCCGTTCAACATCCAGCGCATTCTTCGTTCGTTCATCGTTCGCAAAGTCAACGTCGTCCCAACACCTTTGCGAACAATTCAGTAGTCCCGCCCTCCTCCACTGCTGCGCCTCCGCGCATTGTCGATGCTGACCCTTCCGATCAGACGTGGTCGCACCCCCCAGTTGAGAAACCTGAGGAGCAAGAACATCCGCGACGGTCCAGACGGAACCTCTTCTCTTTGCACTCTGCCTCTTCACAGCCCCCCAGAGAAGCGACAGGCTTCTTGGAGCGCAGTCGCTCCGTGAGGAAATCTTCTCCGGCCCCGCAAAGACACGAGCAGCGTCCCCTCTCGGTGGATACAACTACCGACCCCCACCCCGCGTCCAGGTCCAGGGAGTATGTGGTAGATTCGACCCAAGACCCTTCAAAGTCACCCATGCCGCAGGAACAAGTTCCGCACGAATCTCGACCTCCTCGCTCGCCGCAGGCCCCGTCTATCCACCGATCGAACACTGACTCGACACTTCTCGAGAATATCTACCGCCCCTCCCCTGTTGATCCCAAGCACCCGACCGAGTTAACGCCGGCCTCCGCTCAACAACACCAGCTGGGCCCTCGTCCTCCATCGCGGCAATCATTAGGCCCTCCGTCGCCGCTGCCCCCGCCGTCCAGCCAACCAGACCCTTCTATCACACAGAGTGCCATGTCAGACCGCCCGTCCAGTGGCCAGCAGCACGGCCCAACGGCAACCCCGCCATCAGGGGGTCATGCGCCGTACCCACAGGGAAATAATACTCAAGATGCCGGAGCGCGCAACAGTGCAGGCCCACAGGCGGAACCAGGCCGCAGCACGCCGACATCTAATCGCAATCGCGACGAAGGGGAGATTGACGTGCGGGCCCTGATTCAGAAGCACGACGAACTTCGTAAGACTTCCCTCCAAAAGATCTTTTTGATATAATGCTGACCTACTCCTCCAGAGGTGAAATATTCTAAGGTTAAACGGTATTATTTCGAGAAGGAGGCTCAGGTGCAGCATTTGCAGAATACCGTTGCCCACCAGCGCATGGCCGTGTCGCGTACCGTGCTGGATGACAACGAGTATGCTAACCGGTTCGGCCGTCTAGACGGCGCCATTAAGGACCTGGCATTCGCGTTCCGAAAAGACTGGAAGAGTCTCCCGAGGTGGCTGGTTGGATACGTAAATGATGATGCGCACATAACAGGTACGAAAGAGATGACCGCGATCGGTCGCGCGGTGGTCAGCCGGTGGCTCGTGGACGAGCTTTTCGAACGTTTTTTCCACCCGGCACTAGAACCCACCTTCAGTCGGCAGTTGAAAAGCATTGAGATGAACCTGCGCCGGCAGCAGGGCAAAAGCCTCACCGATGAGGATAAGGAGAATGAAATCGCTCGCATTTCCAACTGGCGACGGACGACCCTGGACGGCCTCGCAGACGCGCTACAGGGCCCGGCTGCGGATGAGTACCGGTCTCAACTGATCGACTATTTGGTGAATAACCTGGTTGCGAATCTCGTGTGCTATCTGGGTGATCCTCCGCCGCCAGGGTTGGACAACGGTGCGCGGATGATTGTGGAGAACGCCATCGGTATCGCGGACAAGATTCCCTTGGAGTCCCGCGACCTATGCGTTGAGTACATCCATCCCGGCACCCTTCTCCACGAGGCCAACATGAAAGTCGAGGCCGGTCTGCCACCACTAGCCAACGTGAGCGCCGAATCCGTCGCCGTGCGAAGATCCGGTGACCACGAGCATCCCGAAGGGCCGCCTGACGAAGCCGACGGAGAGTCATCCGGGTCGACGAGTCAGGAGGGCACCCCGGGAGGGCCGCATGGCGGACGCGAACAACGGATGCGGTCCGTCTTCAGCACGCTAATGGGACGGAGACCGAACCAAGGCTCTGCTCCGGGCCCTGGTGGCACCGGAGATTCGCGCCCTCCCACGGCGATGGAGGAACGGAACAGCTTGGGGGCCGGACGGATTCGGTTTGCGTCGTTTGTAACCGCGGAGGTCAGAGGACGAGGTCCAATGAATGTGTTGGTCAAGGCGCCTGTATATCTGATGGACTAATGATGATGTACATGTTTAGAGCTGCAATTACGATTCCTCTATTATGATAGCGTGCAGATTATTTGCAGCGGTTTTATCAAGCCGCAGGTCACGTCATTTGTCTATTCTGTTGAATGAAAAGTACTGGTTTACACAGTGTACAGTGCCTGCATAGTGTAAATGCAGAAGAATCGGATAAAGTACAGAACGACTCTACGTCCATCTCTAGAAGATCCACATGACCACAGGCCATGCAGAATAAACCTGACCCACCTGTTCCCATAGGAAATCAACCTTCCACATATCACTCCCCTCGACGACCCTCACCCAACCATCTCGCCGCTAATACAACCCCTTCTTCACCATCCCCCTCCGACACATCTCCAAAACCCTCGCCTGAGCAGCCACCTCCCCCAGAGCCCCGACCACCTTCCGATTGCCCCGCACAAACCCATAAAGCGCATACGGAATCCCCACCTCCCTACAAAACCCCATAACCAGCCTCTGACACTGTCTCAAATTATGCCTCGGGATCCTGGGATACAAATGATGAATTGCCTGGAACTGCAACCCTCCATGCACCCAATCCAACCACTCAGGACAATCGACGTCCATCGTGGTGCGGAGCATCTTCTGGGGGAAGGATTCCCCGGGCCCCAGATCCGTCGTCGACATCGCGAAGTGGGAGAGCGTGAATTGCACGTGCAGGGGCATTGTCACGCCGTGGCTGAGGAGGAGGTAGAGTATCCGTGTGGGAGTGTCCGGCAGGGATTTGTAGAGGAAGAGGTAGCCGAACCAGGTCCAGAAGATTGCTACGCCGGCGATTTCAAAGTAGCGGTGCCATTTTGCCGGGCCCTGGCGGGGTCCTTGGCCTTTGAAGAGGAAGAGATAGGATTGGAGGTAGAGGTTGAAGCGGCCGAAGAGGAGGATGATGTAGTAAGTGTAGGCTTGATAGGGGACTAGGGATTTTGCGACGGAGGTGTAGGGGAGGGGGCGGTCATGGTAGGTTGAGAAGATGCTAGATAGGAAGCGGTGGTTTACGGCCAGGAAGGGGAGGTGTTGGTTGTCGGGGTCGTGTTCGGGGGCGTTGGTTACGATGTGGTGGACGTTGTGGGATCGTTTCCACCAGCCGAGGGAGAGGCCGCCGATGGGCGCGGCGATCAGCATCCCGATTAGGCTGTCTATTGTGAAGTTGTGGGTTATGGCGATGTGACCGGCGTCGTGGGCCATGAAGACCATTTGCGACCAGAACCAGCCCAGGAAGAGGGCGCTGGTCTTGTACCAGCCCCTGTGGAGGAGGAGGATCGAGGTGACGAAGAGGAGAGAGCAACGGAGGAATTCCCAGAGGTAGGCTGCGTAGTTGCAGGTGTAGAGGCCTTCGGCCTGGATTTGCTCGTGTAGGAGGCGGTATTTGGCGATGATTTCGTCTTGGGTTGTTGGGTCCAATGGTGGGTATTGGGATAGGGTGAGTTTGATTTCTTCTTTGGTTCGCGTGTCCAGGAAGGCTATTTCGTCTTGGGTGTAGGTGATGGTTGTCTCTGTAGGGCTGGGTTGATGGTGTCGTCTGTGGATGTCTGCGTCTGCATCTGTGGCTTTGGGCTCGATCGAGGATGCTTCGCGCTTTTCATCTACGGTGACAATCTCTTTGTCTTCGTCTTCGTCTCTAGCCGACCGAAATACTCCTCCCTGGATAGGAGGCACGAAGTTCGTCCATCGCCCCTCAATCCTCCCAATCTGATATCGCTCACTCATCCGCCGCGTCTCGTCGCAATGAAAACTACACGCCTGTTAACAATCTGGCCATTGCATCTGACAAAATAAAATCTAGAATGGCTAACACAGTAAATTCATCCGTCGCATCCTTCCCAACAACATGCTGAATAGCCTTAAGTCCCCCAGGATGGTACGGAACCCACGCATCAACACGAAGCACCTTCTGGTCCACAATAATGATCGATTGGCCCTCAGCAATCAGCGCTTCGATCTGTCTGGGTGACAGGATCCCATCTTTGGTTGACTGTTCCATAGTGCAATGACAGATGCAGGGGAGGTGTGTGCGGATGTGAACCACGGTCTGACTCTAGACGTCTGTTTAAGCTTGGTTGGGTCTACGGCCCGAGCAATTCCATTCAGCGTGGGAAGTCGGGGGCTGGGGCTGGGCCATCTTTGGTAGCCGGGTTTCATGCTGAGGGCTGCGTGTTAGGGGCCGGAAATAAATACACCCGAAAAATAAAGGGGCCTTCGGGATATGGAAGTTAATCAGCAAGGCAACAATGTTTCAGATCAGATTTGATATTCGGGGCCTGGCTATATTTGATTAGATACGCAATGCATCTTCTCTGTATACTGCTCTAGTTGGAGAGAACGGTGGTACATAATTAAGGACAGCACGCCACCCAATAGAGAGGAGCCAAATAGCGGGCTGCAAGCTTATTTCTGATGTAACATAGCTCCCATTGTAGGAATGGTCGGCAGTCACTTTGTTTTGTTACTATCTGGACTAACTAGTTTGATAGTACTCTAATTTCACAAGGACATTGCCGTTTCCCTTTATTAATTGATTTGGTGGTCTATATGAGACAAGAAGGGCTATCGACTGGGAGTAGGTAATGGCGTGGACAAAACTCAGTAGAAAGTTAAACTGTAACAATTGATTCATTTTACTGCAATCAGCCCATGATCTCCAATAGAAACAGCGTTGACTGTTCTTGAAAAACTCAACCAGTGTGCTGTAAGTGAATGTTGACGCAAGCGTCGCCATATTAGTCGTTGAGTTGGTCATACTACACACTATAGCAAGAGGCAAACAGGTCGCGAAGCTGGGTGCGGTAGGTTGTCGTACTAAGAGATAGAGGATATCTAGCGTAGTGCCTCTACGGTACGACTGACCTCGAACCTACTAGTACGACGATGCATACCAAAGGCGTCAACCCTACGCTAAGCATTCCCGGATCGCTAACGACAAGGATCACTAGATCCACTTGGTCACATTCATCTATAGAAAAGTCACAATGGCCACACTTGAGTCAGTTCATTTAACGTAATCAACTACCGCTTAGATGCTCTTGCCGTTGATGGAGATAAGCTTGACCTCGCTATTTCATAAAGTGTTAGCCTCGCTTCCCGGGCAAGTATCCATCAGGATAGATAGACACGAGACTTACAAGAGAAGGGTAGCATTGGGAGGGATCAGGCCGGGGAAACCCCTACTTCTGTTAGTATCCCCGATAAAAGCAGAATAATTTACCGACTCAGCCATTGGGGGGGAACATACTGTGGGCCGTAAGCGTAGTCGCTGAGTTCATGGTTAGTCATGGTACAATGTGACATCATAGATCGAACTGATATCAAGACTCACCCGGTGATGGTCAACAGGGCCTTCTCTCCCAAGCTCAGCTGGGGGACGCCCTCATCCCAACCTATTCAATCCTTTAGTAAATATCCACGGAAAATGGAAGGGCAAAAAAAAGGAGTGGAAGGGCAAGAGAAAAGTAGCACAAGGCAATGAAGAATAGCAAGGAAAGCTAACCTTGGATAACTTTGCCAGTGCCAATGGCCACCTTCAGGGGACCCCGAGTGGCGGAGCTATCGAACCTGTTGCACCCGGTTAATTAATCATCCTACATGTAGGAGCCCAGCCAGGGTCAGACATACTGATCTCCCTTGTTCTCGGGCTTGTTGGGGTTGAACAGCCATCCGGTGTAGTGGATGGCGACGTTGTCCTTCACCTGAGGGAAGTCAACACCGTTACCGGGTTCAAGAGTTTGCTTAGTGACGCCCATTTTGAGATATCCGAGATATCTGATCTGATAATCAATAATAGAGATGATTAAGGGAAGAAGGGAAGAAGAGAGAGTCCGAGGGAAAGGAAATCGAGAAAGAGGGGCAATTTTTATAGGAGCGAAGTGGGGCACATGGTATTGGCTCAGTATTCAGTGTGTTATTTTCGTTTAGGGTGCGGGTTTTCTCGGTTGCCGCGGTGTATCTATGTGTTTCCTTCGATATAGTTTCCAGTCTTATTGACTGGGTGTGGTCTTTAGCCTTCGCACGGACGAGCCATTTGGTTATTTGGTTGGATCATCTCATATTGGCTTTTCTTGCTCATTTTCTGTGGGAATCGCGCGTCTTTCCTTTCTTGGCGTGGGATGTTACCTTGATTCTTCTTCTAGCCAATCGTACCACTACTACGTCAATGGAACCTCTTCTATATATAATAGAAAGAAATAATTGGACAGGAAATTCTAGATCTTCAAGTTAGGTTTAATAATGTGTGTTGTTTGAATCCTTCAACCGCCCAAACCAGGTTTTCGAGGGGTAGTCACATGGGGATGAAACCCTCAAGCCTTATCGATAACGGGGCGCTATGCAATATTTATGAACATATATAGACACAGACGACATAGTAATTAACAAAACACGCTGTAGAATTAAATATGACAAGCTATTTGCAGATGACACTCCGGCAGCTAGAACAGTTGGAATAATTATTAGCAGCCCAGGGACATGGTATCAGCGCTGGAGTCTCCATACTCCCCACAAATGATATATATTCCGCGGTGCCTGCTGCTCCACTTTTCATGCTCCAGACGCAACATCAAGATTCTTGACAGGGGCTCCTAGAACTACATTTAGTCAAAGTCAATTATTACGGATAGTTAACGCTGCGGCTCTTTAAACCGACTGCCTTTACTCAGCAGGAACTACAAGTACTGTTTATAGTATTAACAGTATCACACAATCACCAACGAAAACACAGGCCATTTAGATAATGAACCATTCCTCGAGCACGAAATCACCTTCCCATACTATGTCACCACATATTTCGTCCGCTGAAAGCCGAGGGATCCCCCTAAAGTCTCCCACCTAGGCACTTGACGATGCCGTTAACGACACTGCCCGGCTAGACTCATTGAATGTGTCATTTTCGCTACACAACAAACAGAAGGACGAAGATCATATGAGCATTCCCCTAAGGATGGTAGCCCTTGCAGATCAACAAAGACCAACAAACGCCTTATGACGGGGCCTGGGCCCTGTAATCAAGATTCAATCCAAGCCAGGCTGAGTCAAGCCCGTGGATCCCGCTTCGCCTCAGCCTCATTGAGTGGGCCTCACTTCACTCAGCCCCCACCTACAGCCTCATTGAGAGCAATAAATATATTAACACTCCGTTGTATTGACATCCATTCACATCCACCAGGCATCAAGCTATAGCAATATTATATCCGAAATGCCCTGCAGAGTAAGCACTATCCAAGAGATTTGACCATACAGCCAGCTTCCGTCTATTGCTAACCTAGTGCAAAGAGCTAACGCAATATCATCTAGGTTCTCCCCGACTTCGTGAAAGAGTTGAAGCGCGATCCCACTGGTAAGGGATTTCTTCACCTCGGCAAGGATGGCGTATTGCGAACTGCCTCGAGTGAATACGAGGTCGTGGACGCGCGCGGTCTGACTCCTGAGCAGATCAAGACCCTTCTGGATATTTTGCCCTTTGAGGAGGACCAGAGAAGGGAGCTTCAGGATGTGGATGGTTCGCTGGTGACGAGTCATGAGGCGTTGTTTCATCCGGCACCGGGGATACTGCCGGACAAACCTACAGAGGAGGAGGCTGTGCAGAGGCGGAAGTTGATAGAGCAGCAGCGGGAGAAGTATTTAAGGGCGAGAGGCAAGGATTCCTCAGAGAGTTGATCTAGTCAGGGTTGTGCCGATGCGAGGGACTCACGTCGAATGCGCAATAGCACATTGGATTCCGTGGGGGCCTGTGCTGGTTGTGTTCTGATATAAGCAAAGAAATGTATCCTCTCTTATATTAAAGAACTACCCCCGGATATTACAGGAGTCCTAGATTGAAGTAAGATATTGGAAGATACATACAAATTGAAAGTAGGACTTCCAGGCTAAATAGGTTACTGGATGAACTTATGATTAGATAATCATAGACTCGATGGTGGTTATACTGGTCATTCAACATTAAATTCCCTGCTATGCAAATATTTCCAGCAACAGTGCTATGCTAATTTTTGTACGTTTGGTCCACTGTTGTGCCAGCAAAATCCACAAAGCATCAACTAGTTCCAGCTATATAGATACCACCGTGAGCCCTGCAATCAAGCGGACCCTCTGGATATGAAAGTTTACTCCGCATCATCCAACTCCGGATAGTGTCGGTAGATTCCCTGCGAGTATTTCTGTCTTCTTTCACTCGCAAGATACTCCTTGATCCGTGGCCGGTTCTTGACAGCTTCGTAAAGCTTAAAGACATTCGGATACTTACCAGACTTTTCCAATCGGGCAAGTGCTCGAGGAAATGCGAACTTAAGACCATCGACGCCCTTTGATGCGTTAGTATGACCTCGAGTCTAATATCTGACCTCATCAAACGCCTACTAGCGTCCGATCTCAAGAATGAATCCACATACCTGGAAAAGAACAAGATCCGCATACGTCAAACTCTCCCCATACAGCCACGGCTGGCCTTTCGCTGCCTGGGGCTCCAAAACCCGCTCGAAATAGGAGAAGTACTTCGGCAGCCGATTGTTCCGATACGACTCTGCTCTCTTCTTACTCTCCTCCATCTGGTCCTCGTAGTAGAGCTCCGAGGCAACGGGATGATGAGTATCGTGGGCCTCATTACTCAGTCCATCTAGCGCCGTGAGCGCCAGCGAGTTCACATGGTAAATGGCGTCGCCATCGGGCGTGAGGCCTAGGCGCGGGGCGAGATAGAGCAGGATGTTGGGTGTTTGGCTGATGCGAAGATCACCGTGCTTTAACATGGGTGGTGCGAACGGTGGAGGTCCGGACTCATCGCCTTTGAAGTTTTGGTCGATGAGGGAGAGAACGGTTTTCACCCCGCCTTCTTCATGAGCTGTGTCGGTGTAATTGGCGCCGGCTTCTTCTAATGCTAGTCGGATGAATTCTCCACGGCCTGGGATGCTGGGCCAGTAGATTAGGTGGTATGGGCCGTTTGAGTGTTGGGCCATTTTGATTGCTGTTTCTTGTTTGGTTGTGGGTGAAGGGGGAGGTGAGGTGGGTTTGAGATGGAGGTACGAGGTTGATGAAGGAGGACAATATATAGAGAGCGGGGACTTGCTGACTCACATGCGGGGAATGCATGAAGTCATGATATATCATATGATAAATGCTGACAAGAGATCAAAAGATGTCCTCGTATTCTACTTAATTTATCAAGAAGCAAATATTGCAGATACGAATGTGTGGGTCTAGCTTCAAACTTGTAATGTCTGGAGATTGGTGCATTGCACTAGTGTTCCACGGTCGTAGAAACTTAGGAATATAAAAGAGGCACTAGTTGATTAGGTCAACCGTAGCGTTGTAGATAGAAATGAAATACATGTAGAAATCGTCCCACCCTACTTCGTGAACTTGACATCCTTACAGACTGCTGGACTGTTCGTAGGGTGCCATCAGTTTATTGCCGAGAACCTTGGATGGAAAGTCCTCCTCCCCTAGAGTCGTGGTATGCGCCCACGGCTTAAGCCCATTCTCTCGGCGAATAGTAGAAGCAAAGCAGTTGCTCCATTGCTTACGTGGGTAGCGCTGCGACACGTCTTCAATCGTCGATGAATGGACGATGTCAGCATAAGAGCCCGTGTTGTCTGTTTAGGTCAGTTTCAATCGCATCACGGACCCATAGGTATCAAGTCCCCACGGGGCCAAGGGTTCCTGAAAACATACCAAAGATCGTGGCTAATTGCAGCAATTGGCCCACTGCGGTGATCTTGCCTTCCTGACACAGGTCCTGATGCCGGATGATCGCCTCGGCGACGCTCTCCGCTTGGTCTCGGGGAGCTACCGCATTGGTGGACGACTCAGCACGATCCTGTAGGATATCCAAAGCAAGGAAGCCCCCGTAAAACTCAAAGCTCAACTTGGTCTTGTTCAGATTTTCCTCCGTGCTCCCAATGTCATGCAACAAGCAGCAGAGGTAGTAAGTCTCATCAGTAAAGGTCCAAGAAGGGAACACATGCCTCTTGATAGCAAGGCCATAGTGATACACGCGCAGAGAGTGGTTATACGTAGGCTCTGGCAGGTGTAACCGGGCGTACTCCTCGATGCGTTGCGCCAATGCAGTTTGGGGGACGGGTGTGTCCGTTACAGAAATATAGGGCGGTGGAGTGGATGGCTTTGCCGCAGACAAGAGGGCTGTGGCGGAGGAGGCTACTGGAGTGAAGCCATATTGTGTCTCGGAATCCGAAGCCATATCGAAGTCCGTTCGGAAGTTTTTCGGATGTTCGAGTGAGAGTCGTGTTGGGTGCGTTGGCAACCAATATAGTTTGGGTTTGGAGGGAGTGATAATTTTTTTACACCTCTTAACAGCGATGTTGCACCTTTTTATGTTTCTAAGTTTCTTGAGCTGACAAATTCCACTTGGTGTGACTCGACGTCAGTAGCCATTCACGGTAAATTTTTGTATCCATGGTGGCTTGCGAATAGCATGGATGTATATGTTCATGGAGTCTGGACACCAGAAAATGGGATCCACTCCAATTTACTTCCCAGTTAGGATATTCCGAAGTGCGGACTATCATTTCTCCTCCATGACATCATGGTTGAACGTTGTTCTTCTGCTTATGTCATCCTATCTTCTTTGTCTCGAGTTTTGCATCTTTCTTCCCTATTTCCATGAAAACACATTCTAGAGCCCTAAGTAGCTAAATATAACCTGTAAGTATATGCCAGTTCTGGTTGTCCCACTATGCGCGCAACCGTGGGACGAAGTCACATATAAACTCTTCCTGCTGCACAAACCACGCATTCCTGGTCTTCCATGGCTTCCCATCATGTAGGTGAATCTCAAATTCGCGTAGTAGCTGGGGCACGATCTTATGCATCTCCACGAGAGAAATCGATTTGCCAATGCAAGATCGCGCCCCGGCACCGAAGTTGAAGAAGGCCTTTTCCATTTTCTTTAGCCTCTCGGGAGAGCTCTCCAGCCACCGTTCAGGAATGAAAGAGTCCGGCTGGGGAAAGGTAGCTGGGTCCCGATGGACAACCCATGGGTTGATACCAACTATCGTGCCAGCTGGAATATGTTGATCGCAGATTGACATCCCCTGCGGTGGAACCTCACGCTCCATAATTTGCCCAACAGACGGGTGCAAGCGCATGGCTTCTTTCATCACCGCGGCGAAGTACGGCAGATGTGTGATGGACTCCCGGTAGGAGATCGGGTTACTAAGCTTGCCTTCTCGATCCGCTGTGTCGATTTCTGCTTGCACCTTTGACATCGCCGTCGGGTGGTGGATGAGGTTATAGAAAATAGAGCGCAGCGCGATGGCGGTGGTGTCTGATCCAGCGAAGACGTTCGTGGACAGATGGACGATCATATCCCTCGTTGAGAGTCGCTCCGGGTCAGCTGTGTGGATTGCCATCCATCGAGACATCATATCCTTCCCACCACTCTCTTGATTCAGGTCGGACTTTTCAACCTCTGCGTCTCGCTGGAGGGCCATCCGATTATTGATTGCCTTCAAGGTGAATACCACCACCTGGTTCCACGACTCCATCTGGGGAAGTAGTATAGGAAACAGAGGATTCCCAAGGAGAAACTTGTGGGCCTCAGGAATCTGCCCACAGATCGAAGCATACGTAAGCATTCCTCGGATGGCCTCGATCATATTATCTACATCTTGTCCCTGTTCTAGGAACCCCAGCTTCTGGGCGAATGTTATCTCGCCGACGACGTCAAACGCATAGTATTGCAACCACATCCCGAAATCGATCGGCGTCTTCGTCTGCGCCAACCTTTGGATCTGAGACTGAAAGATCTCGGTGCAGGAGTCGATGGCCGACTCCATTTCCAGGATTGAGCCTAGGCTGTACGCACTAGCGATCGGGCGTTTCTGCTCACGATGGAATAGCTCATCGCGCGTGGAAAAGAGATTCGTTTGGGGTGCTTTACCCCATGATATTGACTGGATCGGGAAGAATGCCGTCTGGAGCGATTAGCCTATAGGAGGAAGTTGCCAGCGAAGTAGTATACTTTATTAAACCCTTTATTGAACCCATATATAATGGGAATAGCCTTGGGATCGCTCACTGAAATATGCCTGGGACCGATGCGAACCAAAGGACCGTACTTGCGGTGCAGGTTAATCTCGGTATGGTGATTATCGCCCTTCCACACGTCGTATAGCTTCCATAGTCGTGTATAGGCTGCCAGTGAGGGACCGGGAATCCCAGATAGCCGGAATCGGTTCGTGATCAGACGGACAAGAATCAATCCTGTAATCAATAAAAGGGTAGCAATCTTGATGTCAAACATTGTTGTACTAGGTGCACTCGAGCAACGCCCAATGGTAACAGTAGTAAGGAAGTTCAGTCGAGCAAGAGTCACCCAGTTATTAATAATTCTAATCACATGCACACTACGTTTCGCGACCTCTAGCCTCCACTCCTTAAGAGCAGCGTATATCGACTGGGGTGTAGGTGATTACATTTGCGTAACCCCACATCAAAGTCGCGCGGTACACTGTTGGCCACAGACGGCGGGTCTGCACCCTGGCTAGTGTAGGGCTTCCAACCAATCGAATGGTCGGGAATGACTGGACATCTTCTAGGGCATGGAGCTGGTGTCGCCTATCTCGTGAAGCATGGTTTCAAGCCAATGTCACTTTAGCTGTGGAGTGGGCCGCTGTCTAGAAGCTCCGAACCTGACGAAAAGACCACTGCAGACTTGGTCACGGACCCAACATTCTCGACCACTTAGATGTCCCAGATCAGCTGTGGACCAAATGTTGATCAAACCATATAAAATGAATAGGAAAGCGGGGTATGCAAAAGAAAATACGATAGGGCAAGATTGGCTGCGGAATAACCGCGGGGGTAGAATCGACGACGACCCGAGAACCCTAATACTTTCTGTTGAAGTATCAGCTAAGTACTACCTGGTACCCCGCAGTCAGATCCTGGTTAATAGCCCATAGAATAAGAATAAGCTCGTATTCTTATCCTCAGCATTGCACTTTAGTTCAGCTAGAATTCCTCTCATCGGTTCACCTGAGGTTTTCTTTTGCTTTAGATCATGGCTGGAAGGGTATAGATATAGGTTAACCCTCATGTACTCTTATCGATCTGATAAATTGGCAGAGAAGTCTAAAGGGCCGAATTTGATTAATATCTTGACTTGAAAGGTGCAAACGCACTATTGACAGGAGATGAAATGAGACTCGAATTCAAAATCTGTTGCAAATGCCTACACATCCCTACGAGACAGGACCATGTAGGTAGACCACTGCCTCAACTCTTAAATCTTCAAGGCAGTCTCATTTCATCCTTTGCGGTACTTAGTCGATGTGGATTTACTCTTCAGCATAAGACGTTATATGGAAACAAACGTGGAAGCCTGTAAGTTGAAAGGGACTGAATAAATGCGAGAGCGAGGCTGATGATTAAGGAGTAGTGACCTCTCACAAATTTCCATATGGAGCTTACTTTAGATATTGTACACTTGGAAGTTATAGTCAGTGATAATTTTGTGTGCGGTATAACAACTACGAGTAGAGCCTTGCAGATGAGGGTATATTTAGGTCTAGTAGATGAGCATTTCAATCTCTACTTATACCTTGACAATAATGTAGAATCCTGTAACCCTATGGACCCAACTTAAAGAAGAATATTTAAATGCAGCTTCTAGTAGGTGTGATGGTAAGCATGATTCACATGATGTTAGTGATTTAGTACGAATATTTTCCAGTTCGCCAAAGATGATTAATCAACCATATATAGAAGCTGCTTATTAGCAAGGACTCTTGTTGTAGAAAGGGGCATAGTTCAGGAATTTTACAGGTCACTTTGGCCTTCCAGGTTAAACATATGCACGATACAATAGAAAAGAACTGTTAATAAGCTTCATGGCATGGCCTTTCTTTTTATTTCCACTGCGCAGCAAGGCTGAGAGCCTCTTGTTGACTCCCAACCCCCTCCAAATTGGTCATCTTCAAGAACACCGAGAAGTCTGATAGGAGAGAGATTTGAATTAGCAAATGGTAATCGGCAATGTATTGTCTCGTGCGCGTCAATCCCTTTACCGACTGCGCTTCATCCTACTGCACTGGCCTGTCGAGCGATGTAAGGTGTGTACGCGCGACTATTGTCGCTCTCTAGTAATAATGTAGGTGAGTGGATGCCCAAAGGTCGGCAAGCACCATTGGATGTATAATTTGCATAATTGCGACCCAACGCCATATCGTACATTTAACTAGTGTTGGTCGATACGCACAACGTCGGCTTCTTTGGAGTTGTTTACCTTGGATGGTATATGCCGTCTCCTCGTGACATCTGTCACTAATCTAATCATAACGTCGATAGCTAAATCTAAAATATAACATTTCCCGTCTCAAAGAAGTACCAGCTGGTTGTAGCCTCTGCCCACACTATTGCCAAGATAGCGCACTGGCTTAATGAATCCGTTGGAGGCCATTCAGTGTGCTGTGTACCTGGCAAGGTAATATTACCTTCGCGTGTGCTGGATATTAGCCCTAGCAGTGATGATTTTCCAACGGTGAGACTACATGTAACGGATGCCCAACATCAATGAAGATATACTTGCTTGAGCTGCTGCTGGGGCGGAATGGAAAGTGTCTGTCAGCTAACAGCGAGGAACCGACCGCAACTGACGGAGGGCATATCATGGGACTTCCTCCCTCTGCCTTATTAACAAGTGATCATTATCTCCGGGCGACTTAACATCAGATATATATGGATCGACGCTCTATGTATTATGCAGGATGCTGAGCAAGACTGGCCCGGATTATTTTGTCAGCCACAGGGTCCCCAAATCCAAACAACGTCCTATACTTAACGCTGAATGACGTGCACGGGGCAAGGAGGCATATCCCTCCTTCAGCGCAAAACGACCCTTCAGGAACACCAAGCTGCAGATCTTTACGCGGTTACATATGTCCTCTATACTACGTGGCTTTCTCTACCAACCTCATACTCGTTATTTACGCGCGCATGGGCTTATCAGGAGCGTTTGCTCTCACGTCGCGTTCTCCACTTCACGAAGCAAGAGCTCGTCTGGGAATCTAATAAGCATATCTTACGTCAGTGTGGTCACCTCAACAGTGATGCCAGTGGAACGAAAATTCCCTATCGTGATTTTTCCTAGTCTACAAAGTTCGAAACATACTGGACGAATGTCATCGAACAATATAGCATACGTTTCTTAGCGCATGACAGCGATAGGTTACCCCAACCAGCAGGGATTGCGAAGCGCTTGCATGAGTTAAAGGGAGGCGATATATACTTGGCAAGTTTATCGTATCGCAATCTCTTCAGCGATCTGCTATGGTTTTCGAGGAGGTGCCGACACAGATCATCATCTTGGCGAGCGGCTTCCTGGTCTTGGGCATCCGTTGGTTCAGATGTAGGTGTCTCTCAGGGGTGCTTCACTCCCAGATTTTCTTTAGAGAGTTATAGCCGCGCACGCGCTGACCGAAATGATGAAAGTTGGATTGGTCAACTACGTTCCGCCTCATTGACCGTTCAGGAACGTTTGACCCCTGTGCACCTAGCACACACATTCCGGGGGAGAAGTTAGCATACTATCGAATCGGCCCTTTGTGCCAGACTATGATACCACACATGAGGGCCGAGGTTTCGGTCCAGATGGCGAAATACTCTACCTTCATAAGCACAGAACATAATTATTACGATGGGTTCTTTTGCCTTCGCCTTATTAGTGAGGAACGTCAAACCTACGAGAGAGTGGCTATGCAGATATCTGTAGTGGTAATGAGAGGTCGCTTCTGCCGGAAGGCTTCGAGCTGTAAACATTGACCATCATATAAGTTTTCTAAGACGATGCGCCTACCTCGAAATTTGGCTTCTAACATACATTAGCACGCCGAATTATTTCAAAATAAACACTAAGCACTAGTACAAAATCACACTTAACACCTTATACGAAACATCCATAACCCTATCGTCAAACCCCAAATACGTCCTCAACCTCCGGCATCAAATCCCCTATCCGACTCATCCCCTCCCAATTCAAATCCCTCTCCCCATTGTTCAACTCATCCAAGCCCTTCTCATCTAACTCCTTCATTTCCATCTCCTCACTACCATCTCCCCCTTCTATCTCCCCAACATGCCTCCTAATATCCCCCACCATCCCGGGCAAAGTATTCCCCACCTTCCCCAAAAGCAGCGTCCAAAACCTCCCCCGTCCCCCATGCAACCCATGCACCAACCCACACAAATGCTTCAAATAATCCCTCGGCCCCATCTCAAACCCCGAAGACCTCAACCCAGCCGCCGACAAACACCCCATCACATCCGTCAATGTACACGCCACCTCGAAGATCTTCTCAATAAGCCCAATACCATGCGTCTCCATGCTCGAGCGAGACAGCTTCCACGTCGCCAGGGACAGGTCGCGGGCGATTTGCAGCGGATACCGGAAGTCGAGGCTCGGATGGGATGGTGTGCTGGATAGGAAGCCTGCGCTGGTGGCAAGTTGCCAGATCATGGTGCGGAGCCATTGTTGGGAGACGCGGAGGTCGGCGAGGAGGATGTCGGGGAGGGCGAGGTCTGGTGGCACGGAGTTTTGGAGGTGGGTTGAGAGGTTGATGAGGGTTTCCTTGGTGCAGATTGGTAGGGTGCCTGTCCAGTGGGAGAGGAAGGTTGAGTCGAAGGGGCGGTAGAGGTCGACTAGGTGGCGGAAGCCAAGGGTGAAGGGGTCGGGTGAGAGGATTGTGTCTAGGGTTGGGCTGGTTGGGGTGATTTGCAGGGTTATGGGGCGGCGGCGGCGGATTGCGTGAGCGCTGGGGTTGAGGTTAGTAGTTATCTGAGTAGGGTATTGGGGACCGGGGAGGGTGGAACGAACCGTTCGGAGATTAGGAGGAGCCAGAATAGTTTCCTGGAGAAGGAAGGGTGGTCCTCGTCTGCGGACTGGTCTAGCACGTCGGCTGTATAGAATGTTGTCGTCTCCCGGAGGAAGTAGTAGGCCTGACGCTGGTTCCCGCAGCCTATATGGCATCCGTATAGGAGGTATGCGATGGTAATACCGAGTCGAATAGGCGCCGTAAATGGGTCTAAATGACGGCGAGCGGCCATAGCTTCGTCTAGCAGCGCACGCCCAGTTTCCGGGGCGATATTCTGATGACAGGAAAGATATCCCGTTTGGGTCAGGACGAAGGCGCAAAATGCCACTACGAGACAATGTGCATGCGGACACTCGTCCATCCGATCAACCTGCGCCTGGAACGCATCGGGATGCAGGATTGGCACTGTCCCTAGCATGCGTGAATAGAAATATGCCGCGCAACTGTGGACTAATGCTGCGTTCAATAGACTGGGCAGTTTGACGTCTCCCAGCGATGTGCTACTAGGGCTTTCAAGTGATGGTGCATTAGAAGGTGACTGTGCCTCCTCGCTCTCGTTTGTCCGCAGCTCATACAATATGTTGGCCGATCGACCCTGGCGTCCTTTTTTGCGCCGCGCCCCGGATGACCGACATTCTAGTCCCATTGATCGGCAGGGACTGCATGGTCGGTGAGATGTACATTTTATCTTACGGCGACGACAAGCATCGCAGGCTTGAGGCAGGGTTTCTCGTGGCATAGGTCTGGGATTCTTATGCAGTGGTTAGCGGGAGAGGAGGGCAAGTTGAAGGGTCATCGTGCCAAGAGATGGGGCCTCGGCAATTGATTCGGAATGGGGGCAAAGTATGGATCATAGTAAGTTGTCTATTATCCTCTGATATATTAAGTTATTGCTTGAGCTGTGTTAAAAATTTAATATATTGTCCATATAATTCTCTGTTGCTCTGAGTCATAATCCAATATTCCCGTAGTACCCCAACCTTACGCCTACTTCAGCCCTAGCACTCATTGAACGCCTCCTACATTAATCCTCAGAATATATATACACAGCTTATAACAACGCCTACTCCTTCGCACAATCCTCCCTAACTTCAACAACATCCTCATAAGGATCCACAACCGTCTCTCCAAACTTCCTCGCAGAAACCCTCTTCTCAAACAAAACGTCCAGCTCCTCATATGTCCGCCCCTTCGGCTCCGGCATCCTAAAAAACGACCATACCAAACAAACCAGGCATGTCCCAGCCCAGAAATAAGCACAGCGAGCCCCCCAGTGCCATGCCGTCTCATTCAGCTGATAGTTCGTAAGCACATTGACCACAATATTGCTCACGTTGTACCCAGCGCGCGCCAACACAATGGTCTTAGCCTTGAGTCTTGTCGAGGATAACTCCGAGACGAGACAGTATGTCACGGGTCCGATGGTGAAGTCGTAGCAAAATGTAAAGATGATGAGCATGGCGCCGATAGCCCATTTCGCGGCGCTGTTTTCGCCCGGCGCGAAGGAGAGACTTCCTGTTATTACTAGGAGGAGAAAGAGGCTGGACAGACCTGCGAGGTGGAGGGTTCGACGGCCTGCCACGGTCATAAGGTACCAAGACCCTAGTGTGCCGAGGACGCCGAGGGCGTATTGTGCGAGGGAGAGGTCGAAGGAGCGAACGGTGGGGAGACCGGCTTGCACGCAGAAGTATGCGAAGTAGCCCATTAGGTTCTGGCCGCAGAGGGTTTGGACGAGCCAGACGCCGCAGACGATTTCTGTCCGGCGGAGATTGACACCCTTGAAACAATCTGTGTATCTTGTTCCTTTTGTCAGGGACTTTTCGAGTTCGTCAGTGTGCTGAATCATAGCGATTGTGGCGTCTGGGTCGAAGGTTGGGTCGCTTGAGGTTAGTCTTTGAAGGGCACGCTTTGCGCCGGAGATGTCGCCGCGGCGGACGTGCCACCAGGGGAATTCCGGCGCGAAGAGGCAGCCGATTAGGATGGGCAGGGGCCATGCCCATTGCACGGCGAAGGGGATGCGGTAGGCCCATTGGTCTTCGCGCTGGATTGAGGCGCGGTTTACACCGACGGCGACAAATTGCCCGAAGACCCAGCACATGTTTATGAAGGTTGTTAGGTATGGGCGTAGTACGACGGGGCATACCTCTGAGGCGTAGGCTGCGGGGAGGGTCTGAAAGACGCCCCAGGGAATACCGGCGAGGATCTCGGCTGCTAGTAGCATTTGAATATTGACTGCGAAGAAGAACAGAAAGATTACTCCCATCATGGCCGTCAATGCAGAGACCATGGTCCACCTGTAGCCTAGTCGTTCGGAGATGAGACCATTGATCAGGAGTCCGATGACCTCGCCGACTCGGGCACCGTTGGACAATGCGGACTGCCAGGAGGCTGGAACGGTCCATTTGCCGTTGGCTGCTTGCTCGCCGAACTTCTGGTTGAAGGCTGGTGAGGCATACATTGAGCCCAGAAGGGCCAGGTCGTAGCCTTCCATGATGAGAGTAGAGGACAGTAGAACCGACCATCCCACGGCTTTCGGGTAGAGACGGATTGCCTGCCATAGGGTCATAGACTGCTCCTGTTGAGCGGCCTGTTTGCCATGGACCAACGATGGCTTTCGTTGCGAGTCATCATTGGCTTCAATGGCGTCTGAAGAAGACATGGTGAGAGCGAGGAGAGAAAGTGATGTTCAGAGGAGTTCCATAATCTGGGAAAAAACGCAGTCTTCATGGGTGATGGATCTAGATAGTTATATATTCTGCAGTTCATCATATGACTAGCATATACTCCATAGAAATTAAACTGGGGTGCATGCGAAAAATGGAGAATCTGGGGATCTCCACACCACACGAGGAAGTCTACCCCAAACGCCTTCTAATTGGTCGACGGATGAGTAGCCGGACCATAGCCGGAGGCAATACGGAGGCAAGCCGGAGGCTAGTCGGAGGAAGAGAAATGCTGGAGAGCGTATAAAGAGGAGTCTGGCAATGAAGAAAACAAATTTCCCAGTTCATCCTCAGACATCATGTCGCCTCATGCCGTACACACCGTCCCGTCCGGGACCAATAATTGGTGGAAAGAGGCCACTATCTACCAGGTAACGACCTTCACCATAGCTAGGATGAAACGATACTCACCCATTGAATAGGTCTATCCTGCCTCATTCAAAGATTCTAATGGTGATGGCTGGGGAGATATTCCGGGGTTGATTTCCAAAATTCCCTACCTACATTCACTGGGCGTGGACGTTGTCTGGCTCTCACCGATGTATGACTCGCCCATGCATGACATGGGCTACGATGTTTCCGACTATGAAAATGTCTTGCCAGCATATGGTAGCGTTAAGGACGTAGAACAGCTTGTGGAAGCCTGCCATGAACGAGGCATGAAGCTGATCCTGGACCTGGTCATTAACCACACTAGCGATCAACACAAATGGTTTCAGGAAAGTCGCAGCAGCAAAGACAATCCCAAGCGGGATTGGTACTTCTGGCGTCCGCCTAGATATGATGCAGATGGCAATCGCTTGCCACCAACTAACTACCGCGGGTATTTTGCCGGTGGCACCTGTACGTATATTTGCCTCGCAGCGACCAGACTGATCATGGACGGGCTAACCAAAGCTTCAGGGACATGGGACGAACATACCCAGGAGTATTATCTCCATTTATATGCGAAAGAACAGCCTGATCTGAATTGGGACAACGCGGAAGCCCGAAAGGCAATCTATGACAGTGCGGTTCGCTTCTGGCTGGACAAAGGCGTCGATGGTTTCCGCGTGGACACAGTGAACAAGTACAGCAAGTACACGGATTTCCCGGATGCACCGATCACCGATCCAAAAAGCTTTATTCAACCGGCAATCCAGATGTGGTGCAACGGACCTCGCATCCACGAGTTTCTGCGAGAGATGTATGACGATGTTTTGCAGCCTTACGGGGATGTGGTGACCGTTGGCGAGCTGGCCAACACACCCGACCCTCAGCATGTCTTGAAATATGTCGGCGCATCTGCCAAACAGTTGAGCATGGTCTTCCATCTGGACATCGGCCACATCGGCATGGGCAGCCGTTTAGAAGACAAGTATATCTTTCAACAGTGGCGGCTGACGGAGATGAAGTCTATCGTGACCAAGTGGCAAACCTTCATTGAGGGTACCGACGGCTGGACAACAGCCTTCTGTGAAAATCACGATAATGGTCGTTCTGTTTCTCGGTTTGCCTCTGATGCACCCGAGCACCGCGAACGATCGGCTAAAATGCTAGCTCTGATGATGATGGCCATGACGGGAACATTGTTCCTCTACCAAGGTCAGGAGATTGGTATGATCAACGCGCCGCGCGACTGGCCGGTCGAGGAGTACAAGGACATTGAAGGTCGCGGGTATTATCAGGAAGCAGAGCGTCTGGTCGCGACCGGTGTCGATCCCACACGTAAAGAGCGTATCATGGACGGACTTCGGATCCTGGCGCGCGATCATTCCCGACTCCCTATGCAATGGGACGAGACAGCTCATGCTGGCTTCACAACGGGCACGCCATGGATGCGCGCTCATGATCAGTACAAAGAGATCAATGTACAGAAACAGCAGGCAGATCCGGGAAGCGTGCTCTCATTCTGGAAGTCTGTATTGCGGTTGCGCAAGGAGTACCGAGACTTGTTCATCCATGGGGCTTTCGAGGTAGTAGACTTTGAAAATCAACAGACATTCTGTTTTATCAAGTCGAGAGATGAGAAACGGGCTCTGGTGGCATTAAACTTCACGGCTGAGAATCAGCCGTTTACCCAGGCGGCAACAACTGGAGATATGAAGCTGCTGGTCAACAACTGTGCAGAGTCACTTCACGAGACACTGCAGCCATTTGAGGGAAGGATTTATGTTTCAAAGTGACCAACTCGAATGGAAAGTCGGATAAGATATGTATGTTTATTGTGTTTGCCCAGATCGACATGTCGTGACTCGTAAACCCTAACCTAGTATATAAGCACGTTACATCGCGTGATCCTTTACCTTTTCGTAGAACAAATACGATCAGCAGTGGATACACGCCTTATTCCTAGTGATCGACAGTTCAGACATGAAAACAGGACTTGTCTTCCAGTCATACAAAAGATAATAATATTATAAGGACTGTAAGGTGGAAAGTAAACACATTTATCTCACCGCCAACGCTCATCCCCCACAAGGCATTCATCACTATCTTGTCTCACAACGTGATGATTCGAATCTGGAGACTTCTGCCGACCATCCACCATGTACTCCAGTTGAACGCTATTCGTAACCAGAATCCCGTCGTTGAAAGGCGGCTGCCGAGACCCTCCCATTCGGCCCTCAGAAGCGCTATGGTTATAATATGTAGGATAGATTTTTTGTGCTCTCCGTCGTAAGGTATACAAGGTCGGAACATTGGCAACAAAGGCGGCAAGGAATTCCTCCACGGACCCCCAGGTGTTTCGATTCAGCTGGGAAGTGTTATTGGCAAAGGATGGAAGGCGGACTATGGCGATGGCGATGAGTAGTAAGCCGATTGCGAAGAGGCCGACGAGTTGTAGACGGCTATATATTGAGGTTAGTGAGGGGAGCCATTTCTTGAGTAGGTCATTAGGGGACCTACCGAATCCATGTTGTTTTGACCTTAAGCAACCATGGCATGGGTAGAAGTATTAACATAGCATCGGTTACGATATTCATAGAAATGAGCGTGACAAGTTGGGCATGGGCTTTGATGCAGGACCCTGTACAGGATTAGCAATGGGTTAGCTGCCTATCTCTGAGAGATGCCTGGAGTCTCAAGCGTACCTGGGTCTGGCGTGACTTGCCAATAGAGATGAACAGGCCGACAATCGACGAAAGTAGTAATCTCGACAGCTGCAAAGCTGGAAAGGAGCAAGCCCCAGCATGCTTTGATTATCCGTTCCGGCCATGGAAGACCAGCGAGAATCCGCTGGCAGAGCAGTAGGACTACAGACTTTTGTAGCCAGAGACTGAGCATGTTAACCCCAAATTTCAATAGTACAAGCGATTATCACGCACTAGACGTTATATACCAGTCGGTTCACCAGTGTAAGTACGCTGCCGACCTGACGACGATAGATCTCTGTCGAAGTTAAGTTTTCAACAGGTCGATGTACGTGGTTGTTTCCCCAGACCAGGATTACCGTCGCAAAGGCAGAGCGGGCCAGGACAAGACCGATGCAAACGAGAGTGAGATGATCACTCAGGATTAAAGGTTGGCCACGATGCTTCCGCATCCATAGACGCAGAAGCATCAATGTCACGCTCAGAACACCAAAGACGCCCACCAAGATGATGGCCACCTCTGAATCTATGGACATCTCGAGGGTTGATCGTGATCATGACCATCTTTGCATTGGGGTGGAGGTAAAAAGGGAGAAGAGATTTTCGCATCCCTGTCGACGGTTCGCTCCAAGACATAGATTTTCGACGATTAATTAGTCCATATAATTATGGTTCTCAAAGGATCAGGATCCCCGACACTGGAGGCTTCGAGACTAATCCCGGGAGAGCTAGACGACAGAGTCAACGGATTGGAAACCTCGTATACCGTCAACCCTATCGGCTAATGGCTTACGATGCCAGGCCATTATGGACTTAATCGCACCACCCGATCATGTTTGAATCTCGTATCGCGTAATGCCAAGATTTCTCTTGCTGCGGTTCCAAGTAAACAAGCAATTATGCTCTCTCCACCGTTTCATAGTCCGTTTTATTTTCTCAATGGCCCAATCCGACCCCTTCTTCCCATGAACTTAGATTAAGGCACGAAAATCCTAGACACTCGAACTAGGAGCCTCCGGCCAACAATAATTCTCGTTTCGATTGGCGTGTAATGAGCCTTCGGAACCAACATGCCATTAAGAGCGAAAAAGTGGAGGATCGGCATCGACGGTCGGACATTAGCGCGAAAGCCCCCGGTCCTGCCCCGGGGTTCAATTATATTTGGAACCGTTCTGTCCCGCGCTATCAACCGCCAGCCTCAGCCAAGGGCCAGACCTCCTTTCCCACGTTTCCCCTTGTTTTCTTTGTTTCTCTGACTCGCTTGACATGCCGTTTGTGTGCCAAGCATTCGTGGCCATTAGCTTGGCTGCAACGCTTCTCATCTCCCATGTCGTGCATGCCGTACAAGGCGTTTCGGGAGCGGCGCCTCATTTCAGGGATTATTTCTATGTGGGCGGGGAATATGTTACTGACAGTTCCGGTGACCATTACTTTCATAATCAGATGTATGTGGAGAGATTGTCGCCAGTTGGTGAGTCTGTGCAGCCGTATCCCGTTGTTTTGGTTCATGGTGGTGGCCAGAGCGGCACAGTGAGACACAAACAGAACACCCAAATTATAACAGGACAAGCTCTCACCAACGATAGAATTTCCTTAATAAACCAGATGGAAGCCCCGGATGGGTGTCCTGGTTCCTCAATAATGGATATATCGTGTATATTCTCGACCGAACGCTCACCGGTCGGTCCCCGGTATTCCTGGGCGACGACCCGAGCCAGACTGTGGTCTCCGCAGAGTTTATCTCGCAGCGGTTCACGGCCGTACAGAAGTTTCCCCTATGGCCCCAGGCAAAGCTCCATACCCAATGGCCTGGTGTAAGCTCCTGCAGCCCGTCCACTCGGCGTGCTGCTGCTAACATCCGTAACCACAGACGGGTGAAATAGGTGACCCAGTCTTCGACACGTACTACATGAGTACCGTCCAATCCATTTCCAACAGTAAATTCCAAGAGGAAACCATGCAAGTGGCAGGCGAGCAGCTTCTCGATCGAATAGGCCCGGCAGTAGTCATCACGCATTCCCAAGGCGGGCTGTACGGGTGGTCGTGGGCGGATAGCCGTCCAGATCTAATCAAAGCACTGATTCAGATAGAACCGAAAGGTCCTCCGTTCCAAGAGGCGATCTTTTCGGATGAGCCCAGCCGTCCCTGGGGACTTACGTCAATTCCGTTGACATTCGAACCCCCACCAACGAACATGTCGTCACCTTTGACAATGAAAACTGTACCGACCAACTCCTCCGATTTGCTCCCTTGTATCATTCAGGAGGAGCCAGCGAGAAAGTTGCCTCAATTGGCTAAAGTTCCAATCTTAATTGATACTGGGGAGGCGTCGTATCATGCCCAGTATGATTATTGCTTTATCAAATTCCTTCACCAGGCGGGTGTTCCTGCTGAGCATTTGGAGCTGGGTCGGGCTGGAATTCATGGGAATGGGCATATGCAATTCCTGGAAAAGAACAGCGATGATATAACGCACGTACTGCATGAATGGATTGTAGAGAAAGTGAACGGTGTGCATCGAAGTCCGTTGCCGTGTAGGTTCAGGGGATGGACAGATTCATGCCTTTCGCCTTTCGTTGACGAGGCGTTTTCGTGAATCGCGCCTCTTGGAAGGGATATAAAGCGATAGGCCCAATGGCACGTAATTGCAGTTAGCCCTCGTCTTACTCGATTATTTAAATAGATGCATGTACTATTGCGGTCTGATACAAAGAGGCTAGAAAAAAACAGATGAAAAAGCGAAAGAAAGAGAGATAAGTAAGGTAAGGGCTAGGTCATTACATTGTGAACGGGACATCAACATACAGCCGACAGTCACTGTATAAAATGTCGGAATCTAATAACTTCCATCCTACATACCTAAGAGCAATCACATATGATGCAATTTAGTTAATCCAGTCTTGTCGTGATGATTTACCTTGGCCAAGAGTGCACAAGCTGCGACGACTCTGGAACTCTTTATCTCACCACATACTTCTTTGCGGCGACCAAAATAGCTCCCTTGGATGCCAAGATGAAGGCAAGCCCAGGATAGCTCTAAACCATCTGGGTGAGAATCTTGGATCTCCTCGCGGCGCATCATGCTTGTAATCCATGTCACGATCCGATCGAACTCGTCGCGTAGTTTATTCGTTGTCGGCGGGTCTGTACACCCTATGGTTGATGATAGATCCAATGACAATCTCTAACTCACTGATCGGTTTTGTTGGATGTCCCGAGTAAGAGTCCATTGCGTCAATTATCGCGTCTTCATATCTAGTAAAAGGACATTGTCAGTAGTTTGTTCCCACCACAGCGAAGGATCTGCCTTACGCCGCTTTAATGCGCCTTGCTTCCCCATAATGTTCCTCTATGGAAACTCGTGCTAATGGCTTGCATCGTTTCATACAATCTTCGATAAAAGAACTCCAGAATAAAGCGTCATTTGTGTCCAATTCGGAATGGACGTATTCAAGCCAAATACTCTGGTCGTCAATAGCTCTGTAAAAGCTTTCCAAGAACCTTCTCTGACTTGTAGTAGTGATAGGGCTTCTCTATATCATAATCATTGTCGTTGTCATCGTAGTTCGCATGTGAAACGTGCGGCTCAAGACCGATATTAGATTTACTATAAAGACGTATTTGAGGGCCGCATATCGCCCCTCAAATTGAGTCAAATGTCACGTAAAATTCATTTTCTTTGAGATAACCAGTCTTATCTATGGTCTTATAGAGCGTCATACCTTTCTTCATCGGATGCGAGCCTTGTGCTTGAGTAGTCGGAGTTCTCTAAGAATCGCTGCCTCGACTGTGGTACGCAGAAAACCGTCCTTCTTGTAGTCCAATCCTGCCTAGCAACAATGGCGATAGAGTCGAGAAAGCCCGATGCACTCAGTGACAGATCTATCCTTAAGGAATTTTGCGGCTCTATCGGTACTGACGGTTACGGAAGGCATTCTAGTTCAGCGTTCTGCTGCTGGAAAAACCAATTCGGGAGCGCCCATGTCCTCCACTATCTTGATCACTTGGCGATTCAATACCATTGGATAAGGCCTGGATGTCACATTACAGATTTCAAGGTTGTGCATGTCCTCGCTATCAAACTTGACCATCGACGGGCGGATCTGAATCAGTCTATGAGGCAATCGAACATTAGTGGCAAGCATGCCTTTTGCTCCACCCAAGCGATTTTGAAGGCAAGTCGGGTTCCCTCGTTTTGATGGTATATTAGCCCAAATCATTTCCATGACGTCTTGTGAAACAATTCCGACCCCATCGCTGAAGACGCGTGAACCATCCGGGGACGTGCGGTCCGGAATTGTCGAAACTCGCACATCGTGTCTTTTTAGTGGAACCATAAAAGGCATTTCAGTAAAGGCCTGACCAATCCTGGCTGCACATCGTGCTGGTGATGTTATATGCGAGAACTTGCCGATTGCGCTGATGATAGAAAAGTACGTCTGCATATGGCCATTATCATCAACGAAAGGTGAAGAGACCTACATTTCAGTACAGTCAGTCCCTCAGCTGTGATGAACATGATTGATGGATTGAGATCCTTCTAACCCAAACGGCGTGAGATCGCAGAGAGGAATGGAAGAACCCAAGGAAATTGTAGAGGCGATCGGCAATTTGGATTCCACTAGTCATGACATGCTTGAATCGTTCGAAGACCTGTTCGTAGCTCACTTTTGCGTTGAAAAGCAGATCCTCTCCGTTCTCATCGCAGAATTGCACCCGGGTAAAGTATTCGTGATGATTGGGAAACTTGCGCAGAATCCGGTTTTGAGGCTCCATCTCAGGGCCGTGCAGTGTAATACGCGTAGGCGTAACGTTGACTCGGTGGACTTTTGCCATATTTGGTGTTTCTTTATCTAGCTCTTCCCGATAGGCTATGCCATCCTGTATCTCCTTCTGGTTCTCCTCAAGCACCGCTACGAGAGAGTCCGCCTCGTAATTGGATGGACTGTCACCAGGAAATGGCGAGTATCATATTGAAAAGCTTTCTCATGGCACTCACGGTGGTTGTCTTCCGTCCTGCTACCTTGTCCTCGATAAATATAGTACGTAGTCTTGCAGTAAGCTGGAGAACAGTGGTAGGACGTAGGTATACGTTTTGTGCCAACGCCTGAAGCTGGAAAAGAATTCCGAACGGTAGAGAGCTATTCCTTGTACACTCTGCCAACTGGGTTTGCAATCTTTGTAATTCAGTCGGCATTGTCAGGACGGGCCTAGCAGTTAACAAGTTGTGACGATAGATGTTTAATTCCCAGTCCTTAAGCTTTTCAATCTTCGGCCTGAATTCGGCTGTAGAAACTTTAGATTGGTATACCAGGCACTGTCCAACTACCCAGCCGTACTTCTCCCCTGAATTGCATATTCATGTTCGGCTGAGCCCTTCTTGTATGCCGTTATGGATCGACAGTGACGCAAATGGAGAACTGAATGAGTCCGATTCCATCTCAAGGAAAAAGGGAACATCCGAGAGGGTGATGTGATTGTACCATCCATCGAATGCACTAGGCTAACAATGGTGGTGACCGGTCTTCGAATACGACGCCTGTCAATCACATCGACGATCATGGATAGCTTTTGGAACTTGATGATTCCCGTTTTCAACCACTGAACCTCCGGGCTGTATTCCAGCAGCAGATCCCCAACAACACCGTTCAGGACTACTCTTTCATTTCGAATACAATAGACTCTTCTGGTTCTTCTCGCAAGTCCTTCTTGCGCTCCTCGGCATCATGCTCTAATGATATAAGAGCGAGATTCTTTGGCGGATTTTTGCTCAGTTTACAGAACACGTCAACTCCGGCGAGTTCCATATTCGACTTGAGGCGCCCGTGACAATAAGAAATGGTGAGGGGAGCTGTTCCCCGTGCACCGCGAGGGAATCTTTCTCCATCCTTGGGATATAGGAAAGTAATTGTACCGAACCTTTTCTTCCTAGGCTTGTCACAAATGAAGTCTCGGACTAGAAGGCCTTTTCTCAAACGCCTGTAGTTCGCGTTAGAGGTCATATCGGTTGAGGTCGGCTGGGACGTTGTGGACGAGATTTCCATTCTGATTTTGTCAAGGAACAGAGGGTCAAAGAGAGATAGGTACAAGACAGTACGAGCATATAAGACAAGAAGAAGGGAGTTGTAAGAACCATTAACTACTAGAGGTGAAGCGGCGTGGTTAAGGGAAGCAAACAGGCGACCAGGACTGCTATTGGTTGCCGGCACCATATTCACTTAGTTCCTAGCCCTCATCTTCATTAGTAGCATTGCCCATCGTGACCACGCCAGGGGCGTAGAGTCCAGAGTCTAATGGGCCACCGGCCGCAGTCCTCAATAGTAGTGGTAGAAGTAGTTAGACCCATTTACGAAAGAAAAAGTTGGAAAAGAACTTTAGAAAAACACACGACTATCCTGATTTCATAAAGATTGGTCCTCGCACTACGCCTCAACTTAAAGTAGTCCAAATTGAGAAAATGGATGGTCCTCACCTATGCTAGATGAGTGTTTCCGAGTATACTCGAGGCGACTTAGTTGTGAGTAGTAAGTAGAAGACAAGGAGTGAATCCATTGATTAGGTAGCTATTCGCAGTTGCGTCAAATTATTCCCGAATCGACTTGAGTGAGATAGACCGTTATTGCCACGCCTGACTTCGCATGTGGCATATTATTACTGTCGTTTGATTGTCTCAAATCAAAATCCAGCTTGCGATTACTGACCGACCGATTGGTACAGTGTGTGGAATCATAAACCTATAACATAGCCGTTTGTAAATGTCGTGAGGCATTGATTAATAGGCAGGGAAGGTTATCATCATTTAGTTTCATCTGTTGAGTTCCCGCTGGACACGACGGCAATTTGGGTCGTTGAAAAAAATATAAATCAGCTCGGCAGAGAAGTTATTAGCGCTAAAATGCAAAGATTTGCAAACTCCGTGTCAGTCAAAGAAAATAGCTTCCTCGTCGACCAGCATCTCCTCAAGAACCTCTCGCCACTGACTCCATTGTATCAATTGCTTCCCCAACGACGCACTGTCGTAGCTATTACCCATCACCCGTCGCTCCAGCTTCTGATTGATTTTCTGAACGCGGTTATAGACAAGCTCTGGTTTCCTCATGCGCTTCATGTAACCTGTGGGAGTCCAGTTCCATGGCCATGCGGCATGCACGAAGAAACGTTGCAAGCCCCGGCGTCGAAAATTGATAAAAGGCTTGACCAAGGCAAAGTACTTCGACAACACCTCTTGACCCTCCTCGTCACCGATGGCCCTGTTTGATTCAATAGCCTGCCCTCCGTGGACATAGTCGCCGAACCAAAGGCGGACCGTAAGGTTTTGGTAGTTGAGATTATCACCGAGTTCTCGGATAACTCGCTCCCAGTCCCGGTACATGGCAGATTCTGAGGAGAACCCATCTACATCAAGCGGTGAGAAGTATATCTCTAGGAAACGTAGACAGGGAAGCGCGTGCGATGGTACGATTTTCGTCAAGAATACCGCGGGTGGCAGCTTGCTATTCAGGCCTTCTTCGGTAGGAAAGAGCCCCCCAGGTGGCATGATAATGAACCGATTTTTGGAGAAGAAAACGGTCTGAGCTTCGTATTTCACTGTGCGACTCACCAGGAAAAGGGAGGTGGGAGGGGTCCAACATTTACAGTGCTTCGAGAAGGCGGCATGGTAACGGTGACAAAAGCAACCCGATTTGAGATACTGCCAGCAGTTGCGATATGGCTTCTGTAGAGTGCACCCGCAGTTCGTACACTGTCTCTCGTAATATCTTAGACAGAAGTTATTCTGTGGGTTCCATTCCACCTCACGCAGCGGAGTGACCAGGTCTGTGTGCTCCAGCACTTGCAACCGCAGCTCCACCGGCAGGTCCATGAATCGAAATGCGCAACTGGGGGAAGGTACATGTCGTCCCGTCATCTCAAAAACTGTGTCCCGAGCGACTTTTTGTAGCCTTGCATCAGGGTCGCTAGAAAGGCGAATGTTGCAGTCGGAGAGGACCGGAAGATTGTACAGCGGACGGATGGCTGCTCGGGCAGTCTCCACGTCCCCAACGTCGCAAATGAAATTCAATCGAAGCGTTAATGGCTTTATATGTGGGGCAACATGTTCCACTACAGCCTCCCACTCAGTGAGTGCAGCTCTTCCCTGTTGATCACCACTTTCTAAGTTCCAAATGGAAGGAAACGGGCCATGCCAGCAGCCAGATATTTCATGACAGTGTTCATCGTCGTCCGGAGGAAAGACAGACAGGAAGACCGTCAAATCCGTGATATGCTGTAGAGACCTCGGGGTCAGGTTAAAAAGGAACTGAAAGGAGTCTGACTGCTGGTAGCTCAGATATAAACGGTTCGTTCCGTAGACAATAGATGAAACCTCATGGTGCACTGTACGGCACGTCAAGAGCAAAGACCGCATAGTACGACGCTCTTCAATAATCAACGCACTTTGTGCAACTAACTCCGGGTTGAAACACGTTCTATGAGGAATATCTGTGTCCAAGTAGATACGGTTCCGAAGTGCGGGCGGCAGACGGAGCAACGGACTATCAAGTGCCATCGCTATACCTTTTTCAAGCTAATTATTGCGACTCAATCAGGAGGACAGTTGGCTCACTTCATTTCAGAAATAGAGGGCTGATGCGTTTCATAGATTATTGATGTGGGAAAGAGGTGAGAATGCGAAACGAAGGGGGGACATAGTGACATGATGAAAGAAATGCTGAGGCTTGACAAACGACCATTCACGAGGATAAAGCCATCTGCCACCGCCACCCCAACAAGGCCATTTAACTGGCTAGGTCCATTTCTTTGTTGGGTCAGCAATGGAATAACCTCAGGCATAGCGTACACTGAGTTGTGAAGGCCCTAATCCCCGCCTTTCCATCCAATTTCCTCTTTCAGTAACTCTTCCTGAGGTTCCAGTTCCAACATCGAACGTTTTCTCTCTCCTCTACCAATGGCTTATCTGGCTTCCACATAGTTGCTTAGATGATCTATATTGCAACTTAGGGCCTCTTCTCTATTGTCATTTTTTATCATTTTCGTTCAGTGTGTACCGCTTGTATCTAAAACAATATTGAAGGTCAACTCTACTTCCAAGATTAGGGTCAAGATCCATTGCCTACGGGGTGGGTGATGTAACTTCACGAATTGTTTTTAAGCTTTTCTTTGGCATATAAAAGCTATTTAAATCTCAATTGGATCAATCGAAATGGTCGAGAGATGTGGTCATCGTTGCTTCCCTCATCTGCAGCACCAGTAGGCACAGTCAGCACTCGGTCTATATTCTAATGCCATGTAACATACATTAGATGATATGGATGAGAGACTCATACTAGGTATATAATATGAACCGAAGAATAAATAGGAACATCAGCGTATATGTTATACTCCCCAATTTGCTATAAGACCAGCAAAGCGATGCCAAAAAGAATTATCATGTGCGTAAATAGGGGAACTGTTCAAGGGAAAGAAGATAAAGTTGAATCAAGAGTGTGAGATTCACTGGAGACTCCAAAGCAAAGTAAAGAGGTCTTTCCATATTATGGTCCCTCTGGTTCTACCCTGATGTCGGATGCCCCTTAGAATCTTGGAAACCACAAGTTCTCCCGAATGGTGAACAGTCCAGCGACATTCCGGAGGCGGAACGCAGACAGTCTAGGAAAACGTTCCTCGAGGACACGTAGCCAAGCCTCTCGCTTCTCTAAAGCCTCAATCTGCTGAAACCTCCACAATGTGTAGTATATATTGCACAATGTTGTCGATAACAGCGCCAGCAAAATGAATCTATGGGCCCAGGTGTAGCCGAAAAGATCAAATATGCACGAACAGGATCCAACGCAGAGGGCGAGGAGCATCATCCCAATAACACATTCTTCATGTTTCCGGCAAAAGGCGGATTTCGAATTTTCGATTGTTACCGAAAGTTCCACAAGAGCGGGCTTTGGGGGAAATTGATCAACGGCAAGGATCGCAAAATGAACTGCATAATCGTGACAGTTCCAGAAAACGGTACGATACCTTGGTAGTACATCTGGGACTTGGTCGACTCGATGAAGCTCTTGTGCTATATGTCAAGAAAACGCCGTTAGCTACTCACTGTCAGAAACGTTCATGAGAGTGCGACATGGAGCTTATCGTACACAGGTGATCCAGTTCAGGTATACACATTCTTGTAGTCCCAACATGCTCCATGGCTCGGATTATTTTCAGACTACGTTTTGATATTTTTCTTCCAGGTCCTGAAATGGAAAGCGAGGAATACGTGCCATGGTGGTGGTAGACAGTCCCTTCCGCCAGCTTGTCGATCAAAGTTCGAGATTCGTCCGAGCAAACACCAGAGGGAATAGTTATCACGCCAACATGTTGGACAATCTGGAACGGTTTGCTCAAGACTTTCGGGATGATCGGGGTATCGAGACTCTTTGAAGAGTCCCAGTCTAGTTGACTTGGTCGTATATCAATCAGACTGTTGGCAAAGATAAATACCTCTTGCATTCTTAGTAGTGGCGACTGGCGCAGAGCTTTTTCGAGTCAGTGGTGCTTCCAACTTCCATTCGCACCTGAGATTCGGCCGGTAAGGCTACAACTTGGCCAAGGTTCATCAGATCAACAGTAGCGAATTATGCGTCGGCCCCTGCAAATAGCACCATCTGTCATTATTCAAGGTCGAGGTGGATCATATATTCAGCTTTTAGTGATTGGTATAGAAGATAGGGTGGGAATATAGAATATAGTAGTTCGAACTGATCGCCTGAGCCATACAGTATCTGGTTCGACTTCTCAGACGCATTGATTGTGACACCTTGGTATATGGTTCATTCACATGCAACTCGCAACCACCCTGTAGTATGCTGTAGGGTGAGTGGAGCCCTACTACGTCTCATGATACTATGCTTGCAAGGTGAGTAAGAATAGGCACTGTCATGTTTGAGAGTCGCTCCCTTACAAGCCCAGCTCATGCAATCCTAAGAGTGCAATATCAACGCCGGGTGACAATCTACTAACATTCCTGTTTGGGATCCAAATTATGAATTCATATAGTGCCATAGTAATATAACTGGATTATGCTTGGGCAAAGCAGGAATACTATTATAGCGTATAATTTTTTGCAGCGTAGTTTTGTTCAACGGGTAAATAGAACCAAAAATATGTAAGTTACGCGATAGACATATTTGTATAGGTGTAGTGAGGTAATAAATCACAACTAGACTTTTCGATTTGAACACAGAGAAAGTCCTGCTAATATACACGTACAATTGGCAACTGTATTTTCCCCAGTCACTATGATGTGACGCTTTGAGGTCGTGGTGGGCTCCTGCATTAAGCCTGAGGCAGACGCACTCGCTGCCGTATGACCTTGTTGCATGTGACCTCACGCGATCACAACACTAACACTTAAAAACATCTTCCACATGACATGATAGACCTTTTAAAGCGCTCGAAATCTCGAGTAACCGACCGTCTGTTCTTTTGTTGTTGGCTAATGCTGAGTAGTCAGACTAATAACAACGAAAGAAACCATTTCACGATAGTTTAATCGAATGGTCAACCGTAACTTTGTTTCGACAAGGCGCGACTGGTGTTTTTTCTTACCATCTTCCTGCTTAGGCAGTAGGACCGCGTTACATGAGCCCATGGCTTGGATTATCGATGCTGACGAGCATATGGAGAGCAATTATCTAGGACTATTAAGGATATGTCTCCACGAAGGGTTTCACGAATGCAAGTAAACTAGAAGCTTTCCTCTCTACCTTGCCTTCACATATGCTAACATTACCCAGACGGAGAAGGCGTCGAATCTAACAGCACTTTAAATTCCAAGTAACCAACATACTAACAAGTAGCGAAGCCTTTCCATTATCTGCCACCAGTAGAAAAAGCATTGTGATTGTTTATCCAGGACTGGCTTACGTCCGTGTTGTGGAGATTGGAGGGTAGGCAGAAGGCGAAGCATACTCAGACGCCAGTCTTCCTGGATCACTAAAAAGAATACTGTGATGAAGATAGGGTCCCCATACGCATCGTACCATGATGTTCTCCAAGCACTACAAGCTTATAGATCCATCACAATCCCTGATGTGAAGCCTTGGGACTATCACTTCGTTAGTGGCTCAGGAAACTCATCCAACACCTTTTCCTCACCGTTGACTAAAGGTCGTTTATGGAAAATCCTGTCCCACGTCCACCTCCAGCTTAAATGTCCCAGGATATAGCACCAAGTTCCCATTCTCGGCAGTCCTCGCCACAGAACCCACCGAAACATCCAATTTAACCTACTGACTCTGTCCTGACGTGATGCTCTGCGCACGAGTATACCCAACCAGTGACTTGAGGGGAAAAGGCTCGGCAGCGACCCCGTTAGCGGTTGAGAATAATAAAGCAACATAATCTGATGTCGCATTCGCCGTGTTTGTCACCGTGGTAGAGTAAGTGTTAAAAAGAGCTGTGTCGGCCGGTCTATCTGTGGAACCCTCAATGGATTTTGTGTCGTACGGACCATACTTCTCACTATCCCATGACACATCAAACGACGTATAGTGCAGATCAAACCGAACGAGAAAACCGCCTTGTCATACCCCGGTAGGTTTTCCCTGGGTTCCTAGGCCTAGGACGAAGGCTCGTGTCAGTCATGGGCACCTCATCTACGTAACTATCTGGATACTGTGTTACCGGGAGACGCCCAGCAGGTGCTGATTTGCCTGTCAGGATATCAAAGATGGCTGCGCCACCAGCTTGACTGGGATATCCAGCCCACAGAAGAGCGCCAACATCGGGGTTTGCGAAGAGAGAGTCGTCAACTTGTCACATTCCACTTCAGCGAGAGAGTTGTTTACCTGTAGTTGCCGCTGTCGGAGGATGATACGCCATGTTTCTTCGCCACGCCATGTAGGACCTCATTCCACCAGTTGTACGCTGGGAGACCCAGTCGAGAGACACCCGGTGAATCATAGCGGGTATTATTGATTTTCTCTTCCGGTGTCTTGGCCTCCACAGGGGACCTGGCCTGAGATATGCGATCAAGAGATGTATCACAAACACCGTTTTCGCTCAAGGGACCAGCGCTACAGTCTAAAAATGTGCTTTCGCAGAAAGCTAGGGATGCAATGAATGATAATACAGACTTAGGCCGCAAGAGGGAGTAGCGGTATACCATTTTTATGGGTGCCTCGCCGAGTCCTCTTTGACGACAAGGCCATAGGGCCTAGGTTACCCTTTATATATCCGCATATCAGCCGAGTTCCAATGCCATAGGCTGCAATCATTTAGCGAAGAAAGAATCAGGCAATGCAATTCCGGGGATGATATAATAGCTGACATCCTTGTTGAGTTGCCTTCCTCGTCGATAACACACCCCTCTGATGGACGAATTTCTTCATCAGCACACAGCTTACGTTTCCACCATCGCGCATGCTGCAACGCTTACCACAGTCTTTTCTTCATGTAATTGCTTAGCCTGAATGTCAACTCCTTGCGGGGAATGCAGGATCAGGGTGATTCCCGTCATACTCGTACAGCAAAAGAGACGGACTATTCTCTAGCAACGCCCTCTTTGAATCATGATTGAGATTTTAAGCGACAGCCAATAGATCTGAAATAGCATCTATTAATGGTATTATAATCTATACGGAGTACAAAATTAAATCGCATATCGAAACTCCGGATTTTCGCGATCGGTCAAATCCAAGAACTCATGATTCTGCGGCACGACATACGCATCGCCAAGCGCCTCCCTTTCCCGATCCCTCCGGCGGTTCTCTCGGATCGACAGCCAGCGAATCAAGCACAGATCCAGCGTGACCAGAAAGTACAAAATGACAATCGAAATCTTCGCAGGCAAATACTGAGGGGCATCCTTCGCCTGGAACGTCTGGGGCGAGATGATATTTCCGACCGTGTATGCGATCGTCTGGATACAAGAGACTGTGATCTTCTTTGTTGATCCTGCGATGTTTGTGCTCGTTAGGCCCAGGACGGTCGTCCAGCCGATTGGGATTCCGCCTGTGAGGTAGTATCCGACCAAGGCGGGCGCCTTGTCCGTTGTGGCCATCAGAATTGCGCCCACGATTGAGGGGATGTGTCCGATAATACACCAGAGGAGTCGTTGTTCGGTTTTCATAGCGAGGTAGGTTAGTCCGATAAGTGCGACGACTTCGTATGCGCCTAACGGCGTTACTAGTAAGAGACTCTTGGTTTGCGAATAGCCCATGCCGGAGACGAGAATGTTTCCGAAACTTGTTGCGATGGAGTTTGGTATGTTGGCGGCAAACACCCAGAAGGAATACAACCATGTGTTTGGGTCGACAAGAGCTTCATAGACTTGAGCCTTCTTAAAAACATTACTGCCGATACCCTGCACGTTGCCTCGCAGACGCTCTGCGTGCAGGACCTTCTCTTCCGGGGAGAGGAACCGGGCAGTGACGGGCGAATCTGGGAGGATGAAGAAGAATAGGATACCGATTACGACGGTGAACAATCCCAGGATGAGGAAGATTACCTGCCATCCGCGGAGCGAGGCAGTGGGATCGCCCCCGATGTGTATGGCTACGCCGTACGCAATGTACCCTCCGAACATCTGCGCAAAACCACACATGGAGAACCACAATCCGACTCGAAACGCTTGCTCCTCCCTTCGATACCATTGCGACGTGAACACCACCCAAGCGGGTACCACCGCGGCTTCGGCAGCACCCAGCAGCGTACGGCACACCATCAACGAGGCGAAAGAATGACACGCGGCCATGCAAGCCAGAATCGTGCCCCAAACAGTCACATTAAAAGCGACGTACCGAGCCAGAGGAAAAGCCTGGATCAACCGAGTTGTCGGGAACTGGAACGCCAGCTGGCCAAAGAAAAACATACTCGAGATCCAGTTGAACTGATTCCCGTGCAGATGAGCGGACTCCCGAAGGCCTGTGACACTGGCATAACTGATCGCAATTTTATCCAGGTACTGCAGGAAATACACAACACAGATCAACGGCATCACATAGAGATCGATCTTGCGAACTAGCCGATGAGAAGCCTCCGGATCAAGTGTACCGGCCTCACCACCCGCCGCAAGAAGCTGGAGCGCACCATCGCCGTTGGCCGCTGGCGGACTCGTCGCTGTGGACTTGACATCGACGTGTTTCTCGTCCACAGCAGGGGGAGTCCTGACCGATGCCATTGCCGCGGTAATATCCTTCCTTCCTATCCAGTAGCTAAGAAAATTTTTCGTAGTCACTCCATGATAGTGACGGAGCGAACCGACTCTTTATATCACTATCTAGAAATGTCTTGGCTCTAGTGTCATATTTCGATGAGCACTCGTGGGGCGAAAATCACGCCATCGTTCGTTTCGACTCTTATCAAAATCGTGAACAACAGCAATTCCCACGATGACTCACGGACCAGTTTTACCTGACAGATGATAATCGGTTCCTCTAGAAACTGGATCCACTATAGTGGCCTGGGCTCTCGTTTAAGGTGCTGCTACTTTGGTGAGGGTTTCAGGGTCTCGCTTAGTAAGGCCCTCGCTGTCGTATTCCAACTGCCATGGACAGGGTGCCAGCTCAGCGTGGTCTAAAAAAACCTCGGCGTGGTCTAAAATTCTGCCACCACCACCACCGCCTTTTTAGACCACAATGAGCTTTTTCTTGGCATATGCTCAGCGTGGTCTAAAACTAAATTTTAACCAAGTTTTAGACTATGCTGAACCCCTTCACTAGAGCTTGACCACATTGACCTTTTTGGCTTAGCGCCAGTCTCCCGGTCGGAGTATATACTAGGCATATGCCCGAAATATAAGCCTGTGAGATATTATTCACTATATTATTAATATATATAGTCAACATATTTACTAGTTATATTAATAATACAGACAGAAGTTACAATATATTATAAATAATTTATATCCTAATTAAGTAATAAAAATATTGGCTATATTTATATTTATACTTAAACTAATAAATCTAATTTTTCTTTTTCTTTTTCTTTATCTCTCTTTAAACTTCTCTTCTTCAGTAAGTATCCCAAGTCTTCTTCTGGTATATACTGAGTATATATCAATAATCCAGTTCCTATCCCTGCCTTATTCTTAGTATATACTGCTAATATATAGAGAATACATCTTTTATATAAAGACTTTGATAATCCAGAGATTACTGGGGCAGTGAATCCCTATCCTGACTATAGCTACTTTTATAGTGAGTATATACTCAGTATATAGATAATATATGCTAAACATATACAGGTCCTATCCTGAATCCTAACCCCAGCTGGTGCCCATATCCTGACACCTGCACCCCTGTGACCATTGCTGATAATGAGGGTATAAAAACTGCAGTACATGTTCAGCATATGCTAATTATTTATAGGTGCCCCAACTCCTGGCTCGAGACTGTCGGGTATTAATGGCATGGTGTAAGTAATTCATATACCTGGCACATGCTCAGTATATGCTGACCACCGCCGCCATATCCGGAACGCCCATCCTGGTGCCAGTGAGTTGTCTATTCCCTGTATATGTCTGGCACTTGCTAAGGATACCTAGCCCTTAACCCTTCCCGCACAAACATTCCCCAAGCCAAGCGCATTACAGATGAAAAGTTAGTATATATATAGCATATCTCCAGTATATACTAATGGTCTATAGCACTTTGAAGCAATGGGTCCTTAGTAAAGGATAGAGAACTGCCTGTTATATTAAAGAGCCTGGGTATATTCTCTGTATATATATATATTGGATTCAAGTCTAAGATATACTAGTGAGAGTCCTAAGTACAGTCTTATCCAGGATTACTGTGACTTCCTTAAGGAACTGGCATGAGTTGGGCATATCTTCAGTATATACAAAATATATACTAAGAATTACTAGCCAGGAGAATAATGACTTTATCTAGAAGTTTAGGACTAAGTTTTATTATTCTATATATGATCCTGACTATCTACTCTATATATCTCCTGTATATACTAATGTTACTTAGAAGCCTGGAAAGATCTCTAGTTACAAGGCAGGTCCCTCCCCCCAAGTCTCTTTATAATATACTGAGTATATACAGTGTAAATCTTCCCCTAATATCTCTTCTTTCTTATCCGCCCCTAAGAGCAAGCATGCTATCCCTAAGAAGAGTCTTAATAGTAAGTCTACTATCTTCTCTCTATACCAAGTATATGCTGAGAGTTTGATAGCTGCTAGTATTAGAAAGTAGCCAGCGTGCGGCAAGAAGACTGCTAAGTCTGTACCTATAACTGCTTAGAGTATATATAAGGTATATGCTGGGAAGACATTTAGGAATAAATTATAGATATATAAATAGAATCTAGGAATAGACAGAGCATATACTAGACTTAGTTATATACTAATATCTTTTAGCTAAGGAAATTAAAATGGTTTTCTTAATATACTATATATTTACTAGATATATACTCTATATTTATAGAAGCTTCTCTTTTTCTTTTCTTCTCTCTCTTTATCTTTTTCTTAAGCTTCTTAATTTGCTTAGCTATATTTCTTCTTTGCTTAACTTCTTTAAATTTCTTTAAACGCTCTTCTAAAGAATCTATACTAGATATATACTTAATAGATAATCTGATATATATCTTGATAATACTATTCTTATCAATACTCTCTACAGTACTAAGTAGGTGCACCCGTGTAGTTACCGGAACATGCTCAGTATAAGATAAGTATATATTAAGACTAGATACTGATAGAGAATCAATATCCTATATAGCTGCTCTGCCTGTATATTAAAGAGATATATTATATGGATTTACTAGATTCTATAGCAAGTATAGCTTCTTCTGCTGGCAGTATACTGCCTTTTTCTGCTGTTAATCTATATATAGTATTAGCATGACATATATACAGTATATACTCTATTAAATATACTCTGCTTTTAAATAATCTTAATATATCTTTAAATATTTATTTAGATTTTCTATAAAGATAGAATATTCTCTGTTATCTGTATCTTATTTTGAGTAAAGATCTTAAAAGTAAATCTATATAGCCTAAGTATATAGTTAGTATAGTATTAGTATAGACTGTATATCTATTCTAGATATACTATACTTTAAAATAGCTACTAGAAGTAACTGCTTCTAGCTAATATCCTGATTATCTTGAAAATAACTGCTTTCACTAATTCCTGTATATTTCCAAGTATATATCTATTTTTTAATTAATATCTTTAACTGTTCTGGAGTCAGTATACTTAAGATCTATAGCTGTTTCTTTCTCTCTAGCCAGGATCTAGTCTCAGAATATATAGTATATATATAATCTATATACTTAAATAAGTCAGGTTTAGATAGTACTTCTAAAAGACTATTAAGTAAATATTCTATAGGATAGTTCTTATACTTTAAGTGAAAATTATACTTTAAGTAAGTTTAGCAGAATATAATTATATAGAAAAGATACTTAGCTTATTCTTAAGATAGATCTAGTATATATAAGTAATCTCTAAGACCTGATATAATTAGTAGAATATATATACTAGATATATATTCTGTTTAATATATATCTAGTACTTGTTTCTTATATATATTAATAGTTATTAGACTTGTTAGGCCCAGCCCACGAAACCCGGCCCAACCCGGCCCAACCCGCCAAGTAATGGGCTGGGTTTATGTATACGAAAGTCCATACCGGGCCGGGTTATTGACTACCCCAGCCCATGGGTCAACGGGTTAACCCGCGGGTTGCCAAGATATAAAATACAGTAAATATATTATTTACCTA